GGGAGAGGGAAAAGACAAAATCCCGATTTTCGAGAGGCGCGGGTTTGCGCTCGCCCGCCTAAAGGGCCGCACATTTCCCTTTACTTTTCAACAGCGCCGCTCCCGTTTCTTTTTTGAGGGCGTTTCCAAGGACAAGTGTTCGCACCGCATTGGGGTGGCTACGTGCAACTCCCCGTCAAGGACGGCGATGGTGGCGACGGTGCGTGGGAACTGTTCTTTTTTCAGCGGGTTTTGCTGACCGCTGATTCTTGGAGAGGAACCACTCGACAACAAAGGGAAAACGAGCACCTTGACTTCATTAGGACGGGAGAAAAACGACGTGGTGCCGAAATTGAAAACAACATGAACCGGAAGAACTGCCCAACAGCAACAGCTACACCAATTACGATTACCGCAGAAGAGCTGAATGCGAGCGCAACTCGAGCCGAATATGACCAATTGTCTTTTCCTCTTCCTCAAGATTCGTCTCCACCGCGGCTTTCTTTCTCTTCTCCGCCACAGTGCGCAGACGCATGGACTCGAGCCGCTGCAGTTGCGTGGCAAGCTCATCGCGCTTCTGGCAGTGCGTCTGCAGGAGCTCCTCCAACTCCCTCACCTCCGCTGCCTTTTCATCTGCAGCTTGCTGCTGCTGCAAAAGCTTCTCCTGTACGGCCTCCGCCCTACGCTGTCCGCGCAGAGAGCGAGTGAGGCCAGCGCCCGGTGCGGCGGGGGTCAGCTCTGTGCTCTTTCCCGCCTCTGGTGCCGCCGTCTGCGCCGCGTCCGTGCCGTCCCGCTCGAAGGAGCCGCCGCGCGATGCCCAGTAGGCTGCCTGTCGCTGCTGCAGCTGCGCACGTGCCCGCATGCCTTGCTGTCCCTTTTGAAGCGGTGGCGACACGGGATGTGACCCAACGTAGTCGTCCTCGCCGCTGTTTGAAGCCTGCTGCGGTTTCAGCGAGGATGCGTACGGATCAACGTGTCCGCGGTGTGGCGGGGCGGCGTGCTCTGCCTCGCGGGACGAAGTGCCGAGTTCACGATTTGCGTGACCCGGCGCCGCTTCCCAACGGTGCGCGACCCCGCTCTCGCGGTAGGTCATCTGCTCCAGCTCCGCCTCCAATGCGGAAACCTTTTCCGCCAACGTACGACTGTGCTCCTTTTCCTGCTGAAGCTGCCACTCGGCGTTCTCTTTCTCAAAGAGGAGGCTGCGTGCGCGGGTCTCCGCCCTTGTTTGCGCCGCCGTCAGGCGTCTGTTCTCGGCGTTCGCGCTCTCCAGCTCTTCCCGCAGCTCCGCGATGTACCCCTCGTAGTCGCGTGTGTCGACTTGTCCGCGGTGGGTCACCGGTGCCCCGTCGCCCCCGCTGCGGATGGCAGAGTGAGAGTTTTCAGCGCTCGGCACCTCCGTGGCGTTGCGCCGCGACGCGGTCGCCATCGAGGGCAGCGAGGGGCGCCTCTCATGCCATTCGCGGTTCGCGTGGCCGACGTTGCTGGCGACGTCGCTCTGATCGGACATAATCTCGCCGTAGCACAGATCGTCGTCGTCGCCCGCGAACGGGTTACCGTAGTACTTCGGAGAAAACATGAGCGTTTGTGGGTTTTGGCCAAATCCACTTTTTCAAGTAGCTTTTCTATGCGGGATGACGGTAAGACGATGCCCTCCTCGTTTCGTTGCCCTCGGTGTCGCTTAACTGGAGGGATGTGAAATTCAGCTTTAACGACTCAGCTGCCAGGGTGCGGGCACGAACGCTATAAACACTATAGTTCCGATACGGGTTTTTCTCTTTTTTTTTTTTGCAGGGCTTCCACGGCGAGGGCTGCGCCAAACACGGTCAATACAAGAGCAAGAGAAAGAGCAGGACGAAGAAGAATCGAATCAAAGGACAGGAAAGCGCTCATTACCCGGTAAAGTTGGCCGATAAGCGTGTATGAGAGGAGAAGCAGAGAACCTCCGCTTTCCTATTAGAAGTTTCTTTCCTCCATCGTTTCAATATGCGGTGAGGCGGAGAGGAAAACGCAAAAAAAAAAAAAGGCACTGAGGCACCACTTGCGCTTCAGATGTCGACTGCCAACGGCGTACGGTAGAGCAATCTATATATATATATATATAAGAGCAGAGGAGACTGTCAATATCACAGCGGAGGTGGTGGAAGATTGTAGCGCGCGATGAGCATGTCGATGGAGTTCTGAATCATCCCTAGCTCCTCGCGCAGCCTCGACGCTTCTTCCGTCTCCTTCTTTTCGTAATCGTCGAGCTGCTGGTGATACGGCCGACTATCCACGCCGCGGCCAAACGGCGGAGGGGGAGACATGATGTAGTTCCGATAGGGATTTCCCATCCAACCCTGCCCACCGTAGGCAGGAGGCAGGCACGGGCCGGTATAGAAAGGGCCCACGCTGATCGGCACCGGCTCCGTCTGCGTTCCCTCAGAGGTCACCGTTTGGGTGCCGCGGTCTACCACCATCACCGCCACCGCCTCGTAGGCCGGGCCAGTCCCCGCACTACCACCACCACCGTCGAACCCCTTCATGGTCCGCTCTACCTCGGGCAGTTGACTTGAGTCAGTGGCGGTGTCGGCACGAGCGAGCGCCAGAAACGAGTTGGGTGACGGACGCCCCGTCGCCGGGGTGGTGAATGCGCTGGTGCTGCCCAGCGTCGGTGGCGTCCACATTCCTTGTTCAGCCGGCTGCGTCGACGTGGGCGTTGCCCCGAACGGAAAATGCGTGCGGTCAGGCAGGACAGAAATCGGCCAGGCATGGCTGCTGTCGTTAGCGTTGGAGGACGTCGGCGTTGTCGCTTTCACCACGGCATCCGCGCCGAGCAGACGCCGCATCTTTTCGCGCGTCTGTTCCTGCCGTGCGTAGGGTCCCCCCGCGGAGAGTTCGGCGGGGCGGATTGTGGTGGGTGTGTGGGCAGAGACTTGGCTACCTGCGAGAGACGGCGCACCGCTCGTACGAGGGCCGCTGACCGGTCTCGACGTCGACGAGCGACGATCTTCAGAGCCGTTGTGTGCGTCGCTTTGACTGCTGTCGTGCTTTACGTCTTCTTCGTCATCCTCTTCGTCGGAATCCTCCAGCCACTGATCTAACGTCTTCATGGCTGCGTTCTAAGTATATGAATGTGTTGTTGCGGTTTAGGTGATGCCTACGTGCGTCTATGTTCTTTTGTAATAGCTGTTGTGTGTGCGGAAAGGTAGGAAGAAAACTGCGCAGCTAGTAGCTGGAAACCCGCGCTGCTTCCGTCAAAACCCCTCCTTGGTTCCTCCGCAGTAAAACCGTGCCACAGTGAGAGGGAGATGCAGTCAAGGGTCAAGCGAGGCGTCCAAAGTTAGGTGATCACACTTAGAATGCATCTTCTACTCCTATTCGGATTTCCCTGCATATATAAAAGCTCGTGAAGGGTCAACTAGATCCGCGGAAGAAGAGCGTCCGGAAGAAATTTCTAGCTACGTGAGTGATTAGCCAAACTTCTACGTTGTTCTCACTGTCACGCAAGTCGAACTTACTGATACGTTGAAGCACATGAGATAATGATAAAATATATATATTCAAGGACGAGGAAGACAGAAAGAAAGCGAAAACGATCTGGGTAACGCTTTCGATATAGCGATAAGTTCAACGCACACGCTTGGAGGCAATGAGAAATAATAATAATAAAGGCTGTCACCTTATCTTATTATTATTATTATTTCTAAAACAAGCGTATTCAATGATTTGCGAATGAGCGGAATGGCACCGTTGTCGCCACCGCATCTCACCTATACAACATGAACCTCTTCACCGATATCAACATGGAGAACCTCAAATAATTGCAATAGCCCGTCTCCTCCGTTGTAATTCTTACATCGCGGTGCAGTCGTCCTTTTTCTTTCCATGGGACGAGCTTGTTGCGTGCAGCATCGCAACGCGCGGAGCCTCTTTGCGCTCCTCGGGCCGACTCACCACGTTGGCCGTCACGCGATCTCTCATCTCCAGGTCCTGCTGCTTCATCTCGACACCCGCCAGCGTGGCGGCGATGCGGGTGAACATGGTGTTGACGCGCTCACCTGACTGGGCGGACACGGTGCAGTACTCCACGTTCAACTCCTTACAAAGCGCCAGCTGATCCTCCTCGCTGACGGCGCGGTTGGGGAGGTCGGCCTTGTTGCCCACTAAGATCATGCGCGGCTTGTCCGCCTCCGGCACGTCCTGGAAAGCGTTGTCCACGCACGTCTTCCAGTCACTAAGGTCCTTGAATGAATTCGCATTCGTGAGGTCGTAGACGAGACACACGGCGTGGCTACCGTGGATATAGTTGGCGAGCATCTTGCCGCCAATTTGTTGCCCACCAATGTCCCACAGCTGCAGAGTTACGGCGGGGTGGTGATGCGGGAGCTGCACCTTGCGGGAGTAGAAGTCCAGCCCGATGGTCTGCTTGTAGCTTTTCGTAAAGCCACTCTCGCAGAAGTGACGAATGAGGGAGGTCTTGCCCACCGCCCCGTTTCCCAGCACCACCACCTTGAACTGCAGCGCCCCGTCATCCGAGGCGTCACTTCCGCTGTCCATTTTGTTATTTCTCTTTCCTTTTCAATGATAATTCGTGAGCAGGGATGATGAACGTAAGAGGAACTGGTGTGGTGCGGAAAGGATGAGAATTAAGTGAAGACCCCACGCGAATCGTAGCGTCAGGCGTGCGTGTGTGCGTGTGTGTGTCGGGGAAGGGACAAACGGAGGAAAAAGCTCTTCGATCTCTCTCTCGCGTGAAATATCCGTGTGCGTTCTGACTTCTCCCTTCGTGGTTATATATACGAGCTCTTTCCTGAAAAAGAAAAGGCAATGAATGAAAAGGCGGTAGAGAGGAGTAGGAATTCCTCTCGTTCATAGCGTTCAGCACCAAGAAGAAGAGGAGCGCACGGAAGTGTGAGAAGAGGCGGACTTTGTGCGGCGAGCGAGGCAGGGTGCTCGAAAACGACTCAAACAGAAGCGTGCGAGAAAGAGAAGTAGTCAGTTCAATGATTACTGTTTTCTTCTTCTTCGAAAGATGTTGCTGCCCAGATCGAATTGTACTGAGCAACAGCGGAAGAACAGAAAATGCCTTCAAGGTATGAAGCACAAGCACATTGCAGCATCGGAAAGAACAGAAAAGAGCGCACAGCCGCGAAAGAATGAACACACAAAGTGGGCATCTTGTTTAAGAGCATGACATGATGGACCTGGATGCCTTTGCCGTCCAAAGCGCCATGAGCAGCAGCAGTACACCACTCTTAAAAGGGCCAAGCACGCGAAATAAAGCCCGAGCTGCCTCTAAAAGAAGGGTAAGGGGAACACCAAGCACCAGCACAACGACACCCAGCATAGAGAGCGCAAACAGCAGGGTGAGCTTCAGCCCAATTACCACAGCGAGAAGGCAGAGACACGACGCCAACGCCAAGACAACGACCGCAAGCGCCTTCTGAAGCAGCAGCACCTTTTCTTTGAGCGTCACAATTTCAAGGTCGCGCTGCTTTACCAGTTCGCGCGTCCTCTCCAGCTCCTTTTCCAGCTCCACTATCTTTTTCTTGTCCGTTGCGTATTCGTGCTCGTACTCTCTTTCGAGTAAAAGGGAGTCGGACGACTGTTCAACTTGACGGCGAGGCGGAGGAGCAGAGCCAATCACTGCTGCAGGCGACTCCGCTATCCTCTCCACTTGGACCTCCTCAGCTTTCGTTGCTACTGGCGGTGGTGACGGTGGTGGAGACGGCGCAGCGGCTGCAGCTGGTGAAGACGCACGAGTCCACTTCTGCAGTGCCTCAGCGCCACCCGGCAGCGCATCCCACGCCTCCTCTATCAGCGAATGCGTGCGAGTGCTGCCGCTGCCGCTGGCATCGGCGTCTGCATCTGCACCCTGTCGTGACACCGAAGTTGACGAGAGGTCGTTCGGCGCCTTGGTTGAAGTGGTGGTGGTTGGCAAAAGGACGACTACCTCGCCCCCGATGCGACGCTCCACCGTGAGCACCGCGGAGGTCCACCCCGCCTGCACCATGTACATCACCTGCGACCGCACCGCCTCCTCCAGCGTGGCCGCGTGGAAGGTGTGCAGCTTGTCCACCATGGCCTCCACGAAGCTGGGGGTAGGGTAGAGGTGTCGCCCTTTCTTCGCCTGACCGGAGAGCAGGCGCTCTAGCAACAGGCACACAAACTGGCGGCGCTCCGCTCGTGTGTAGGGCATGAAAGGGAAGAAGTAGTCTACCCGATTCACGAAAGGGTCGCCCAACGTTTCTCTGCACACGTCTTTGCACTGCGTGACGAAAAGGCTCCGAATCTTCTCCTGGTCCGCGGCGGAGGCGTTAAGGTAGAGGTCCTCGCGAGAAGCGATGGACTTGTCAGCGATGTTGCAAGTGAGAATAAAGGTGGTGCGCACCGTGGACACGGACCGGCTCGCCTCCTTCAACGACCGCAGCACGCCGTTCTTCTGAAACGCGGACAGCCACAGGTTGTTGATGGACTCCGCCGTGCTCTTTTCAAACTCGTCCAGCACCACCACCGCGTCGTTATGTTTTTGCAGGGCGGAGAGCAAAATGCCGCTACCGACGTGCGCCGCAGGCGGGTCCACGAGGGAGTAGATGCTGTCCTTGGTGCAGAACGACGGCATGTGAATGTACACCATCTTCCCGGACGACTCCAGCTCGGACATGGGGCATTCGTGCAACACGCTTGCCACGCGCTTCGCCAGCTCCGACTTGCCGTAGCCCGACGGGCCGAAGAAGACTAACACCGTCGGTTTGTCTGCGTCGAACACGCCGGCAGACAGGAAGTGCGAACGCAGCTGCGTCCAGATATGCCGCTGCCCGATGTACTGCGAGGCCCCGCCGGTCCACCGCTCATTCGCAGACAGGGCAGGTGCGGACGCCGACGGTGCGGCGGCGCTGCGTAGCATTTCTCGCTTCTCGCGCATCTGCCGCAGTGTGCTGAACAAGGCGTCTCCGTCACTCGACAGGCAGCGCAGGACGTCCGCCTCGTGCTGGCGGTGCGCGAGAGCCACCTCCACCTCACCGAACACCGGCCACAGCGCCACGAGCGGCGCAGATGCCGTTGCCGCTCCCGTTGTTGCTGCGGCGAGTTGATCTCCGTTTAGGGAGTTTTTGCCGCCGCTACTGCTAAAAAGTAAAGCCTGCAGCGCTTCTACGTGTGTGAGCGCACGAAGTGCAAGTTGCGGCTGCGACTGCATCCTTGAGGCAGAGATGGCGAAGGCGAGCACCATCACCACCGCCAGCACGGGGCGCTTCTGGAGAGCGTCCTTATCGCTCATTTTCTGCTCATAGAGGTCAAACGTCTCCCACGCGTGCGCGCTTGTGGGCGATACGCCGACTCTGTCGCCTTGAGAGTCGTCTATCGTCTGCGCATTGGGAGTTTCCTGGGACAGCAACTGTTGCACAAGACAGGTCAAATCAACAAAGGCGTCCAGCAGCAGCAGCTGCGGCGGCGCGCCGTCGACACGGCCGGACGATGAAGCTGGAGGCGCACGGTGCCTCGCCTTGTCCACAACTTTCTTCATCACAAACCGCGCCAGTCGAGCTCGGCGGCTCGCAGGTCCGGCGTCGGTTTCGCCCTGCTCTGAGCTTTCATTCGCACTGCCGCCTCCATCAGCAGTGCCCTCTCGCTCGTCCTTCGGCACGCCGTCGAGCTCCCCGTGTTGGATGTCGTGAACGAGATGTACCAGCTGCTCTACGCGCTCGCGCAGCACCGCGGTCGAGATGGCGTTGCGCCACCACGCACACAGGTGCACCATCAATGCCGCCACCGGTACGTGCAGCTGCGAGGCGGTCAGACGAGCGGCGACGTCGGAGGGGGCGCTGCTGGGCTCTCTTTGCTCCAGCACCGACAAGAACGCCTGCCACTCCTGAAAAGAAAGGTGAAAATCCCCCTTCTTCGTCTTCTTCGTTGTTGAATTGGGTGTGGCTGCCGGTTCGCGTGGACGTGTGCCATCGCCCTCTGCGTTTTCGTCACCGTCGTGTGTGTTCTCTGCGTCGTAGGAGGAAGCTGCTGCGTGCGCTTCCTGATCAGCTGTCATGGCATCTTGCAGCAGCTCTGGCCACTGCCGGTGGAGGAATAGCTCCTCTTGATGCGACAGAGATGTACCCATGGATAGGAATAACGAGAGGAAGAGAAATACATATATGCATGGATACGCCTTCGAAGCAGCAGGTTTCAGCAATTGTTGGAAGGGAAAAGGAGGGCGTAGGAAACAACAGGCGAGGGCGCGAAATGCTGTCAAAGGCGAGGTGCACGTTGATCGTTGCGAAACGAAGACGAAAGAGAGCAAAGAGGATGAAACCAACCAGGCAATAGCAAAACGGAATGAAAAAGCCTGGTGCCAACAATGAAGAAAACGCTTGGCAAGCCATCACACTTGAAGTGTAGTCGTTCTCATTTTGTTTAAAATGGAAAACAGTGTTTTAATTTGGAATTGTATCTGATACATCGTTCGAACGTTGACGGGTCTTTTCAAAGGAAAAAGAATAGAAGACGAGGGTGATTTCGTTAAAGTATAGTCCGCCCTCCACCAAACTACATTACATTGGATATCCGCATCAAATACACCTCTACACTAAGTACCCCAAGCAGCGAGCTGCCCAACAACACCAGCAGCGAAATAGTTGTGGCGCTCTCGCGAACAAGCGAAAAAAAGTTTACCAACGAGTCTGCGATTGCGCTGCGTCTTTGCGGAGAGCTGCCAACGCGTACTGCGCCACCATCGCCTCCTCCTGTAAGAGTTGAAGGCGCTGGAGCTGCTGCGCTGTCGCGTTGCTGGCCGTCGTCAGCTGCGCTTCCAGTTGAATTCGTCGTCCTTGCAGTTCTTTGATCACTGCTAGCAGCGGAATGGGGATGATACTGCTGGGGTTGCTGTTGGCGCGGCGATTGCTCTCGTTGAGCCCCACCGGATCGCCGTCGGCCGCTGCGGCCGGGGGAGGCGAAAGGTTAGTGGACGACCGGGTCGCGCTGGCTTGCGGTCGGGGAGATTCCCCTGCGGCGGCCTGCTGCTGTGCCGTTTGGGAGCGACCCTCCTCTTTACGGTGTACGACGCTGGACGCTGAGGAAGAGGCGGCGGACAACGCGGACGGTGTCACCGCCGGTGCCGCAGCCGGTGCGTAGAAGAGTGTCTTCATCGCAGTAGAGACCTTGGGGCGGACTGCAGGTGAGAGCTGACGAATGGCAGATTCCACCGACTCCGCTGTTGCCGGCGCCGCGGCAAACACAGGTGAAGCTGTGCTGCTCCTTGGGCTCACGTTGCCGGCTGCGCGCTGCGGTTGCTTGGAAGACGACCGCTGGTCTGTGCCGTTGCCACCCCGTGCACTAGCCGCGCTGCCGCCTCGCTGCGACGCAGGACGGGACTTGTCGCGGTACTGCAGCGGCAGCTCCTCTGCCTCCAACGCCCACAGCTGCGTTGCAGTGGAGATGACGTGGTCGAAGCCTTGCCGGGCGCTGTCCGTGTCGGTCGCATGCTTCTGCAGAAGCTGCTGCACTTGCTGCATCGCCACGGCGGTTTCGTCGGCCCGCCTTGCCCAGACGTGCTTCCGCTGAGTCCGAGGACTGCAGAGGGCTGCCTCCGCTGCAGCGGCCGCGTTCACATCGGCGGCGCTAAGAGCGTCCTCTTTGCTATTGTTTTTTGCGAGCGCTTTCTTCGACATGATAAACTTTCTTGTGAAGCGTACATGAATATGCGGCGGAGAAAGAGCAGAAAAAAGCAAAGAAGAACAGTGAGGAAAATTATGAGAATTTCAGAAAGCAGGCTGCTGCGTTCATAGCTGGGTTTCAAACGCAGAACACACCGATGATCATAGTCATAATAGTCATAATATAATACATTATATACTTCTGAAACGGGTGGACAGAGAAGTCAGAAAAAGCATTCAGATTACGCAATGGTGCGCATGTTTTCAGATGCATTCGTCCTGCACATTGTGTTCACGCGGATGCCTTAGTGATCGCCATTACTTTCTTTCTTTTGAAAGGTGTAATCACGAAGGAGGAAAGGCGTTGTCTGCTGCCTTCCATGGAGACTCGACGAGTACGTTCGTAAAACGACGTAGAGAAAAAAAAAGCAAATTAAAGAGCTCTACCCCTGCAGTAGGCAAGTAGCCGCCAACGTTGCACATTCGATAAAACCACAAAAAGGAGCATCAATATGTTCCGCACGCACGCACTGCCGCGCCCTGACGCACCGAAACTGTCGTCCTCCGGGCTCTCCCTTGGCGCTAGAGACCTGAGCAAGGTGAAGAGGAAAGCCAAGGAAGACATTGATTGAGGGCTAGCGTGCATGTTGTTCTTCTTCTTTCCCAAATGAATAGAAGTGTGGGTACAATGACCTTTCAAAAAAAAAAAAAACAAGAGGAAAGGATTACGGAAAGCAAAACATATTAGAGAGAGTTGAAGAAAAAACGGGGGAGATCTTAATCAAACGAAAGTCAAGTAATATATTAATAGATGGATAGATAGGTAGACACGGATGGTACAGAGAAAAGAACGGGGAAAAACACGTTAAAACGATCCACCACTACTTGGAGTATGAATCTTTTACCTTTTCCCTTTCAAAAACAGTTTTTTTTTCTACTTCACGACCTCAGAGGCCTGCGGGAGGGCGCCAAAGTGTTCCACGACAACATCCGGCTTCAAGCCTCCGCACACTTCGGGCAGCTGGTCACGTGTGATGTACTTGTCGAAGTCCTTCACGTTGCTGCCGATGTTGCTGATTTTGCCGGAGGTCACGGAGGTGATCGTCATCCGCATAAAAGGCAGCATCACGCGAATGAGAAAGGGCGGTTGGAAGAGCAACACGTGATTCATGCGCTCCGGGTAGTAGTCCTGCATGATCTGCATGGCCTCCCTGCGATGTTTCTTCGCATCCGGCTCCTTGTCTTCGCGCTTTTCCTTTTCCTTGGCCATGTGCGCCCACGTCAGGATCCACGAAATGCGATCGTATCCCTTCCGTTCGGTTTCTTCCAGCATGAAAGTAAGGAACTTCTTCCGCGCTTCCATGGTGAGCCCTTCCGGCTCGATCACTGACAGCACGACTATGGGGCAGCCCTGTTTGCAGTGGCCACCGCAGGAGATGCGGAGATGCTTCGCCGCCTCCTTCACCTCATCTTCGGTGATGGCGTACGGCTTCGTTTCGTTGCGCCACGTGATGGTCTTCTTCAACATCTCCGCCGCCTTCGCCACGTCCGCCTTGCGGGCACGAACGAAGCGCAAATACGCAGTATCGTTGAGGAAGCCGACATCCTCGGCATTCAACATGGAGGGCGGGCACTGTTTCTTGAGCTCCGCCACACAGGCGGCCTCGGCCTCGGTGGCTCCGGCGGTAAACATGCCTTCGCGTGTGCGGGGAGCGTGGAATGGCGTTGCGATGCTCTTCGGCGTTAAGAGGAGAAAATAGTTGTCGAAGTTGTGTGCAGTTGGGGTTAGCAAAAGGTCCTATGTTTTGCTTTCCAAAATAACTTGCGCTGTGAAAAATGCAAACAACTGGCTTTAACGCACAACAAATATTTATAAATAGATACAATAGTGTGCGTGCGTGTGTGTCTTCTTTAGATAGTTGGGTGCTGGTTCCTCTTTGACTGCGCTGTATCGATGAAGGAGGCCACAGGAAAGTAGAAAGAAGGCTGAAGACAGTGATCCCCCTGACGATTCAAAACTAGAAATGTAAAGCATGACACCAAGAATCATTCAGTCGTTGCAAAAGAGCATCGGCGCTGCGCACGGCGATACCGAGGTCCGCTCAACGCTTTGTTGGACGCTATGCACAAGGCACGGCTCTTGCGCTTTCTTCGCTTCGTCTCGCGTTCACTCCCTTCTTCTTTTCTGTCTTGACTTTGAACGTCTTGGTGTAACGAGTTCCGTGCGCGTGCGCTTCTGGCGTCTTCTCTCCGCAAACCAGACCAAAACGAAAAGTCCCACCTGCACCCCTCCCCGCTTTTCTCCATCAAGACGCCGGCAAGCTCCAGCAGCGACTGAAAAGAGGAGGAGAAAAGGAGAAACAGAGAGGGAGAGAGGAAAACCAGCAAACACAGGGCCGCAGCGGTGACCGCACAACACAGCTTCCAGAAAACAATAAATGATAGTGGTAGTAAATGAACGTTTCATAAAGCATGTTACCCTCTTTAGGCGCCAAAGATCGGAAGGAAAAACACACACAGGAAAACAGAAACAAGGACAATAGGAGAGCATCGCATCTGCATTAGTTACGGTTTTCGAGTAACACACAAAGACGGTCGTTGACCCGAGGAGTTTTTGGAGTTATGTGTAAGAAAAGGTGTAGCCAGAAATAAATATATATACCTTTAAAAGCACTGCCCTCCCCAATAAAGCAGGCGACACAGAAGAGGATGTTCTTCAGCTTGAATAGGAGAAGCGCTGCCATCAGCAAAGCAAATGAAAAACACAAAAAAGGAAGTACACATAACCGAAAAAGTTCACGTGAATCGGCGTTGTGGTACGCACCAGACATCGTTACGGTAAATGGCGAAGACAAAAACCTGCTTGTTGTTCCCTTTTAAAAGTGATTCAGAAAGATAGCAATAAAAAGTGAGAACGGAATAATTGTTTTAATAATAGCACTAGCAAATAGTTTTGTGTGTGTGTGTGTGCGTGTGCGCAGCACTGCGGGGGAGCAACGGCAGCAACATCGTCAACCGTGCGCGGTCTCCGGGCACCGCTTTTCGATAGCACTTCTCTTTCACGCCTTTCTCTTCCAGGTGTGATCAGTTAGCAGCAGCTGCTATGCCCTTGTCGTCGCTCTTTACGTCACTTACCTTCTTCGCGGTACCATCGCCGTTCGCAGGTGCTTTCGTTGACTGCTCAGCCGTCATCGAGGGCAAGTTCTCCAGCGCCGTCGCAGTTGAGTCCTCCAGGGTACCGCCGCAGACCTTCGGCACCTGGCTGCGCTCGATAAACTTCTCAAGGTCGTCGATGGTGGAGCCGCCGCGGTGCACCTTCGCCGCCGTGCGCGGGTCCATGAAAGCTTTCGCGAGGCCGAGCAGCCAGTTTATGTACCACGGAGGGCGGTAAATGAGGCTGAGAGCCATGCGCTCCGGGTAGTAATCCTGCAGAATCTTCATCGCCTTCTTCCTCGTCTCCTTGGCGAGCTCGTCGCGCTGCGTGCCCATCGCTCCAAAGTCGATGATCCAGGTGAGACGGTCGTAGCCCTTGCGCTGTGTCTCTTCCAGCACATAGACGATTTGCCGGGTGCGCTCCTCCACTGTGCATTCGTTCTTCATGCCGACCACCATCACCATGACCGGGTTGCCCTCCTTGTCACGCCCACCGCAGGTCAGCGTCGCCTGCTGCATTTGCTTCTGCAGGTCCTTGATGTTGATCGCGTACGGCTTGGCCTCCTTGCGCCACGCGATGGCCGCCTTGAGCATCTCGGACGACTTGGCCACGTTGCAGTCGCGTGCGCGTGCAAAGCGCAAGTAGGTGTTGCCGCTCAGGAAGGCTTCGTCCTCCTTGTCTACCATGGAGGGCGGAAACTCCCTCATGAGTGCCGCGACGCAGGACGCCTCCTTCTCCGTTTGCTTCGCGGTGGCCATTTCAAAAGAAAAAAAGTTCGACCTGAAAAACAACAAAGAAGAACGCTGCTTCGGTGGCAGTAACAGAGGAGAAAAAAAAGAGAGAGACGAAATCAATTGTACAGACCAAAATCTTTGACAATGAAATAGCCACAACAGCAATAAGCAAGAAAATAAAACTAAAATAGTAATAGTAATAGACATGTGTCAAGCTCAGCTTGTATAGTTGGAAAAGATGTTAAAGAAGTTGCGGATTTATTTTTGATAGCACAAGGAGCGGAGAGATGGGTGGTATATAACGAGAGAGAATGATGGATGCGCCTTTTTTTTTCTGTGGCGGTGAAAGCGACAAAAATAATGGGGGGGGGCGTTAGAATCTTTGGGGATTCAAAACTTCCAGCGAATCCACAAATAATAAGAGAAAGGAAAGTTTTTTTTTTGAAGCGACAAGGGCAACAACGATGGGAGGGAGTCAAGATGGGTAAATCGAGAGTTTGTTCACGTGAGTTGATCAGCGGGGACGAGTAGTTTTGTGAGAGAAATCTACAGGTCAGGCGATTGGCGCTCTTCGAATTTGGAACGGCACAGTTGCCGCAAACAGCAAGGTGATTGGGGCTTCATTCGTGTTGCTCAGCAGGGTATTGCTCTCTCCGTCCTGTCAGAGAGCGAATAATCACAAAAAGCTTGATCACACACTCGGTGAATACTTAGCCTTCATCCGTGAAACACACACACACACACACACGAAGGAAGACGCTGTTCAGAAGCAGTCAAGGGAAAAACTGCCACCTGAGGGCAGAGAGCAGCCGCGTACTTGCCATTTCACCGAGAAGGCGGTGCAGGTGGCGCCGCACGCGCCTTCTCCAACTCGGCCCAATCTTCGACTGTCAGTTGGTAGTGCTTACCGCAGAAGGAGCAGTTCACGACGCCGTCGTTCTCCTTCAGCGACGTTAGCGCACTGGCAGGGGCGGCCGTAAGCGACGAGACGATGTTCTGCTTCGAACAACGGCAGAAAAAGTCAAGGCCGGTGCGCACCGCCTCCGTCGCAGCGAGGGGAAGCACAAAGTCAGCAACGCCCATCGCACGACGAATGGGATCCACCACAGCCGCCACCTGCGCAGGGTCCTCGCTGTACTGCCGCGCCGCTACGGCCGACGCGTGTGCCCCTTCGTGGTCGCCGGTCAGGAGGGACAGAATGTGCTGACACGTCGTGTGCTTCTCCTTGCACCGTTCCAAGAGCGACTGAAGAGGCGAGGCAGACGCCGCCGCACCACCACTGTCAGAAGAGGCGTTGCGGCCACTGGTCGGCGGGGCGTGCAGGAGGACCGCGGCTTCCATCAGCACCCGATTCAGCTGACCCACCTGCCGCTCCACCGCGTCTCCCGCGGCGAGGGGCGTGACGATGACACCAAAGCTGTGGGGGATGGCGTGACGCAGGGTGCGCTGCAGCGCCTGCGCCTGAGCCTCCGCCACCTTCTCGGCCTCCTTGCTATCAGGGCTTTTCACATCAGCCTTTACGTGGGGATTCGAAAGAGGTGTGCCATCGGCGTCTAGGAGGTCATCCGCACGCAACACTGCCGCATCGAGCGCCGTGTGCAGCCATACCGCCGGCACGCAGCCATCGGAGCGGCGGAGATAGTTGTAGGCGTGCAGGGTGCTGTTGTACGCAAAGAAGTTGGTCCACGCGTCCAGCGGCACCCGACTCACCATGGTCGGCGTGAACAGCGAGAAAGGCACTGTGTGATCGACGGCACCGCCTTCGGCATCCTTCACGTGACCATCAGAAGAGGTAGGGATGGGGGGCTGCAGTAACTCCGCAAGGTCGGCGTGTACGAGAGAGGAGAACGGCGCCCGCTGGCGGTACAGGATGCGGTTCACGCGGAGGGGAAAGGTGGGCTGCCCCTCCGCTTCCAGTTGGGCGTTGTACTCCGGTCGAAGGTAGCAGCGGCACTCCCCCAGCGCCAGCGCCTCGGTCAGGATGGTCGCCTCGTCCGAGGTGAGGCGGGTCTCCACTCGCTCTTCGCCCTCCTGCGCAGACGCCAGGAGGTTGGTGAAGGTGAGCTGCGTGCCGAGCAGCTGCAGAAACGGAAGGTTGGCCCCGGTAACACGGAGAAGGCTGTGGCGACGTATCGTCTCTGCTAAGAGGTAGCGCGTGGAGCAGAAAGAGACGCGCACGAGGTGATCTTTGCTGGGGATGCGCAGGGTGATGTCGCGCGTGCGAAAAGAATGGAGAGTGCTGTTCGCCGATGATAACGTTGAAGAGCCGGAGGTGCTCGAGCCGGCACTGGCGGCAGCGGACGAGGAAGCAGCGCTGTCCGCTGTGGCGAATGCCGCCCCACAACCGCTTCCCGCCGCACCCGCCGCGCAGCGCAGGAAACGGATGCCTTTCATATCTACCGCCGAGACAGCACAATAAGTAATTGAGACCTGCTGTTTTGTGGGCTGGAAGGAAAAGTGTGTGGTGCGCTGCAGGGGAGGAGCAACAACAATCAGTAGAGAGAGCGAGAGGCGACGCGGCGTGCTGAGTTGGGGAAGGCGCGGGTGAAATGTGCTAAGGGATTCACGAAAGCGTGATAAACTCAGATATTGTACTTCTATCATGAAGAACACTTTTCCTTCTCACCAAAGTTGCATGTATTCCAAACAGAAGGTCGAAGGTGACCAAGACGATCGTTGCAAAGGTCCAAGAAAGATAACCTAAGTAAAAAAACAGCCGACAAAATCGGCGATAAGGCCATCTATTTGTTTCTTCGCTTGTTTTTTGTCGTTCTGCTGTACAGGCAGTTTCATGTTAACAAATGTTTAAATCAGCTCAAGCAATAAGGATAATAAAACACGACAACGTCACAAAATGGCCCAGACGCTCGTCAGCGCTCCTTTCACAGCCTTTCATCATCGCCCTGTCAACAAGAAAGAAAAAACAAAAAAAAAACGATCATGCGGATTGCATCAAGTAACGGGTGTCACGGCTCGATGGCCGAGGCAGCGAATGCAGAAAGAAAAAAGAAGTCCCACTTCAACGCATGAAAAGCACACACGAGAACAACCACGGCTTGTCATGAAGCACAGACACAGCAATGAAACCGTTCGCAACGCGGCATCAGCCGTCATCAGACACGACATTTATGAATCAATCGTTGAAGGCCCCAGTGCTGAACTCGCCGTACGCAGGCGGCGTGTTGTCCATCCAATCCATCGAGCTCACCGGCAGCAGCTCCATCCAGTTCAGCTTCACCAGCGCCACGAGGAAGGCCACCAGGCAACAACCAATGTAGATCCACTTGGACTGGTTCACGGCGGAGCGAATCTGCCGGTCCGCCTTCGCATCCTCCTCAAAGTCCTCGAAGGTTTTGCCGGCGCTGAAAATCGACTGCAGCGGGTTCACGACGGCCATGCCGACGAACATGATCGAGAAGATGCTCACATCGTTGCCAACCATCCACATCATGAAAGCCGTCATGGGCAGCTGCTTCAGGGGCTGGAGGCGGATGTCATTCAGACGGCTGATTACGCGGTGGCGAGTGACTTCCTCGTCGCTCAGCTGCCCCGCTTTGGTGTTGGGCGAGTTTGGGGAGGCCATTGGCGCCAACGCGTGTGTGTGTGTGTGTGTGTGTGTGCGTGTGCAGATGTGCTACGTCTGTCAATAAGTTTGGCTTTTCGGAACGAGAAAATAAATTAAAAGAGGTGAGGAACGACAACGCGTAGGTGGTGCGCATGTAGTAAGATGAGGGAAGGATCGACACGAGTAGGCCACATAAATTGTGAAGGGAAAACTCCAATGCTTCATTTGCTGTGGTTGCTGAGGGGCGCTCAGCTTTCCCTTCAATTACGTGATGCTGCTCTTGTGGCAGCGCTGCCAAGTATCACCTAATGGGCCAACGACGCCGGATGTTTGCTTTCATTTCTCTTCTGCTTTTGACTAAGGTGCTCCCTCACCCATTTGCACACCGACAACTCACCAGGCAAGAAAGAAAACAAAAGAGAAAAGCAACAAATCGACGCCACACTAGGGAAAACAGCCCGTGCGGTTTCAGCGCCTTCTAAAAGGAAAAAAAGAAAATCCAACGATAACAGAAAAAGAAAACGATGTCTCCTGCTTGCAACCACAACACCGTTGCTCGTTTCGCCTCCCTAGCGTAAAACCGAAGCAAATGCTGCGTCCACACGCGGAAGCATCTGCGTTGGTCAAAAGTTCTTTCACTTTAAAAGGCGCATGGAGGAATCCACAAGAACGGAACGGTTTCTTGTTTTTCTTTTTTGAGGAGGGAGAGGGGAAGGTTTTCCTACTTCGCTCTAGAAGGGGCCGATACGCGTGTTGCCGGGGATGTCACTCAAGGGACTGTTCCATCGGTACTTCTGCGGTCCTACGACGAACCACCAGAACCAAAATCCAATAAAAGCACCGAAGTAGCGCGCACCGCGGAAGTCGGACACCATCAGCACATCATCAATGGAGTTGCGGAAGCGCCAACGGCCGTACTTCTTGACGTTGCAGTAGTTGTTCGCCCAAGAGCCGAAGCAGAGCATGCACGCCCCGCACATGAGACAGGAACCGATGATGTTGTAGATGCTGTGAAATTGACGCATCGGCTGCATGGCGCGGATGGAGGACGGGGCCGTCATGGAGTTGCCGCGCGCGGAGCGCAGCATAGAACCGTTGAAGCGGCGCATCCTTGTTTTGGACCTATAAAACGAGATAACGAAAGAGACTGAAGCTGCTAAATCAATAGAGAGCTAACAAAAAAAAACATATGAAGCAAAGTACGCTAGATCTTGCTAAAAGTAAAAAGCGCTACGTGAACCTACTAATTAACAATAATAATAATACGGAAAGCAGAGCTATGAAAGTTGTGCAAGCGCACGGATTGAGAGAGCAGAGTGTGTAGTAACTAAGCGAGGGCGAAGGAAAAGGAGTGCTCCCTTTGTGCCCTCTTCTTCTCGAATGCGTCAACGAAACGAGTGGAGCGTTGTCCAAACTAGTGAAGTTCTTTTCAAAACAATTAAAAAGAAAGAGTAAAAGGAAGTTGTGGTTGCGGCGGATGCGATTAAAGTCGTGGAAAGAGAGAAGCGGCGTAGCTCGCAGAAGAGACGCTGGTGTAGGAGAGACACCCAAAGCAATGATGCACCCAGGCGCTCTCTTTCTTCTCGTGAAGAAAAAAGAAAAAAAAATGTGCTGCCACACGATGCTCCGAACACGCAGCACACACGCAACGTGCCGCATTCAAGATAATAATAATAAATAGCAAGTCACGTGAGAGTAACGCTCGCTAGTCGCGAATTACGAGAATTCAAAGCTTCACGTTTTCTTTTTTACTTCGTTGCCACGCTGTGAAACAACTACGCGGTAGCAGGAGATGTTTCCATTGAATCGCATGCTTCTCTGCACCGCACGCCACCGCGGCCACAGTGCTCAGCGTACGGTTTCCTAACAGGAAAAACAACTCAAGAAAACAAAAAGTGCACTGCACTTCGGCCTTTTCATTTCGAGCCTTTCTTTATAGTTGCCTCTCGGTGAACGCGCTGTGCGGGTTTGCGCGTGTCCTGGGTGCAGACGTCGTAGTTCTCCGTATACGTCGCCATCTCCTCCACCAAGGGGAACAGTATATCCGCCGCAGCATCGGAGTGCTCCGCGTCACCCGGCACGTACGCAAAGCGCGCGGCAATACGGCCAAATTTTGACGGCGCACGTCGACCCTGCGACGGCACATCGTGATGAGAGGGCGGCCCTTGTTGTCCACCGTCACGCAGCAGGTGCCCTCGCTTCTCGGTGATGGCGAGGTGCAGGCTGCGGCACACAACGCGCCGTTGATCAGGCGGCAGACTCGGCACGAAAACGCAGGCTTTGGAGATAATGAAGCGCCAAAAATCCGCCGGTCGGAGGGCAACCATAACCTCGTCTTCCTCTTCTTTGCTGTCGTGAATGAACTCCTTTGCGTTCTTGTCCTGGGAGGCACTGTTGGCGTGTTCCGCCTCCGGCAGCCGCTTGCGTGGTCGCAGCTCTGGTGGAATCTCCGAGAGAATTGATAGCTGACCATTTTGAAGATCATCGTTCGTTTCTGGAGACTCGGCGTCGCGGCTTTGTAGCGCCCTGCCGGCATTAGCGTTGAGGGGGAACTCAAAGCGCCGTATTTCTCTCTTTGGAGCCGGCGTAGGAGCCAGCACGAACGCCGGAAGCTTCGCAAGCGTCGTGACAATCTTTACGTAGTGGTACGAACTGACCAACTTGCGGTCTTTGCTGACCAACGCGACCGCGAGGCCCCACGTGATGCGGAAAAGGGAGTCCTTCTCATACCACAGCGACTGACGCTGCGCCGCATCATTGCTGCGGCCGCCGCTGCCATCGGGGTTGTTGCCGTATCGCGCGTAGGGTGGCCAGAGGGTCCGCAGGTGGACGCGCAGGAGAGCGAAGCCGTGGACAACGTCGGTCACTCGCAGGTCACGCCGCTGCACCGCCGCAAAGCGAAAAAGCTCTGCCACGAGCAGGTAATGCACCTCGTGCGCCAAGGCACTGCTGGAGGCAGCGCCGGACGGGAAGGCGGGCGACGTCTGCATGGCGGCCACCATGGCGGGCTCTCGCTGACGCCGCAGGGTGCCCAGATGGCGCCGCTCCCACACCTTTTCGATGACCTCTTCCCTTGCGTCGTGTGCAGTCAACACAGCGAGCACCTCCAACCCACTCAGAGCATCGACGGCGGTGGCGATGGAGACGCCGCCGAGCGACGAAGACGACGCAGTCACAGTGACGTCATGGTCTCCCTTCTCGAGCACTTCATTGCCTTCCCTTGTCAGCTGCGGCAACGCATTGATGGAGGGGCTGTGCACCACAAAGTAGAACGTCAGCAGATCCACTGCAAGATCCGTCAGCGTCTGCCGGAACGCGAGAGTGTCGGCGGGCGAGGGAAGGTTCCCGGTTGAGCTGGGAGGTGGGCCGCGACGGTGGGACGTGGCAGAGAGATCGCACTCCATGTACTGCAGCTCCCGTGCGAGGTACTGCAGAATGCGTGTGGCGTCGAAGCTAGAGGCGACGGCGCGCTCGGCTTTCAGCACACGCAGCATCACCCAGAGCTCTGGCAGATTGAGGTGCATGCGGGTGTCGGCGAGGCCGTAGTCTGCCACAAAGCCAACCTCACGCACGCCCTGGAAACAGCACGCGACCGCACTCGACGCGTGGCGAGCCCAAAAGGCGCACAATGCCTCTCTGCCACGTCGCCGCGACGCCGCGTCGCTGTCACTGCTGTAGCGAATCTTCAGTTTCTTGCACGCGGAGAGAAACTGCGTGAGGTTGCTCACTTGCGGCTCGTCGACCGCGCTAGCACTGGCCGACGCGGCGGCCTTCATCGCGGTTGATGAGCCAGCGACCGTGCTCCCAGCCGCAGCAGCTCGAGCGCGCTCGACGCGGTCCGGCACCTCGCGCAAATACGCGGCTGCAGCAGCCTGTGCCACGGCGGGTGTCTGCCGTGCCCGCACTGCCGGCGGCTGCAGCATTGAATGCTCCAACAGAGCAAGGCGTTCCAGCTCTCTCTGCGCCTGTGCGGCCCCGCCGTGTCCTCGACGTGCCAGCACGCGTCGGCTGCGCACCAGACATCGCGTCATGGACGTTGGAAGCATGGATGTTCGTCGAGGCAGCAGGGGCGTATGCTAGTCAGCAAAAAAACAGAAATAGAAAAAGGTTGTGAAACCCAAAGTAGACGGCGATCGAAAAGCTGCCTCTCTTGCTTTCGACGAGCTTGTAGTCAGGTGGCTGTCAAGCAGGGAAAAACACTTTTAGTTAACCGTTCTCTTTACCTTTCTTGTGCAACTTCTAAAAGAATAATGTCGCAAACTTCCCTCTTCCGCATTGAAATTCACGGTGCTGCTGCTGCTGCTGCGATGATCGTACCACCAATAAAGTTGCACTGCAAAAGCGTTTATATAGTTTATTGTTGTTGTGAGTACCGCGATTCAGTGATGACGTCACACGGAGATGACATTTTTTCTTTCACCCCACCCATGCAGCACGGGTAGAGAAACAGAGGGAGAGAGCCCAAACAGTGTGAGGGATGTTGCATCAAGGAGAGACTCCGAACTGCGGGCACTGACGCGTTGTCATTCCGCTTTTCCGCTATTTTTCTCCGCTAACGGGAGAGGGAACGGATGAGAGACACGATGATGATGTATCATACTAACGGTTTTACGTTCTTACTTCAATGTTCTTTTTTGGGGAGAGTTCTGCTGCATAGCAGGAGTATAAACAGAGGTAAAGAGTTTTTGTTTGACAAAAAGAGTTGCAGTGTCCTTCAGTCATTTCCTTCGCTACACGCTTGCCGTCTGACCTCCAATCCAGTGATGTGAAAACAGCTTCGCCCCGGTTCGTGCTGTGTCTCACTCGTTGCTGTCAAATGTCGATGACACAGGTATGCATTCCACGCATGCGGTGTGAGGAAGTGTTGGGAAACAGCGAGACGACAGCGGCTGCAACGGTGGAAACTCTGACCTGCAAAGAAGTCCAGATGGAAAGGCATATTCAGCGGTGTCGATGAGAAGTGAAAAGAGGAGAAAAATCTACAACAGATAAGAAGCAAAACCATACTTCTTCATAACGTATTAGCCCCTCTTTTTCCTTTCTGTATCTTTTAAAGGCGAGGATATAACGTAGCGATGGAACAAAAAGGAAAAACAACAACAACAACAGAAAAAAGGACGACAAGATACTGGACACACATGCCTTGACGCCGTCCCGCAAAACCGCCACACGCCATCGGTACCAGCAAAAACAGCTTATGGTGAAACTTCTGTGCTACGCAAACACCTGCGAAGAAACTATCTTTTTAAAGAAGCAATGAGTTGGCAATAAAGCAAGCGCACAAGTGAGTGAGTTGCTTTCCAGAGGAGGAGGTGAAATGGAAGAGTTGATCAAACAAAAAAGAGGCAAGGTGCGAGTGTCAACGTTGTTGTCGAGATATTTGCTTCATAAAAGATGAATATGCGCGCAGCGCCGTTATTGTGTCTTCCTTATTGTTTTTGAAGGACTCAGAAAGCACTGTTTGTTCGAGGCGTGCAAGTTGTTGATGCGAGAAGATGAAAGAAAACAGAAAAGAGAAGCGCGTTCTCGTTCCGATAATAATAATAAAATAAGAACGCGATGCCACGCGCAGGGCAGCCGCTGTGTTTTAAAAGAAAAACAAGTGGCAAACGCATTGAAAGAAAAAGGAAAGTTACATGGTCGAATCGCTTCCGTCAACTACGTGCGCTAACAGGTAACGAATGTCCTCTCCCTTCCCAATCGTTGTGGGTGCCGCTCTTGGAAACAAAACGACCACCTCAAAACAAAAAATCATTACAGGAACACTATGCACCTCCCTCAAAAAGACTACGAAAACGTCGTACCCTACAACAGCTGCGGAAGGAAGCCGCACATTCCCTTGCGAAGGACACGGCTGTTTACTGCAGAACAAAGCGGCAGTCAATACCACAGCGCCGTAAAAAAAAAAAGAAAAGGACTCAGTCATGAAACAGTTCCTTCGCAAAAGACGGCTTACTCTGGAGTAAAAGAATGGCGACATCAACGCACGTGAAAAACAGCGGGCACGGGCCTCCATAACACAATCGAAGCTGTTTTGCCACAATACTCGTGCCGAGAACCAACAACAAAAAAAAACCCGAGCTCTCTCCGCATTCCACGCATCTTTGGAGGCTTTTTAAGTAGCTCTTTATTCTTCTTTTTTTGGTATTTAGTACGTGTCTTCTCGAGACATGCTTCACCGGAAGCGAAGCAGTCTCCGGCGCCTCTCACAAACGTGCTAGGTTTCAACACCGTCTCGATATATCGGGAGGAGGAAGGAAAGGAAGACGTACAGTCAGAAAGGAGAAAGAGAAAAAAAAAAAGTAACATGAAGAGTCGACTCCAACGGGCACGACAAGACAGGCAAAGAAAATAAACAGAATCAGAAAATGTCTTTTGAAGGGATATAGGAGAAGGAAAGCAGAAAACACAGAAAATAAGAGGGAATTGTAATGCTCAGTGAAAACGGATAACCAAGTTAGAAGTTTTTATAGCGAAAACAGAGAAAAAATAATGAAAAACCAAAGAAGGAATCAGCAGTGGTGGAGGGAGAACTACTTGCCCTTCTTGGCCAAATCTTTTTCTTCCGTGTCAGTCGTGCTGGACACGGCCTCCCTCGCGAGGAGGTCGGCGTCATCAATCTTTGCTTGCAAGATGTGGCCATCGATGTCCAGATCGTCGCAGATGCGCGCGTTCGGCACGAGGAACACAAGCGGGATCACCAGCAGCGGACTCAGCACGCGGCACACCAGCAAAACCATCGGCAGGTTTGTAAAGTCGCAGGCCGGAACGTTCCAGCCGAACTCCAAAATCACGGTGCCAATTTGCGCTGCGGTCGTCTGCCCGATCGTGCGAAAGCCAGACATGATGGCGAACACCATACTCTCCGAGCCGCGCGGGCACAGGCGCGAGATCAACACGATCATCGGCATCCACGCAATCATGTAGCACACGTCGTACACAACGGCGTTGCCAAAGAGGTACATGGCGTGGTCGGGGATTCCGATGTGCGTGTTCCAGCGCTTCACAATGATGATGTCGAAGATGTTGCCGAAGATGTTCACGAACGTGGTGAGCACAAACACAAGGCGGTAGCGCTGCGTGCGGAAGATGTAGTTGAAGGCGTTCACTCCCACAATACCGGCGATGTTGCCGACGATGGGACCGATGGTGGTGTAGAAGGTGTAGGAGAAGTGCGGGCCGTCGGGTAGGCACTTCTCCGTCGCAACGTAGAAGTTGTACATCGGCCCCCACACCGTGATATCCACCATCACCGCAAGGTAGCCAAACACGTTCGCCATGGCAATGGTGCGCTGCAGAGCCCAGAAGGAAGTAGCGCAGCACACTGTCGACACAATCACGAGAATCAGCAGAAGCCCCAGCGTGTCTGCAAAGATGGTGCCGACCGTCTCGGCAAGCACGGCCGCCGTCATGACACAGCTGTACACGAAGATACGCCAGTTCTCACCGATGACCTGCGAGTTGAGCTCAATGAAGCCACAGCAGAAACGGCGAGGCGGGTTCTCATACACGAACCCCTGCGTAGCGCGACGCTCATCTTCGTCACTGATATGGTTCACATCGCCCTCCTCGCCCTCCACGTGCTCTGGGCACGTCGTCAGCTTTCCTTCACGGCTTTCATGAGAACAGTCGCCCAGCAGTATGTGCGCGCTGCCGTCGGCACCACCGACCATCTCCTGTTCATTGGCGCCGCTGTCGTCGTCCGCAACGCACCCCTCGCGGAGAAGGAGCTCCTCCTTGAAGAGGACGTAAGCATCCTCCTCACGCTCCTCCGTGTTGCGGCCCTCCTGGTACCAGTTCACCGCAAAAATGACGCTGATGACGGTCTGCACCGCACCGGCGATGTAGATGTTCACCTGTGGGACTCCCTTGTCTGAGACGGGGCCGTTGATGGCGGAGGAGATGATGGTGCCCGCCATCGATGCACACCAGATGTAGCTGACGAGCGCCGGTCCAGGCTTTGGGTGCTGACGCATCTTACGGGTGTAGTAACCCTCCGACAGGATATCCACGTTCGCACGACCGAAGGAGGCGAGGAAGATGAAGGCAGCTGCGGTGTCGGCGGAAGAAGGACGTGCTGGAAGAACGGCGTAGATGATCGTCAGCACACCCGAAAGCAGGGAGGAGATGAACATATACCACCGCTTTGTGTAGCCCATCAGCGCAAAGGTGTCGCACATCATGGCTGTGAAGGCGTTGAGCGACCAACCAAGAGTTCCCATGGAGCCCAGACGGTTGTAGCGCTCCGGTGGCATCTTGAAGCGGTTGATAAGCATCGCATAGGTAGCGGAGTTCATCAGCTGGTTGGCCAGACCCTTGTTGAAGAAGTAGCACACGCCCAGTGAGAAGACCGGTCGCGGACCGTAGCCCGTCATGGCCTCCGACGCAAGGGGTATGTGCTGCATCCACGGCGCCGCGGAGTACATCGCCGCCGCCTCCGGGTCCACGTAGCTGTTCTCGTCCACCTCCTCCGGCGCGACGTCGTTGCGGCGGCGGTGGCGGAGCAGCGGTACGTCGGTCCTTTGCGGGGTGGTGATCGCGGTGCCCTCATGCGGAGCAGGATCTTCGCGGTTGGACGGCATCGCTCTTTCTCTTTCTCCTTCTCTATCGAATGATAATTCGAGAAAATAGTGGAGATACGAAAGTTGCCCGTCCAATGCGGAAATGAATAAAACCCAGTTCGATGCAAGGAGGAAGAAGCTGCGTCCCGCCTTCACCGATGTTCACCGCGCCGATCTTTACGCGGTGCTCCCTCCGGGATGTTTGTTTGCTTGCGTGTTCAGCGGTACACGTTGTACGGCTAGAAATAATAATACTTATATAGTTTTGTCAAACTGGGATGCGGTCAGCCCTAAATTCAAGGTAGAGTGTGAAGCAAGAGTTTTGCACGTCTATTACACACAGATGGTTATGCGTTTATGTATGGCGCCTGTGTGATATCGACTGTTGGCAACAGTCAACGAAAAGAAACCTGGTGAGCGCCAAAAAAAAAGAGGAGGATAGAGAAGTGTGCTACGGCCGATGCGGGGGAAGAGAGCAGGCGGCAGGAGTTTTGGCGCTGGGCGGTTTCCACCACGTTGCGTTAGCTGTATTTAAATAACACCAAAGGAAAACGAAACGAAGCAAAATAACAATAACTATTATAACAGATAATATCAATAATAGTATTAGAAGCAGCGAGAGTTGAAGCTGCAGTTGCAAAGAAAGTTGAAATACAGAAAAGGAAAAGCCTCAGTTGAGTTACTAAGTCGCGTTATGTGTGTTCATGCACGGACGTCATCGTCATGGTCCGTGTGAGGCAATTTGCGCCAGAAAAAGAGGCAAGGTAAGGAGTGAAAGGAAGGAGTGGTAGACCATCAAGCCACAAAACAACAAAAAGGACGAATACGAGACATGGTACGCAAAACCAATTTCTTACGCGTCAACAACGCACGGTACAAACGAAGGCAGCACGCGCCAAGAGTTATTCCCCTTTGCTTTTACACTCAACGCACAAAGCAGTGTTGTGGCCCGATTGTGTTGACGTTAGCAAATGCAGCGATACAATGCATTTCAGGCCTCTGGCACATGAAAGCGCAGAATGAGGGCGTGCAGCCGAGCGAGAAAGCAGAAAGAGCCTTCGGCTTTTATTCGTCTTGTTCTCCTTCAGCGTACAGTTAATATTTTCACAATCGTTAATACATGCAGACGGTTGCTCTCCTCTTTCCTCGTATATCTACCGCTGCGCGAATAATTACTCCAGAGTCGTATGGGGTCCATCCTTTTACCGTGTTCCATCACGCATCTCTATCGATGGAACCAAACACACACACACAGAAGGGACATAAAAACTTAAAGTTGAAAGTAATCAAGAAACGACGTTACACAAAAAAAGAAAAAGTACCTTTTCTTGAAAAAAAGAAGAAGAAAACGAGTACGGTGGTTATCACAGCACTCTGCGCTTCGGCTGAGACACACGGCTTGCGTATAATAGTAATCGATGCGCATTCCGTTGGTCTTGCAGACACGAGTGCGTTGTGGGGAGTGTGAGAAGGTCAGGCTTGCAGTGCGGTCCCACAGACGTTACCAACTCTTCTGATCAGTGAAGCTCTGACAGGGGCAAAATCTTCCAAATCAGGGATCAAAGTGCGACACATTCGAGGTGGCGGAAGAAGTCAGCGTCACCACGGTGTTAGAAGAGGAACTCCTCCACGTGCACAGCAACGCCTAGTTTTGCGCAGGCGTTGACGGCGTCCGCCACCATTCTTTCCGGACCGCAAGCCAGCACCAGCATGCGCGTCACATCGCCTTTGACCAGCCCGGTTGCAGGGTCCGTCAGCGTCTCCACAACCTCACGGAACACATCCGGGCGGCCCTCATGCAGTCGTACACATCCACCGGGATGACTCGTCGCGGCAGCAGCGGCGGAGTCAATGCCGTCTCCTTCCAGCTCCTCGCGGAAGACGCCTACACGGCCTCGTCGGTCAGCAACACCGCTTGTCACCACAGCGAACTTCTCCAGCTCACCCTCGCGGGTCACGTAGATGTCACACATGAACGCCTCTGCAGTGCGCAGACACCTGGCGTTCCCCTCCAGCATTGCCCGTACGCACGAGTTCATCGCGGCAGCAGTCGTCCCCTTCTCTCGCTGCTCCGGCATCCGCACGAGGCCGCGGTACGACACCGGCAGCTGCAGCATGTCCGCCACGGCACCCACCAGCGACGCAGACCGCGTGCTCCACACCATCCGCACACGCGGCACACCAGCGCCGTCGGCGCTCCGCATGTGCGCGCGCAGCAGCGACCCGTACACCGACACGCACGGCGCGGCGCCGATGCCGCCCGCGACGAGCACGATGTCGTCGTAGCGGCTGTAGTCCACCGGCGTCCCGCAGGGGCCCTCCACGCCCACGCTGAACACCTGCCCGCTCCGCACCATGTCGTACAGCCGCCCCGTCCACGTCAGCGGCCCCATCGACTTGATGTGCAGGTAGAACACCGTCCCCGTCGTGCTCACCGCAACGCCGCCCGCGTCCGCCGCCCCGTCCTCGTCCACCACGCTGGTCAGCGTGAAGGGGTGCCACTGCAGCGCCGTCAGCTCCGGCACGCACACCAGCACGTACTGGCCGGGGTGCACGCAGCGCATGTCCCACCGCCCGGGCACCGAGAAGGCCAGCTCCACCGTGTCCTCGCTGATCGTCCGCGCGTGCACCACACGCACCACCGCCGACCGCTGCCACACCCGCACCAGCTGGTCCGCCAGGAACAGCGTCAGCCCCGGCAGCATGTACATCCAGCCCGCCGACGCGTGGAAGATCATCATGGGCAGCGTCATGTAGGTGGCGCCGAGGTGCGCGTAGTAGAAGAGCTCGTAGAAGCGGCGCCGCATCGCGTTCAGGCTGAAGATGCCCATCGCCACCAGCAGAAACCACGTCGTCCACGTCGCCACACTCACTGTGTAGTCGTCCATCACACGTTTCTCGCCCACAATGTTCGGTATTTTGTTTAGGTTCTCCATCAAGAGGTCGTAGTCTGCGAACGAAACGTAAAAGGCAATAACGTGGGCCAGCGTTGCCGCAAGCATGCAGTAGCCCACCGCGCGGTGGAACCACAGCAGGCCGTCGCGCGAGACACCGAGCACCGTCACAATGACGGACTGCCGACCCACAGGCAGCAGCAGCAGCGACAGGAAGAGGATGGCGAGCTGACCCATCCCGCGGGCCCACCGTTCGGCTCTCTTGATCTGCCGACTGTCGGGAGTGTCAGCCGTCCAGGCAACTTTGAAGTTGTGGTCCCGCACCCAGTAGATGGTGAAGAAGAGGACGAGCCACGCCGTGGCCGCCATGAAGGCTGCCTCGCCGTACGTGAAGCACGCACAGCGCGGGATGCGGCGCTGCATCCAGTACCGACCCGTCTGCGTCTGCCGCAGCACAAACACGATGATCGCCAGCGAGAGCAGGTACACGTAGAAGAAGACGTTGCCGGGGAAGAGCTTCAGAATGAGGTCTTGCGAGACGCGGATCTGACCGGTGCGGAACCACGCGTATGGCATCTCAGGCACCGTGGAGTTCCCGCTGCGGTGCTCCCTCGAAATGCAAAGGCTGGCGAAGCTCGCAATCCCGTAAGCAGAAGTCTTGCGCGGATCGTTGGGCAGCCAGAACGTCAACAGCGCACACGCAACAATGCCGAGGCACAGCCCGATGATGCGCGAGAGCTGCTTCTTCCACGGCGTGGCCGCGTACGTGCGTATGCTCGGAGGCTTCGCCATGGGGTTGGCGGAAGTGGCCGCGCAGGCGCTGCCCTCTCCCGGGGAAGAGGTGCTCGTGTTCGCAACCAAAATGGAAGCGTCGCTGTGGCTCTCTCCACCGTTTTTGTCGGAGGGGTTCACGGCAAAGTCGCCGGCGATCGTTGAGTGAACGCCTTCGCTGGTCCCGACGGCGCGGAAGGCCTTCTGCAGCAGCCACAGCGTGTAGACGCGGTACCACATCACACACGACAACGGGACAAGTGCGACGAAGAAAATACTAGACAGAAGGGCGCTGAAGCTCTCCCCGCGCGACTTTGCGACGGAGGGGTGACTCTCCACGCCGAGACAGAAAATGAAGGCACACTTCGCTGGATTGGACGCCCACCGCACAAACGACACCACACCGGTGAGAAAGAAGAAGAGAGCAAGACCCACTTGTGTGACGATGGCGGCGTGCTGGTACACCACCCACTTGCGGCCGGTGTGAGCGGGGTGGAACGTGTAACGCACAAACAGCTGGGAGCTTTCAAAGAGAAGCGCAACCGACGAGCCGGCAAACGTGAAGAACGTGAGGATGCCGAGCATCCCCGCGCCGTTGTAGCCGTGGGATCGCGGCTGACCTGGAACTGGGGGCTTGAAAAACGGCATGGAGCGCCACGTTAGTAGACCTGTCAGGGACAGCGCAAACGTCAGCGCTGCCCCAACAAGAAGAACCAGCAGTTGTACCTCACGCATCAGTGGAGCGACGTGCAGCATGCGTGGGACAGAAAGGGAAAAAAATGCCGGACCACACTCAACAGGTTCTGCTGTGTGTTCAAGTCCAGGAAAAAGAGTTGTTGAAAGACTACACTTGTCAATCCGCAAACAAAAAACTGGGTCTGCCAGAGGATCAATTTGGAAAATATTGAATCAATCCAACAGCATAATATATATATATATATATATATATATATGAAAAATATAACGTTTCGGGTAGAACTGAAGGTTGCAACGCGGTTGCTCTTCTTAGTTCTCCGCGTTGCTTACTGTGAAGGTATGAGAATTTAACCGTCTCCGCCAAACAATGAGAGAGTTGAAAGACAACAAAAGGGATATCAATAGCGTAATAATAAAGCAATAGTTGTTGAAAACAAAGAGGAAAGTAAAGCAGAAAAAAATAGAGAACAATAAAATGCACGAAGCCGTAATTATAATAGTAATAATAAAATATATAAAAGAAAATTTGTATTCAAGGGGCTGACGGTGCCTTCACGAGTCACCCCTCGTTAGTATTGCCTCACCGCTGCTCCAACGCTACCTATATATATATGAACTAAAGTGAGAAAATTCTTCGTGGCGCCGCCGTTTCTCTGAATGCTGAATCTTGATGTAGTGTGATGAAGCAACGCTTGACACGGCCACGATCACTTTCTTAACGTTTCAGAACGAGGCTGGACGCGGGAAAAACAAAAAAAATGACAGCAAAGCAAAGAACGACTGTTGAATAACAACTAAGAGCACAAAAGATAGGAGACAGAAAACTCCAGCAAAGTGTCGGAAAGGAATTCAAACTTAACTGTATATAGAATAACTAGTCTCCTCAGCAAATCAACGAAAAGAAAACAGCAGTTAGGCTTTAAAAAAGAAACAAATGAATCATTTATCGAAACAGAGAAGCCACGGAGGAGCAGACCCTGGCAGCAGCGGTCGACGGGTCCGTTGAGGTTCACGTTCTAGAAACAATGTACTTCACTCTGTGTCTCTTTTTTGATACTCGATAATAGTTGTGATGGAAGCCCTCGAAAACAAAAATAGAGCACGTTGGCACTCGGATTCACAAAAGGAAAGGTCTTTTGAAAAACGAAGAATGAAAAGCCCAAATGTGGCCCTGTCGTGTTAGAGAAGGTCTAGCTGCTTACAAAAACTATATATATATATACAAATGGTCGAAAGACGAAACAACAAGCAAGAAAAAACACACGACAAGAACGTTAAAAACAACAACAAAAAAATGCTTTCCTTCTCCGTCGTTGAGGCGCTACTTTTAGGTGTTTGAGGGGGAGAAATTTCGTTGTAGTAACAGCACAAGGAAGTCTTTTCTACACGAAAACAACCCTTTCCACCTTGCCAGCACGAAATTTAGAGAGGAGAAGTAATCGAGAAGAAACAAAGAAGAACAACAAATACAAACAGACAAACAGACAACAGCCAATCAAGTAGACCTACAGCGACGACACTGTATAGTTTGCGAAAGAAAAAACAAACACTAAGACGACTAGTGCAGCGCTTCACCGTACTAGTCTTTTTTCGTTTTGAAATTTTTCCTTTATTATTATTATTTTTTTTTTTTATTATGATAAACAAATCACAAGTAGCGAGGGATCGCGCGGGAGGAAAACGCAGAAACCCAACCGCAGCGCCGCTTCTACGTGGGGCGCTCCTGTACATCAAACGACCAACCAAAGCGCAGATTAACAAAGAGGCGACGGGACGGGGAACAACAACAAAGAAACGAAAGCGAAGTTGGAGGCTTTAGTTGCGGAGAGAGAAGACAAACAGAAGGCAGAAAGAAAAGTAGGTGGAAACGAAAACGAGAAATGACGAGGCTCCACTGTTCATTCTCCGAAGAGCGACAATATCTTGAAGTGGGGGGGGGGGGGTAAGTCGGCAAATAAAAAAGAACAGTGAATGCAGTTGCTGCTTGTGCGGAAGCCGTACTGTCTTCCTTTTTTCGTTTGGAGAGGGAGGGGGGAATGAAAAAGAAAACAAAATCGAAATGAGAGCAAAAGTCAGGAACGTAGCTTCATACGTTAGCGCGACTCTCGTTGTGTTGTGCGAATGCAGCGGGGTCGTTAAGAGAGGTATTCCGCGCCTGGTCTGAGTAAAAGCAACGGTGTTCCAGAGTGGGGGTTGTACAACGATGTCAAGAAGGGAATACGCGCATGAGAAAGTTGGCGGCGGAGAGGACCACGCATTCGATACAATGAAAGGGAAAGAGGAGGGGGGAAGAGAGAAGGTGGAAGGGAGACAACGTCGACACCGACAATACAGGATCGCTACGCAAACATCTCAGCACAACAGCGTGCTGATGCTCATTACAGGCCGACCATCAGCTCAAACACGTCGAGTAGCACCAGTTGTGTTGTTAGCTCTGATCTTAAGCTCCATCTGTTCTATCGTTAGTACTTTATTTTTAAAAAAAGCACTAATGCGGTGCAGCGCAGTTTTGATAGGTGTGTAGTTGGGTAAGAACCTGTCGTTGCGTCGATTGAAAATACAAAAAACCCTGTTTACTGAAATCTGCATCAGGTTTGCCATTACGAAGAAGTGACTCGCTGCGTCGAAAAGCGTAAGTGAGGAGCTTGTCAGCGCACCCAAACACGAAGCGATAGCTTGCGGTTGAAAAACGGTGAGCTGATAGTGTCCGTGACGTGCAGCCACAAGCTGCGCCATGTCGTGCCAAAGACCCAACGGGTCACTGAGGGCTGCGTTTGGCGACACTTAACGAGACCGGAGAGAAGCATTCAAACAATAAAAAAAGAGAAAAGAAATTACGCGCGCACGCCTACGTACTCTCGAGAAGAAGAAGAAAAGGGTCGAAGTGCGTCGGTGCATGTGCGCACAGGAGCAGGTATGGCACGTCTTAGAAGAGAAACTCTTCCGTGTGCACCGCAACGCCGATCTCAGCTGCAGCAATTACGACATCCTTCACCATTCCTTCCGGACCGCAAACAAGCACCAGCTTGCGCATCGCATCCCCGTCCATCTCGTTAGTTGCGGGGTTCAGGAACGCACTACGTATCTCGAGAGGCAGATCTGGACGACCTTCAAACACACGCAGCCGAGCACCGCGATTCACGGCTGCTGGCACTGGCGGTTGCTGCGGCGCCGCGCGCTCCATAACCAGTTCCTCCTCTTCCACCTCTTCCCGGGCCTTGCCACTCAGGCGCTCGGCGAGCATCCCTGGAGCGGAAAGCTGAGTCTCAGCGGCAGCGGCGCTCAACTCCCGCATCTCATGATCCAGAAGGGCAACTTTCGCCAGTTCGCCGCTGCGTGTAATGTACACGTCCAGCGCAAAGTCTTCGTTTCTTACCCTCTGCGATGCGGGCACCTCCACCGTGGTCTCCGTGTGGAGGACAGCTGGCACAGAGGAGCGCGTTGACGGCGCATTCGCAGTGGTTCCCGAATTCCCTTTGCGTCGCTGCGGAGTGCGCACGAGGCCGCGGTACGACACCGGCAGCTGCAGCATGTCTGCCACGGCACCCACCAGCGACGCAGACCGCGTGCTCCACACCATCCGCACACGCGGCACACCAGCGCCGTCGGCGCTCCGCATGTGCGCGCGCAGCAGCGACCCGTACACCGACACGCACGGCGCGGCGCCGATGCCGCCCGCGACGAGCACGATGTCGTCGTAGCGGCTGTAGTCCACCGGCGTCCCGCAGGGGCCCTCCACGCCCACGCTGAACACCTGCCCGCTCCGCACCATGTCGTACAGCCGCCCCGTCCACGTCAGCGGCCCCATCGACTTGATGTGCAGGTAGAACACCGTCCCCGTCGTGCTCACCGCAACGCCGCCCGCGTCCGCCGCCCCGTCCTCGTCCACCACGCTGGTCAGCGTGAAGGGGTGCCACTGCAGCGCCGTCAGCTCCGGCACGCACACCAGCACGTACTGGCCGGGGTGCACGCAGCGCATGTCCCACCGCCCGGGCACCGAGAAGGCCAGCTCCACCGTGTCCTCGCTGATCGTCCGCGCGTGCACCACACGCACCACCGCCGACCGCTGCCACACCCGCACCAGCTGGTCCGCCAGGAACAGCGTCAGCCCCGGCAGCATGTACATCCAGCCCGCCGACGCGTGGAAGATCATCATGGGCAGCGTCATGTAGGTGGCGCCGAGGTGCGCGTAGTAGAAGAGCTCGTAGAAGCGGCGCCGCATCGCGTTCAGGCTGAAGATGCCCATCGCCACCAGCAGGAACCACGTCGTCCACGTCGCTGCGATGGTCGTGAAGTCGTTTATGACGGACGCCTCTCCGATGGTTATGGGCAAGAAGCAGAGGTTGTGCCAAAGTAGCCCGTATTCATAAAAGGAGTAATAGAAGATGGTAATGTGGGCCAGCGTTGCCGCAAGCATGCAGTAGCCCACCGCGCGGTGGAACCACAGCAGGCCGTCGCGCGAGACACCGAGCACCGTCACAATGACGGACTGCCGACCCACAGGCAGCAGCAGCAGCGACAGGAAGAGGATGGCGAGCTGACCCATCCCACGACCCCACCGCTCGGGCCACTTCAGCATCTTTGGGTTGATGCCGTTTCCCCACGCATTCTTATAGTTGTGGTCCCGCACCCAGTAGATGGTGAAGAAGAGGACGAGCCACGCCGTGGCCGCCATGAAGGCTGCCTCGCCGTACGTGAAGCACGCACAGCGCGGGATGCGGCGCTGCATCCAGTACCGACCCGTCTGCGTCTGCCGCAGCACAAACACGATGATCGCCAGCGAGAGCAGGTACACGTAGAAGAAGACGTTGCCGGGGAAGAGCTTCAGAATGAGGTCTTGCGAGACGCGGATCTGACCGGTGCGGAACCACGCGTACGGCATCTCAGGCACCACCGACGTCTTTGTGTTTTGAGTTCGTGAAATGGTCAAATTTGCAAAGCGCGCGATGTTTGCGGGGTGAAAGCGGCGCGGATCGTTGGGCAGCCAGAACGTCAACAGCGCACACGCAACAATGCCGAGGCACAGCCCGATGATGCGCGAGAGCTGCTTCTTCCACGGCGTGGCCGCGTACGTGCGTATGCTCGGAGGCTTCGCCATGGGGTTGGCGGAAGTGGCCGCGCAGGCGCTGCCCTCTCCCGGGGAAGAGGTGCTCGTGTTCGCAACCAAAATGGAAGCGTCGCTGTGGCTCTCTCCACCGTTTTTGTCGGAGGGGTTCACGGCAAAGTCGCCGGCGATCGTTGAGTGAACGCCTTCGCTGGTCCCGACGGCGCGGAAGGCCTTCTGCAGCAGCCACAGCGTGTAGACGCGGTACCACATCACACACGACAGCGGGACAAGGGTGCAGAAGGCCATAAATCCAACGAGGAAGTTGAAACTGGCCCCACGAGTCTTGGCAAATTCAAAGTGCTTTTGAACACCCAAGCAGAAAATGACGCCGCAGCTCGCTGTCTCGCGCCCCAGCTTGTGCAGCAGCACGGACGACCAGATGAGAAGAAATAGACCTAGCACAGCCTGTATGGAGAGGGCGACGCACAGAAGACGTTTCGCCTGATCGTGTGCGTGCTGCGGCAGGAAGGCGTAGCGCACAAACAGCTGCGAGCTCTCGTACAGGAGCACCACCCACACCGTAGAAAACGAGAAGAGGAGAATAACGCCTACGATGCCGCTGCCGGTGTAGCCGAAGGTGCGATTGAGGCCGGGCTGCGTATCCTTGTTAAGCGGCATCTGCTCCCAGAGATACAGACCAGTGACAGAGAGTATGAAGCAGACGAGGGCAGCCGAGAGAAGGTATCGGAGCTGCACTGGGATGGGCATCACCCGCATCACGATGACTTCTCCACCCGTTTTCTCCATTTTCCTTCGAGAAGTGCCAAATTTAACGCTGCTGCCGTAGAGTATCACAGTTTTTGTGAGAGCAATAGTTGAAAGGAAACAAACAAAAAAGGTAATTGGCTCTTAAAAGGAGAAGCGAAAGCAGAAGGCTCTACCTGCGATCACGTTGTTGCGTCGTAAGCTATCCCACGCTGGTATTCTAACGGTTTTTATTGTTGAGGAATATACAAAAGCGTGTTGGCAACCTCGCGTTCAACGACAGCGGAAAAATCGAACGCGTTCCCACAACACTAAAGAGAGCTTTTTCCAAAGCAGGGTAATAACTAGAAGACGAGAAGAAAAAAGTTAGAGTTGATGGACCTGCCAGCCGGCAAGCTCGAAAAAGCAGTGTTGGGAAATATTTGGAAGAAAGCGAGGGAACTAAAAGAAAACTAAACAAGCTGTGCAAGGCGGTATCACTATCGTTAGCAGCTCAGAAGAACCAGAGGAGTGTGGAACAAAAAAAAAGGTATACGATTAGAGAAAAACAACATACTACTGCTGCACCGATGACATACAAAAATAAAAGAAGAAGAAGAGTGTGAAAAGAAAAGTGTTACGCTGCTTTAATAATAATAATAATAATAATAGTAGAGAGAGATTGGTATTACTGAAAGCAGCATATCGTTGCAGCTACGCGGAGTAAACGCACCACCCGAAAGGAAAACACATATATGATGTTATCCTCGTTTTCGTACGAGCAACACGAAGACACGGCTCGCGTCCTACCTTACTTTCTGCCAAAAGGGAAAGGTGTATGCTGAGAATTACCTAAGGAAAAGGAAAACAAAAAATATGTGTGCCTTCTGCTTTGTTGATGGGGCGACTTGAGGCTCGAAGATTACTCGTGGAGGCTCAACCACAATAGGACAGCAGCTTTGCTCGAGTTCGCTGCAATGATGAAACCCCAAAGCGGTAAGAGAACACACAATCAAAGAAACTCCAAAGAAAAAAAGGAGAAAAGGGAGAAAGAGAAGGAGAGTTTTAATAAAGTAATCAGCTTTTCAGGTGAGCTGCCGGTGTGCAACACGGCAAAGCAGCAAAAAAAAACAACACACAACACGCGCGTTCTTTTCGTTCATTCGTGCGTTGCTTTGGAGAGTCTTCGAGGGCAATGAAGCTGCCCTTCGGTTGTCGCTGCTACGGTAGCCTGCTGCGGCAGTGAAGCAACGGCGGCACCTTTCAATTACTCCATCTTAACGCTTCAGATTTAAAGGTACTCGATGTGACGACACGCAGCAGAGAATAGGAAAGTGATGAGGGACAACAGAAAAACGGTAAAGGCCTTCTTGAGGCGCCGCCCACGTGGTTGTGCTGCAGAACTTTCTACGCCACCGTAGTATGGTAATGCACCGTCGACAGTGGGAAGCGTGGGACATGGTGGTGGGGGGGGGGGAAAGAAGAGAAAAAGCTGCCGTTTTTTTTCTTCAATATTTCAATAACGGGAGCAACGCAATGAAAGAAATCGCTCGAACACACGCAAGACGTGCCATGGCTTTCGTTCAGTCACAGCAGCACTTTCCAGTGCACCACCGTGCCGTTTGACTCCCGTGCCTCTTCCTCAGTGATGACGGCGCGCTGCAGGTCTTTATCGGGCAGACGACTCGTGACCGAGGCGCCGAGCAGCGGGAGCCACCACGGGGCAGAGGGGAGTGGAATGGGCTGCAGATGGAGCCACACATCGCCGTCGTCGTCGCTTTCGTCGTCGCTCTCGCCCTCGTCGGAGCCGCTGTCTCGCTCACTGCTCGTCTCTCTTCGCACCCGCTTCACCATCGGCACTGAGCTGCTCTTTTCTGGATCGACCGGTGCTGCGTCGCTTTCTTGGGGAGGCGCACCGGAGCCATCCGCGTTACCGCGCTCGCCTTGGCTGGAGCGAAGCCGCCGCTGCCTCGCCCTCCGCTCCATCTCCACCGCCTCCCACACACCACCTCCGCAGCGGCGAATGACAAAGGCGTAGAGCTGCCGCACGTACGGCACCGCTAACGCCTCCCCCGCCAAGATGCACGGCTCCGTCTCTCCATGAGAGGAGGAGGCAACGGCGTCGCCCTGCACCACGCGCGCGAGTAACTTCTCCAGTTGTCCCGGTGCTTCTCGTACCTCTCGCGGATAGGCACGCCGCAGTTCATCGAGCAAAGGGCACGACGCGCGGCTCCGTCGCTGTGCGCGGCCACCTCCCTTGCCTTTTCCTTTTCCTTTCACCGACGACCTCGATGCCGCGTCCAGACGTCGCTGCTGGGGAGCCACGATGACCGATCGATAAGCCCTGTAGCCGAAGGCGTGAATGAGCGCATCTCGATACTTCGCATCGCTAAAGTCGATCCCTAGTTCTTCGTCTGGTGAAGGACCACCAGCTGGCACGTAATCTTCGTCCTCTCCCTCTTCTTCGTTTTCTTCGTCGCTGCCGCTAGCTCTCTCGGCGTTATGTATCGCCATGGCAGCCGCCACAGCTGGCAGGCGCTCAGCCAGCCTCGCCGTCGTGGCCTCGCCGCCGCTGCAGAGCGCCTGCACCCCACCGACGTGAGAGTTGCCATACCGCGTCGAGCAGCCAGATTCCACGCGACTCACGCTCACGGTGTTGAGTGAGGCGTGTAGCACAACGCATGGGGTGCGGTTACACGCAAAGCTATCGGCGACGGTGTCGGACAGGACAACGAGACGGCGCACGTGCACCTCCTCGTGAAAGCAGAAGCGAACCCACTCTTCCTTGTAGGAGGCGCTGCTCGAGAGGGGAAGTACAAGGAACAGAGTGCGATCGTGTAGGAGAGGGAGTAGATGCCGGCGTAGCGTTGCCGTGCATTGATTCGTGGGTGAGGCGCTTCGGTCTCCGAGAGGCGAGGAAGCCGCGGCAGCTTGGGGTGACGGAAGTGTGCGCAGAAGCTCCTCGGTGAAGGGCTGCAGGAAGGGGTAGGTAGGCTGCACATCGCCCGCCTCGCAAACATATGTGGCGGCGCTGCTGGCGTAGAGGATGATCGGAGGCGAGCTCGAGGCCATGCGAAACGGCTTACGTTTCTCCTCTGTGTATTCAAGTGTCCGCCGAGCGGTCTCTTTGTGCTGTTGCTGTTGTTAGGATTTGATCAAAAGCCGTATTGCAGAGCATTATGAGAAGAACGCGAATAAGCAAGAGAAAAAGTGTTGAGTTTGAAGTGGCACCCCACACGCGCTGTTTTGCCTTGCATCGAGATCAACGCAGTCGCACAGAACCTTCGCAACAGCATTGCGTAACTTTTCTCTCTCTTTCTATGGGGCGTGGAAGTCAAGAAGTCGGCAATGGCGCTTCTAGAGCTTGAAAAAGATAATACAGCCTGTCGTATACAAACGGGAAAAGGACGTTTTCCAGAGAGTACGTTTGCCATGATGTTGAGTGACCTATTCAGCACCTTTTGGTTAGCGTTAAGTTCCACTCACAGAAAAGAAAGAAAAGAGAGAGCCCCAGTGGAGGCACCGACGTGTGGGTGTTCTGTTCATCACGCGCGCATACCGCACAAGGAGGCGTTCAACCACAACAACACACGCACACACAATATGCCAGGAAATGCATCTCCAGAAAGCAGTTTACTTCTTTTTCTTATTCTGGCGCCCTTGCTCCTTCAGCGCCTTTTCCATTTTTTCCTCCTTCAGCATCTTCTGGCGGTGCTCGAGTTCCACCGCGTTTAATGCCTTTGTCTTACCCTCTGTCCATCCCGAAATGATCTGCACCACAAAGCCCACCAAGGCCACGCTAAGCATCACATACTTTTGGTACCACGGCACCTGGCGTTGCTTGCGGTCGAACACGTCCGGCGAGGGCGCGGTGTAGCCGTAGACCCACACGCGCTCGAGGTGCGACGCGGCCGCGCCGTCCTTGTCGGCCGCCGACCTGACAGGAATAAAAAAGACGGCCGAGAATTCGTGCTCGGTGATCCAGCGGAAGATGACGTCGCCATTCGACACCGTCTCGGGGGCAGCAGCAGCAGCAGCAGCGGAGGTCGCTTCACCTGCCTCGGTCACCGCCTCCGTCGCCTTTTGCCTGCCCGTCGCCATCGTCGCCGCACTCACACGCGCCAGCGCCGCCGTGTCGCTCAGCGGGTTATTGCTCATTTGACGAGCCTCCACGCGGAAGGCGAAGTCCACCGTCGCGGCAGGGGCAACGGAGCCCTCGCTCATCGCCTCCCGCTGCGAGCGCAGTGCCATGACCTCGGCGGGCAGGTAGTACACCTGCGCCTTGACCTGCGGCGAGTCGCTGTGGAGCAGCTGCAGGTCCAACGCAAACAGCGACGGACGCTCCTCCTCGCCGCTCGCGGCTGCGTTTGCGTCCTTCTTTCCGGGCAAGGTGACGGGCAGGTCGGACAGCTTGTCGTCCTCCACATTACGCACGCGTTGAAAGTGGGGAAGAGGGGTCTGCGTGTCTGAATTGAGGCGTGGCACGCCCAGCGGGATCAGCTCCCCCTGCACCCGCTCCGGGAAGTTCATCGAGCCGCGCATGCGCAGGGAGGCGTTGAAGACACCATACGATTGCGTCATCACGCTGACGCGAAACTGTTGCGCAAAAAACTTCTCAAATGAAGGAAAGGGGGGCGGTGCGTACGTGGCGGCCGCAGCGGTGAGGACGGGAACAACCGCCATCGTGAGGCAAAGCACGGTGGCGACTAGCGCCAGCACAGAACGCAGCCAGGACGATTCCGCCATCGCAGGTTTTTCCACCAAAAAAAAAAGGGAGAGAGGGGAGGGAAAATACCCAATTGCGGCGGCGATATCGACTCTCGAGGAAAAGAACGACGACAAGACTGCAATTCGAATGGCAGAAGGAGAGACAAGGTGCTGTAGCGCGTTGATTAAAAGAAAAAAGGAGTATGCGGCGAAGCCTTCGATGCACCGGCGTGTGAGTAAGTTCAAGCTGCATTCACCACGTGAGAAGAAGAAGAGGAAATGAGATGAACAGTAGGAAATAACACCTATAACAAGAATATAATAAAGCGCTCAAAGGTTCCAAGCAATGTCGAAGAGCTGCTGCTTCCAATGAAACGCCAACACAATAATCCACGTGGGATGAATGGCAGGTCAACAAACAAATTCCTTGCTCTTGTGGTCTCTTGTGAGCGCTTCCGAGACAGGGTTCCAAACAGTAATTTTTTCCTTTTGATCGGGGAAGGTGAAAGAGAGCGACTCTGATGGTGGCTCAGCGATGGAAAACCGACTGACCAGCCTATTTCCTCTTCAGCGCCTTCAATTCCGCTGGGCGCGGGAAGCACCAGGTACAAATACAAAAGAGCAGCACCAAGCCTCCACGCAGTTCACATGAAACACATCCATCCCACTTCCACCGAGGGAGCAGGCGTCGGTGTTTTGGCAAAGGTAACAAACCACCAACAACCCACGAAATCAATCCGTGTTCCACACCTTTCACCCCAAAGCAACACACCAAACGCTCAGCAGCGGCGCAGCGGCAGCATCAGAGTTAAAGGGTTCATATATATAGCTTCTCATTTCAGTGACTCGCCCGTGAAGGCTAGTCAGAGACCATCGAGGAACATTCAAAGATAAAGATCATCATACGCAGTTTCAAGATCAAGAACGACAGCCGACTATTTACTCGACTCTTACTCCGCCTTTTCACAATACACCGACGCCACGCCAATGCGTCTACGACACGCTTGTCATCAGAGTTAAAGGGTTCATATATATAGCTTCTCATTTCAGTGACTCGCCCGTGAAGGCTAGTCAGAGACCATCGAGGAACATTCAAAGATATCGATCATCCTGTGCACATGGCTTTCACTCCCCCCCAAAAAAGAAGGTTGCTTGATTGCGGAGTACATGCGATTCGTCAAGTCAGCACAACGAAGAACAATTCAGTGGGGCACTTATGTGAAGTCTAGCACAGACTTTGAACCGATGCATCTTACTTTGTATAAAAGATGATGGCCTTCGAACTGTGCAGAACGTGATGCAAGGAGCCACAGAAACCGCAATGTGCCACGCTGTTGTTGCCTTTTTCCAGCGCACGTGCGACGGAAACCGGCTATACTGAGTCTGTAGCACAAGACAGGCAAAGGAGCAGAAAACAAAAGACACGTCGGATGCCAATTCACGTGAGTCTCGCATAGGTTTTGAGCCAGAAACATCTCAGTACGGTAGTAAAGATGGAGGCCTTCGAACTATGCTTTTATTCATTCGCTTTATCGCGTGCCATTCTGAAGAGAATAACGTCTATGAGCATTCACAGAGTGGAAGAAGAGGTTCCTGATCGGAAGAAAAAAGGGAGGTGGCAGAAGTACGAGAGAAATGCAGAAAAATGTATATATTTGAAAAGAGAACACAACACATACAGCAACGTACGATGCGCAGATTGTGTCGAGCGTTTAAGGTGCAACGCAGGTCATCGCTTCAATAGCAAATAGAGGACGCATCATCGTGTTTCTTTCTTTCAACGATATACCATTCTGAAACGTATCTCGCGTGTCCCAGACCTGACCGTGCGCTAAATGGCTCACCAAAAACGATCTGCTGTTTGCTCAGGAACGTCTGTGGAACAGCACACACAATGAAATTTCTTTGCTTAACAGGTATCTTCGAGTGTTCCGTGCAAAGACGAGGAGGTGCACATCAAGCAAAACGAAGCAGTGCAGAAATACATGTATCATCTCTTTCCGTCTTCGCACTACGACACGCACGACAACAACAGATCTTCCCCCCCCCCTCCAAATGAAAGGGGTAACCGATAAATTGCACCGCGAAGAGAAAGAAAAGATCCTTTCCAGCACGGAAAAACAGTAATGAAAAAGAAAAACCGAGGGAGTATGATGTCAAACAACGAATGATGACATTGCATTGCTAGAAGTTGTGTTACTCAAAGCAAAAGAGAGGGAAAGCGAGCGCGCGTTATTCCAGTAGAATTCGAAGCGGACCGCACAGACTATACGAGTCGGTTTTGGACTTGTCCACCGTGCAGCCGCCAATCACGTACAGGTAGCCGTTGAAAACGTGCAGTGTGATGCCAACGACACGATTCGGCACCGCCCCAACAAACAAAAGTACCTCGTGACAACGCACACGGCGCGTTCCTGGCGGGAACTGCTCTCCCGCGCTGATTTTACTCGACGCAGAACGCACCGGCTCAAAGTCGAGCAGGTACAGTTTGACGTCTTGTCGCGGTTGCGTCACCTGCCCCATCACCACGACACGCCCTCCGCTGCCCGTCGCCGCGACAGCCACATCGCCCATTTCGCTGGGAAGGGTCTTCACCAGCTGCTGCGCCGTGCTTGTGGAGGCGGAATTGTCTTTGCTGCGTAGCGGCGTGTCGTCGAAGTGGGCGCGCCGCCACTGCGAAGCTGGTGCGTCTGCATCCGCGTCGTCGTCATCGCCCTCATCCTTTCTGCTGTGCGGCGCGTGATCCTCCTCACTCGAAAGGGAGCACCAGTTCTCTGATTTGTGTGATGCTGGCTCGACAGGGGCGTGCGGAGTGCCTTCGGCGGGTGCGGAGGGAGCGGGCGGAGGAGGGCACCACGACTTGGCCGCGCGCCGCCACACCTCCGGCGCGAGCGTCAGCACTGACGGCGCCGCCGGTGCGTTCTCCACGCCGCGCCCACCCACCAGTACCACCGTGCCGTCCTCCAGAGTCGCCATGCGATGGAACGCGCGCGGCCCGGGCAGCTGGCCAAAGGCGTATGCCGTAGGAAGGGCGGTGTACGCGCGCTCCTCTGCGTCCGTCGAAGCCGCTTCTGCACTGCTGCTGTCATAGTTCCACACTACCGCGTAGCACTCCGCCCTGCAGCGGTACTCCACGTCCAGCCCGCCCGTCACGAGCAAAAAGCCGTCGTGCGGCTGCGCTGCGGTCGACACGGCTTGTGATGGCGCGTGCGTCCCCCATGACACGTAGACGGCGTCGTGAAAGGCCAGGTTCGGAAGCTCGTAGGAAGGCAAGTCCTGCCGCCCCCAGCGTAACTCCACCCCCGGCGCGCAGGCCGCCTTGCTGCGCCACACACTCCACAGCTCCGTGGCAGGGGGCTGGTAGCCGCCGCCGGTGAGGCCGCCCAGCAGCACCACGCGGGCACCCAGCAACTCCGTTGCGGATGCAGCCACAGCTCCGTCACCGGCGTCTCCTTCTGTACGTCCATTCGTATCGCCATCCTCGGTCATCTTCGTGAGCGGGGCACCACCAGGGCGTGGAGCAGCAACGGGGAGACAGGTGAGAGTGGCACCGTAGCGGGGCAGGGGCCGCACCAAGGCGTGGGGGGCCTCTTTAAACGGCGCGGGTTGGATGGGGCGAACAAGGTGCGGCCCGGCGAGCTCCATCGCAGCCAGGCGCCCATTGGTGTACGTGGCATCTGTGTGGGGCAGAAAGGCGCGTGCTTGTGGGTTGAAGAGGGACTTGCACCACCGCTCGCAGCCGCCAAAAACGAACAGCGACGGACACCAGACCTCGTTGTTGAAGGACGGCACCATTGTTGCACAATGGTAGTGCACATGCAGGTCGTCGTAGGAGCCGCTGGTGGCCTGCCGCAGGCGCCATGAGCGACCTGCGTCGTCCTCCGCGAGCGGCGTCCAGTGCCACGAGCACTCCGCCAGCAGCAACCGGCCGCAGACGGTCACCCAGCGTTGGCGCTCCTCGACGGAGCCGAAGCGCACCCAGAAGCGGTCGCCGGTGCTGGTGCTGATGAGCATCCATGTTGCCTGGGCAGTCATCGGTGACGGGTCCACAGCCTCCACGACGTACCGCTGACGCTCCGAGGCAGAGGCGGCGGAGCTGCGAATAATGAGTAGCCGGCCCTCGCGCAGTTCCATATACCGAGGCCTCCACTGCCCACGCCAGGCCTTTTCCTTCTCCACCATTGAAGAGAGCAGTACGGTGTCCTGCGCACTGGCCGAGATGTCCGCAGCGTGTGTGTAGGCGGCCGTAGTAGCAGTAGCAGCAGTGGACGTGCCGTCGGGGCTGTGCACTCCGTTGATGCGACCAGGCGTGCCGCCATTGGAGGGGTCTGGCTGCTCCTCGGTCGCTTTCCGCACCGGCGTTTGGTGGCGGCCGCCTGGATTGCGTCCGATGCCTTCGTTCCCGAGGGGCTGCGAAGAGGGCCCGCCGGAGGTGATCGCAGACGCCTCCGTAATACTCGACGCCACACGGGAGTGCTGCCCGTCCCCGCCCTCGCCTTCGCTGGGGGCGACCGAGGGATTCGCGGAGGGCACCAAAACGGTCATGATCGCGCGAAACCAGCTGTCGTAGATCTCTTTTGTGGCCGCGCGCAGATACCACGAGCCGCCCTCGAGCAACCAGACGGTGAAGCAGTAGCCTTTTGCCGTCTCCTCCTTGGCGCTCTCTCGAAAGGGCTCGAAGGAGGTGATGGTGCCGAAGCGCTTCTCAGCGCTGTGCTCCTCCAGCCGATAGCTGAGCCGGGTGCCGTCTAAGATGAAGAACCGGTGCTCGTACACGAAGCGCCACTCCATCTTCTTGTCCAGCCACGACGAGAGAAAGACCCGCGTGCCGGAAGACGCCATCATGATCTCGCGAGTCGAAATGTGAGACGGGAGGATGGGAAGAGAGAAACCAAAAAGGGATCAGCGGAAGAGCAACAGAGGTGCGATACAGGGGTCCTCGATAGCGCAGGCGAGAGCGGGAAAAAAAAAACAGCCACCTTATTGATAGATGCTAAGGGGGTGAATGAAAATAGTTGAGTTGGCAGCAAACAACGAAGGCAGCTGTATCGGCTGTTTGACGAGCCAGCAAATGCGGAGAAGAACTAATGAATTCTGTTGTGTGTGTGTGTGTGTGTGTGTGTGTGTGCAAACTGAAAAAGAAGAGGAAAAGAGAAGCATCCAACAAGACGATGCAGGCAATGGGAACTTCAGCGGTAGGGAGACCACCCGAGCATCTCAACAGATTGAATGGCAAGCCTGCAGCGAGCGGAGATGAAGAAAAGGAAGAACAGAATTGATTATAGCTCTCGGGAGCAGGGAGCGAATAAAGTCCTTCGTTGCCTCAAAGTTTTACGAAACAGGCAGGGTTTTCTGTAACGCTAACGCGAAGCGTTGCATCACAATCCTGAACATGAAACCATAACAAGAAATAAGTGGAGATGTAAAATGACTGTTTTCGACCTCAGTCGGAAAGCATCTCTCGCAGCTTCCGCCAGGTTTCGTGTGCCCCTCGCTTTTGCTTCAGCGCCGTCGCCTCCACCGCAGCCACCTCGTCGCAGCGTTGCAGGGCGTAGTTGGTGAGAAGCTCGTCAAGGTCCTCGTCCCTCCACGGCCGCTGCGTGTCAAACCTGTCCGCCACCACCGCGTGGCCGTCGTTGCACCCGCAATGCACACATCGACCCAGAGCAGCTGAAAAGGTAGAGCCGAAGCCGGTGCAGGTGCCACGGATCGCCGGAACACCCGCAACACGGCTCAGCTCCGTATACGGCTTGAACGCCTTCCCGCGCGATTTCATGTAGTTTTCGTAGGACGGCAGCGAGGCGTCCAGCGAACGCCACTTCTGTTCCTTGCACATCGTCGTCAGGATGGTTTGATAGCCGTCGTGGCACTGGTCTAACAGTGAAGGTTCACCGTCCGCTGCGGAGGATGCCGCTTGCCGTGTAATGTTCCACACCACGCACGGTGACTGGTGCGCCGACGCTTCCTGCGGAAAGCGGCAGAGTGGTTGCGTCGTCTCTGCCTGGTCGTGTACCACCAACACTGTCCGAAAGGGCAGCTGGCCGTTCGTGCGGCGGCGGACCGCGCTGTGAAACCGTGGCAGCATTTCGATCTCGTCCGATGGATTCTCGGCGATGGCGGTGCGAACAAACGTCACGGGACGATGTGGCGCTGCGCCTTCGCCGTGGCGGCTTCCATGCGGGCTCAGCAGCGTGTCCCAGACTTGCATCCGTCGACGAAACTCGTGCTGCACGTCTGGGTTGTTGAGGTCAAAATGGGTGAAGCAGGCGTGCTGACTGCGGAAGAGCAACCACACACTCACCGGGTCAGGGGTAAACGTGAACGTCGCCGCATTGTTGGCGACCTGTGCGTGATGTGGTGGCCGTGGCACCGGAAAGAAGCCGTCGAGGACTCCGCGTGGAAATGCATACGTCGCAGCGGAGGTGGTGGGTGATGAGCCGTGAGCCGTGTGGGGACTCGACGACGACGACACCGGCGAAGAGGCGGAGGAGGTGAAGCCGTTGGTGGTTAGCTCCACAAGGCCGTCGAAGGTGCAACGTGCCATGTCAAACGGCAACGCCTCTTCAGCGGGGCGCAGTCCCAGCTTTGTCAACATGAGGGAGGGGCCGCACCACCCTCCTAAAGAAATCCACCGCCGCATGACTATACATATACGTGAAAGGTGAGTGGGAAAAAAAAAGAATGATGTCGCTTCAATAAAGATGCCGAATGCAGAATCATAGAGGAGAATCCGTCGCGACGAGGCGAGCGTGGTATGCCGCGTTCACTAACGCGACACCGGCCAAAGTCTGAACTGACGACAACAACGAAAAAGAACGGAGGCGAACCGAGAACAAGGTAGAGGAGGTCTGAACACGATAAGCTGCACACACACACACACACCGGAAAAAAACCCTCAATGACGATTGCTTTGAGCGGACATGTATACGTGTGCGACTTCGCGGCGCGTCTCATCAATCAAAATATATATGACGACTATTATTATTATGCTTATACAAGTGATTTCCTTAGTTGGCTAGCAGTGACAATCTGGAGTAGAACAAAGCTGCATCGTTCCTATCCATCACACCCCAGAACCAAAATAGTTAAAAAAAGAAGAGAGCACAGACGCTGCACTTTATGCATAGTGGAGATCGACCTCTTCCTGCAGTGCTTTCAACAACAGCGCCTTCAGCGCCGTCTGCGTGGCCGCCAACGAGATGCGGGCCTCCGGCAGGGTAAGGGTCAGGCGGCGCACCAGCTTCAGCTCCGGGTAGCGGGCCATCAGCCCGGCGTCGTGATAGGCGCCATCGCGCACCTCGCGCAGCACCGTCAGCCGCTCCGCAATCGTCGTCGGCTGCAGGTACATCTCTGCCATCATGACGCCAACGGAGAAGGCGTCGGAGGCGGCGGTGCATCGATTGCCCTTCAGCTGCTCCGGGCTGGCGTAGAGAGGAGAGCCGACGCCGACGGTGTTCGTCGCGTTCATCGACACGAAGCCGTCAACGTGCATGTCCTGCTGATGCAGAAACTTCGCGAGGCCGAAGTCGCCGAGGCGCACCTGCACAAAGTGATGACACAGCCACCTGGCGAGGTGCTGGAGGAACGTCCGCCCTTCGTTGGACTGCAACAGGTGATCAGCAGAACGTTGCTCTGTAGCTGCTGCATGTGCAGCTTGCGACGTCGCGGTGTGTGTTGCGTCTTCCTGCTTGCGGGGCAAGCGTGGTGGTGGCCGCCTCGCCAAACGTTCATGCAGCAAAGCAGCGGCGTCTTGATGCGCCGGGCGCATCACAACGTCCAACGTACTGCGCCCGTCGCTCCAAGGAGGCAAATTGTCCGAGGTAGAGTGATTTGTGTGACGCCGGACGGCCGCCACGGGGTCCATCGCAGAGGAAAAGTTGGCTAAACTTCTCGCATTTCCATTGCCATAAGTGGCACCGTTCGGCTTGAAAGGGAAGGTGCTCTGCCGGTGGATGGACAGCGCTGTGCATGGGCTGGAGTTGTGGTTTGTGGACTCACCACCCAGCGATGAATTACGCGACAACATATTCACTGCGCTCCCACTTTGATGCAGCGAGATGACGGACGGCATCGCCCATCCCTTGTTCTTTCGCCGCCCGTCCTCGGAGCTTAAACTGCTGCTCGTGCTAGACGAGTTTGGGCTGTGCACGACGGAGTCGTACTGACACCGGTAGTCCATAAACACGTTTGTCGGCTTCAGGTCACGGTGAAGGACACCACGACTGTGCAGGTACCGCAGGCCGGCGACAGTTTGTAGCAGGATGATCAAGTTCTCAATCCGCTTGATGAAGGGGCGTGAGGAGAGATGATGCGCCAGCGTCACTTGGCAAAGCTCCATCTGCAGAAACACTACACGAGAGCCGATGATGGTGTGGTCCTCGCCACGACTGCTTTGCGCGCCACTTCCGGTCTCTGGGTCGCTTGACTCGTCGCTACGAGACGAAGCCGAGGAGGTCCTGTCGAAGTCATCTGCGCTGCCTGATGTTTCATGCGACGATCGCTTGTCGTGTGAAACATCAGTTCCGTGCTTTGCGGAAGCATCGTGGAGAGCTTCACCGGGCTCCGAACCTGTTTTCGGCTGATGATGCCCTTCCCAACTCCCCTGTCTGCGACGCAGCGTATTTGGGGACGCGGAGCTCTCAGGTCCTCGTGCCGTGTCATCATCATTAGCACGGTGGCTGCGGTCGTTGACGACATCGTCCTCTCTATCTTCCTCGTCCTCTGCGTACTCGTCCACCGCGGCGGAGCTCCACAGCGCCTTGTGCAACCTCGCTCTGGGCCGTCGCACCGTCGTCACGGGCGACGGGGACTCACTCGCCGACTCGCTGCCAATGAGCAACACACTGGAGTAGTTGGGGAGGGTGAGGCGGTCCCACCCACCAGGGGCACTGCGCACCCGCGCCGCACTGGCACGTCGAGTCAGGTCGTCTTCTGAAGCCCAGGTGGCGTGCGGGGCCCGCGGTGGGAGGCCGAAGGAGCCGCTACGCCGTGCGGAGGTCGGCGTCGCCGCCTGCAGACGCGGATGACGTGACAGATTCGCCTCGTTTGGGTGGCAGACGCCGATGAAGGCGAGCTGCTGGGCGCGTATTGCCGTGATCACCTCCGACCAGCAAGCGTGGTAGCGGACAACGTACTTGTTTTCCAGCATGGCGTGGACGCGCACCTCCTGCAAGATGTCGCGCTCGCTCTCGTAGTCGCGGGCGACCAAAACCTTCACCGCGTAGAAGACGCCCGTGACGCGGTGACGCGCCAGGAGCACAGCCCCACCGACGCCGCGGCCGAGAACCGTGAGCGGCTCGAAGTTCTCGTCGAAGAAGCTTGAGGCAGGGACGAAGTGCGGCGGCAGCGGTGCAATGCGGTGCGTAATGCTCATGTCATCCGTCAGCGAGGAGACGGAGGAACGACTTTGCTCGCCGCTGTTGTGTGCGCCTCTCCGCGCCGCGAGTTGCACGTGTGCTCTCGGGTACGGGTGTCCGTGTCGCTCTTCCTCGGTGCGGACGCACGTCTCGGTGGTGTTGCTGGACGACACGTGGCGATGCGAAGTGATTTCATCCCCCGCATCGTCTCCCACGACGAAGTTGCGGTCAACGGCGGAAAGGGGGCGACGGCCGCGGTGGGAATGCTTTGTGGTGTTGCCCTCTCGCCCATGCAGCACGTCCAGCGCGGACAGCTCCCGTAGGATTTGCGGGCAGCCGACGGTGGTCGGAAAAGACCGCGTCGACACGCCCGCAGTGCGCGCCATTTGCAAGAGGAAGCCGTGCAGTGTGGACCCTGCAGCGATGGTGGATGTCTTCGTTGTGGGGTCCGAGTTCACCTTGGAGTAGCCCGGCCTCACCGGAGAGCGTGCACCGTTCACACCTTGCACCGTGCGCAGCGCACAGGCGTGCTCTGTCACCCACGGTACGGTGCGAATGGTCACCGGAAGTGGGGTGCTGACGGCCCTCGAGGCGGATGCCTCCTGCGACGATGTGCCGTCACTGTCATCGACTGCCTCTTCCGCACCGCTCGTGGCGCCTCTCCGAACGCAAGAAGACGAGGCAGGACACACCCAGACTGCCTGCACTAGCGGGAGAGGAAGCTGCAAAAGAAGTGGTGGGGCTGTCGGCTTTTCGTCGGCGGGGCAGGTATCCTGTCCACACCGCACATCTGCTGCCATGTAAATCTCGCCTCCACGGCCGCAGCGCACAGGAACGTCCACCTCCGCTTCTCCCCCGCCGTGCGTGTTTGCTGGGCCTGCCTCGATTGCGTCACCTATCGTGTTCGTGGATGGTGGGGCCGGCTTTGCGTCGGACGCCGAGTTCACACTATCACTGCGCACGACGCGTGCAAAGTGATGCTGCGGAGGCAACCGCTTGCGACCCGATAAAACGTCCATGTCAATGTCGGACGCACTCGTGCTACTGTGGTGGCTGCTGCTGCTGCTGCCGCTGCTGCTACCTGCGCGTCGGCCGTGTGTCGACGCAAGATGCAGCACTGCTGTGGATGGCGAGGCCGTGGAGGCGTACTCCTCGCTCTCCTCATCTTCGTCTTCGCTGCGTTGCACACATGAGTCCGTGCCAGCGGCAGACAACTCAGGCGGGTACCACGTTGCCGCAAAGCGCACCGTGGGTGCTGCCAACTTCAGCAGGCAGATCGGAGTCGCAGCTGCCGCTGCTTGCCCCGGTGCCAATGCCGAGTTGGCCTTCGTTCCTTTTCTGATTCCTTTGTGACTCGCTGGAACAGGAGCAGAAAGAGGAACTTGCACCACAACAGTTTGGAATCGTTGAGTCGTGAGGGACAAGACCGCCGCAGGGCCACCGCGTGCCTGCGATGATAGCGTACTGGAAAATGACCTGTCAGCAGCGCCACAGCCGGACAACGAAGCGTTCTCCTTCGTGGAGGTGCTGTTCATGGACGTGTGGGATGCGGTAGCAAAGAGGTCGGATGCCAAGCCGGTCTCTCTCAGCAGCTCCCCTGTGAAAAGGTCGAGCTCCTGGTACGTTTCTTCCATCTTGCGCAGAAGCAGCAGGCGGTGGCGACGACAGCACCGTCCGTTCCAGCAGTGCACGGCTTCTGGAAGGGACATCCACGTATGCGGTGAGTAGGCGGACAGCTCTTCTCCTTCCTCACCCTCTTCTTCGGGATGCGCGGCGCCAGTTGCGTCACGAAACGCACCGTGAGAGCACCGCCAGTACCAGTTGATTTCACCGCCCGGCGTCAGCGTGGCTGCTTGAGTAGATTCCTTTGCGGGTGGAGCACCGATTTTGCTGTGCACATCCTTCGACGACGACGCTACGGGTCCGTCTGCGGCGTTCCATGCACTCGAGAAGGAAGGATCTGGCACGCGGGCCATAAAGTCGGAGCACTGGAAGCCTCTTGCGTTTTCATTTACACATGTGGTGGTTGGATTGACAGGCGGCGAGGCGTCGACCGTTGGGAGACTTCCACTCTCTTCCGTCGACAGACAACGCGAGAGATGGGCAGAGGCACAGAAAGGACACGAGACGGGCGGCGTCTTGGCAGATGAAACGCCAGCAGTTTTCTCAACGACGTTGCGCACTCTCCGGCTATTGGAGGCGTCAAACGTCGTCTTTGCGGGCCTCACCGGGCTGCTTTGCTGTGTATTGCCGCCCAAACGCCTGCCTGACGCGGATCGCCGCAGCAACGACGACGACGAGATCGCAGTGGTTGTGGAGGTGCTGACTTCGTCAAAGACGTTGGTGTCCATCGACATGTACGCGGAAGAGAGCTGTTCCATGCGTGAACGGCTTCTTGCGGGGCTCCAAGGATGACCAGTAGCGGGAGCATTGGGAAGCTCGTGAGAGGAAGAGAGTGACTGCAGTCGGCTCAATCGCGTAGACACAACGCACTGAAAGCCACCCGTATCCGACGCGTCTCTTCGTTTTCGCGCAATTGATGCGGATTTCTTTTGCGAGTGCTGAATACCTTCGTCCTCGTCCTCGTCCTCGTCCTCCTCCTCGCCTTCGCTTGCAGCGGACTCACCCTCTGCGATTTCATTGAGCCTGCGCGTCCACAGATGATGCAGCGCGGGGGAGCGACCGGCTGCATAGACGTAGCAGTGCAGCGAGCCGGCGACATCTGTGGCGAGAAGCAAAGGTGCCTCGTTCCAACCGTTCCGGGTTGATGCCGACAAACGTGCTTCCATTTTTATTAGCGTTTCTTTAAGAAGAAAGAGCGAAACCGAGTACTTTAATAAGAAGGATAACAGTAACAGAGAGTATTAAACGCGGTCTTCGTGCGATGTACGTGGAAAAACACCTAACTGGACAGCGTGAGTCGCACAGCCAGTTATGATGAGCTGTATAACGAAGACAATGGATAGATAGATGTGTTGGCAACAGAAATCGCAATAAAGGTTAGTGGCACGTATTTGGTGCCGTAAGGGTAGCGTGAATGGAAGAGCGAAGGTATATTGCACGCTGTGAGTGCTGGCTTAAATCCTAGGCAGAAAGCCTAATTGATTTCGTGTTGGAAACTCTCCGAAAATTGGGCGGCACGTAAGAGCCTCCCTGCGCCTTAATAATCCTGAAATGCGGATGCAGATGTGGTGAGATGCACAACGGTCATTGGAAAAGAATCGTGACGAAGAGGGAGGGGAGGGGGAATGTAATTATAGTACTGCCACCGCACCAATAAGAAGGCATCAGTTTCCACGCGTCTTTACGGCGATTGAGCGTCATTTACAAGCCTAAGGTCTCTCCCTCTGAGAAGGAGCTAGCACTGTCACTCTCTTCACGCTCGTTGGCGCTGACCCCGCTACGCGAAACAGGCACATCAGGCAGAAAACTAAAAGGAGGCACATGCTATATATATTGTATAGTATACGTAGTGTTACGGCATTATAGTGCGTGTCATTAAATGTGAGAAAGGGAGGTGTCACCGTCTGAAGAGCCGGAAAGAAAAGCCGACAACAACAACGAACAGGCAGAACATGTAGAAGAGGATGTCGTGCTATCAACAAAGAGTTCATACAGCGGAGGTGTAATTACTTTAACTGACACACGCACAGGAAAATCGGGTTACTCAGCTGCTTCATCTGCTACTTCCTCTCCCCCCTCGACAGTGTGCTGGGAAGTCCCTGCAGCCTTCTTCGCCTCATTCACCTCATATCGTGCCCGCTTCTTGTCGCTCAAGTCGCGCACTTCCTGCTCAAAGGTGCGCTCCGTCTCGCGCTCCAGCAGCGGAACGTAGTTTTGAGCTATTGGGGAAGTCACTTCAGCATCGGCATGACCAGCGGACGAGGTGGATGGAGTCTTCGTCGCATCTGCTCTTTTCTCTGGCGAGCCGTCACACCGTAGATGGCAAAGCAGGTCGCGCTTGCGGGCCTTCATCTGCGTTTGCGTACCCGCCTCTGTCCAGTCACATCCAGTGATGGCCCAACTGTCCAGGCGAAGAAAAGATGGACTGTGCTGCACAACAGCACTCGAAGGAGCAGAAGCATTCGCCCGCTTTCCGCTGCTTTCCTACTCGTCGTGTAGTCGCTCCCTCTCTCCTCGCGCGTGAACACGTCAACGGTGTCCTCGTACCAGCGGAAGAGTTGGTGCCGCATCGCCGCAGCGGCAGTAGCGCGGATGCACAACGCAACGCTGATATCCTGCAGCTCCTGCTCCACCGCAAAAAAACGCGCGGCGCGACAGCTGCCACTGCAGGCCCGCGAACCCGCAGTTCCACAAAACCAGCGGCGTGCCGTCCGCCAACGGGTAGGCCGGCTTGCAGTCGCCACGCTCCAACAGGGCTGGCACCACACTGGGCGACTCCACACCGCGACCGACAAGAAAAAGCACCGTCATCGTGCACCGGATTTGATGATACAGGAACGAGTTCGCGGTGATTTCAAAGTACGAAATAAGCTCCGGCAGGTCGGCGCTGGTACAAACCTCGGCGGTGAGAACAGTGCGCGTGAAGTTGCTCACGTTTACAACGTCCATCTTACAGAAGTTGCGGAAGTTGTGGGTGCCGATGAGGTGCGCCGCGGCCTGCTGCATCGCCGCGACGTTCAGCCCTCGATGACAGAAATAGTAGCGGTAGGTGCGGCTCACACACGAGAAGCGCGCGTCGAAGGCGTCGTCGACGTAGGCAAAGCCGACAATGCGAATGGTCGGAGTGAGGACGTTGTTCAGCATGTTGCAGTAATCAAGCGGTGGCAGCTGCGGGGCCGCATCGGCGGTACAGGACGCGCGTGCAGTGAGGGAGAAGGCGTTACCGAGTGCGCTGACTCCTTTGTCGGTGCGGCCGCAACGTCCGAAGTTGTGCGGGCCGTCCTCTGGAATGAGTCGGACACGGCGCAGCGCATCACAGACGATTCCCTCAACGGTGTTGTCCGTTTCTTTCTGTTTTGCCAAGCCGTCGTGGACATGGCCGTGGTAGGCGAGGCGCAGCGCAATCTTGCGACTGGGGTAGCGGTCAAACAAGAAGGCCTTTTCCAGTTTCTTCTTGTTGGCGCCTAGCGTGCGAGGGATTAACGGTAAAGAAGAAGAGGGGGAATGGGGGCTTGCGTTGTTGGTTGCGCTGTTGCTCGTCGTGGTGCCTGGCATGCCCGATGACGCCGCTGCTGACATTTCCATGGCACACACAATGAAAAAGGATTCGGGCTACAAAATACTGTTTTAGTGGTGTTCACAAAGAATAGAAGAGAAGGTGGTGGTGGGGGAATGGAGAGAGTTAGAAAGGACGCTGCTGTGGCAAGTTCTCCGGAGTAAAAGGCTGAAGGAGCACGAGAAGAGAAAAAAGGTTCCGCAATCTGCGGACGGCGCGGCTCTTGCTTGCCTTGGACAAATACCGCCGAGGCAATAAGACAAAACTAGCGAGCTTCTTTTCGTGTGTGTATGTGTGGATGTAGAACTCCCACAAAATAGACTATATATGAATGAGTCCTACAGAAGCATGTACACGCCCGCTGATACACCCTCATCCATCTCTATTACAGCTCTCGTTGCCTTCTCGGTTCGGGACCGCGGAAATTCACGTGTTATTCATCGCGTGAAGCACTTCCGTACTCAGCTCCCGACGCGACGAACGGACAATCGCACTCAGAGTGGTCGAGTTGACCACATTGAGGTGCGCCAGCACGTACTCCTCCTTGCCGCTCTCCGTGGTGTACTGGGCAGCCGCGATGATCTCCTTGCCGATTATCTGCACCACCGACATCGAGCACGCACGTAGAAGGTGCTGCTGCAAAAACCCGTTGCTGGTGTCGTAGGAGGAGATGTCGAAAAACCGGAGCTGCTCTTTCCGCTCGCCAGAGGCACCCATGACTTGCCAGAGGCGTCCGAACTGCTCCGTGTGGAAGGAGGAGTTGACGGGCTGCAAGGCGGACAGCAGCGCAGACTTGGGCGTTGGCGGGGTTTTTGTCGTTCGCAACGAAGAGCGGGCAGTGGGGTTGCTGATGAACCAGTCAAGTGGCGTGTCGGACCTTCTATAGACTGGGGAGGCGACGGAATGGGGAGAGGCGACGTCGGTCGCAAACAGCGAATCCATCACCACGTTTGATTGCGGTGGCGGTGCTGGAGTGGACTGCTTCGACGTGGAGGCTGCAACGGTGTGCGGATCAGCAGATGACGTCTTCGGGGCGGAGGACGCGGCATCACCACCTTTACGACGACCACCACCGAAAATACTACGGATAAACTTTGCATTCTTTGCGGACACCGGCTTCATCCCTCCCGTCGCACCTGCCGCTGCTGCTGGAGTTCCGCTTACAGCACCGCTGTCACCATCGTCATGTACCCCGCCTGCCTTCTCGAACGCGCTCCCCCCTTGCAGTGATGCTGCCGCGGCCGCAGCCGTCGAGCTCGAAGGAGCAGCTGTCGGTTCTGCCGCGTCTGCGCCCCACACAACACCACCACCACCCACCGCCACGGCCGCCGCGGTTTGCAGGTGCACCTCCTCCTCTTCCGCCGCCACTTCCCGCAGGTTCTGCGCACCCCAGCGCTTTGTCGCGGTGGGCCGCAGAACAAGCTTCTCGCTGCCCTGCAGCACGCTCTGCGCGAGACCGGCATTCGCACGGGCAATGGAGCTGTCAACACCAGCCTGCCCAAGTAAGGAAGGAACAGATGCAGCAGCAGCAGCAGAGGCGGTGGCCGCCGACGCTTCTCCACTCAGTGGTGGTGCCGAGGAAGAAGAGGACCACACAGGCCGGATCTCAGTGGGACGTACAGGGACGTAGGCAGCCGTGCGCAGCGCCGACTCCGCCTGCAGCGCGGACGCGGTGACCTGTTGCTGTCGTAATGCTGCCAGATCTGCCGGCTGTTTGTACCGCTGCGCCCCACGCGCCACCGCTGTCTCGATGAAGGCGTCTAGGAAATGCAGCTCCGGATCGACCTCCATCGCCTCGCAGAAACCGTCTTTCGGCAGCACGCGACGGAGCAACTCCGGCTGTTGGCGCAGTGCCGCAAATTCGTAGCACCGCTGCTGCAGCGGGATGCAACGACTCTCCTGATACTGTGCCACGATGTCGTCGGCATAGTCCGACACGCCTGCGCCGCCGGGCGAAGATGCCCGCTGCGATGGGGACGTGTGAGCCGTCGCCTTCATCATTGCCATCAGGATCCAGCAGCGGGTCTCGCCGTCCTCTGTCTGCTCCATCAAGTCGCAGAGACGGTCGAGAAACATTTTTCCGCTGATTTTGCTGGTGAGGAAGCCGTATTCGCCCATCACCCACGCACCGATGCGGCGTAGCACGTCGGGAACGGCGGACGAGTTGCCGGACGCGCTGCCGACCCCACCACTCCCGCTGCATTCCAAATCCGCATGTGACGAGCGCGCTGCTGCTATGGCACTTGGCGGTCCCTCACCGGCACCAGCTGGCAGCGCACCTCCTCCAGTTATGGCAAAGTAGGTTTCCACGCAACGAATGCGAAAGCTGGTGTCGGCCGCCTCATCGGCCCCTTGCCCTTCCGCGATCAGTTTCAACATGCGTTGGACCGTCGCCGGCAACACGCATTCCGCGGCCACGGCGAGGACGCTGTTCATGGTGTGGATGTACCACCAAGGACTCGTCGCGTACTGCTCCATCAGCCGGCACAGCCCCCGTGTGGTGCTACGCTTCAGGAACGGGTCACCCACTTTGCTGAGAAAGCGAATGAGGCGTCGCGCGATGGGGCCGACGTTGTCGCTGTCGCAGATGGCAAAGAGCAACCAAATTGTTTTTCGCCGAATGGTCTCGTCGGCGTTCTCGAGGCAACTCATGACCACCTCCTGATGCTCCGCGGCCAGCTCCGGCTGCACGCGGACCATGTAGCTCAGGGCCTGGATGCCGGCGCAGCGCAGATTCGGATTGCGTGACGTGATCAGCCCCGACACGGTTTCAGCGGAGAGGCGGAGCAGAGTGGGCAGCTGTGGAATGCACGCGGCCGTGCGCACCAGCTCGCAAATAATCGCAAAGCCGATCAGCTTGCCGTTGTCGGCCCGCTGCATTGCCTCCTCCAGCACGTGCGCCGCCTTCTGCGCTCGCTGGGGATCGTCGCCGATCAGAATCGTCAAGAGCTGGATGACACGAATCTGCAGCCACGGGGCCGGGGTGCGGTGGTACTCGTACGTGCGCGGCAGGCGCCGCTCAATCACCTGCGACAGAATCAAAATGAAGGAGTCGAGAAGGTCGCGGTGTGCCTCAGGGTTGCGCTCGACGACTTCGTGCAACAGCCGCGTCGCTGCGTCCATCACGGAGGGGTCGCGATCGCAGAGGACCTGCCGAAAGGCCGCGACGTCGCCAACGGCAGTGTCGGTGCGGACGTAAAAGGCGTGCATCGCCTCGACCGCTTTTCGCCGCACCAGTGGCTTCTCGTGTGTTATGAGCCCTGGCAGATCTCCTTGCACCACTGTCATCAGCTCAGGCCGTAGCATCTGCGCCGCTGCCGTGAGCGCGGCTGACACCTCGAGGTAGTTCGGCGACTTCAGATCTCGTTGAATGCTCGAGACGATGAGGTACATAAGCTCACTGTCTGGGTTCACCATCAGCTTTGTCGCGAGATAGCCGGTGCGTTTGAAGATGAGCCTGTGATGGCATGAGAGGTTGATGCAGTGGATGTAGGCAAATTCAGCGGAATGCCCCATCAGCTCCGCGTAGTAAGCCCGCACGGCGTACTCCTTCAGCAGCTCCTCATCTTTCGCCGTACTGCTGGTGAGTGTTGTTTTCAACGCTTTGAGGTCTTCCTCGACGATTTGGTCCTCCTCCTGCTTCGACGAGGCCTCCGCGATTTTGCGGATGTACTGCACAAAGTGCGACGAGTGTCCCTGCTGCGTCTCTGCGCTATAGAACTTTGACATGACGTCGGGGTGTGTAGAGGAGGCGTGGTATCTTTCCTTTTCCGTGCGTTTCTTGGTGTAGTAATTCTGCTCAGCAAGGAAAAAAGAAAACAGCGAGTGCAACGGCAGTACTTCTATGTTGCAAAAAGCCACTGCCTGTTGATGTCAAGTGAGGTAGAGTGCTCTCTACGCTACCGCAGACGGAAGAAGGAAGAAGATGAGGTTTTCAGAAGCGAATCACAGCGAATCAGAAAAAGCAGTGCTCCGCCAAAGGGGGAAAGGTCGGTGAAGTACACCAGGATTTATTGACGGGAGACGTGCACCAACATCCTCATTGTCGGCAGTTGTTCCCAACGTAAAAGCGCACCACTAAAACTCTCTTACTTTATTATTTGTTTTCTTGATGGGGTTTTGTATTGGAGAATCACTGTGGTTTGTTTGTTAGCTTTTCCTAGAGTTACGATATCGTGGGGCGACTACTGGAGCGCGATACGACCACAGCAGTCCTGCTGCGCCGAAATATAAATAGGCCCGTTTCGCGCACGGCAGCAACGGGGTTCGCGCAGCGCACGCGAGCGGGTGACTAGAAGCGCACTCCATACGTCTCACGCTGCGTTCGCAGGTGCAGGCGCCTGTACTACAGGGCACGCTTTCGTCTCCAGCTGCGCACTCGCCGGCTGCACAGGGCTCGCCACAACCGCAACAGGGACGGCAGCGCCTTCCGCCTTTTCACGTGCCTCGAGGAATTGGCGCCGCTTGTCTTCGCGGATAAGCTCCATTGTGTGTCGGATGTGCGCTGCGATCTCCTCCACGGTGGCCATTCCACCAATGCCAATGTCGCCACACGCGAGACGCTTGCTGATGGGGCCGACAATTTGAAACATTGATTCCTTCAGGGTGGCCGGGAGGGAGAGCTCGGCCGCCACCTCCGGCAGTGGACTGGTTACCACTCCTGCTGCCGCTGCTGCAGAGGCCGGGGTGGCCACGATGGGCGTTGCTGTTTTTTCTTCGGTTGACTCGGCCTTATCGTGCGGATCCATGTAGATCACCTCGAGCTGGCTGAGCTGGGTCGCGGTGAGAGGGTGCGTCCACATGGCGGAGTTCATGGCCGGGCAGACAATGACCGGTTTCGCCCGCACCTCCCACGCCCGCATGACACTGGAGACCAGGTTGTCGCAAATCCCTGTCGCCAGCTTCGCGAGCGTGTTCGCGTTCAGAGGTGCAACGACAACAAGGTCGGCCCAGCGACGCAGCTCGATGTGCACGATGGAGTCGCTCATCGCCTGCCACTCACTCCACTCCTGTTCGTCGGTGATAATGCTCTGAAAAGGGATGCCCGTCATGGATGGCTGTGCGCGACGGAGGAAGTGGAAGGCTGCTTTGGTGGCCGCAATACGGATGTTGCAGCGCTCGGTGGAGAGCTGGTCGAGCAGCAGCCCGGTCTTGACTGCCGCCACGCTACCGGTGACGAGCAAAAGAAGGTGCACCGACGGGTACTCCTCCTCGCTTGGAATACGAGCGAGTGCAGCCGCGTTCGCCATCATGCCTTCTCTGTGTGATCCTTTTTAACAGTTAAATAATAAATAGTAATAAATAGTAATAAGCCTGGATTCAGTTCAAATATGCGCAACAATAACAGTTATGAAAGCTACAAGCAGAGGCGTATGCGGTCGTGCAAGAACGTCGAACACTTACTCCTCTAAAACAGCAAAAATAATCTTACGAACCAAGAATTACAGTAGGAAAGTGAGTTCCGGCAGGTGGTGAAGCGTCCATAAATATGCTCACAAAGAGGAAAGGAAAGCTGCGGTGAGACGTTGCGGACCTTTACAAGAGTGAGAAGAAGACAAGAAAGATTGGAATTGACAAACAGAGACTCTCCTAAACACGTTAAAAATAGGCGAACGCCAAATGCATCGGTTGTGGAGTGATGTCCTCCGCCAGTCGACACTCGAGTGCAATGCTTCAGAACCACTGAGTTTAATAGTTCATTTCGCCGTTGCGCGCTCTCGTTTCTTTTGTTGGTGTTAGAAAAGGGATCCATTTTGTTTTCTGGAGAGTGATTTGCCCCTTGGAGAGAGATGCGCCACATACGCAGTCTATTGTACGACCTTTTTTAGGGTTCTTCATCGCTCTTCTCTTCCCTGAATTCTTCAAGGTCTTCCTCCTTTCGCGCATTTGCTCAGTCATCCTCAATGTCCTCGCCTTCCGGGATCCATAAGCGCTCCTCCGCTCCACCATCGTCACCCATCACTCCCTCTGACGAGGTGATTTCCTCGTCCACCAGCGAAAAGTGATCGTCACGCAGCGTCGCTGTCGCACGGTCTCGCCCGCGCTGTAAAATCCTCAGCTGAAGCAAGGTGCAGAAGGACCGACGATGCTTGTGCGGCGTCAGCGCAGCGGTTGACTCACAGTTCGTGCTGAGGGAGTCGGAGGCTGCGGATTTCGCCGCAAACTTGAAGACTGTGCGTCGAGGCCCGGGGGAACAGAAAGCGGTGGCGGCTGCCGACGTCGTCGAGGTTGTGGAAAAGGGAGGCGGAGCTTCTCGCTTTCCCATCCAGTCGATCTTTGCGTCGACCTTCTCAGCATGGGCCTTTATGGACGTCGACGAGGGGGCCGGTGACGGCGGGGGTGCAGCCGAGTGGGGCGGGTCGACGGCGCACGTTTCCGGGGGAGGGAGGCTGAGAACAATGTATGGGGCCAGGGCGTAGTAGTCCACCACCACCGCCTCCGTGCACCCACAACGGTGCAGAAGACCCGGTAGTCCCTCACGTACGATGTCCACCTCATCCAGCTGTAAGCGGGGGCTTGAGGCAGAGACGGCTCTACTTTTGCTTCCATTAACCGTAGTGGTGCCCACACCACGGCGACGGGTGTTGAGGGCGGAGAGAGGAGAGGCCACGGATCGCGCATCTGAGGCGCTGTCCAATCGAATAAGAAAGCGCTGCACCCACTCCTGCTCGCTGAAGCCGACCACATCCAGCGGAAGGAACCGATCCCCGAATGCCGATGTGTTGCTGCCCGGCGTAGAAGCGGCTGCGGAAGACAGGAAGCTTACGACATCGCGTATGCGCGGATAGGCGGAGCGCAAGAACGGCGGCGGCTCCTGTGCCGCGAAGCCATGCGGTGCGTGTAACTCCGTCTGCTCCGTCAAGTACGTCTGGTAGAACAAATGCAGCGCAATAACGTCGAGCAGACGCGAGGTGCTGCCGACGTTCTCGCCTGCAGTGGTGCGGTCGGCGAGCTGGCGACGCTCGCGCAGGGCGGCTGCGCTCGCACCGCTGCCACCAAACTCTGACGTGCGCAACGCGTCGGCATCGCTGGCTGTCGCCGCGCACGCCGCGTACTGCGGGAGTTGGCCATCGCCAAAATAGCGCACCTGATTGTTCGTCAGGTAGTCCAACATTTTGCGTGGAGGGACGTTGAGGACATCGAGGACTTCGTCGACGGAATACTTCTGCGTGAGGAGGCGGGCGGTGGCGTGGGAGAGCCCGAGATACTCGTCACGTGTGGTCGGGAGAACGCTGCGATGCTCCGGCTTTGTGGAGGTAGCCGCGGAGGCGTCGCCGATAGGCGTGGAATTCCGAGACCGTTTAGAAGCGTGGTGCGACTCCTTCTTCATCTTCCTACTCGCACGCTCGCTGCATGTGTTGATGGATGGCAGGTGCACGTCATCCATCTGCGAGTCCAACAGCGACAACATGTCTGTCACGCGCGGGGCCGAGGAGATGCGTGTGGTGGCGGGCTGCGGAGAGCGAGAGCGTTTCAGCGCGGCAGGCGTTGGATTGCCTGAGCGACTGTCACCCTGTGATGAGGTCGGCTCATTTGCCGAACCCTCTGCCGAGAGGGGCGTATCACTCGGCTCTGATGAAGACGATGAAGACGAAATGAAAAGTACCTCCTCGTCACCGTCGTTTGCCGCCGAATCATCTCGTTGCACTGTGTTGTCGTCGCTGCCGGTTTTACCGTTGACGTGGTTGGCTTCTTCCTTCTCGTGGCTGTTAAATTGAAAAGGCGAAGATGTGGCACCAACACCGTCGACGTATCCAGAAGTGGAACGCGCCAACGCGCGACGCTTCTGCAGTCGTGCCCACACTCGGTCCGCTGCAGCTGCGGTGACGGTCCCTTCCGCCTCGGCCGCTTCCGGAGGCACGAGCGCCGCCCACTGGATTTGGAGGAAGGCTTGACGGATGTCACCCTGGCTTCCGGCGGCGATGGCATCCAACGTGCCTTGGCCCAATACATCCGTAAACGACGGGACGCGTTTGCTGGGTAACGCAGTCTTTGTTTTCAGCTCTCCCCTGCGCCTCTTCACGGCACCTCCGCCAACGTTCGGTCGGGCTTTGCCAGTGGAACCCGCCACGGCGGCTGCTCCGGTGGGAAAAAAGGCGTCCGCATCTGTGGCCTCTGGAATGCAGGAGGGTCTTGCGCGACTCCTCGCCGCGCGTCGACACGCCTCGCGATCCAGAATCTGCTTCAACCGTTTCTTCAGGTTTATTTCTGTAATTGGGGTGCAGTGGAAGAGCTCCACGGCACCGCTCTGTAACACAGCGGAGGGGAAAGAGGTGGACAGGTCTAGCTTGTCGTTGTGGCTGTCGTGCGTCGTGTGAACGAAGAAGATCAGATTCCTACGCAGGTGATCCAGCAGCGTGTTTGCCTGATGAGAGGCGCCGAAAGCCTGACGCTGCCGCTGCTCCTCCCGCAGTGCCTGGGAGCGAAGCTCCTCATACTGCCGCAGAAAGAGAAGGGTACATCGGTGAAGCGGGTGAGAAGTGGGCTCGCTGTAGAACTTGACGATGTGCGCGTGATGCACGGGTGCAGAAGAGGCGGGAAAAGGCGTGCCGCTGCTGCGGCTTCTGATCCCTGTAGCGGCGCCGGACAAGTCCACGACTTCGCTATTAGCATCGGTAAGCGAAGACGTCAGCTCGAGCGTGCTGCCAACAAGCTGTCCACTGCACAGTGAGAAGACGTGCTGCAGGTACTGCGCGTAGGTGCTCACGGTGGCCTCGCACGTATGCAAGATGTTGAGGGATGTTGGCGAGTCCGTTGCAGATGGGCAGGCAGAGGAGGGGGAGGATGAGGATAACGATGCTGCGAGTACTCTGCCCGCAGGCGGTGACGTGAAAGCTGTCGGGGCCTCCTCTTGCAACAGCACTTTCAACGACTCCAACTTCCCACTCCCGGGCGGACCGTAGAGGAGGAGAATGCGAGGTGCTTGCGTGCCAGCAGCGCTGTGTGTACCGCCGCGAACGCTGCGAATGAAGCTAGAGAGAGCTACGGACTTCTGCCGACTCCACGCGAGGTCCGCCACGGTCTTCGGGGCATACACTTCATTGAGCATCTGAGCTCTTTACACGCATGCAAAAAGAAGAAGGACGGAAATAATAGCGCCCGACTATCTGCACGAAACAAACAAACAAAAACTGAATGTAAAGTCCGCCTTGCTCTCTTTTGACCGCAACCCATTCATGCCCCAGAAAGTCCGCAGCGCACCCGGAAAAAGCCGAGAGGGAGAACTGCTGGGAAGGCAGAAATAATAATAATAATAACACACCACCACACGAAACTCGTAGGAAAACTTATAAACCCACCCAAAGTGTGCAGGTTGTGTTCCCCGCCTCTTCTTCTTTCCCAAACAAGGGAGTGACTGCAGGTGGTTTTTTTGTGGTGACAATGAAAATTAGAGCATGAATAGGTCCTTAAGTATGGTAGTAAGAAGAGAAGGAAAGGAAAACAAGGCGTGAACCGGAGAGCTCAACGTTTTGTTCCTTCTTGCGGATTGGTAAATCTTCGTAGAGGCTCGTTAAGTTTCTGTTTGCGCCTGTGCAACGAGGAAAGAGAGCGGATGGCACGCGAAGCGGGTCGAACAAACCCGACGCGTGAGTTTTTTTTTCTTGAAATCCCTTGCGTGTGCGGGTGTGTGCTCGCGTGAAGACGTCGTAAAGAGAGAGAGAGATCTAGAACGGGATACGAGTAGAGGTGTAGCGTGTGTGAGAAAAAAAAAACGAAGTCATGGTTGATAGCTTTCACGTAGCGAAGAGGCAGGAACGGTGTGAATCCATGAGAGTTCACACTGTCCTTCGAAAAAGTGTCTAGCGAACAAGCGCGCAAAGCAACGAAGTATTTATCTTCGTTTGCGTGTGACCGTGGTGATATGTACCTTGAATCAAAAGCAGGATTCATCTGTCGAGCAGCCACTGCACCTGATAAAGCAGCCACTTGTTCCATAACAAACGGGCCGTGAAAAAAAAAAGACGTCGTTCCGACGGTCACTTCAGTCATCCATCACCACGTCTGGAAAACACAACGGCGCCACAAACTCCGTCCACTCATCCCGCTGCGCCGCGACGGCAGCGTCGTCTCGCTCCGACACGCCCAGCGTTTCCCGCCGCCGCTTCTTCTTCAGCGCGACACGCTCGCTTTCACTCACGTGCGACGCAACGGAGCCTGGGAGTACAAGTCGCCATGCATGCAAATACATGCGTGACGCGGCCATCCGCGACCACTTCGAGGGCACCGCTTCCGGTGTGATGGACCGGCACCACGGTAAATCAGCGCAGTAGGCACTGTCCCCTACAATCGGAAACCCAAGGGCGCGGCAGTGCACGCGCAGCTGATGACGCCGTCCCGTGTGAGGCGACAGCAGAACGAGCGTTACAGGCACGCGCTCGTTGGCGGCACGGGTTTCCATGTATGTCCGCTTCAACACTAGCAACGACGAGCTAGCAGGGCGACTCTGCTCCGCTGCTACCGCCATCCGAAAATGGGCCGGATCGGTGACATCGTATCCGACGGGGAGGTCGACGGTGAGGCTGCACAGCGACGCCGCCGCCGCCGCCGCATCCGCGAGGAGCTGGTGCACGAGGTCATCGTGAAGGGCGGCAGCGCGCGGCGAGGTGTTGTGAATAGGTGCAGTCGCGCGATGGCGATGGACGGTGGGGGGTTCTGCTCCACCGTACGTAGCAGCAACAGCAGCAGCCCCATCGACCCCCGCTGCTGAAGGAGAGTGGCGGAGAAGAGAGCGAAATTCGTCCAGCGCCTGTTTATTGCGTTCTGCCGAAAAGTCTGCACACGCGTCTGCGCGCACGGAGCCGAGGTCCTGCCACACTGCTTGCCATTGATCGACCCACGCTCGAAAGAGGCCTGTGTGGTTGTGGCATTGGTTCGCACTTTCCCTTCTCGAGAGATTCTCTTCACTTATTGTTTGCTTGATGGCGTCGTTGGGCATGTGTCCGTGCAGCAGCGCCACGTAATACTTGCGTGTGGTGCGCATTTCAAAGCAGTGTGCGAGGCGGGCCGCCATATCCTTCGTAAACGCGAGGCACAGTACGCCGCTCGTGCTGTAGTCCAGTTGATGCACGAACTTCAGCTGCTTTTTGCGCTTGCCGTCTTGGCGGAGCCGCTCATGCGCCTCGTCGTAGAGCCCGCGCTCCTTCATGTGCGCGTGGACCATCGACTCCACTGTGCGTCCGTAAACGCGAAGGTCGCCATCCATCGGGACGTCAGCAGGCTTGTTGACCACAAGCACCTCGTCGTTTTCGTAGATCACATCGTAGCCTGGCAGTGAGGGTGAGGGCGTCGCAGTACCCGCATCTGTGGATGACGACATGTGTGCGCGTGCGTGTGTGTTGTTCTGTTTTGAAAGAGGAGAAGGGAGTAAAAGCGAATGAAATCATCACAGCACCGAGTACCGGAACTGAGAAACGGGAGCAGTCTGATAGAGACGGTGGACGAGATCCGCACGCAAAACACGTCCGGTGAACACAACAGGGGTAATAGCGTCTTAGCACTGTTTCATTTAAACGTTCGAAACACACTGCACAAAGTGTGCTCTTTCAGTTTTCGTATTTCGATGCAGTGGCGATGATAATGGGAAGAGAGCATTGTTGTCTATAAGTGGAAAGCAGTTGATGAGCACCAGAGGTAGATATGAGGAAAAGAGAAACCAAGAAGCGAGCACGTGTGCGTTATTCGAGCAAGTGCAGAAAGAAAGAGAGAGAGAGCTGGAAAACAGAGGGCCTTCTCGCCAACGATATGCTCAATGCAAAACACGATTTCGCCTACAGATCGGTTTGCCAGGTCACGTCACCGTCCTTGCGGTCGCGGTTGCCGCGCACCTCGCGGACCGTTTCCTCACGGGACAGCACCGTTCCATCGCCTTCCTCGTCTTCGTGCTCGTAGACCTTACGCTCCACCGTGAGCACCTCGCGAAAGCGAAACTGTGACCCTATCGGCCTTGCGAGCTGCTTGTTGGCGTCACACCGTGCGTGCTTTCGGTACGCCGACATGGCCATCTCCCCCACGTTAATGTTCTTCAGCAACTCGTTCAGCAAGTAACCGAGTCGGTATCCCGCGAGTGTGATGCGGCCCTCTGCCACCTCCTTGCAGCGCCGCATGTACTCTGTCCCGAGTTCGGCACCTGGGACCACACCGTCGTAGGAGCTGTTAACGGCAAACTCGTGACTCTCATCTGCCATCACCTGTGGGTCCGGCAGTGTCCGCAGCGACGACGGAAACTTGTACGTGTCCTCCAGACGATCAGCGGTGGCAGCCAATGCGAAGGTGTCGGTGTCGGAGAGGGGACGCCTGTAGTGCGGTGCGGGCACGTCGCAGATGTCGTCCCACAGGGCGTGCAGCTTCACCGCGGCCCCCTTCACCTTCACCTCGATGGCGTTGCCGCCGCGGTCGCCGTGGGGGAATTTGTGCGAGTACATCGCGGCAGCGTGCAGGGGCTGGTGCAGATCCCCAATAAAGTGCACGAGGTTCACCCACGCAAAGTTCAACATGTACAACGGCGCCTTCACGTTCTTCAGTGCGGTGATCATGTTCGCCGACACGGTCACCGCATTGACCGCCTCAAGCGGAACGTCGATGGTGATGTTCTCCGGGTTGTAGGGCGTGTCAATGAAGTGCCACGAGCGCATCGCGTATTGGTGCCACTGCTTCGCGTCATCGGCCCAGCACGCCGCCTGCACCACGTCGGGGGACCAAGGGAAGGGGCCGCTCTCGTGGAAGTTGTGCGCCATCGCGTTCATCTTCTGCGCGTTAGCCTCGTCAAGGCGTCGTCGTGCGATTTCGGCCACAAGCATGTGCCCCACGCAGCCCCACCCACACACCTCCACTGCTTGGAAAGCAGCCGTGAGGGCTACCGTGGCTAACACGGCCAATAACGTGCGGTTGTGCGCCACCATGGCGATTGCATATGCGTGGGTGTATATCGGTGTGCTTGTATGAGCGTAGGCTACCCGCAAAGCTGGGTCGTGCTCCTTTTCTTGAACAATTGTTTCTTACGAACCTCTAATAGAAGAGATCATTAGGGGGAGGGGGAGAGAAAAAGAGAAGGAAAAAGGACAATGATCGAACAAGCCAGAGCGAAAAGGCCGCGTAGAGTATCACAACAGTGAGGTCTACGGGGAATACGGCAGCGGGGGAGACCGTTTGCAGTTCGCAGTTGGTACGAATAAAACGCTTCGTCGTCATTGGCTTTCCATCGCCTCTTTGGGTACTTGATGTTGCTTTTGAAGGAATCGCGACACGGCGAGCAAAGACCGTGAGAACGATAAGAAGAAGAAAAAAAGAAGATCATTCGCTCATTAAGAAGATCGGTTACGAAAAAAGAATGGAGGTGCTGCCCATCTCTGTTGCTACGGTGCATTGCGTCCTTGTTGCCACTTCCAGTGCTCGTGGCTCTTCAAAAGTCACGTCTGACGAAGCTGTACGTTAAGAGATATTTTTTTTCTTTTTTGTTGAGTTTCTATACGCAAAGGAAAAGGGAAAAACAAAAGCGGCACGTAATGAGGAAAAAAAAAAACACGGCGCTTTCGGCCCAGTGACCTGTACTTTTGGCGAGGGAACGAATAAAAAGAATGCGCCTAATCACCGCCTTCATGTTTCGTCAACACACCTTACTGCACGAAACTCAGACAGCCCTTCGTTTTCAGAAGAAGCAAAAAAAAAGGCAACAGCGTCACCTGAGGACGACAACAAGCAACACCAACGCGCCACCGTTCCGGACACGCTGCGAGTCAGAAGAAGGAGTACCACAAAATACATCTAGAGAGCGCGCGTAAGCATATTTGCTTTGCCGCAACAATGCGCACTACTTGTTGTTGCCACCAACGAATGTGACGGCTTTCTCCCTTCCCCAAGAAGCAGCGCCGAACGAATGATAACGGTCTGTTCAAGGTACATATTTAATTTGAAAAAAAAAAGAAATCGGAGTCTCCAACGGCAGTCAAAAACGCCGCGCAAAATCACCACCACCACAAAAACGCGTGTGCACATAGTCCCATCCCGCCCATCCCAGCGAACAAAAAAAAATGTCGGGCTGCGGGTGTTGAAATGATCAGGGCCTTACTATACAGATCTGGGCGTTGGCGAGGAAGAGGGTGCGAAGACCAACACTCTGTTGTACATCACCACACACACACACATACATAAATAATAATAGAAAAAGGCGTATCATCCAGCAAACCGCTTTCAACGCTCACTTCTCCGTGCGTCAGTCAAAGCGACGCAAACTGTTCGTTATCGGCGCCAAACATCCCATATCAATTACAGAAAAAAAGAGAGGGCAAGTGAGGAAAAGAAAAAAAAACCCGTGTTTGAGGAGAGAAGCGCCAAGCAAAACGTTTTTTTTTCCTTTTAAGGAGTTCAACGCGTACAGCAAAACAAACAAAGAAAAGATTCCGGTTATTCGTGGAAAGTGACAACCAAACCCACCGAAAACAAACAAGCCGACGAGCGGATTTAACCCTCACGCTGCGTGATGCCAAACGCGGTGGCGGGCGTAAAGGCGTCGTCGTAGACCAAATTTATCTGCTGAAACAACATCCACAGCCGCGAGATGCGGAAGATGTCGAAGGTGTCAGACATCAAGAAGCGCAGCTCGCCTTTTGTCATGTACACCGCCCCCTTCTCATTCACTGCGGGCAGGTGGATGCCGCCGAGGATGGCCTGCGCCTTCGCCGCGTCGTTGCCGCACTCACTTAGCACCTGCATCGTGCGCGTGGCAACGTGCTGGACCCGCTTTTTCAGCTCCAAGTACTGCAGCGGGCGAATGTAGTTCGCCTCGCAGCAGCCAGACTCAAAGTACGTCAGCCTGTCCGTGCCCATTTCCTTCGTCAGATCAATTTTGCCGCCCCAGACCGGGTCAACGCCGACGAGGTGGGCGAGGCCAACCACCCACGCTTCGTAGTCCGGCAACGTCTCGGCGACGATGTCCACTGTGCGCCCGCCGTGCCGCAGGCCGATCGTGAAGGCCCGGAAGAAGGCGGGCTCGCTGGGCAGAATGCGGTGGCGGTGAAAGACTTTACTAAAGCACCCGAGCTGGATGTAGCTGACGTCGGCGAGGTGGATGCAGGCATGGTCGGCGCTGCGCGAGTCCGGCGCCTTCCAAAAGAGCTCCTTCTTTCCCCGCTGCGTCGATACCCAGAAGATGCGCTGATGCGGCTTGCCGCGGCGGCAGTGCTTCATCATGCGAGAGCCGCCGCGCAGGAAGCGAATCAAGTCGTGCACGAGTGTAGGCGAGTCGTAGACTTTCATCAGCGCCCGGGCGTCGCTCGCCTGGTACGATGGGTTCGGCGCGTCCACTGGCGGCACCGTCGCGCCGGCCGCCTCTGCCTCCTTCTTCCGCTTTTCGCTCTTCTTTTGATGTGCCTTCTTCTTCTTGGGCGCAGCGTTGCGTGCCTTCTGGCGCTCCGCTGCCTGCTCGTCGTCGGAGTCGGCGGATAGGTCGTCCGACGAGGTCGACTCCGTCCCGCTCGACTCCGACACCGACTCCCCTTCCTCCGTCTCCTCCTCGCCCACGCTGGTGGCGTCGGCGGTGTCGGCCACTGGCAATGCTGGTGGTGCTGCCGCGACAGTGATGCTGCTGCTGTTCCGCTGCGACTTCCTCCCTCTCTTTGACGCCTCTGCGCCGTCCGCCCCCTTCTTGTGGTGGCGGGGGCGGGTGGTGGCGGTCGCAGGGACGGCGCCGGCCTCCAGCCCCTGCAGCGCCGGCGGTGTCCGTCCCACGATGCCGTCGTTCAACCAATCCGATGAGTGAGCCGGCGGGGCGGCGGCAGGGGACTCGTCCGCGCTGCCGCTGCTATCAGCCGCGGCGTTCCCGTTGTCTTCTTGTTTCTTATTTGACGTGACTGTGCCGTTGGTCGTCGCAGCTACCGCGGCGTCGCGTATTTGGCGAATACGCCGCGACTCCGCTGCGTGGTGCGAGTGCTCGTCGTCGCTCTCGTCGGAGCTGAGAAAGGTGATGTCGTGCGCCTCCTCCGCACAGGGCTGGGCGTCGGCGTCGAGGGGCTCGAACTCGGAGGGCAGCAGCGGGGGGTACATCTCGTCCGCGCAGAGCATGCGCTGACTGAGCCCGTCCACGTCGTGCCAGCCCCACTTCGCGCCATGCGTGACGTCGCCCTCCGCGGTGTCCACGGCGCGGTCCACGAGAAAGGCGATGAGGTCGTAGAGCAGCGTGCCCTCCGTCACCAACGTCGAGCTCATCAGCTTCATGCGACGCACCTGCGAGCGCTCACGACCGGTGGCGCCGAGCCGAGAGACGTAGAGCGAGTACAGCCGGCTCTGCTCCGTGGCATGGTTGTAGAAGGACTCGACGAGACGATGCGTCGCCTCCTCCACGGCGGAGTCCACCGCGGCGTTGGAGGTGCCGACATCGTCGTCGCGAAGCGAGGCTGCCGCGACGTCTTTTTGGGCCATCTCAATTTGAATGTCGAGTCCCTGAGCCTCCTCGTCCATTGTCTGCAGTTGCAGCTGGGCCGCCGCCATCGCCTCCTCCATCTTCAGCCGATGTTTCTTCGCCTTTTTCGCCTCGTGCAGCCGCGCCTCGTGCTCCGCCTCCTGCTCCTCGTGGACCTTCTTCTGCGCCTTCTTCTCCTTCTTCACGCTGCGGGCGACCTGCTCGTACTCCTCGATGAGACCGTTCATGTGCAGGACGAACTTCTCCACCTCCGTGTCGCGCTCCGCGTTGGCGGCCTCTTCGGCCTTCAGCAGCGCTTCCTGCTCCTTGCGGGCTACGACGTCCGCCGCACCGGCCTGCAGCTCTGCAGCGACGCGCTGCTTCTCCTGCTCGAGGGGGACACCGTGGGCAGCGGCGAGGCCCAGCAGGTTGGCAGGCTCGTAGTAGTACTGGGCGCGAAGGATGTGCATCTCTGCCAGCAGTTCTTCGTTCAGTCGACATGATTTTAGGTAGGCTTCCTCCGCCTCGGGGCTGGTGAAGCCCATCACTTGACCTGCCTTCAGGCCCTTCACGCGATCGCAAAAGCGCAGCGTGCCCAGCGACTCCGAGGCGCTATTCGACGGCGGTGCCACCTGACCAATCAGCAGCAGACGGGAAGTGGTTTCGACGAAGCACGGCTTCAGCAGCTTCGTCAGCTTCGATTCGCGAAACGGGATGTGCGGGCTCTGTGTGTACATGGCATTGATCACAGTGCCGAGAGTCGACAAGGACTTGTTAATGGCCTGCGCCTCCACCATCGCTTGCCCGGTAACACCCGAGCGCTTCACACGCTCACTTCCAGCGAGGTCGACCAGCGCAATGCGGGAGCGGATGATACCCGGGCACCCCTGCGTCGTCGGCGAGCCGTTGGCGTCCACCAGCTGCGACAGCACCGGCGACTGCGGCGACTTCTCAGCGGGCACCTGAAAGAGGTCAATGAAAAAGAGGGCGTGACTGCGCGAGCTGGTGTCGTTCATCTTCGTCGCTGTGACGGAGCGAAACGAGTTCGCAATGTGGAAGTTGCGCACCACGTCCGCCATCGTGTGTACCTCGACAACGCTGATGCCCATCGTGAGTGTCTCCTCCGGGGTCTCACGCAGCTTCAGCTTCTTCTTGTTGGAGAGCAGGTCCATGACGTCCTCGACGTAGAGCTCCATCGCCGAGAGCGTAATGAGGATGTGAATGCGGTCCTTTACGGATTCTTTGTAGGTGAACAGGTCGTCGAAGACGCGCAGGAACATACCCGAGACGTCGTTGACCTTCCCGTCCGGCGACATCTGACCTAAGATGGTGAAGGTCTTACCGGAGCCGGTCTGACCGTAGGTGAAGACAGTCGCATTAAACCCTGACAACGCGTGGTCGACCATTTCCTGCACCGACTCTTCGTACACGGCCAGCTGATCGTCCGTCTCGTCAAAGACGTAGTCGAACTGGAAGGCGGAGGTGCCGCCGACGCTGGAGGAGGTTTCATCCGATTTGATGATGATGGTCTGGTCATCGTCCGCCTTTCGCGCACACACGGGCTCGTAGCGCTCACGCTCGATGGGAGGACGGATGCGCACCGCCACCGAAATGCGCTGATCAGACATTGTTGTGCGATGTACGTGTCAACACCAGTAGAATGAAACCGTGGCACAACGAAAAACAATACAACCACGGCGTCAGAAGAAAGGGAAAGCGCTCGCTCTGTACGCTTCCGTGAGACCGCGTGTGTGTACGGAGGATGCGAGGAAGAACAAAGGCACGTCGCAAGTCGACGCTCAGATTTGTTGGACTCGTCTCACGCAACTACAAGGAAGAATATATACGTATGTCTCTGATGCAGGATCAATATAGCGGAAAAAAGAGCACACAGTCTTTTGTAATCGGCTCCCTTCTCACGTCTACTTTGATCCTTCTAATGATTCGTTCTATAGCGATACATACGCCCGGAGTGCGCACTACCAACTCGATTTGTGTATATGAACACAAATCCTCCAACGTGGAGAATTTTTTTTCTCTTTCCCGATCCTCTCACTTAACGAATAATAAACGGTCGACGAGGATAACGGTGCGGCGCCGATGTACAACGACAGCAAAAACAGGCAAACAACAACAAGAGACACGTCGGCTCTAACTGCAAGAAGACACTTCAGACAAGTGACCGGGAAGCAAGACCATTTGGGGGGTGTCAGCGCAGCAGAGAGTTGCGCATGTAAGATGGAGAGGAAGAGGGTGAAAAGAAAAGGAGCCGAAGGCGATGTGGCTTAGGCTAGCAGAGAGACAAAAGGAGTACATCGTTTTAACGCACACACACTACACACACACACGTTACACCACGGCAAGCCCTTCTGTTTTCTTTTTAATATGGAGCGGGTGGCGCTGCTGCAACGGCGCCCGGGCGAAGCAGAAAGCGGAGCGTCATAAAGTCACGAGAACAGCTTCAGAAGAAAAAAAAAGCCATGCATGACACTCGTTCCTCAACGAACGACGTGGTGAACGCCGCGGGGAAGCAAACGAAAACTGTCTGGTTGGCAAGTATTTCTCTTCTTCGCTTTCTTTGTCACTGTGGCTGCGTACGCCTCCGTCAGTCACAACAATCAAAAACGTGAAATAGCAGATAGGAAAGATGCTGAAATAGAAGTCGAAAGAAGGAAGAAGGACCGGGGGGGGGGGAGGGGGGAAGCCGTGACTCTGCAGCGTTAAGTAGTTTCTCGGACACATAAATACCCTCTCACAGGCTTTTGAACAGCCACATGAAGCGATCCATTGGTGAAATCTCACTGGACCACTCCAGCTCCTCGCGGTTCACGAGAGTCATCTTAATGGTTACAAAATTGCGCGAGAAAAAGCTGCCTTTAGCGCAACGTCCCGGCTCGGATTCCACAAACGGCATCACCGCACGATTGTCGGCCACGGCGTTGTACTCGTCCCGCTGAAGTGCGGTGTGCACCTCGACGTCAATGGCCGTGAGTCCTTCATGGGCGTCTACCACGCTGCTCACCGACGCCCCTTCGAGTGGAGTCGGAGAGGCGGGAGACAACAGCGACGACGCTGCTTCGGGGGTTTGTGCGGGGCGTTGCACTGGCCGCACTCGACGCTCGCTGCGTAAAAAATCCAGCGACACCCACCGATGCGCGTTCTCTGGCCGATAGCCCTTCTGCAGAGCGAGCCTCGCCAGATCAAGACGGGAGGCAAACGTCAGCTTCGTGTTTCGCCAAGGTGCCGCGTAACGTGAGAGTTTTGCCTTTGCCATAACGAGGTATTGCTGCGCCTCTGCGTCGTCCGACAACTCTGACAGCGACACCTCGTCGAGATGCCGGCTTCCCGTCTCGAAGCCGGTGCTGTCCGACGATGCAGAGGTCACGGTTGCTGCGCTGTGGGTGTCCCAACCTGATTGTTCGCTGTTGGCGCTTGAGTTCTTGAGCGCACTCTCTGCTGCTTTTTGGAGGTGTGTCAGCAACCACGGTTTCATCGCCAAAACAGAACTCCTCTGCTGACCGCGCAGTTCTGCTGCTGTAACGTGAGGCACACGCAGCAACAGCACCTGCGGATGGTGCGTCGCCACAAAACTGATTTGCTCCTGCTCCACAACGCAGCTGGAGTGAAAGACGGTGACGAACCTCCGCTGGGGTAGCCGAGAGAGATGCTGCTGAGTTGCCACTGGCGCCGGTGCAGGCGGAGGTGCGAAAAGGTGCGGCGCAGTGTTCCCGAACGGTGAGACAGAGGGCTGCACCGGTCGCTCTTCACTAGCTTCAGGTCTCGCTGCGCCTTCCAGTCGCATACGCAGTCCATGTTGATGGAGACTCTCCAATGGCAGCTCAACGTGCAGGATTGTTTTCGTCGCCGACTGGCTTTGGGGGCCACCCAACCTCTCTCCCACCGTTGCCGCAGTACGGAGGGCGACGGGACACAGTGTCCAGCCCATCTTTTTGATCACCTCGTCCGCGATCCACAAGTTCGACACTCGCTGCGCCGCCGCTGCACGCTCCTTCAGTGCCTGATAGGTCCACGCACAGATGGCCTTGCTGCCGCGCCGCCGTGGCCGAACTTCAGGGGCAATGACACTCAGCAGTTGCTGCGAGACCTCCCACAAACACCGCGCCAGGCAGTCGCAAAACAGAATCTCTTGTTGAAGATGCGGGACGCAGGTGGCCGGCGTGAAGCGCGACGCGTCCGTTGTCTGCTCTGCGTTGACGTACAAGTCGCTCCCGGCGCGCAGCGGCAGCTCCCCAGGGACCATGTGCACCCCCCACCGCTCGTACAGGGTCTCCACCTCCAGCCAATAGGGAGAGCGGAAGAGAAAGTAATTGTGGTGCTGTGCGGACCGCATTTCGACAACGCGCTCGTTGAAGGATGTACTTACGGCGTGGGAGGTGCGCTGCTGATCCAGCTGAATGCGCTGCAGCCGCTCCAGCCACGGTGAACGCGACGGCTGTGGCGGCCTCGTCGCGTCTTGCGCAAGTGAAAGTTCGCGTGTGATCGCAGCCGCTTTCTTCGCGTTATCGCGGGTGTGGGGAGCCACGTTTGAGTCGGCGGCGGCGCCTGCCACCCCCTTCGTCACGTTGTCGCGTCGGCTCCGCATCTGCTCGTTCGCCATGCAGGGAGGTGCGTGTCGCTGTTGGCGATGTCGCGTAATGTTAAACAGAAACGTAAACGGACTGCCAAACACGTTTAACGGGATGGCGTGTTGAGCGCACACGGCAGAATCGAATAAACAGGCGAGCGTTGTGCAGGCGACCGGAATGTACTGCCTGCCAAAGTAAAGCACCGCGTGCGCCTTCCAGTTGGGCTGCAACACCGAAAAGGGAGAGGAGAGAGAGTCCGTGCGTTGTGGTGTTCGAAAAGCACCGTCGTGAGCGAAGGGTGGCGGGTTCGAAAACGCGGAAGCTTCGAGCTGCGGGGCAACGTTGCCGCTGCGCGTCTTGCTGTCGCGGCTGCCTCGTATTGCGAACGGCGACATGTGTGCCGCCCACTTGGTGCTCAGCGGACCAAACTTCGACCTGCGTACCGTTTTCCCTGTCGAGTTGTTCTGAGAAGCGAACAAAGGATAGACAGAAAAGGGAAAGAAGGACGCTTCTGGTAGGTTCTGCAGTAGTCGAGACTTGCGTGCCCAAAAACCACTCAAAAAGGGCAGATAACTGGAGGCGAGTTGCAGCTCTGCCTGCGGGTTTGGCCATGACAGCGACACGGACGACGACGATGTGGATGTTGCCGCTGTTGGTGACGTTGCAGATGGCATACATCTGTCGCTTCCCTTAGCGGCAACTGTGCTACTTTGGTGCGGGGACACCGTGTGTGACGTGTTCGGACCTGCCACTGTCGAGAGAAGCGGTACGATGTGCCACGGCGCCTCTAGCGGGCAAAGGGCACGCAGTTGAGGAGCCCAATCCAGTGCGGCCGTTGCGTGTTCATTGATGGATGTACGCCCTTCTCTCGAATTGACATCCTCGAATGAGCTGCGTTGCAAGAGCGGTTTTCGTACAACAAACAATTCATCATAAAACGGATGCTGCCAGCTTCGTCTCTGGGGAAGTGACGTGGCAGCCGTGTCGCCTTTGCGTGTGTCCGCCGTCGCCAGAGCCGCAGCCGGTACAGGCGTCGTCGACGGCGACGACGTCCATCCTTGCTGAAGTATACCATCAAAACGGGACATCAAGGCTTCCTCCCGTTTCTGCTCTGCCTCCACATACGTAAAGGTGTTCTGCCCACCGTCGACCGTTGTGGTACCGAACTTCTTTATTTTACCCTGGCCACCCGCGCCGTCGTCCAGCTCGTCTTCTGCCTCATCCATCACACCGGTGTCTCTCCACATGTTATGCTCCTTCGACCTCGGGTACGGGACAGGGAAAAATGGCAGGTGGAAAAGAAGAGAGAGAGGAATCCAAGTTGACCACTGCGGTGTCGTCATTCCACTAGGAAGAATAGCACCGGGAGACGTAGGCCGACCGGTGTCTGTGCAGAGCGACTCTGGCGTCCCGTAGGTCTGTGTTTTCTTTGCGTGACTGCCCAACGTGTCCCTGCGTCGCTGCCGCTCCCAGCACAACGACGGCACCGCGTCGGCGTCCACAGCAGCCCCAGCACGAAACACCGTCGACCTCGCCTCGCCATCTGTGCAGCACAAGCCTTCATCATTGGAAGGGGCCAACCCGGCCTCCGTTGTCACGGTGGTCGTGTTCTCGCCTTCTGTGATATGGGCAGACGGCGGTGGCAAATTCTGCTGCACAAACCTTTGATAGTAGCACCTCCACCACGTTTCGGCGTTGTAGCCACGCCGCTGCAGCTCCATGTAAACGTAGCCGACCACCGCTGGAACCTGCACGCACCCTGCAGGACGTTCAAGGTGGTACCGAGAAGAGAATGCGTTATTAAATATGCATCGGTGAGTCGCGGGGTTCCGCACAAGCGTCGCTAAAGCTTGTGACATTTTCTGTTCTCGAAGAAGGTCGGTGCTCGGGTGATCTGCGGAAGAGCTTGCCGCGGTGTCGACAGGTGGTGTTCCAAGCTCGAGCAGAAATTGGAGAGCCGACTGAAGTTCCTCCTGTATGTTTTTCTGTTTTCTCTGCATTATCTGATGAAGGAGTTGGGGATAAAGACCCCCGTTCAAACCGCAGGGCTCCGTGGGCACCGGCAAAAGCGCTGACGGCAGCGGTTTCGTTGTTGGAGTCGCCGCGGCGCAGCGCAAGGGTGCTGTCAGGCAGGAGACAAAGACGCGGCCGTCTCTTTTCATCTTGCAAGACGGGATGGGAGGAAAACGGCGCATGACTGCAGTCTTTCCTGCGTGTTGCGTGTCTTTTCAGTTTGTTTTTTAATGCGTTATTTTGATTTACGTGTGTGGGGTCGAAGTCGCGTAAAAGTCCGCTCGCACAGAGCAACGTGAGAAGAGAAAGCGCAAACAGGAAAGAAAAGTGTGAAGATAATTCAGTCGCCAGTACGCATGTACATATACGTACAAAAGGAGACAGCAACAAGAAGGAAGACACAGGCTGCGCTTTTTGGTGTCGTTCCGACCTGCAGTCTCCGTGCCCCCAATACGTACATGGGAGGGTCTTTGCTGCTGTCGAGCTGCACATCAGAAACGTCACGGCAGATGGGACGCCGCGGCCAGCGGGAAGCATTACATAGCCTTCATGGGAAATGTTCAAGTAGGAATCTAAAGTTGCGTTGTCTTTGCAGGCGTTTCTTAAACATCGCGCAGATGCCGCGTTAACGCAACGGCTCAAGCGTACGCGGGGTACACAGAAGCTGCAGCAAGGAAAACTACTACAACACACGCAGCCATGACCACAGTGACTCGGGCGTGCTGGACCTTCTCACTGCCACAAACATCAAGCTACGTATGTGCGACCACTGCGTGCCTTCGAGTGGAAAAAAAAAGTGTCACCACATGAAGGAAACCGCTAAACAAAACAAACAAACAAAAAAAGAACTGGGAATGTGCAAAATACAGACACTCACAAGAGTTTTTTTGTTCGCAGACCCTCCCCTCCTCCTCCCGTGGATAACATGGGACGTACCCTTCGATGCCGTTCCCGCTTCTTTTGATACCGCTGCCCGCAATGCAACCCCACAGCCCGCCCCTCCTCCACCAGGCACGAGCAAAAACGGACAACCCAAAGCACGCCGCACAGTTCAACGCATTCCAGTTCCTTTACATCCCTCCGACAAGGCGACACAGTTAGCAATTACAAGAGCAACCCAAACCACGGCATAAGTAAAAAGAAAAAAGAAAAGAAAAGCAGACGATCAGAAAAGCCGCCGCAGACGATGAAGAGCACACACAGCTGTGCATTCTTTCCCGCGCTCCACTAAGTATAGCGTCGACCCGCACACCGGCCCCAACCGCTACTGTCGGGCTGCTTCACATTGTGAGAGAGAGAAGGGTATTTTTTCTCCCTTTGATTCAAGCATAAAGAGAAAGGGCAAACGGAACTAGGCGCAACAAATCCAGCAGATAATCTCGCTATGGTGTATTAGTGCAAGGCCAGTGATTCGCCCCTGCAGCTCCACTGCACTCGTACCAAAGAGAAAGAGAGGAAGTATACAGGATAATCGCTCGTTCATATTAAAGAACCAAAACTAGGAGAAGAGCTGATCAAAGCGAAACTCACAGAGAAAAAAATAAATACAAAAGATAACGCGGCGTGTTCGACGAAAACACACCACCAAAGCCGAGAAACAAATGGAGAGACGCACACACACAAAGAGAGGGGGAAAATAAAACACATGTGCATTCGAAATCCCCATCAGTGTCAGCCACCGACATAGCAGTAACGGAAAGCGGCGCTAATGAAAGCAACTGCGTTGGTAACCAGATTGCTACACCATCTCAAATTCCATCGGCTGCGGCACCGCGTTGTAGCACGTCGCACCCGGGAAGTCGTTCATCACGGTCATCTCCAACAGCACCTGCTGAGTAGTGCAGCTGCGGCACCAGCACCCCACGCAGCAATCACTGAAGCACGAGCCGCTGATGCCGTACCGTTCGCGCGCCATGCGTCGCGTCTCGCTCGCGAAAATCCACGTGACGAGCATGTGCAGCGCGCATAGGTCCGTGAAGGTCATGAGGAGGCAGTATGGCCAGTGGATTTCTCGCTTGTTGGCCACGAACATGTTGCACTGACGACTCAGCTGGCAATAGAGGCAGCAGCACGCCTCGGCGCACGAGTCCATCTCTTTACATGAGACGCATAAGGAGTAGTGCCAGGGCCGGTGACGAAACTTGGTGGCGGTGAGGTTGACGGGGATGTCGTTCGTAGCCGCGTAGCGGCTCGCAGGAGCTCCTGCGTTCCGCTGCGTTGGAGGAGAGGAGGAAGGGGAGTACTGATCTGGCACGTTCCGCGACCGCTGTGGCTGTGACGCACCAGTGGGAGGAGGGGGGGGGAGGGCATCGGCGACGTTCACAAGGCGCTCGTCGAGGTCCTCCTGCGCGTCGCTCGGCGGATAGTAATCCGCCGGTTTGGTGAAGACAGGGCTGGCGTGCTGTGACATCGCGGCAGTTTACTGACCTCGGCGGGTTTAAGCGAGTTAATGGTGTACGTGAGAAAAGAGAAGAGAAAGAAAATAACCTGAAAGTCTCCAACGAGCTGAGAGTACGCGGGAACTGAAAATGGGCAGTGAAAACAAAAAAAAATGGACAAAGACAAGTGTTCGTAGCGTGGACGGCAAAATATTTTTGATGCATTAAAGAGAGAGCGAGAGACGGTGAGGGAGCAGGAATAGAGCCTGTGAATAGTGTGAGGTCTTCAGGTACGTGGCAAATAGTCCAGAGCATCTATGTAAATTGATTCCGTTTTCCTTCCACTGAAAGCGGAGCGACACCCTCCTCGTACAATGAAAGCTGCTATCAGCCTCATTTCTATTTTCATCAACACTACGCTTTTTGTATGTCTGAGAACTTAAAGTATGGCTTCGTTCGAGACCACACAGGAACACAAAAGAAAACAGAGTAAAGTCCAGAGAGAAAAGGAAAAACAGCCGATCGTCTCGACAAACGGTAGCGCCTCATTGCCTCCCAATTCATCACAAAGTTGTTAAAAAGGGGCAGAGGAGAAAAGACAGAAGGGCTCCACCACTCTCTTCGTCGTGCAGGATCGGAAAACAAGGCGGTTTTTTTTTCTCTTAATCGAATGCAACAAAAACAAAAGAAATCCCGTAGTATTGGAGAAGTGGTGGGTGTAAGAGAAGAGACAAAGCACAAGAGGAAAAGATCCGTGGTATTGAATCATGGAAAGAAGGGACAAATCGGTTAGAAGCGCAAGGAGGACATCAACAACAGAAAAGGGAGCAGAGGGTAAAGGAGAGGTGGTGTCACCCCTTCCCCATGTCCTTTTTTTTGTGATGGAGAAGCCCCTTTCCTCTTACAGAAAAGAAAAATAATTTCCACTAACAAAGCACATTCTGACTGCAAAAAGAATAATTAACGGTATGTGTCTAGTTTTTGCACGAGAGACGAATGAAGAAGAGAAGAAACGAGTCCCATGCACCGATAAATGCCGAGAAAGTAGCAAACCTGGTAAGACGAGGTTGGAAAGTTCAAATACGCTCACCACGGCTGCGAGGAGAACCGCGAGAAAGCGATGTCTGCTTTTTTCTTTCTCTCTCTCTTTAGTCTGACCATCAATAAAAATATGAACATCTGCCTTTAGCACTATTACTGCTTAAAGAAGGCACATCGGCTTTTACGCTGATGTATAGGTGTACACGCAATGTAGGCGCGAGCACTCGTCAATACATGTTCGTGGCGCCCGGAAGATGAGGCACCTGGTAGCAGCACGCGCCAGGAAAATCGCCACGCGCGCTCATCTCGAGCAAAATCTGCTGTGTCGTGCATGACGTGCATAGCCATGCGAGGCAGCAATCTCCACAACACCCACCTGCAATGCCGTACCGCTCACGCGCCATCCGGCGTGTCTGGCACACAAAGATGAAGGCTAGCAGGCCAGCTGCACACAAGACATCCACGAGGTAGGAAGCACAGCACGTCAGCCAATCAATCTCCGCCTTGCCGTTCTTCATCATGTTGCACTGTCGGCTCATCTGACAACGTGTGCAGAACCATGCCTCGAGGCAGGAATCGCACTCGTCGCAGCACACACAGAGGCCGTGCAGAAAGCGCCCCTTTGCGTTCCGCGCCATCGTGGGTGGGGCGGTCACATAAGGAGCTGGGTTTGGCATCGTGTTGACCGGCACCGTGCGGTCATCACCCGTGTTGTCGATGGACATGTTGATTTAAAAAAAACCGATAATGGAAAACGGAGAGTAGCGTTAAAGAGCACTGAGAAAATGCAGCAGCGCTGTTCCTGTCCGCTCTGCCGCGGTGGTTGCTTCTGTTGCTGTCGCCGACGAGACCTGTTTAGACGTCGTGCGGCAGACGTTAAACAATCAAACAAAAAACAGAAACAAAAGGCTAGCAGCAATCAAGAAGGCGTCGCACCTATTGGCCCCACGAAAGTCATTGTCCGTCAACGAGGAGAAGACGTGGAATAAAGGAAAAGAAAGATTGACATTAAGCACCGTTGAAAGAAGGAAAAGACGGAGAGTTTAAAATTTTTAAAGTTGTGAGATGCGTTGCACACAGATATTCAGAAACACGCGCCTATTATCACAGTTAGGTGCGCATTTCGAGCGCGGAGTGACGTTCATTATTATGTGATGGATTTCATTACAAAAAGAAAATATGAAGAAACAGACATGCAGCGCCGTGATTCTGGTCACTCTTTGATGCGGCTTGGGCGATAGGCTACGAGCTCCATCAACAAGAACTGCGATGCTAAAGCTAAAACTAAACACTTTTCTTTTCTTCTCATTGAACTGGATACTTTTTTCATACAGTCAGGAGTGGATGCCGGCAATCGTATGCGGCTGTGCATTCAACACGCGCGGATCACTCAAAGAAAAAACTGGTTCACCGGCAATAAAATAGTTTTGGTATGTGCGCGCCTGTGTGCGTGTGCGGTGTCGTGAAGCGCGTCTTCGACAGAGCACTGTGCTCACTACTTTACATGAAATCAAACACCTTCGCCTTGCCGTCATCGCCGGCGGCAACCAACTTGTCAGGACTAGCGAAGATCTCGCGCACGGCGGCGGCGTTCGCATCGAGCTCGTAGTGTAGCTCGCCCGTTTCCACGTTGTGCACTAGCAGACGGCCATTCCCGGCGCCCGTCAGGAGCAAGTTGCCGATCATCTCCATCGAGTAGACGAAGTCGTCGTGGTCGCGTAGGACGTACACCTCCGCGTAGTTGCGCCGCGCATCCCGCGCGACGATACGCTTGTCGGCGCCGCAGGTCACAATGAGGGGTGCGGACACCACAGTGGCAGCGGGGGCACGGATGAAGGTGACCATCCCGCCGGGGTGCAGCTCTTCTTGGAACGCCGGCTTTGTCTTTGGCGGTGTGCGGGTGTCCAGCACCGTCAGCACGCCACTTTGATCGCCAAACATGACGAGATGACCCACATCTGGATGTATCAGGTGGCCGAGGGCACCAATTTGGCCCCGCTTTGATGAAGCGGTCAGGTGGCACTGCGCCGTCTCGGCATCCCACAACTTGACCGTCCCCTGACGGTCGCCGGACAGCACCTGCTTCGCACACCAGCTGAACTGCGTGACGGGGCCTTTGTGGCCAGCAAGGCAGCCGATTTCACGCCCACCACCCATGGAGCTCAACTCCCAGAGGCGGATCGTACGGTCGTAGCTCGCACTCATCGCAATCGCGCGGCCGCCACTCTCGTTCACCTCCACCTGGCTGATGCTGCCGGTGTGTCCGAGCAAGTCAGAACACCGCGCCGGACCACCACGCGTCACGTCGCTCCACAGACACAGCTTCGAGTCCATGCCACCAGAGAGCACGCGGCGGTCCGACAAGAAGCGGCACGACGTCACCCATTCGGTGTGGCCGCACGTCTTCGTGTAAAGCGACTTCACCTCCCGCATCGAGTTAAGATCGAAGACCTTCAGCCCGTGATCGGCCGACCCGACCACGCAGAGAGAGGCGGAGCCGGAGGTGGACGATAAGGAAGAGATGCCACGGCGTGCGGCTGTCGTCGTCGCGTGGCGACCGCCCGCACCACCCGGTGGTACAAAGACATCCATGCACAGCAAATTTCTATCACTCGCGTCAAACGCGCGCCCCTCCGTGTCGGTGGGGCCGTCGTACCACGTCGTTCGGCTTCGCAGTTGTGCCACGCTGACGTCGCCCTTGGTTGGTGGTTTGTAAAACGGGTCGTCGGCTGGCGCACCCGCCATTGTCGCCACGGCAGCTCGCTGTGGTGCGGCAGAGGCCACGCCGCCGTAGAAGTCGTCCGCCAGCGCATCCATTTCCGCTTGCAGCGCGTCTCGGTTGGACGTTGGTGGGACGCGGCGTGATGGAGTTGCGCCGGTTGCAGTGTTGGGGATCTGAGTAGCACCGACGGCACGAGTGCCCATCGTTCTTGAAGAGCCATCCGTGCACTGGGAGGAACCCGCTGCTCTGCCTCCGCCCACACGGCTTGAGGCGGCGGCGGCGCGGCGCACGGCGGGCCTCGTAGTTGTTTGAGTGCGAGGAGGGACGCCCGCATTGCTGCCGCTCCCGGTGTTGTCGGAGGACATCCGATATCTGTCGCTGTTGGTGTTGCTGGAGCGCATTGCGCAGAAGGCCTCCGTGGGCACGGAATCGATAGTAAATAGGTTGCTGCTTACCAACAGCGGTGAACGGTGTGGCGGAAGATCAATGGTGTTCGTGAAGCTTTAAAGGATAAAAATATGAGAACGAAAAGAAAAAGATGATGTGCTTACACTTCTAAAAAGAGAAATGAAGAAGAATTTTCGACAACGAGGTTGAAACGGCGAGAAGTAAAATAGGAGGAGTTGGTTGATTACCATTCAAGTAGAAAATGAGAAGGCCAGCCGTCGCATATCATAGCTGCCATCGCTGATCCCAGACTGTGTACGGTACCGGCTGAACACCTGTGGTGGAGAAATCTCTCCTGCAAACGACATGACAAGCTCAGCGCTGGCTTAGCCCGCCTACGAGTGCTGGGTAGACGTTTCACGCGAAAACGTCCGCCACGGGGACGCACCAAACTGGTGCATTTGCAACAGTTGTGATAAAACACGTCGTTTATCTCGTTAACAAGGCAACAAAAGAAAAAGAGAGAAAAAAAAGAGGGCTCGAACGAAAGGGTAAGAAAGAAAACCTACAGAAAACGCTCGAGAAACACGCAAATAGCAGACAAGCACGTGAAAGAAGCACAGGGGAAAGAGCAGCAGTTGCGACGCAAAAGGGCAATCCGCGTGTTGTTGGTGTGTTTTTTGGGGGCGCCTCCTTTGTTTCAGACGTGGCGAGCGCAGCCGTGACACGCAGAGCTTGCCCACTTGAAATGTTTTCGTTTTTTTCTTTTCTTTTTTTTGCTTTCTTAGAGCACACTTTTTAGCCTTCACGAAGCACTTTTTAAAAGCTCAGTAGAAGAGAAAAAAAAAACGTAGTATCGTTTACTGATCCCCTCGCTAAATAAGAAAGCAAGAAAGGACAGCGGCTAAATGAAGCCAGCGTTGCACCATCAAGTGTTATCATTCAGTACATCCAAAGGACGAATAGAAAGAAGAAAAAAAGTGTTCAGCACCAGTATCCTGAGCCGCTGCTTTTCTTTTCGTAAAAGAAAGCAATTAAATACAACCAAACAACGCAAGAGAGAAAATTTGACATGCATGGTCACTAAGCCAAACGCAAGAAGAAAGAAAATAGCGGAGTCCTTGAGAGGGAGGTGTGCGTGTGTGTCTTCTAAAGCATGAGCGGCTCCTCGGGCGCCAAGGGGATGACACCACACATGCTCATTCCAGGGCAGGAGCCAACGGAGGTCATCTCCAAAAATTGCTGCTGAATCGCACACGGCGCACAAAGCCACGAGAAGCAGCAGTCCGACACGATGTTGCCTTCGATACCGTAGCGGCGACGAATATCAGAGCGAATCACGTACTGGAGCGCAAAGCCGGCCGGCACGCCCATGGAGTCCAGCAGCACCACCGCCAGGCACACCGGGATGTGCAACTCCGGCTTCAGGTTGTACAGCATGTTGAATTGGCGGCTCAGTTGGCAGGGAGCGCAGACAAAGCACTCTAAGCAGGAGTTCATCTCACTGCAAAGGGTACATAAGCCGTAATGCCACGGCCGCTGCACGTTTCCCACCGAGTGAATGACCTCGGTCGGCGCGGCATCGACGGCGTCATGCACGTCGCGCTGTCCGACCTGCTTGTAATCAACGTTGGTGGCCTTCGACATCTCTGAGAAAGAAAAGAAAAACACAGTTATCGTTTTCTTTTGCTGTTGCCGTAGAAGCGGAAAGCACGTCCGAAAGAAAAGAGAAAAATATTCGAAATGAATAGCAAGTATCTAATGGGAGACGAAAGACGATAGTTTTTTTTTTTTAAATTAGGAGAACAACAAGAAGACGCAACGTAGCTAAATGGGAAATAACAGCTGAAAATGAGAGAGTGTTGAAGACATAAAGTGGGGGCTGCGTAGGAAGACGCGATGCAAAAGAGGAGCGTTTTACTGCTCCTACTACTAACGTGCACCCCACCAGTAGGTGTAAACGCTTAATGAGGAGGTGCAGCGTTGTTCTCCGGTTCGACAATTGTTGCAAAAATGCGGCTGATGAAGAGATGCCAATTCGCCACCAAGCGGCATCAAAGCAACAAGAGATATTTTCTTTCCGTTTCTGCTTAGCGATTTGTGGTTGTCCTTTTTTCTTCTTTTAGGATCTTTCCGTACTTCGTCAAGTGTGAAATTAAACTTTTACTAAAACGGTGACAATAAGAATAACAATAAGAAAGCAAGAAGGAAATGGTAAGATCTACAACAATTTCATTTATTTACAAGAAAAGAAGAGAATCTATGCGTTAAAGCGTGCCCCCCTCCCCCGGTCACACCGACGATGAAAAGCGTCTTCACACGCTGGGGAACACAAATCAAAACAATTAATTCGTTAAATAATAATAATAATAGAACGGAATACAACAACAGAAGAAAACAATAAAGTGAAAACACGCTTTTCTGAACGCGAACCAAGTAACGAGGAAATCGTGAGAAAAGAGAATTAAGAACGCTGGCACTCCTAAACGAAAAACACATTTTGTTAAACATAAAAAAAAAATATAGAAACACAAGAGTAGCGCCGAATGAGATGAAAAGAAGCCGTTTGGACAGCTCATTTGACCACATTAGAAGGAGGTTAACCCGGCAACACATGCTTGTCACGCATTTTCCCTCGCACAGAAGAAAGGAAAAAAAAGGGGCGTGTGAAACTCAAACAGAAATCATCAAACGCACCACCGTGAATGCAGGGAAACCGTTCAAAACAAAACAAAAAAGCACGGCTCCCAACGATCTTCTTTTGAGTTCACCATGTGCCGTGCTCGTAGCTTGGCTGCATCGAATCTTAGCACGCTCATCGCGTTACGCAATGACGTTCTCGTATACGAAACCAACATGAAAGCTGTAGCCGATTGGGATCGCACGCTCGTCGACACGGAACTTGCACGAGTGGCAGGTCTCACTCCAACCCTCCGCCTTGTTGCCCGTGCCTAGCCAGAGGTAGCAACCGGGCTTCACCAGCTGATATGCAGAGAAGTCCTCGCCGCCGTAAACCGCCACTTTGGGATTGATTATGTTTTCAGCGCCGATGATGCGCTCGCCGATGGAGTGGATCTGCGCCGTCACCGCAGGGTCGTTGTCACAGCAGTCATAGCCAAAAGTGAAGTCCAATTGGGCAGAGCCGCCGTGTGCAGCAGCGATGTTCTGCGCAATGCGCTCCAGCTCGCGAGGCACCAGCTCGCGCACACCCTTGTCCTGCGAGCGTACCGTCCCCATCAGCTTCACCTCGTCAGGGATCACGTTGTGGCTCTCATTTGGCCCCGTCGTCATGGTCGTGACGGAAACCACCGGCGCCACCTTCGGGTCCACCTTGCGCGCCACAATCGTCTGGATGGCCGTCACCACCTCCGCGGCGATCGGCACAGGGTCCACCAGCAGCTGCGGCGTCGACGCGTGGCCGCCACGGCCGCGGATCACCAGCTTGAAGAAGTCCGGGTAACTCGTGATGATGCCGGGCATCAGTCCGACAGTGCCGGCTTCGTAATTCGGCGCGCAGTGCATACCAAAGATGCTCTTCACGCCCTCCATCACGCCCGCAGCCACCAGCTCCTTCGCGCCGCCAGGCAGCAGCTCCTCCGCGTGCTGGAAGATGAAGCGCACGCTGCCCTTGATGTCCGCGTGGTGCGCGCATATCACCTTCGCCGCACCCAGCAGCATCGCCGTGTGCACGTCGTGCCCGCACGCGTGCATAACGCCTTTGTTCTGCGACTTGAAGGGCACGTCCGTCTCTTCCTCCACCGGAAGCGCGTCGATGTCAGCACGCAAGGCCACCATAGGACCCTCGCCCGCACCGCCCTTCAGGTTCGCCACGACGGAGGTAGGCACGGGGTGCGTAATCTCGAGCGCCGGGCAGTTGAGGCTCTTCAGCGTCTCCACGATGAAGTCTGCCGTCTTGGACTCCTTGTAGGAGAGCTCGGGGTTTTGGTGAACGTGGCGGCACCATCCGATTACCTCGTCCTTCACAGCCTGGCACTCGGCCATGAGTTCCTCAAAGCTGACGGGCATCGTTCGATACTTGGCGATCTTCTCCTTTTTTTTAATGTCGTTGTGGAGGCAATAGGAAGCAATGATGAGTTCCGAATTGCACGTGTTGGCAATAGCCGCGATAGACTCTGGGATTCAAGACTACAGATAATCTTTGGTGTTGCGAGCCATACATGTAATGAAACGTAGAGAGAGAGAGAGAGATGTTATAGAGTTGAGTAAAGTTGGCTACGAGCGAGGCATTGTATTATTTGTTGTTTGATTAAGCGTTCTTCCCATGACACAGAGTTCGACAGAAGCACTGACACACGGCATCACATATCTTCACGCAATTCAAACGACTGGATCACTTCTGAAGGTACAAGGTCGCAAGCAATCGTTTGGGGCACCGTATTCGCTCCGCTTTTATTCGCCTTCCTCGACACCTTGAAGGGCGGGGGTCCCAATACAAACAGCCAGTCAAAAAAAAAAGGGGGGGGGGAGGACATTCGAACTTACCCTCACAGCCTGCAAGGAGAGCTGGTGAGACAAGGCGTTTCTCTTTAGTATCGCTTTTCTTCATACGATACGCCCACCCAGCGTGAAGGGGGGAGAAGAGGCGTAGAAAGAAAAGAAGAGAAAAGCCACGCAACCAGAAAACAAAACACACGGAAAAGGTGGCACTTCAAATTTCTCAAAACGAAAAACACATTAACATCAAATGGGAAAGTGGCACGCACACACACACACACACACGCCGGCAGAGAAATCCGTACATCCAGTAAAATGAAAATTATTGACCAAAACAGGAAGGACGTTAACCTCTCGTACGAAGTCGCTCAGATTGCGTCATTCCCTCAGCGTTCTCTTTATTGCTGTTGCTGTTGATCCGCTTTAGCGTGAGCACTAAATTGAATAGCTTCAACTTCTCCAACTTTTTTTCCCAACGTACCCGGCAGAACATAGACAGAGAGCCGGAAGAGCCAAACGAGAGCAGCACAGGGTGCGCTCGTAAAAGGCAGAAAAAAAAAGGAAGAAGTTTTTAACAAAGATATATGTATATATACGTGTAGGGTAGCAGTGTTTTATCCTTGTCTAGTAGGGTTCCGCTGGCGGAACGCTCAACAGCAGCCATAAATCCAAAAAGGGGAGCTGTTGTAGACGAACACTAGCCCGCGTACGGCTCAATCTTAAAAAGAGAAGGAAAAAGACAGTACTCGCAGCCGCCTCCAAAAACGGTTCATGCAACATGAAATCATCTCCTTCATTCGATTTGTCCGCCCAAGAGTTGACGTACAGAAGCGGCTATGACGGAAACAAAATAGGAGGGGTGGGTCGTAGGGACTACTTGGACAACACGTGCCCGTTCGATTGGAAAGGAAAAGAACAATCTAGCATGTCCTACGGAATAAAAAACGTAGACAGTGTTTTCATGATAAAAATGGGAAAAGCAACACGTCCACTTTTGAGGACGAGCACGCGAGAAAGAACACGAAAGAGAAAACGGAGAGATCATAATACCTAAAGAGAAGACAGTACCACCAACAAAAGACCCTCAGAAAAAAAAAGGGGGTGTGGGAAGTTAAAATCTAAGAATTCAAATCTAATTTGAGCACAAAATGAGGGAGGTAAGTCTAACGGTGATCTAAACAGGAAAAAAAAAAGAAGAGGACGTAGCAGAGAGAGAATCCTTGTTGCTGGTGTTATTATTTTTCCCTCCTCATTGCCTCACAGTGCAGTTCATCTGGTAGCACCCGCAAGTGCGTCCGAGCTGACCATTACTTTATCCAATGCGCCACAAAACAATCAACCACAACCCCAATAGCAACGTCAGCAACCGACACATCGGGTAAGAGCGACAGTCTTAACAATCAACGGAAAAAAAGGTGCTTCTATGCTGCAAGAGAACTAGTTAAAAACAAAATAAACTGTCTATGGAAATGAGTAGACCTCAAGCTACTAAAAGGTTGCCTTCGTTTTTTTAACTTTGTTGTTCTCTTTCTTTTTTATTTGTTCCAATGCGATGCCTCTGAGTCGCCAGCCCCAGCGAGCGGACCGCAGCTGGAAAACCCCATATATATATATTTGAATCTGTGTGCCTCTATGAGAGTGTCTATGATACGGTGGAGTGCATTCAAGATTCCTTGCTGCAGGGGCAAGGCCAAGGAAAGCTAATTTCGTTAGCAAGCGGCTGCAGTGACTGTCCGTTGACCTGTGTGGGTTTCTTCATGACCATCATCAACACTGCTTCTGCACATCAGCACTGTTTTAGAAAGACACGACAGCTCAAGTGAAACTGCAATTCGCGCACCACACGCGAGGTGTTTGTAAACCGCTGCGTCGTGGCAGCGGCAGCGGTGTCCGCGACGACGACGCGGTAAAACACAACGCAGATGCTGCCGTCAAAGGTGAAGTAAATGGACTCGAGCTGGAAGGGCAGACTGGAGAACTTGAACTGACGCTCGCACTCGATGTAGGCTGCTGTCTGCTGCTGCAGGGCCTGCTCGTGTTGTTGGCGGTCAACCGCACACCCAAAGACGTCCACCTCGCGCAGGAGAACACCGTTCATGTGCTCCCGACAGGCCTGGTCGGCCGGCGTACTGGAGGACGAGGGGTAGAGCCGCACACAGACGCCGACATCTTCGAAGGGCACATTCTCGTAGGGGCTTTCATCACCATACACGTGCGCCAGGTACGACTTTCCCACCTCCACCAGAGACAGCGGCGCACGCGCCAGAGTTGTGCTCGCCATGGCGGCACCATCAAGCTCGCCGTTACTGCTGCTGCTACTGCTGCCGTTGCTTTTCTCAAAGTCGCGCGTCAGCGCCGCCTGTGCCGCCACCAGGGCGGACGACGAGAGGTTCGCCAGAAAACGCATCGTCTGGCCCTTTGAAAACTGCAGCACGGCCACCACATCGGTCTCGCTGCTCTGCCGTACGCCGCTTCCGTCGATGATCGCGGCGGCGCCGTTCTGGCGTGACTGCAGAGAGGCGCCAGGATGGCCTGCTGGGGGGATCCGGCGGGCAGAGGGGCCGGGGACGACTACACGCGTCGTCGCCGTCGTACGTGCCGCGAACACATCGGCAATGCTCGTGTGCAAGGAGGAAGAGGGGAGAGAGGCGGAGGCGGAGACGCACCGCGGACTGCCAGCCCCGCGTCCATTCAACACCGTGCCATTCACCGACCGACCAAGTCCCGCAGACGCCGGCGCACGCGTCACTGTCACGACGTTCGCTTTCGGCACCCGCCGCATCGAAGGGCCCTCGACGTGGTGGTGCTGCATCGGAGGCGACTGCACCTGCGAGCGGGCGGCACCGCCGCCCCCACGCGAGGCGTACCGGGGACCGCCCGCACCCGCCATCGACGGAATGGCAGGGGCTGTCGCCGACTCGTCGCCTGAGCTCAGCGACAGGAGGTGCAGCTTGTCGACGGGCACACGGCGGCCACTGACGGCAATCAACGAGCCCGCTGCCGCCTTCACCTGTGGGAGGTGGTGGCTGCGGCGTGTCGGCTGCGGGACATGCGATGTGCCTACTGGGGCTGCCGATGTCGCACCGTTACGCCGCGGGTACCGGCTCTGCTGCTGCACGTCATCATACGACGGCGGGGGAGGGGGCACATCGCCAGCAGCAGCAGCAGAAGCAACAGTCTCCCCGTCGCGGTCCGAGAACGTCGGCGACTCCTCTTCCGCATACTCGTCCCCAGCACTGCGAGGGCTCTGCTGTTGCACTGCGGCCGCCAGCATCGCCAGCATGTCCGTCCCGTTGGTGAGGCCATCGTTGTGGAACTCAATCCCACCTGAGCGACGCCCCGGCGCGTTGCCGCAGTGAGGCAGAGGATGATGATAACCCTCGTCATCACCACCACCACCACTGTTCGGCCGCATCGCCTCTTCCATGGCGGATGCGAGCAGGCGTGGCGCCTGCGCAGATGTCGATTCCACGTAGGCGTCGGCAGCAGACGACACCGCCGACGTGGAGAAGTACACCATCGGGTCGCGTCGCACGCCAACCGCGGGCACCTCACGAGGCGCGAGGTCGCTGTAGGGCGAGGTGCCCCCGTCGTTGTCGTCGTTGTCGCTCTCGGCGAAGACGCCATGCGGTGCCGCAAAGCGCTCCGGTGTGCTCTCGGCCGTCATGGCGAGCCCTTGTCCCCAGACGTCTGCAGTGTTGGCTGTCTTGGAGGGGGCAGGCGCGGCGAAGAGAGACTCCAAAACCGCGTACGAATTGAACGGCGCCCCATGCGCTGCGGCGGCGGTCGTCGTATCCAGCAGGTGCTGCTGCCGTTTGCGGGAGCCGTGCGGACTCACCCCGTTTGAATCGGAGCGCCGCGCCGGCGTGGAGGTGTCGAAGCAGCCGCGGAGCATCTCCTCCACCGCCTGCTGTAGGTCGAAGGTGCGATGCGGGGTCCGCACAGGGTCGTAGCTGCCGGCGGCGCCGTCATGCGTTGGCGTCTCGGAGCCGGACTCGAAGGAGTTGTTGAGGTAGAAGGAAATGTCGTCCATGCGGGTGGGGGTCTCGCTCAAGGCGCGGGCCGCCATCGCCGCCGCGACAGAGCGACGTGCTCCGCTGGGCGTGCAGTGCAGAGACGACTGCGGGGAGACCTGCGTAGCGCCGCTGACGCCGGCGGCCACATCGGCTGTCGGAGAAAACGCACTGCCCGTCTTTCCCTGTGTGTACAGAGGCGAGCACTGGCTACGGCTGCGCTGCTGCATTAGTTTTGTGGCCGTTGAAGTTGTCGCTACTGGGTTGACGCCGCTGGTGTGGTTCGCTGAAGGCAAGACGTTGTGACCCGGGGTACGCGCCACACTCAGCAGGCTGCTGTCGCTGATGATGCTGGGTGTTGCAGCACAGGCCGCCGCGGCGTCGGCCCGTTTGTGGGTGTTGGGAGTGACAGCCGTAAGACCGGCGGTGATGGCACGCGTGAGAGACTTCAACGGGCTGCGTGATGGTGCTGCGGTGGGGAGTGCGTTGCCAGGGTCGTCACACACAACGTTACTCGATTCGTACGCCGCACAGTCTGCGACGGCCGGTGCGTCTGTGTTCATAGGGTCCTCTACTTTCAGGTCTGCCAGTACGGGCGTGCCGCAGCACGCGAGGTCCACGTTGCCTACGGTGCTGCCGGCGGCAGGCGCCACACATCTGCGTTCATTACCCTTACCATTCCCACCGAACCTGCCAAGCGACACCCCTGCTGGAGGAATGTTTTCCTTATTCGCATTCAAGTAGGAATTTGTCACATCGCGAAAAGCCGATGGAGTCGCCGCTGCATTGACCTCCGCCGTGGGCGAGGCTGCGTTGCTGCGAAGGTTTGACATCGAGCGTATTGAAGGACGACAGAGAAAAAGAGAACTTATCCCAGCCTCGTGGCGGCCCGTAGCTGAAATCTATAAAGAAAAATTGGGTTTCTGCTGTGCTTGCTACCGGAGAGTCAGAACTAAAAAAAAACACGTGATTCGTTGTCAGCCGTATGGACTGCTTTTCGTCTTCCTCGTACTGAAACCGTAGCAACAGCAGCCAAAAGAGATTTAAAACGGAAAGCAAGAGTCTCTGAGGTCAACTTCACGTAGGGAGAGAGATCAGGTACTCACAAGTGCTCCGCAACGGGAATGCAACCAACGGGATAAAACGACGAGAGAGGCACAAAGCGCGGCTATCGTATCGGCGACGGGTTACCTATTCCGATTCGCACGCTATCGGGCACTTCTAAAATGCACGAGAAAACAAGGATAAAGAAAAAAGAGTAGATCTATAAAGAAGGCTGTATCCTGAATCAATAAACCAAAAATGACTCAGCCACAAAAAATAGGTAAAAAGAACTCTATGCGGGTGCGTGTCTGTATGTGGGCGTGTGCGTGTTTTTGAATGAAACGGGAAAGGAAAAGAGAGAAGCAATCGTAGAGTCCCTGGGACCATTCAACAGAAAAGAACACGACGTGGCCTGAGAAAGTGATTTCGCCCCTTCTCTCAAAAAAAAAAACTAAATATAACTCGCTCGTTTTATTTGCGTCACTTCCTTGTGTCTTACTTGCCGCGACGGTCCCACACGCTCCGATTGAGGCTCGGTGATGGCACTGAGGAAAGAAGCGCGAGATGATTTATAGAAAGGCTTGTATTAAGTGTGTGTGCGTTGGTGCGGGTGTGCATCTATCTTTCGGTTGTGGTATTCGATGACGAGAGAGATGGCAGGTCAGCAAAGATGCGGCACACAAGAGTAAAAACAAAAACAGTTGAAGAGAATATGTGAAGTAGAAGAAGTTAGCAGGACGAGTGGAGCTAGAATGTCAATGAGACGGCAATGGTGGATGAGCATACAAGGTTTGAGGGTGAACATAAATATTTACGGATCTACTAAATCTACTTTGACTCACCCTGGCAATTCTTTCCCCCTCAAGAGTTACACAAAGTTGCATTTTCGCAATGAAAAGGAAAAAAACAAACAAAGCTAATTAGTAAGGCTACAAATGCCACTCGGTAAATGGTGAGCCGCTACGTCGTGGTGAGCCGGCCGCTCCGTTTCCGACGTATATTCTTCTTTTCTCTCAAGTTTTATTATTATGCACGTCATTCATCGAACACGGTTAAACGAGGCGTACAAGCACGACGCAAGTACGCATTTTATTGCCATCGCGTCCATCGGCGAGGAGACGACACGGCTGCTCATCACAAGCCAAGGAAAGACCCTTCCTCGGTAACTGTCTCTTCTTTAGCCATTCCCTCGCAGGAGCGAGAGATTCAACTTAACGCCTTAAAAAAACATAAAAATGAAAGAGAGGAAAGGCGGCTCCCAATAATGATGATGAACAGTAAAATGGAAGCATCTGCCCTAGGGTGCGGAGGAGGAGCACCTTCGCACAAGCAGTAAAATAAGCCGTTCCATTAAGAAAACAACACGGCACGACAAACACCTCAAAGAACAACAAAAAGAAAAAGCAGAGAAAAACAAAAATAAGAGTTTTAGAATAACGGACAGCAATGGTTAGCTAGTGTACAAGGGAAGTCGCTTGAGGGCAAACGAAAGCGCTAGTCAAAAAAGCCGCCGCCACCGGAACTCTTGAGCTGGCGTTGAATTTTCTGCTTCTGACGGCCCTTCTGCACGTTGCGGTGCAGGTGGCGGTTGAAGTCGCTGTTGTCTTTGCGACGGATGTTCTTTCGAATCTGGTGTTTCACGTGGTCCTCGTTGATCTCGCCATCGGCCAAGAAGTTTGCGTTGCGGTTCGCGTTGCGGGCGTAGTATTCGCCTTGGCGGAGTTCACGGGCGCCTTCCATTGCCTCGTCGAGTGAGCCGGCATCGCTGGAACCGTCGTCTTCACCGTCACCATTACCATCCTCTTCAGCACCAGTAGCAGCAGCGCGACGCAGCACGGCTGTAAACTGTCCTTCCTCACCATCGTCGATGTCGGTATCGTTCACATCGGAGTTGCCCTCCTCACCGTCTTGCTGTTCTTCTTCCTCTTCATCACTACCATCTGCGTCAGCGCCTTCGCCGCCCCCTTCCTCCTTCGCACGCTGGAAACCTTCTTCCATCAGACGCTCAAGGTCCTCTTGCTGCCTGTGCGTGAAGTGCCCACTCGCGTAGACCTGCTTGTCCAACTCCCCATGACGCACCACGTCGTTCGCCAAGGTAGGGAACCACGTCGTCTCCACCTTGAAGCGGCGTTGAAAGAAGTTGGCTAAGTTGTGCACATCGCGGTCGAACAGCTCCGCCGCGTTCGGGTGGTTGGTGGACACCATCTGCGGGAAGTCGATAACGATTACGCGCTGGTCTTCGGTGATCATCAAATTGAATTCGTTGAAGTCGCCGTGAATGAGCCCCGCCTCCGCCAGCTTCACCATCAGCTCGAGGGCGCGCCGGTAGACCTTGCTGGCGTCGCCGAGCTCGGTGATGTTGTTCAGCAGCGTCCCCGGCACCAGCTCCATCAGCAGCGCGTGTCGGTTCTGGTCAATCGGCTTCGGCACTGGGAAGCCCTCGTCATACAGCACCTTCATAAACGAGTACTCCTTCTGCGAGGCAAGGCGGGAGAGGTAGAACCAACTCTCACCGTGGCGCGTGCGTCCATTTCCCTTGTAGTCGCGATTGCGCGTGACGGTGCGAAACGAACAGCGGCCGAGGCGCTGCAGCTTCAGCACACAGTCGTGCCCGTTGTCATCACGCACGAGGATGATGTCGGACTCCTTACCACAGCCGATGCGGTGACCCACGCCCGTGCACGTGCCTCGGCGGCTCAGCGTGCGCAGTGCCAGGTAGTCGTAGGCGCCGTACTTCATGGCGTAGCCGTCGTACATGGTGTTTTCGTGGTGGATCATCTTGTGCTTCAGCAGCGTGTTCAGTCGCTTGCGACAGCCACCGTGCGGCAGCTGGGCAATGCGCTCAACGAGGGCGGTGGGGGCGACGTCGTGGTTGCGCATCGCCATCTCCAGCGCCGTCAGAACGCGGAAGTCTTCATCCTCCATGAAGCGGAGGAGCGTCACGTCCAACTTCACCATCCTTGCGGTGTAGCGACCGTTGAGTGGTTGCTTTTTGAAGTGAATCGCTACACCTGCGGCTGTGGCACGCTTTGTACAGTGGAGCAGCGAGGAAAACAAACACAAGAGAATCTCTGAACGGCGGCTCCGATTTCCCTTTTTCAAATCTTCCAGTTATGCATGTCGCAAAAGGAAAAAGGTACAGGGGAAAAGACAGCGATGAGAGAGAGAAGGGGAAAAGTTTCACCCGTGGCTACAAACAAGCGCTACGCTGAGCAGTCAGGTAGCTGCGGCGTAACGAGAGAACACCAACGCAAAGAAACAGGAGTTGGAGATGTAGGTTGCCGGAGCGTCGCTGCTCTGAACACCTTGGGCGAGCCAATAAGCGGAAAAAAAAAACAAGCGGAAAGAGTCACAGAGCACAACTCTGTCGTTTGGCTTTCTTTTGATGGATGCACCGACCGTTAAAGCACCAGCCTTCAACTCGGAAGCCAACTGAGCGGGCAAGCTGTCGCGTAAACAGGATAGAAGGAAAGAAAAACACACAGAGAAAAAAGAAGGCAGAGAGAACGGAGGGGAAAGCGCAAAAAACAAACAGTGAGCATCGCCGTTCTTGAAGGTCCCCCAGCGGCATCGATCTTTGTCCTCCGCATCCGCTACTTCAAGCTTAGCGTTAGGTGCAAAAGAGAGGCCTCATACAAGCTTTGCAGCACGAAGCTCTCCGACAAAACGTCTTGAAAGTCACGCAGCGACATCTGCTCCGTCGGCGGGGCCTGCAAAAACTTGAGCGCACTGATGTAGTCGTCACCAAACCCGAGCAGCTGCGGGCTCCACCGCAACAGCAGCGCCGCGCACACGTACACATGCGTGAGGCTCCACCTGCGCTCTTCGTCGGACAAGTACGCGTCCAGCAGCCGCAGCGACTGGGTCTCGGTGAGCTCGCGCAGCAGCAGGCAGTTCATCCAGCGGAAGCTAAAGTGCTCAAAGTGAAGATGCAGCGTATCCACGATGTCGTGGTACAGGGGCGGATCCGCGGCCTGCACCACTGCAGCCAGGTGTCGCATCATGGCTGTTATTCCCTCATGACTGCTAGTGTAGTTGTCCTGCATCACGTTGAGCAGATAAGAGGTGAGCCAGTACACCTCCGCCTCAAGCTCATTAATCCACTGCGTCACTGGTACGGCCGTCGGTGACCAAAGTTCCTCCAAGATGTCCGCCGTGTAGGAGTGCAACTCGGTGATGGACCGGGTCGGACAGAAGTGAGCGGCCAGCACGACCGCCATGAAAGGCACCACCAAGTCGTTCATGCCCTGCACATATCCACACGCGGGGTGACGCAGCGACCAAATAAACAGGATGCGCTCGATGGAACCCTGCACGCGTGGGTGGCGCAGGTAGCTGCGTCCACCTGACATGCGGGGAATGTCCTTGCGGATCTGCTTGAGTGTCTGCAGTTCCTTCGAGCCAAGCATCGTGCTGGCGCTCAGCTGATGTCCGGTGGACGTGCCGGTAAGTGGCTTTGCTGTGCTGGTCGTCGTCGGGAAAGTTGACTTGGAAGTAGAGAAAGTGCGAGAGTCCGCCGCCGGTAGTTGCTTCGGTGAAGGAGAGAAGTATGTGGTGGTGGTGGACGTGTTGATCGCAGAGTTGAAAGAGGCGTTCGCCACCATACCGGGGGCCTCCAGTGAGGGAGCAGAGCAAGCAAGTTTGGGGGACTGCGCCAGAAGTGATTGCACGTCTTCCAAAGAAACAGACGAATGCTGAAGTCCACGGGGACTTCTCCGCGGCTGCAGGGGAGCAACACTGGCAGCAGCATTGGCGCCTGGCGGACCTTCTACTGCACCCTTCAGCCCACCTCGCTTCTCGGTAGCGAGGGCGGGCGTCAATGGAGTTGCCTGAAGTGACGTCTGTCCAGCTACTGTCGTGAGAGCCGGTTCCCGCGGTTGCACCTCCCCTGCGGGTGCCGTGTCGACTGCCTTCAGGGTGGAGCGTCGCACCGCCGTATCCACACCGCTGTCCACCAACGCACAGACGGCGTCCCAGTCGACGGTGCCGTAGGAGCTACGGATGTACGCCGCGTACTCAATGCGGCGACGCGACACCGTTGGCATGCGTGTCGCCGCCTGCGGACTCCAGCACCCCGTGAGGAACATCCACACCTCGTAGCGCAGGTGCACTGGGCAGCCCTGCCAGCTCAGTTCACGTAGCTTGTCTACGTCAGCCGGATCCGCTCGCAAAGCGGTCTCGAAGCGCTTCACCTGTTCTGCGCTGGACGCGGTGATGGCGCTCGACGTGGTGAGTCCGCCGACAGCGGAGGACGTAGCCATGGTGTCGAGCCCAGTAGACGACGCCGACGCGGCGTGCGGAAGAAGTTTATGAACACGAAAGCTGCCCGAGGGAGCCGGCAGTGGGGTGTTGCTCCGCTCCCCACTGCTGCGTGACGCGTTGATAGCCAGTTTGGGCGATTTATTCGGCTTATTCGCGCTGTTGGTGGAAGGCGAGGACGGGGGGCCGCTGAGCAGGGCATTCACAGACCCGTTACTGCCACGCTCCAGCGCAGTTGGTGCGCAGCTATCGCCATCTGCTTTACTTAAACCGGTAGTGCGCACGCGAGGCACTTGATTTTGACTGCAATGGTACGGTCTGGTGGTGGCACGGTACTGAGTGCTGTCGCTGATACACAGCCGTGGGGCGGCGCTGTCAGACGTGCTGTTTTCTGAAGCAGCGCTGGAGCTGGCTTCTGCCTTGTTGGCTGTAGCCGTGGTAAAGGGCGAGTAGCCGAGCACGCGTTCAAGAAATGAGGAGTACATCAGCTGAGAGGAGCTTCATGGAGCATGGTCGGGGATCTACGTGAACAGCGCCAGAGCTGCAACAAAATCGCGTCAGTGAGAGTTCTCCGCAGTTCTTCCGTTGCTACGAAAGCGACAAGACCGGGTTAAAAGAAAAGTAAAAAAACAGCAGCAGCAGCAGCAGAGAGGGCGCGAAGCACATAGGAGAGAGAGAGAAAAAAGGACCGACAGCTTTATTGGCTCGGCGTCTACCAGCGGGGTCGATAGAAAGTTGGAACCTCGCTGTGGAGGCTTCGCTGATATTCCAGCAAAAAGGGAGAGAAGCCCAACGTGGGTTGGTGAGAGTCAAAGGGGGAGGAGAACGGGAAACGGAGATGAAGACTAGCGGGCTGCACAGAAGAAAAGCATTCTCTCATAGAAAAAAAAATGATAAAGGAAGGGGGAGACACGAAGTTCTCACGAGCTATTTCATAGCCGTGTTTCATGTAAGCAGCATATATATATATATAGAGAGAGAGAGAGAGAGAGCAGATACTTGATCAACCCGTACCTGAAGGATCATTTGCGATTGATACTTCGTTACTGTGGGAGAAAAAAAAAGGAATTAAAAGTGTTTCAATCGACAGGAATTAGCTGCACTCACAAACGCTAAAGAAGGCGAGAACAACGAGGCAACAAAGCGTCTCCTTTGTACTTATCGCCTTCGCTTCTTGCCGATAAGTGCAGAGGAACGAAGATCATCCAGCATCTGCATTCGATTCTTTGGCTTCGCATCGCTTCGATGTACAGTGTTGGGCGGTTCTGCGGCAGGTGACTGGCGGGAAGACTTGTGTTCGGCCGGCACGTCGTCCGGGTTAGAACCTGTGAAGCTCTTTGATGCCGTGACGGGCGCCGCCGAAGTGGACTTCGCGTTGTACGGGGTCGCAGACGCCCTCGGCAACGTCTTCGCCTCTTCACCGCTCGTGCCGGCCCTTTCGTCATCGTTGCTACCCCTCTCCGTTCGATTGCGGTGTGTGTGGTGACCCAACTGAATCCGCTCTTGCCTCACGTCCTCCAACCGTCGTCGCTTCACTTTTTCCCGCACCCCGCGAGGCACCACGCGCTGCAGTGTTGCCTGGTCTCGCGAGTCCACCGCAAACATGTTCTCTTGCGAGGGCCCGTGACTGAGCGAGGCCGTGCCAGCTGTGGCGTCGTCGGCGTCGCCGCTCGCGAGCGACCCGCGGCCGTAGATGAGTTCCGCCTGCTCCTGCTGCATCCGTTTTTCCTTACTCGAGAGTTTGCTGGCCCCCACACCGGCGCGACTCCACGGACGGCCTTCGCTTCCCTCGAGGCCGCCATCGCCATCCACACGTCGATTCGTGGGAGAGGAAAGGGACGACGAGGACAGCAAGCCATCCTTGTCCGCTACAGCGGTAGGCCCGCGCACCCCTCCTCCACCACGTGCCAGGTCTTCCCGGACGCGCTTCTCGGCAAGTTCAGCGTAACTTGCGCTGATGTTGAAGGGGCACCTCAGATAACCTCCCTTGTGCGACTTGACGGGGGTCTGGTGGGCATTGCGGCTGCCGTGGTTCTGTGCGGCGAAGCTGCTAGACATCTGAATGGTCTCCTTTTGGCTGACGCCCATATGTTTCCGTTTCCGCGCACCGCTTGGGGTATTCAGAAGGGGAGTGTGGCGTCTCTCTCGCAGCGCCGCTCACTTTTTTCTTTTACAAATCCAATGGGTAGGGCAAGAGGAGAAGAGAGGAGAGGAGAGGAGAGGATACGGTGTGGGACAAGAGCAATGTACGACAAAAGGAGAGTTCACGGCCCATTGAAGGCGCAAACGAGACACTTTGGCGTCCGATTCCGCACGCGCATTGCCCTCACTCTGGACGTGCAGGCATATTTTTTTTTTCTTGGGAGGAGGAGGGGTGCATTTACTATTTCTTCGTCATAAAATGATGCTCTCTCTGCTCAGCGTTCTACTAGAAAACTTCCTTCGCCTTTAGCGCTACAATCTCGTCGATGAGATCGTTCAGTGCCAGAGGTGCCCCCGGCAACTCGCGGTAGACAGCGTGTACCCCACGCGCGGTGCGGTCCAGCAGCACAGCAGTGCTCGCCCACCCTTCCAAACCGCCAAAGATGTGCGTCGAGTACACCACTGTCACGCCGCGCTGCGTGCTTTCCTCGTACAGAAACTGCAGCAGGCTGTGGCGCTGATCCACGTCAAGGTCGGCGGTCGCCTCATCCAGCAGCACGATCGGATTGTCTTCCAGCAAATGAAAGAGAAGCTGGACTCGCTTCTGCTCCCCTGCGCTAATGTGTCGCACGTCCCAGTCCATTTGCACCGCCAACAGGGATCGAAGATGCTCTGCGCGCGCTGTCTTGATCTGCAACAACTGATGGACGTGCATCTCACCACCAGGGACCACCGTCCACCAGTCCCCGCCATAGCTGACGAGTCCGTTCAATAGCATGTCTTCGTAGCACCGCTTTCCCAGCACGGAGAGGGCGCCGTTGCCATTGTCGAAGAACTGCTTGCCACCGAGCATGTTCAACAGAGTCGTCTTGCCTGCCCCGTTCACGCCGCACAGCAGCACCCGTTCGCCGCGGAACACCTGAAAAGACATGTCGCGGAAAATGTCTTTGTAAGACAAATGAGAGCAGTCAATGACCACTTCTCGCTGACTGCTAACCGCGGTCTCTGCAGATCGCCAGTAGGTCCGATTGTCGTGAATCGGCAGCGTTGGCGAGGAGGGCATCACCGCTGCGGCGCTGCTCCCCTCCACCAGAGGAGCCAGCGTGGATGTGGGGCTGAACTTGCCGTAGGACAGCTTCACGTGGCCGCTCACGTCATCGCGGGTCGCACACTGGCTCATAAATTGAAAGGCGTACTCCTCCAACGGGATTTGCAGCTCCGTGACGGGCCGGAGCTCCACAATTTCACCATTTTCAAAAAGCAGCAGATGGGTGGCCCAGCCTTGAATACGATCCAGAATGTGGGTCGCGTAAAGACAGCAGCCCTCCCGTTCCTCACACTCCCTCTTCACGAGGTCGAGCACGGTGCGTCGCTCCGCCAGGTCAATGTCGGTACTGCACTCATCTAACAAGTACACCGTGGCGGGGCGCAGCAGTCCGTGTAGTATCTGCACACGTCGCTTCTCACCCGAGCTCATCTTGTCCACGAAGCGAGACAACCGCAGGTGCAACGCCTCGGCCACCGCCGCTTTGCGCTCCGGCAGAGGTGCGGGGGCCGCAACGCGGCCCACCGTGTTGCCAAAGACGGCCTCCGGCGGCCATGGTGCACCGATCAAGGCGATGTGCTGCGCCATACTCGTGTCATCGAACGGATCGCCGTTGAGCACCCGCACGCTTCCCGTGTGAGGCATGCGACGGCCAGCCAGGAGGGACAAGAGAGTTGACTTGCCACTGCCGTTGTGGCCGATGACGAGAATGCGGTCGCCGCGGTTAACGGTGAGGTTGACTTCCTTCAACGCCGGCTGCGCCGCGTCGGGGTACCGGAAACTGACGCCGCGAACGTTAATAATGCCACTTTGCGGCATCATTTCCTTTTTGTTGTTGTTGTTGCAAATCCGTTCTACTCGAGAGAGAAGACGATGATTTGTGCGAATCTGCATGAATTGGGTGTCTTTTTGCGTTCGCCGCCGCAGCGAACTGAACTAAATCGACTGTCAGCGGCGTTTGCGATGAAGGGAGAAGTCGCAACACATGAAACAAGTACATGGTTGAACATCGGAGGCGAAGGGAGAGGAAACGAGAAGAAGACAAGAGAAAAGTGTCACACATTCCGATGGAGTTGAACCAAGGGTGCTCGTACGGAAAAACAGAACATCGTTGCTACCTTGGTGACAGCAGAGGTACAAAACAACAAAAAAAAATACGATGGTCACCAACTAGATGGTTTCCTCCTCCAGTACGAGACCACCTATTTGCCTGTTGCGGCGAGAAATAACACAGCCACTGCGGTCTCCGTGCAGTATTCCCAGTTCCATTCTGCGTGCACCTCTACAACAATTCAAAGAACTCTGTGTTAGCCAATCGTTTGTGCTGTTTCTCGAGCTTTTCAAGACGAAAAGGGGAAGGAGAAACTAGTTCTTTCGCAGTCATAAAGAGTAATAAGAAGAAGAGTCATTTTTCGTGAATCTCTGCTTGTAAAACTCCTTTGGGGGAGGGGGAGGAAGAGGGGGAGGGGAGGGGCGTCAGAAAGAGAGAAGCAAATAAGATGAACCGTGAGACCTCTTAACATTGGTGCTCATCATCTGTGAATGTATGTGCTTCCATACGATGCGGGTGCTGCGTTGGCGGCGCAGGCCGCACATCGAATCCTCTTTCTACGAAAAGATTCTTATTGGAGTGCGTAACAGAACAGTAGAAAGAAAGAAAAGGTGAAAATGATAAACATAACGTACGAAAAAACAGAGGTTGTAAAAGAGACTGCGCCGCACCGCGGCAGAGTATTTGTCTTCTTTTTTTGAGGGAGTGGGACAAAAAAGAAGAGTCTTGCTCAGATTGCAACAGAGAAGGCGTGAAGGTGGCATCAACGACTACGGCTCGGGGCGACGTACAGAGCACCTGCTTCTTCGAAATGCAGAATAACTCGCACAGATCAACGATGTCTTCAACAAGCGAAAAAGAAAAACAGCTGCTGCAGTGAATTGTATGTTCCTCCACTCATCTCGACAACTCAGCAGAACCATTTTTACCCCCAACCATCATCTTTCACACTAAAATAGTGGTTCTCACGCTTTGCTTGGCAAGCAGAGAAAAATAGTATTAATAAAATGAGAGTGATTGTCATCCAGTAAGCGAGCACGTAAACGAAAAAAAAAATAAGCATCGCTCGATACCTGTCTGAACGTTAATTACTCGACAGCCGCACCGCCGCTTCTCGGTGACGAACGATAGAGAGAGAAACGAAAGGAGAGAAAGCTCTGAGAGAATAATAGAACTAGTGAAGACACGTAAGAAAAGTATTACAGCTTGCTGTCAACGCCACGAACGGTGAAGCGCTTCTCGTCCGCCATGTACGTCTTCGCGTCCGCCGGCTTCTCGATCGAGCCAAACGGCATCTGCGCCACTAGCTGCCACTCTGCGGGCACGCCGAAAGCGGTACGCAGCTCCGCCTCGATCAGCTCGTTGTAGTGCTGCAGCGACGCGCCGATGCCGTCCTGCGCCAGCGCCGTCCACACCGCGAACTGCGCAATCGCGGACGAGTGCTGCGACCACGTGGGGAAGTTCGCCGCGTACAACGGGAAGGCCGCCTGCTGCCCCTTGACAGCCGCGGTGTCCTCGTAGAACAGCACCGTGCCCGCACCGGCGAGGAAGCACCCGTTCACCTTCGCCTCGCTTGCCGCGTACTGCTCCGCGCTCATCACCTTTTTTAGCGCAGCCTTCACGATCTCCCACACCTTCGCATGCTCCGCCCCGTACAGGATCACCGCGCGCGAGCTCTGCACGTTGAAGGATGAAGGACAGTCGCGGATCGCAGTCTTAATCGTCTCCGTCACCTCCTTCTTGCTCTTGGGCAGCTTGCTGCCAAGGCTGTAGATGCTGCGGCGCTGCTCGAGGGCCTTAAGGAACGGGGTGGACATGATCGGTGGTGGTGGTGGTGGTTGTGGGAAGGCGAAACGGGTCTGTAAGAACGAGGAGTGCTCGTGAAGTGTGAGTGGGTGTGTTAAGACGGAGGGTGAGCGCGTGGATCTGCCGGGCGGTGGCGTGCCACACAACAGGGGTGCAAGCGAGGAAGAGGGGAGAGGGAGGAGGGAGGGTGGGGAAAACGGGGCACCTGCTGCGCCGGCTGCACTGGCAGCACACCTTGTCGCGCACAACAACGAGACACATAGGGGGCCGGGAGCAGCAGCAACGTACGCGAGGGGAGCAGTGGGGAGGGTGTGCTGCCGCGTCCCCTGCCTGCGGAGAAGCAGCACGTTAGGACTCATCGGCACCATCGTCTTTATCATCATCGTTTACGCTCGGCAGATACCGCGCAGTCCAGATTATTTTGACGTGAGAGAGGACGGCTCGGAAGGGGATTCGAAGCGAAAGAAACAAATATAAAGAAAACGCTAAAGGGTGGAAGTAGTTTTTGATGTTGCGGCGCGCTGCTATGGAGATACATCAACGATCATATCAGGCGTTACGCGGTACATTTTTGATCCCCCGAAGACACTGTTTGGTTGCGATGTGTGCACCACCACGTCCACCATCCCGTCCATCTCACGCATCAGCTCGACCTGGCCCGCCAACGGTGCCTCTGCGATCAACTCCTCGCTGGAGTCTCGATCTGCAGTGCGGTGAACAGCGGGGTTTGCGCTAGCATCAATCTTTCTCCGCTTGCGTTGGTGGACGTCCGCTTCGTCTGAAGCCGGCGGTGCTCTAGATGGGGAGTCTGCACGCTGTGCCTGCGAAGACCGGTGTGTCGGCATGGACGGTGAACGCTCCGACAGCGAGAGCGACCGGCGCGGGTAGAAGAAGATTTGACTGCTAGGACGCAACAGCACCGTTCGCCCTTCGATTTCCACGGGCAGCTGCGACAGCACACGGGCAGAAGGCACCGCGTTGCCGAGGGCGATCCGCCCCTGCGATGACGGGCCGCGATTGCCCTGCACAGCGTGGCGGGACACGACCGCAGCGTACGGCAACCGCTCCTCCGCGGCAACATACGTCTCTGCCGGCTTCTCGATCGAGCCAAACGGCATCTGCGCCACTAGCTGCCACTCTGCGGGCACGCCGAAAGCGGTACGCAGCTCCGCCTCGATCAGCTCGTTGTAGTGCTGCAGCGACGCGCCGATGCCGTCCTGCGCCAGCGCCGTCCACACCGCGAACTGCGCAATCGCGGACGAGTGCTGCGACCACGTGGGGAAGTTCGCCGCGTACAACGGGAAGGCCGCCTGCTGCCCCTTGACAGCCGCGGTGTCCTCGTAGAACAGCACCGTGCCCGCACCGGCGAGGAAGCACCCGTTCACCTTCGCCTCGCTTGCCGCGTACTGCTCCGCGCTCATCACCTTTTTTAGCGCAGCCTTCACGATCTCCCACACCTTCGCATGCTCCGCCCCGTACAGGATCACCGCGCGCGAGCTCTGCACGTTGAAGGATGAAGGACAGTCGCGGATCGCAGTCTTAATCGTCTCCGTCACCTCCTTCTTGCTCTTGGGCAGCTTGCTGCCAAGGCTGTAGATGCTGCGGCGCTGCTCGAGGGCCTTAAGGAACGGGGTGGACATGATCGGTGGTGGTGGTGGTGGTTGTGGGAAGGCGAAACGGGTCTGTAAGAACGAGGAGTGCTCGTGAAGTGTGAGTGGGTGTGTTAAGACGGAGGGTGAGCGCGTGGATCTGCCGGGCGGTGGCGTGCCACACAACAGGGGTGCAAGCGAGGAAGAGGGGAGAGGGAGGAGGGAGGGTGGGGAAAACGGGGCACCTGCTGCGCCGGCTGCACTGGCAGCACACCTTGTCGCGCACAACAACGAGACACATAGGGGGCCGGGAGCAGCAGCAACGTACGCGAGGGGAGCAGTGGGGAGGGTGTGCTGCCGCGTCCCCTGCCTGCGGAGAAGCAGCACGTTAGGACTCATCGGCACCATCGTCTTTATCATCATCGTTTACGCTCGGCAGATACCGCGCAGTCCAGATTATTTTGACGTGAGAGAGGACGGCTCGGAAGGGGATTCGAAGCGAAAGAAACAAATATAAAGAAAACGCTAAAGGGTGGAAGTAGTTTTTGATGTTGCGGCGCGCTGCTATGGAGATACATCAACGATCATATCAGGCGTTACGCGGTACATTTTTGATCCCCCGAAGACACTGTTTGGTTGCGATGTGTGCACCACCACGTCCACCATCCCGTCCATCTCACGCATCAGCTCGACCTGGCCCGCCAACGGTGCCTCTGCGATCAACTCCTCGCTGGAGTCTCGATCTGCAGTGCGGTGAACAGCGGGGTTTGCGCTAGCATCAATCTTTCTCCGCTTGCGTTGGTGGACGTCCGCTTCGTCTGAAGCCGGCGGTGCTCTAGATGGGGAGTCTGCACGCTGTGCCTGCGAAGACCGGTGTGTCGGCATGGACGGTGAACGCTCCGACAGCGAGAGCGACCGGCGCGGGTAGAAGAAGATTTGACTGCTAGGACGCAACAGCACCGTTCGCCCTTCGATTTCCACGGGCAGCTGCGACAGCACACGGGCAGAAGGCACCGCGTTGCCGAGGGCGATCCGCCCCTGCGATGACGGGCCGCGATTGCCCTGCACAGCGTGGCGGGACACGACCGCAGCGTACGGCAACCGCCCCTCTAATTCGACCACCTGAACCGGACGGGGTACCGAGGAAGAAGCGGCGCCGTGGTCGTCGATGGTTGTGCCGTGTACACTTTCTGAAGGAATGCTGTTCGCCTGATCGCTGGGGCTGCCTTGCTCTGGAGGTTCCCCGGTAGCGCTCGTCAAGGAAACCGCACCTCCGTGCGATGGATAAATATGCAATCGATCTGTTGCGTTCAGGCTTCCTTGCTGCGTCGTTGTGTCGATCTCTCCTTTAGTGTTAACCTTGTCGTGGCCTTCTCTGAATTGCTGTTTGGCTCCTCGTCGCGGAAAGGGCGAGTTTGGTGCTGGCGAGGCCGACACAGTGGCGGAGTGGTTGGGCCGCGGCGATAACGGGAACGTAGCCGCACAGGAGGTGTCTGTACGTCCTCCGTGCGTGGGTCGCTGCTGCGTGCCAGTTGGCCGGAAGGGCAAGCCCACCGGTGGAGCGTCTTCCCCGTCCTCCTCCTCAAGGAGGTAAACGTGTTGCCGCGCAGCCGCAGTGATGACGTAGACGGGAATGCCGAAGAGAAGAGACGACGGCGGTACAATCGTGTGTTGCGGCGACAGGTAGAGTGTCGTTTGATGCACGACTTCACCGGAGCGGGGGTCAACGTGCATGGAGACGTACTTGGCCTTGTAAAGCTGCAGGTCTACAAGGCAGCACGCAGAAGTACCGGAGGCGGTATCATCGCGTGATACAGCAGAGAGGGAGCCGGCCGCTGAATCCCCGCGCTGCCTATTTGGAGCGATGGCCACAACACGCCCTAAAGCTACGGTGGTGGCCGGCATCGCTGCCAGCTGTGTGGGACCCACATTGATGGTAGATGCAGACGGCACGCCGATGGAAAAGTAGTAGTCCTCCCCAACAGCGATGGGTGGGTGCGCGCAGACTGGTGGTTGCAACGGCTGGTGCGGTGTTGCGCTACACAAAGAAGAAGCGGCAGGATCTACTTCATCGTTTGCGTCACCAAGTTTTATCGATGCCTTCCCCTCCGGCTTGCCTTTCCCTTCCTCTGTGGATTGAACACCGTCGCCGCCACCTCTGTCATGCGCCGTTTTTTGCGCATCTTCCGCCGCTGTCGCTGTTGGCCTTCCTAACAGGAGTGTCGCGGCAGCTCTCGCCTGAGCGTTCTTCGCTGTTCTCCCGCTCTCGTGTAGCGGGGGCCTCTTCGGGTCGGGGCTGCGCATGTCAACTTGCTTTGCGTTTCCTTCCGCAGTCAAAGAATCATTCATCCTTTGGTCGGCAGGTTGCGGTGCACCACTACTGGCAGCCGTCACAGTGCTCTCCGCCATCGGTGCCCCAGCAACACTGTCCATTACAGTCCATGTGCGAGCATCCGCATGTGCTGCTTGCGCTTCAACGCCATACGAAACGGATGGGGACTCCATTGTTCCATCCTTCTCTGGTGGGGTAGTGGAACGCCTTTTGCGGCTCTGCGAACGCGCTGCAGCAGCTGCTGCCGCTTGCATTGCTTTCTGCATCCCTTCCCATACTGAGGCGAGTAGCGGAGGCGATTCTGTCCCCTCGTTCCTCTTTTCCACCTCTTCGCCACTTACCCTACAGCACCGGGCTCTGTAGTTGTACTCAATGCCGCTGACCAGCCACGGAAGTCGCAGTACGGGGATGTCACCAAGCCGCTTCAAGTCCACCGGGACAGTAACACCCGATTCACGCACGTACACCAAATCCGGCAGTTTCTCTTCGCACGATTGTTTCCGTGGCGGCGATTGCTGCTGCTGTCGCTGCTGCTGCTTGCGCGTCACGGATGCAGAGAGGCGATGTGCAGCCGCAGCGGCCACCGCGGGCAATGGGTCGCCTGCTGAGACGGCGCTTATGTTTTCTGTCTCCGAGGTGACTGGATGAGGAAAAAGCGCTGCCGTCGGTGGCGGAGGCGGAGGAGGCTCTGCGGTGACGACGGCGCCTGCCGCATTCAGCCACATCTCCATTTCGTCATCACGCTCGACAAATTGAACCGACGTCCCAGACAGCCATCGCTGATTAGAAGGAAAAGGCATCAGTCGCAGCGGCAACGCCGTAGCCGTCTCCCCTGTCGGCGATGCGTTGCCCATCACGGAGTCCTCCGTAGAAAAATGGAGAGAATCTCTAGACAGCTCCAGCTGATACTTCGCTGTCGGTAGCTTCACATGCAAGGCACCAGGGACAACGGACCACAGCCACGACGCGTGAATCGCAGAAACGCCGAATGCGTGTGCAACGCACACGTCCGGTAGATGATACAGAGGGACACGTGCTCCCACATCCGAATCCAGCGCAGAGGAAGGCGACGACGGCGTGGAGACCAGAAAAATGAAGAACTTTTTTGCTGCGGATGTGGAGGTGAAGCCGCTTTTGCGCGGCAACGGCACACGCCCTACTGTCTTGCGGCGACCGGCGGCGGTGATGGAGCTGCCGCCGTCACCGAGGCTCGACAACGACGACGAGCTGCGCTCTGCAGTGGTCGTCGGCGGCCGCTGCAAAAGCGTTGCGGCGCTCGCACTATCGCACATCTCCGCAGCCACGTTGTCCGCCTGTGCTAAAGAGCTGATAAGGGTCGCCCCCGCGCTCGTCAAGAAATGCAGAATGCGTTGCAGTTCGGTGTTGCGCTGCACCTCTGTGCCGGTTGCGCTGCCACCGGTTGGATTGCACGTGCCGTTTAGCAGCTCGCGCCGAACGGATGGTGCGAGGTATATGCACAGAGCGGAGGGCGCTGTTTCGGAAGGCAATGCCAATTTTTCCTGTTGGACAAGATTAAGGCCTGCCGCGATGGTGACGGTGGGGGTGGTTCGTTCGTCGCGGGTGGAAAGTGGTGGTGGGGGTATCTGCGGCGAAGAGGGGACAGCGGACGAAGTTGTCAACGGCGTTGTAGAGCCCTTCCGAGGCGGGCGCGTTCGCAGAGTAGGTTCATTGCTCAGAACGTCTTCTTCCTCTTCTTCCCTGATCTCCGCTTGCTTTTCCTCGCCGTCTCTCCTGTCCGCGCTACGCCTAACCAGTGTGGTCATGGGCTTCTTTCCTTTCTCTGCGGCCGCAACAGTGGACGCGCGTGTAGTGCTGCGGTGCTTCACCTCACCTCTGCTATCCTCCGCGTCTTCCTCCTCCATCAACTCTACCAGCTGCGTCGCGGTCAGCACAGCAGCACCTCCCTCATTTACTGGGCCTTCTGACGGAAGTGAAGAAACTCCCCTTTTGTCGGCCGTTTTTGTGCTGCCCTCTTCCTCCTTTGCACTCGCCGTGGCGCCTGCTGCGCCTGCCGTGACAGCCACTGATGCCCCAGGAGGCAGTCGCACTTCGCGAAGACGCACGTGCAGCAGAGACGCATCCTCGACCCATTCAATTTGCACGAAACCGTTGCGTGGGGTCTCGCTCACGACGGCAGGAAACCACTGCCGCCCCCAGCGACCTTCCACTCGTGTGCCGACCCTCAGCACCGCCGGGTCCACATCGGCACCATTGCACGCATTGGTATGGGTATTGTTGCTGCCGCGGGTCCGGTCGGCGTCCATGGACGCGTGCTGCTTCGTCCCGTCAGTGCGTGGTGGGGACGGTGAGGTGGACGCAGATCGTCGCCCGTTGCCGCGGCCGACGGCTCTGCGCGGTGGGCTCCTGTTCCGGCCGCTGCTGTTGTTCGTCTTGCTGTTTGCTGCGACTGCTGAGGTGCTCGTCACCGTGGCTATAACCGGCTCCGACGTTGCCTCGCTGCCTTTGCGGAGCACCGCCGTGCGGCGTGCCGCCCCCTGTTGGCGGAACTGTGGGGGAGTGTGGAGAAACGGGTCGATCGGCACCGTGTCCTGCAGTGCCGACGGCGCGTCCTTCGCTGCCGCAGCGGCGGCCTTTGCCAAGGGGCCGCTGAAGTCCGCCGTGTCGTGTCGCTGGGCGACAGCGAAGGTCGACGGCGGCGTGCGCAGCGGTGTCTGCTCGTCCTCTTTCCAGCAGCCGTCATCGAGTGTGGAAGGAAGAGAGCTGATCGGGGGTGGAGGGGATGCTTCCGCGTCTGTCTCACCGTGAGCGCGAGGAGCCGCAGCAACTCTCGGGGGTGTGTGCGACGCGAGTGAGGAGTCCGAGGTGGAGGACGCGCTCAGCCCATCCGGCAGTGGTGGGGGCGGGTGAAGTTCACGCTGGACGGCGTTGTTCTTATTCTTACGCGTTTCGCTGTTCCCCACAGCGGTGCTGGCAGTCCCTGCTGTTATCGCTGCGGCAGTCTCCTGCGCCGCTTGCTGAGGCGTAGCCGTGGCTCGTTTTACGGGAGGTGACACGAGGCCCTCCCCTAACACTAACTCCTTCGCGTCCCGTTGCTTAGCCTCTTCGTCCTCACCGGTAGCGCTGTGATGGTTGTGTGCCAGATCCGTGCGAGGCACTCGGCGTGGTGTGTGCAGCTCCGGAGAGGAGGACGGCAGAATGGAGAACACCTCCCCCTGCGTGGTGGGGTTTCCACTTTCTTCAGGTAGAAGAGAGAGATCTTGCACCGCAAGCGTCTCCGCAAGACGAACCGCTGCCATGTTCGCCGCCATCACACCAACGCCGGTGCCAGGCGAGCGGTCGCACTGCACGGGAGAGACTCCTTCATGCGAAGGGAGCAGGGATGGCGTTGCAGGACCGGTGCTGGCGATCTGATTCTCCGTTTCCTCTCCGATAATCTGCTGGATCCTCTTGCTCAGGTTTGTCTCTCGGTAGGCAGCGTGTGCGGCGACATCGTTGGAATTAAAGAGTTCGCCCAATAATTCGCTCTCCTCATCTTCCTCAGCTTCCTCCGTCACGAAAGCTCTCATCTGCTGTGGCGCTTCTTTCTCCGACGGTGCGTGAATAGCCGCCATCGCTGCCGCACGTGTCGGACGCGCAGGCGTGACGGAGGCGCGATCGGGCAACTCACCCAGTACGTGCGTCTCCGGCATGCGATGTGGCAGAGGCGAAATGCTATCCGGCTCCGCCGCGTTTTGTGTGGCTGCCGCGCCCTGCGAGGACCACACCACTCCGTCATCGATATCACCGCCATCGTCGACCGTGTCTCTGAAAGCCATTTTACTGGCTGCCACGGAGGCGGTGGGGTTTTGTGGCGGCAGCTTCTGCGGGGAGACAGAGTTGCTCTCTATGTTCGCTGTTAAAACTGTACTGTTGGGTGTTGTTGTCATCGTCGTTGCGGTGACACGAGCCGGGTCGAATGTGGCGTGCGTTTCAGCAGATGAAGTTTGTTGGTGCTCCGTAGCACTCTTCATTTGCGCGGCACTGTTGCTGCCGCCGCTGCTGCTGCCATCGCCAACGCCACCGTGCCACACCTTGCTCTCGGCCACCATCGGCAGCGGAGAAGGTGAGATGGAGGAGGTCTGCGACGATGTTCCAGCTAACACGTCCTTCGTATTCGACTCAGCAGCGTCTTCTCCCTTTTCCTCAACAGAGTCCTTTGCATCGACTTTGATCGGATTTGAGGCCGACGGCGACCGGGAACGCTTCTGACCTGCCGTTATAGGGACGGCGTTGCGCTTGCCGACAGCCGTTCCACGGGCCGTGTTCGACGAAGCAACACAATTCTTGCGCTCCTCTTGCGGCGCACCAGCAATTCGGCCGGCGAGGCGTGTGGGGAGCGCGGCCCGACCACGCGCCGTCACCGCCGGCTTGTTTGACGCTGTTGCAGATGCCCCTGCGTTTCTTCCTGCAGTCGCGCCGGCACCACCAGCGTGCAGAGGCGGGTGGTGACCTCCGTTGTTGTCACTAGTACTACCTCCGCCGGATGTAGTGCCAGGACCCGCAGGCGCATTCCACGGTGGGTGCAAACGCGATACTAAGTGGTGCGGTCGACGGTCCAGTGTTCCGGCCGTGGTGGCTGGCGCCGTCACGCGCGCGTCGCCAAGGAGGCGCTGTGTGTCCTCATTTCGCTTTCCTGCGTACGTCTTTCCCCCCTTCGGCGGCATGTCTGAAAACAAAAAAGAGATGAGTTATCTTTCTTTGCTTTTCTCGCTCACACACTCTTTCCGCTTGGGATGGTGGTACGGTCTCCGTTGACGTAGGCTGGTACCGTGACAGGACACCTCCATCGTAGCGACGAGAAAAACCCAAGGCGTCAACGTGCAACGTTCACCTGGTGCACAGTTGTTCACTCCGCTGAAGAGACGGGAGTTGGAGTAGCTTCTACTCTCTATTTTCACGCTATTCCGCCAACGGGGGTGTGAGCGAATGGCTCGCAAATTGGAGGCGTTTTTTGTGAGGACAACAACGCAGCTCCACGTGAGCAGCAACAGGGGAGAAGAGAAAAAACACGAGTTCGATCCTTCTGCAGCAACACAACAGGCGAGCCACAGACGTCTTTGCAGCAACGCTCAACGTGAAAAGAATGACGAATCCCGAGAAGCAAGCGGGACGATAAAGAAGAATATAAAAAATGTCTGTCAAGCAGAACGCCACTGACAGCAATGCAAAAAATTAAGTTGCCAAATGAAGATCTCGCTTCCCGCTGGCAATCGTGTGCGTACTCGGAGTATCTTTCCAGGCAGCGTTGATGGGGAGAAACCCAAACGCGTGAAGCAACTACAGAAGTAATAAGATACAATGTGTAGACCTTTGAACGTAGATGTGTGGGGGGGGGGGACAAAGAAAAAAAAATACCCAGAAGAGCACGAAAGGGAAGAAGTGGGGGAAGCGATGCGAGAACGCGTTGAGACATTGCCTCAAAGCCCACCATAATACATCTTCGAAATTTAGGCGCGCTATGTCGCCCGCATCAGCAGCCCGGTCCATTGACAACGCCTGAAAGGCCTTCCGAGGCTCCAACCTGAGTCTATTCCGCATTGGTCAATACCATCGGCCTAAAACAATTATTTTTGGTGAAGGTTGTTGTTGTTGTTGAGAAGTGCGGTGTGAAACAGCAGACAGTTTACGTAGCAGTTAAAAACAAAAAGAAAAGTCAACAGCCTTTTTAAGGGTGGCCGAAAAGAAGGAAAAACAAAAACCTGAGAAGCGATCGCCTATCGAGAAATGAAAGTCAAAGAGGGTGAAGGACTTGCACGGCAGCCACTCTTACTCCGCGATGTCTCTGTTGAGACTTCTCACGCAGTGGTCGTCGTGCACTTCTTCTTTTTACCACCTGCTCGTGCGTCCAGCCGATCCACGTAGCGGGCGGCAATCTCCGTTTCATCTTCAAGACCGTCCTCCCAGCACTGTTCACGGAAGGCGTCAGGCACATCTACGGTGGCTAGTCGAATTCGTTTTGCCGCCCGCCGGTCGCGGCGCTGTCGCCGCTTCAACTGTGCCACAGGATCGTCTCTCTGATCATCATTCCTCTCCGCCGTCTTCAAGGCCGCCGAAAGGATCGTTGGACCTTCACACGCGAGGTGCAGTAGATAGGCAAACTCAAGCCAGAAGAGCGCAGGATGGCGTAGCGGGTCTGTTGGGGTCTTGACCGTTGTCGGCACAGCAGCGGCAACATGAGGCAAAGCACATCCAGCTTCACTCTCGTCGTCCACTGTTTTTTCTGTTGGGTGGGTCACGTTCTTTCTGCAGGAGCCAGCGTCATCAAGCTCCTCATGCTGTGCTAAAGCAGCGGCGGAGTGCGCGCTAGGCGACGACGGTGGCAATTGGGTAGAGGAGGAGAAAGTGCTGCTCTGGGCTGCGTCGTGGCGCTCCACTTGTCGTTCCAGCTCTTCGACACTCTCTGGTGGAAGCGTGTAACGCAAACGACGCATCACCGATGCGCTCCCGTCCGCTGAAGAGGGAGAAGAGCACGGTGCAGCAGGAACGTTTTCGACCCCTTCCATCGTCGCCACGTCTGAGTTTTCCATTCGTTCGTCATCTGTGAGAATCAAGTCGTCGAATGCGGACACGAGCTGCCGCAGCGCGGTCCAGAACTCTCGCGTCGGCGATACACAGGCGACACCGGTAGAGTTCATGCCTGCTCGTGAAGGTATCTCTGTCAGACACGCACCGTTTTCGGAGCATCGCGCCGCCGACGCGCAGCTCCACAAACGTGCCGTGTGTATGTCGTGTGCGGTGTTCTCATTCACACCGTCGCTCACGAGTACGCTGGTGTTGCTGTCCTCCGTTGTTGCTGCCGTGGTCTCGACCGGCTCCGTCACTTGGTACACACCGCCGTCAATGATGGCCTGCCGAGGTCGGTTTTTGTCTTGTGCCCGCCGCGTCACGCGGTGCTCGCTGACGTCATCGGTGGAGAAGTACAACGCACGCACGGTGTGGCGCTGCCCAATTCGGTACACCCGCGCCAGCGCCTGATCCTCGTTCGTCGCCGTGTAGTCGCGATCGAGCAGCACGACGACGTGTGCTGCCTGCAGGTTGATCCCACAGCCGCCCGCCTTGATAGACAGTACGAAGAACAGACAGGTAGGGTCGTTCTGAAAGCGACGCACGCTGGCCTTCCGCTCCGCCTCGCTGCTTCCACCGGTCAGCACCTCCATGTGTTGCATCCAGCCCCGGCTGTGAAGGTAATCCACAATGAGGTCCACGCAGCTCAGCCAGTGCGTGAAGAGCACCAACTTGCAACCCGCCACAAAGAGGCGCGAGAGCAGGAGGTGAAGCACGATAAACTTGCCACTGCACGCCAGCGTCATGATGGCAGCTCCGCTGTGGATGTCTGCATCGGGAAAGCCTTCCCGTGTCGCGTCATCAAAGCCATGCCGTTGCAGAACCTCGGGGAAAAACGGTAGTAAGAAGGCGTGGTTGCACACTTGCTGAGCGGCGCACTCGGAGATGTTTGCACTGCTGAGGCCAAGGCCTTTGTCTGCCTGCACGCTGTTCCGCTTGGTTTCTGATGTGTTGACTGCCGCAAGATTGGGTAAGTAGCGCGTGACCAATTTGCTGAGTTCAGTCATTATGCACACACTTTGTTGAGGGTACGGATAGGCCGCAGGCGTCGCACCATCGCATGCGGCTGCCGACAAGCCCGCGACGGAAGGATTGTCTGCCGCGTCGCTGTCCGGCTCCTCGTCCTCCGCATCGCTGCCGAGGCGAGCTTGCAGTACGGCTGGGGTGCGTCTTTGCTGCCGAAGCAAGCCCAAAAGCCGTTGCTGCATCGTCGACAGCGGGCACAGCACCCGATGAAACGTGATGCGTAGCGAAGCGTCAACGTCCGCTTTGGTGCGGCGGAGAAGAAAGGGCCGCAGCACCTGATGCAGCCGCAGCACCAGCAGCCCGCGCTCCTCCTCCGTCAGCTCCATCTCACTCGCCTCATACACCTGAAAAGGACGGCGGAAGACCTCCTCAAAAGCGTCGTTGTCAGAGAAGACGCTCGGATTTAGAAAATGCAGCAGCGACCACAACTCCTGCAGGTCGCTGCTTAGAGGAGTGCCGGTCAGGACGAGTCGCCGCGCACACGGCAGCGCCAGAATAGCCTGTGCGGTGACTGTCTTCAGGTTTGCCATGGCCTTGTGTGCCTCGTCCACGACGATGTAGTCCCACTGCACACGTACCGCCTCTGCCCCCGCGTAGCGAACGGCGTGCACCGGCATCAGAATCAAATCGTAGGCGGGAGCGTCGTGCGCCGCATCGTCGAGCTCCTGGAAAACGCCCACACGAAAACTGGGGGCCACAAACTGCTCGCACGCCTCCCGCCATTCACGGATCACCGACAAGGGTGCAAGAACGAGATGAGGACGTCGGACGTCGGTCTGCGCATCCGCTCCTCTCAGCACCATTGCTGCATCGGCAGCTCTTCGCTTTTCCTTCAAATACAAGAGGAAGGCAAGCGTCTGGATTGTTTTGCCCACCCCCATCTCATCGGCGAGAATGCCGTTGATGTGGTTTGCATGCAGCGACGCGAGAAAGCGCAGGCCGTCCATTTGGTGCGGCAGCAGCGTTGCCTGCAGCTCCGTTGGTTGTGATGGCACGAAGGTGTCGATGCGGTGGATCAGTTTGAACTCGGTCTTCGTCGAAGCCACGTAGGCCCGGAAACGCGCGTAGTCGCTGTCGCCTCGCCGCCCGGCAGGTGCTGCGGCGTGAAGCGTACGCGTGGCACCGTCCTTGTCGCTCGGCGTGGCGTGCGGATGCGGTGTGCCCACTGCCTGCGATTCGAGGCGCATGCCGATGCGTCGCATGAAGCCCTCTGTCTTCTCCATAATTTCAAGCAAGGCAGAGACTTTGAGAAGGCTGACGTGTGCCGCAAATGCCTCGGCGTCGTGGCTCCGCAGCGCCTCCAACCGTGACCGCGCCGCCGCCTCCTCGTGCAGCTTCCAGTACTTGAGAAGCTCCGCCTCCACGTCGCTCGGCATCACGAGAAGCTTCGGTAGCGCCGTCGCGGAAGGTGCAACGGCGGCTGTGAGAGAAGCCCGCGGCACACGCGCATTAATAGCACGTTTATCGATTGTCGTGGTCCTGCTTTGCCTCCCATCTTCATCGAAGGACGGCGCAGCAACCTTGACAAACCAATTGTTGTAGCGGTGCGCACCTGCCCATTTCTGCAGCGGTACCTGCGGTAACGCGGAAAACTTCTTTACTTCCGGCAACAGTTTCGTGGAGCAGTGCCGCTGATGCGCTTGACAAGTGGCGGCGAGTTTCCGTAGATCGGACTCCTGACGTGCAACCGTCTCCAAAAACGTGCGCATTCCCTGTCGCAGCATGGACTGCCGATCGGATGTAGAGAAGGAGCCCGGAGCTACGCCCTTGGTCTGCTCGGCTGTTGCTTCTTCGTGGTGGCATCTCAGCAAGTTTTGATAGAGCAGTCGACCCGCAAACGCTGTCACGGTTTCTTTTCCCACTTGAAAGTAAAAGGACTTCAGTTCCTCGCACTCAGCAACTGTTTCGCCGCTCGTGCTCGGTGTCCGCCCCGGCAAACGACGTAACGGGGCTGCCTCTCGCTCTGTGGCTGCAGTCGGGAAGGGTTTCTGAGAAGCGTTTCGCAGCGGGGCGGTCTGCGCACGGCAATGTCTCGATCGCTCGTCGACCAAGTCCTTTGCAAGCCACGATGTTGGGTTTGCGCTGAGCCTCTGCAGCATCTCACAAAACGCCACGTGTGTGCTGACGGGTGTCGTATTCTGGTAACGTACGGCCACATCTTTGCTCATCTGTCAAAAGAGTGAAAGAGCAAAAGCATGCACGACGCTGGTGAGGGAGTGTGTGTGTGTCTGCGGTGACATCGTAAGATACAGAGGAAAGGACACAAAACCAAAAGCAAGAAGGAAAATGTCAAAAGATGTGGAGGTAGCATGAACGTCGCTGGTGGGCTCCGCAGCGTGGCAAAGTTCAGAAAGAAAACTCCTTCGACGTTCCTCGACACACAACAAAACTTAATTACCTCTCAGCGCGCAGCTGTCTCGCTGGCCCGGCAAAAAGGTGTTCGTGAGACGTCTCGTAACATTCGCAGGCAAGCTTGCATGATCGACAGTGCAAAATGTGGCCTCGGACCTTAAAGCCAAAAAAAGGGAGCGTATCGCCTCAATGAGAGAACCGAGCTCATTTTGTTTTGCTTTCTTAGACTTTTATGGTGCTCTTTAGAGTGTCCATCAATCGGGCAGCTCCGCGCTCACATTTCACGTAGTTGTGGACGAACAAAAGAAAAAGGTTCCACTGAGCGAGTTACGCCGTGCCGAGGTGAGGGCGTACGCGCTTGTGAGCTTGGTCACAACCCGTCTAACAGCAATTAAGCGAATTTAAATTATACAAGAGGAAAAGAGCGGGTTGGTCAAACACCGTTACCAAAACTCGACACGCAAACAAACAAGAAAACCAACGCCAACACCACGAATAGAGCATATCCGCGGAAACTCAAAAACGGCAGGCAAAGTTCACGAGGATGCTTTGAGACCATTCGAATAACCGATTCATTAGCCAAATGACGCAGCCACTACATCAGACGGCGCTTCTTCGCCGTGTTCATGTACGGCTGTAGCACCCACTCCGTCTCGGCGTCATCCATCTCGAGCGTCCCCAACATGACGCGGTAGGGGGTGAGCTCAAACCGCGGTCCCACCTCGGTCAGCTCCACCTGCTTTTTCCCTTTTTCGCGCTTAAAGGTGTGGTGGCGAAAGCTAATAAAATCGTTGTCGTTATCGAAAGTCAGCACACGGGTTGCGTCTGCCTTCGGCACCGGGAAGAGGTACCGCAGCACATCCTTCACGCGCAGGCCGAGCTTTGTGGTGAAATTCTCAAATATCAGGTGCGGGTACTGCTCCGACATGGTGCCCACGCCATCAATATCGTGCCGTGAGACGAGGTTGTGGATCGTGAAGGTGACCGTGGGACCCAGCGGTAAATGCGACACAATGAGACTATCCGGTACACCCTGCGACTCCTGAAGGACGATCACATCCGTGTAGTTCTCCTTGCGTGCAGCGTCCATCAGCTGGTGCACGCTGAGGTTACCGCGGTTCATGCGGACGGCATTCGGCACGACGAGACGAACCTCTTTGGCAAATTCGAGCAACTTCTGTGAGCTGTTCCGCGAGGTCGTCACCAGCACGTGCGGGTCCTCCTTGCCCGCCTTTGCGTACTCGTCATCAATGGTGGTGGTCACATCGCGGGTTTGTGCGTCGTCTAGCTCAGTGAACTTCTTCAACGCCACCGCGTCCTTTTTAAGGTGACCAGGGAGGGGAGTGGCGGACTCGAGAGCAGAGCGGAACTGCTCTTTGCGGGCGTGGATGGCCTCGTGTACCCGCTCGTGCTGCTTTCGCTCGAGGAACTCCTTCCGGTTGCGTATCACGCTGCGCCGCATCTTCAGCGAACCAAGCAAAACAACAAAAAAAAAACAAAGATATCGTTGATGCAGCTATCACTTTGTGCTTTTGAGAAGGAGAGCGGAGTTGAGGAAGAGGGCAGAGAAGAAACGTGGACCTATCGACGGAATACGACAGAGGAGAAGACGGTTCAAGGATCACGTTTAAAAAAAGAGGAACTACGGGAGCGCCATGCATGAAGCCGGTGCATGAAGCTATTGAGTTATACCTTCGTAGGCGTGTTTCAGAGCGGAGAAACACACGCATAACGGCGCATGACTCCGTCTCCACGATGTGTTTGTTCTTCAATGCAGCATCTATCTTGTTATCCTTCTCTCGGACAGCACAAGCACACGCTTCTCGTAGCCAATAATGAACAGTGGGCATCTGTGTATATAAAAAAAAGGACGTAGGGCTCTCTTTTTAGAGGAACAAATACGCAGGGGAACAGAATTGCTCATGAAGTCATACACAAGAAACACTGGGCTCCTTAGTTCTGCTCACCGGTCTGTTGGCGGCAACTGCGGCAGTACGCCGCGCGCTTGCGAAGCGCTTCCTCTGCTTCTTCGGGCGTTGTCGGCGACTCTCTCGGCAACCCCGCGTCATGCGCGGACTCCTTCATGTACTGCGACACACACCGGGGATGATACATGTGCTGGCATCCAAACACCACCACCTGCTGCGTGACCAGCTGGTGACAGGCGGCGCAGCGGTGCACTGCCCCTACTGACGGATTTTTCGCAGCAACTGGAGCCGCAGAACTGGCTGCTGCTTTCGCTGCCGTGTTACGGCCCCTATGCGTGTTCGTCGCCTTTTTCCTCTCTTGGCTATCATTACGGCTCGCGCCATGTCCGATCACGATGGCGGCCGTGCGTCGCTTCAGCAGCCGTGCGTAGTACCCCATCAAGTCCCTCTCACCCACCTCGGAGACGGTCGACAAGAAGCCGGTTTCCTCCGCCATGGTGTGCGCAATTGCCGCAATGCTTGCCCCAGCGTGCGGGATCGGCTCGTCGCTGGGCAGCCGCTTGAGGACAAGGCGCACGTCTAGTGCGGGGTGCTCGCTGAACTGCGGGTCTGCCAGCGCATTCAGAAAAGACCCAAATAGGTTGAGGGGAACGACGCACCGCGACGGTGGTGATGGTGCAGTGGCTGTCGCGGCTGACTTCACAGGAAACCCGCCGATTGCACCTCCGTCAGGCAGTGCGTAGACGCCTCTCGGACTGCTCTTTGGGGGAGGGGAGACGCTGCCGGCACGCGTGTCCGGCGTAGACGTGCCGTTCGCCTTGCGGAGATCGTCCACGGAAACGTGATAGGCCTGCGCAATGATCGCGTACGTCTCCCCGGGCTGCGTGAGGTGCAGCACGTAGCGAATGCCCCCGCTCGCCACCGCCGCATCGTAGCCGTCCTCAACGTCCTCGTTGTCCTCGTCGTCGTGCCGTTTATGCCGACACGGTAGACTGGCGTTGTAGCTCACCGTGTAGTCCACCAAGCGCACAAACAGTGCGGCCTGCTCCTCTCGATCGGGGATAGAGACGACAAACTCCAAGGCACGATGGATGTCGTGCATCTTCTCAATGAGGATGCGCAGCGCCTCTTCCTCACGACCCATGCGGAAAAGAAGGAAGATCTCTTCCTCGACGAAGTTGTTCTTGTGACACAGGGCGTGCAGTTCGCGGATGCGCTCCAAGTACATGGACATCTGCTTCAGGAACGGCAAGAGGCTTGGGCGGTCGTAGTCGATGTAGAGCGTTGCCACCAGCTGCGCGTGCCGCTTGGCGACGGCCGTGAAACTCTTCGGGTGCACCTCCTTCACCAGATCCAGGTACCGCAGCAGGTGCAGGCGGTCACTGCTTTCGAGTCGCTCGACCACCGCCTCGGCGTTCAGTGGGTCCTCCGCGGAGCCGTACTGGGAGAGCTCCAAGTGTTGTACGGGGGAAATCGGTGAGGGAGGCGGCGATGGGGAGGCGGCTGCGGCGTCGTCTGGCATCAGTTGATGAAGAGTGGCATGCCGAGAGGACGGCGGCGCAACGTGCTGCATCAACAACTCCAATGTGCCGTGCTCGCGTCGCTGCAGTAACTCCGGTAGCAGCTGCAGGGTTTTGCGGAACAACTGCTCGCCGCGGATCAGCCCAAACAGCTCCTTGTCGCTGCGTGGGGACGACGGCAGATGCATGAGGATCTGCATCGCCTCCTCAAAGCGGCCTGCGCAGCGCAGCAGGTAGCTGTAGCTCGCGGCGAGGGACCAGCGAGCGGTGCGGTTCATCACAGCAGTGCTCGTCCCATCACTATTTCCACACGTCTCCTTCTTTGCAATTTTGGCGGAGGGCGACGTGGGTGGAGACACAGGTGACGCACCGTCAACCGCAGCCGCTGCCCCCGCCGCCTCAAGCTCTCCACCCTCTTTCTCGCTTTCTTTCTCGTCCTCATCGACGGCCCACCACGCGTGCGAACTACAGTGCTCCCGATACGCCACCTCCGTCGCCTTCAGCACGACGGAGACCGTAAATAGCGTGTCAAACTTGTGCAGGGCTGCGTAGAAGAGATTGGCGTCGTGGCGCAGACAGCGCAGCAGCACCAAGTCGTAGTACTCACGTTTAATCGGGACCTGGACCGTTTTCGCCGCCGCGGGCTGAAGCGGGGAAGCGGGCGCCAGCGCAGCAGCGGCGGCAGTGGTCGCGTCGTCAACATTGTACACCGCAGACGCGGCTCCGCGCCCTGGCAGCAGGGCAACCAAACGCCACGAATCCCCGCACGTGTCGAGGCGGTAGATCCACTGCTCCCACGCCAGGCTGTCGTAGTCCGGCACGAGCTCCGGCAGCAGCTCGATAATCCGCAAGATCGCCCTCGGGTCCTCGCCGCGGCTTTCAAACAGGTGCAGCAGCCACTGATGGCCGACTTGCTGCAAGACGTGCCGGCGAATCTGGCGAGCGTGGAGGGCGGCGTAGGCGTAGGCCTTCTCAAATTGACCAGAGCGCAGAAGGAACTCCACGTGGTCGTCGACGTCGGCCGGCGTCGCCTTCACAATTGCGTCCACGGAGAGGATAAAGAATTGCGTGAGCAGCGACGGCCAGAGCGGGTCGAGCGAGACCGCAGGTCCACTGCTGATGGCCGCGTTCGCCGCCGCACTCTGCGACGGTGTCGGATCGAGGTAGGTGAGGCGCAGCTGAAGGGGGTGAATGAAGCGGACGGGCATGCGGCCGCGGTATACATCCAGCAGCGAACTCCGCTCCACCACACGCACCTCCAAGTCCTTCATGACGCCCTCGGCGTGCGGGTCGACGATGCTGGCTAACACGACGTACCGCTGTGGCCCGTACGGGGCAATGCCACACACTCGGTAGGGAAAGGGCGTGCGGCCTGGTCGGAGCGGCGTCGCCGTGTGCAATTCTATTAAGTATGGGGTGCTGCTTCTCGTGGGGGCGGGCGCCAAAGCGGCAGCGGTGGCAGCAGCAACGGAAGGCGGTGATGAACTCTTCGTCGAAGAGGCAGCAGCGTTTTCCCGGGTCACCGAGGTGCGTTGCTGAAACGGTGCAGCCAGAAATGCAGCCGTTGTTGGTATCTGAAGCGCACTGCTGATATTCGCTGCTGTCGCGCCGCTTTCGTTCGTGCGACTCGTGCGCGAGGCTACGCGGATCTCCTGCACCATGTCCCCCCACCCGCACAACAACACGGCACTGCTGCTGCCGCCCTCGCTCACGCTGTCGTTGCCGCCGCCCGCCGTCGGGGAGGCTCTTTCCCAGCGCAACGTCGGAGGGTACAGCGCGTTCTGCGCCATGTCGTCGGGCAGCGCGACGCGACGCACCACGTTTTCATTTTTAATGTCGTACAACGTAATTTCCTGATCCGACAGCCACGCCACGATCTCGATGGAGGCTCGATGGCACCAGCGAACGCGATGGATGCGGCCGCGGTTTTCCTGCAACGTCGTCACCCGTCGGCTGTTGCTCCACAGCATCCCTTTGGTCAGCAGCAGCACTTTGGTGCCTCCTCCGCACACCATCGGGCAACTGTCGAGCCTGTGATACAGGGGATGCAAGGCTACGGACTCGATGGGGATGCCCAGCTGGGAGATCCAGACGTCTTTCGCGTCTCGTCGGCTCTGCACGGAGACGTAGCCGGCCTTGTCCGACGACGCCACGTACAACTCGTTCACAGTGCAATCCACGTCGCTGATGGGCTCGCGGTGGTTGAACAAGAGGTCCTTCAACCTTCCTGTTGCAGCATCCACCACTGCGACAGCGCCTTGATTGGTGCCGATCAGCAGCACCTGACGGAAAGCCTCAATTGTCATGAAGCGATGATCCTTCAGGGCTGCGTCCTCTAGCGTAAAACTGAGAAAGTGTAGGAGATCCTCCTGTGGTGGCGGAGAACCCGGCGCCGGTGAGCCTCCGTGGCTGCTGTTCAACGCGTCTGAGTCTTCGTCCTCTTCTTCATCGTCGCTGTCGTAGCTGTAGTAGCTCGAGTAGCTGTAGTCTTTCTCATCTTGTCGCTCCTCCCCTGCCTCAGCGGCGTTTTCTGTAGATGTATGATGACCGCGTCCGTCACGCGCCTTCTCCACCGTGTCGTGTGATCCGGCGTTGCTGTGACTGCGCGTAACCTCGGTGGATTGCGCGGTATCCCTCTGCAGGGACGCGGCGAGACTAGGCTGGACAGCGTCCTGAGGACTTGACGCGGAGGGCACGTGCGGCGAAGAGCTCGCATCGTTCACGGTGACGCTGTCAGCCTCACTGACGGCATCCGCTGGTTTCCTCATTTTTCACTCAGCGAGAATGATAGGTGGAGCACAAAATACACAGCGTAAATAGAAGAAAAAACAGCAAGTACGAACACCAAAAGCTGATCAAAGAAAGAATGTGTTTGGGACTGGTGTTGGCGTTGTTGTAGCAGAGGGACCCAACTGACAAGAGATGAACCGCAGACCTGCAGCAAGCTCACAGAACTCGAGTGATACGTCCAACAGCGTCAGAAGGAAATATATATATATATATAGGCTTCAAGTATGATCTAAAAGCACCTTCACTCGTTTAGCCTCCGCAACGGATAGAAAACTCAGCACAGCTACACATGAAGCTCCACCTACCGTGCTTTGAAGACAGTGTGCCGGAATACCTTCAGCGGCAGGTGTGCGGGGCGGGGGGGGGGGGGGGGGGGGGGGGGGGGGGGGGGGGGGTACCGATGAGAAAACGGAAAGAAAGAGAAAGGGACTAATTGGAACAGAAGAAACCACGATCGCGTCAATGAGAGACAGCAGTTGGGGCATGCACAAGACAAAGGAACCACAAAAAAAAACCCGGCACCGTCATGCGCAAGGAGCGCCACGGAAAGGGGAGGCGTCCACAATCAGAACAGCACTTGTACTCGCCAAAGTGGCATTTGTCTCCGCCCGTGCTGCAATCCCATTTCAAGCATGTAGTCTATCCTTCCTTGTTTGTCCGTACTTCACAAGACCAGATTGATCTCAGTAGAGCGCTAGTAGAATAATTCAAAATGAAAAGCGAAGATAACGCAGCGGAAGAAAGATTAAAAAAAGAAACCGTACATGATAGTATCCGTCTGAACACTAATCTACTCGCCAAACTGTATGTTCGTAAGTGTTCTTCTTTTTCGCATGTGTGTCCGTGATTTCGAGAAGAATACATCACTGCTCCACACGCATCATGCGCAGCTTTGCCCCATGCAAAACGGACTCTAACAGCCCCTGTTCCACATCGCGCCTCTGCTTCGTCAACAGCGAAAAGGGGGCTTGGCGCGCAATGTCAAGGTGCTCCTCAATCTGATGCTGACGCGCCACCTCAGCTTCCGCATTGTCCTTGTGAAGCAGCGTCTCGTGTTGCTGCAGCAGCAAATTGCGATAGCCGTACTGAAGTAGCAGGGAGGAGAGAATCACCTGCTCGCGTCGCGCGGCGTCGCGGGTTTTGCCGCTGATGCTGCCGTTGTTCGTCCGTCGCCGCGGCGAGTCAACGTTGAGGGAACTCGTGTTCAGCTCGCCGCCATTCGCCACATCACCACCGCCATCATTCGTGTCCTTGACGCCTTCTCCGTTGCTGGCACGACTGGCGTTCAGGCCGAGGTTCACCACGGCAGCGGTGGCAGCGGCGGCCGCACTCGCGGCGAGTTGCTGTTGCAAGTCACCGTTGCGCTCCAGCGCGGTGGTGAGCTGCAGGCGCAGATCCTCCCGCTCTCGCTCGACCTGCCGCAACTGGGCTCTCCAGGTGTCGTTGGCGGTGGACACGTCCGCCACGGGTGCCGGCATCGCCGCCACCTGCCGCTGGAGGACCCCGACTTGTCGCTGAAGGCCGTCCCGCTGCTGACGCACCTCATCCAACTCGTTCTCCAGTGACATGACGCGGTCGACGGATCCGTTGGAGGCGAAGGAGGTGTTCATCGCTGGGTTGTCGTCGTTGTTGCCCACCCCACGCAGGCGGTCCTGCTCCACGGTCAGCACCAGCACACGCGAGTTCAGCTCCTCCAACTGATTTTCCAGCTCCAGACGTGCCTTAAGCTGCGCAGCGAGCTTGTCCTCGGCGACCGTCAGCTTTTCTTCAGCGTCTCGCTTCTCGTTAGACCGCACCATCACGCCTTCCTCCGCTGTCTTGAGCCGGCGCCGCAACGCCTGCAGAGCCACCTCGTGCGCCGATGCGGCGTCCTTCAAAGCCGTCACCTGCGCCGTTTGCTCCTCCACTCGCGCCGCCAGCATCGCGATCGTTTCGTCCTTCTTGTTGCAGCGCTCCTGCCACAGTGCCAAAAGCTGCTGCTGCTTTTCGCCGCCGCCGCTGCTGCCGCCACCGTCACCACCTTCCGTTGCTGCCGAGGTAACAGCTGCTCTTGTGGCGGCTACCATCGTCGACGCCTTTGCCTGTTCACCCAGCAGGAGGCGATACTTCTTTTCAGCCGTATCCTTGTCCTCCGTCGCAACGCGGCACTGGTCCTGCAGTGCGGCCAGCCGCGCCTTCATCTCGGTGAGCTCGTTGCGCAGCTGGTAAGTGGCGTTGCGGTAGTAGCCTTCATCCTCCGCCTCGCCAGACGACAGGCGGGTGGTGGGAATGGGCTGCGCGCTGTTGCTCGCAGGCACGCCGCCATTCGGAAAAGCATCGGACGGTGCTGGCGCGGGGGCAGCTCGCAGAGGCGATCCATGGCCTGCGGTAGGCGACGACGCTACGGGACTACCCGCCGCGTTCGCAGAACCGCTGTTGCCGACGATGGCCCCACCTGTGGGTGGCGCGCCGTGGCGACGCGGCTTGAGGCCATAGACGCCCATGCGCTCGCGCACCCAATTTGACAGCACTACCTGATCCTGCCGCGGAAGCGACTTCACCTCTGCCAGGACCGTTTGGACGCCGCTCAGCACGACGAGGGTGACGGCGGCACCAGCCAGCTGCATCAACGGCGCGGAAACCGGGGCGGCCGCCACGACGCCCTCGGAGCCGTCGCCGACGAGTTCAGCCAAGGAGGCGGCGTCGAGTCCGTCCGTAATCGAGAGAGCAGTGGATGACGGCTCCATGTCGTCCCGCGCGTACTGGGCGATGCGTCGCAGCAACACCGACAGGTTTGCCTTGCGCATCTGCGGGTCCGCTTCGAAGGCCCTGCTCGTTAAGGAGAGCATCGCCGTCGACTCCTCGCCGTCGTCGTCTGTGACGGCGGTGATGGTGGTGGGGGGAAACATACTCGGCGCGACAATGCGCAGAGCGGCGTAAAGGCTGATGCCGTCGCACAGCTGGACAAAATGGTCCGGTACGTAACCTGGCACACTCGGGTCGGCGATCGGCATGAGCCGGCGCAGCAGCGCCATCGTCGAGTTTTGACGACTGACGTCCATTTTGTAAACGAAAGGGGGAGGAGGAGAGAGGGGAGGAAGCCTCAGTTAATCACACGCACACACACACACACACACGCGACCCTGCAGCAGTAGCGGTGAGCAGCAGGTTGCAACCCCCGCAGATTTCTTCTTCAGCGGCAGCAAGCGCGAGCTTGTTTGAAACGACTACTGTAGAAGGAGAGAGAGAAAGAAAGAGAAGGCGCAGTGCAAGCGTATAGCGTGAACAGGGCGAATGCACAGAAAGAGAAGCGAATCCGTGTAATCAATGGCAACGCGGTTACGCGAACAAGACGCGAAAAGGCACAAATATTGACGAAGATAGGGACTCAAGCGCGCAGGGTTCTGTGCGCGGCGCAAACGATTTTGAAGTGCTTTGGCTCGGCTGTCGAAGTAACGGACAAGTTGGTTTCAGCCAACGAAGAAAAAAACAGAAAAGACAACAAAAGAATACGTACGGCCTTAAGAAGAGCTTTGATAAACAAGGTGCGGTGTGAACAGGAGGCTAAAGTAGAACGAAGAAAACAACACATTATTGCAGTACAGTCAATGGCATGACCACTGTCGTTTTCTAACAAGACAAGAAGGGATCTCGGTTTTCCACATTTTCCCTTTAACACGAAAGAAACGCTCAACACCCGTCAAGCCGTCCTTCGCTGATGAATAAAAGGAAAGGTGAACAGTAACGTTTCTTGGCGAAAGATGTTACCTTAGCCCACAACTTACGGTTGAGGGGAAGGCGCAAATTGTTTATTAAGGTTTTTTGTCTTCTGATTCTGCGTGGAGAAGATCTCCGATAATGGTGACAGAACTCTATAAAAAGGGGAAACCCCCTTTGGTAAGCAAAAACACGAAAAAAAACATCTACCAACGAAGGCGGTCTGCCGAAGCTGCCACCACAGACAACAAAACAAAGAAGAAGACGGCACACCTTCCGCGGCGCCGCTAGTGAGAAACACGGGCAAGTGTGTGCATTTCCTCCCTGTCACAAGACGGTGCCACGGAGAGCACCTCTGCGATAGCAGCTTTGCCGCGTTGATTGTCAAACCAAAGGGAAGCAAGGGCCGTGGCCGCCAGATACTGCCGCCGCGCTGCTTCCGCATCGACAGCCGTCTCTTTCATTAGACCTCTCTCACCGTCATTCAACTCGTCGCTCAGTGCAGACACTTCCGAAACAGAATGAGTAGCAGCATTGGTGATATCCCCAAAAGCGGCTCGCCGGCCGGGTGTCAAGGACGCACTGCTGTTCTGCTTCGCACCCATCTTCGCTGCCGCTGTGCCTGCGTTGTTTTCCGACTTGACAGGCGCAGCGTCGAGCTGCACAGGTGTTGCTCTCGCCACGTTGTCACGGTTCCGCGCCCGAGCATACATGCACATCTGTGTTGCCCACGCAACAACCGTTTGGTTCTCTAGATCCACAACGTCGTCGCGCAACGTGACCTCGACCCGTGTTCGACGATTGCCGGGGGGACTGGACGGGATGCTGCCGCCAGGGGCACCCTTGGGGCTTCCGCTCCCAGGCAGCGCTGCTGGCCTCGGCGTGTCTTCGATAAGCTGACTCACACAGGTCAGCTTCAGGGCCGCGGCCTTGAGCGTCAGAAGCACGCGAGCGTCTTGACACAACGTCGTCTTCAGGTCATTGTCAAAGCACACATTACGAAGGGTCAGCAACGCCAATGTAGCGGCCATCGCGTGCGGCGGAAAGGCAGCACCGGCGAGCTCCAGTACAACGCTGAACAAATCTCCGCTCTTGACAATATCCTTCACCGCTGAGCCCTGCAGCGACAGCGCAGCCAGAAGACGCAGCAGGTGCAGCGGCACGGTTAAAGAGCGTCCTTGCCGGCGCTGCTGCTGGTCACACTCCGCAATGCCCTTAGACAGATACTCCAAGCCACGGTGACGCATGAAGGCAGCAGAGAAGCTCGAGATGGGCACGACGGCTGCTGCTGTTGCTGCTGGTGCCGAGCCTGTTGAGGGTGTTAGGTCTGAAGGAGAGTGATCACCGACCTCATCCACAGCAGCCAACTCCTCCGCGTGCTCTTGGCCTAGCAGTGCGGTGCAGATGTCGCAGCCCAGAACCACTACAGGGTCAGCATCAACGCCGTCGCCGCACACCACGCCACCGCTCGTTGGAGAAGATCGCGGTGAGGTGGTCGCTGAGGGAGACAGTGAACGCTGTTGCGTGTGTTGTTGGCGACGTTGCTGTGTGGAAATGGGAGAGACAGCAGCAGCAGCTGAGGGTTGACGGCTCGCGTGGTTCAGCCCTGCCCATCTGCAAGGAAGGTGCAACGAGAGGGCCAAAACGCGCCCAAACAGGGTGCGTCCCAAAGGATCCCCCGCGCTTGATATGTCGGTCAACAGGCAGCGCCGTCCTTCCGTGGTTTCTGTCATCCCTTTCAGGGCTGTCAAGATGCAATGACGAAGCGGCGAAACACGCAGCGCATCGCAGAGGATGGCACACAACGTCTGGCGCTGCGATGGCTCAAACAGCACCGCCGACTGCGCCGAAGAGACTTCCGCACTCTTGCCGTTACTAACGCACGCCACCAGGCTCGTCAGCAGTGCCGTCAACACCTGAAATGCTTGCAGATCGTGCGCCATACCTGCGGCATCGCGCGGTTTGGGGGAGCCAGAGAGCTGCCGGTTCCGCTGTTGCGCACTTCGGCCGCGGCGCGGGGAGCTGTCACGGTGGCCATCAGCGCCATGCAGCACCCCAAGGCTGTTCTCCTTAATGCGGTCCACGGTGGACCGCAGTGCGTCCAAATTGACTTGCAACCAGTTGTGTTCCGCGCTTGCGGCGTACCGCGCGGCACTCCAGAGACGGCGTAGCAGTCGGCACTGCAGGCCGCTCACAGAGGGTGTTCGACGAAGGACCGTAGAGGCTGCAAACAAGTCAGCGCCGCATGACTCGAGGAAGGGCAAGTGAGCTGCAGGACACGCTTCAACCACGGCGGAAAGCAGCGCAGCTGCCTCACACCTCGTGCGCTGGGAGAGGCCTGTCGTAGTGGTGTCTCGCATAATGGCCACGGTAGCGCTGCTCAGCTCCTCCACGAGCGCCGCGCTGCACGGACTCGGTAATCCGCCTCCACACGACACCGGTGTGGCATTGCCCTTGGCGATGCTGCGGCAACAAGGGTAGGCACGACGCATCCAGTTTGCCCCTACACAGCAGGCCCACTGAATGGCGGCCTGGTAACCGAAAAGCAGCGCAGGCGAAGAAAAGGAGGATGACGAGGACACCGCACTGTCCCTTTCCCACGCGGCGCGAGAGGCGTGGAAACGCATGGACAGCAGCGCCGCTACGGCACTCGGCGAGGGCAGCGACACAGCGGCGACAACAGCACTGCTGAGCAATGCGTTGCTGAACTGATTCCCGTACAGCAAGGCGGCAGCCGTGTTTCGGCGCAGCAGCATGTCGAGTGCGCGGAACAGCGTTGCGGTGAACGTGAACTGGAGCGCGATCTGCTCGGAGGCGGTCAGCGCACGCACCCAGGCATCCTTCACAACAGGTCTTGCGCTTGCTTGGCGCTGCTCCTCCGGTGCGGCTGCATTTCCTTGAGCGCAAGACGTCATCAGGCTTGCTTCGACGCTACCCTCTCCTTCTGTCCTTTGCAAGTTGTGGCGGTCGCGTGATCGCTGGAAGGCCGCACAGATGCGCGTCAGACGCGTGTTATCGGCCGCGGCACTCTGCAGCAACAAGATCCATTGTGGGATGGAAGACAACCCAGCAGGCGTCAACGGCTGCGTAGCTGTCTCCTCCATGGTCGGGCGCGATGTCTTGTCGTGAGGTGACAAAGGGCTCGGTTGCTTCTGCGATTGCTGCCTGTTGTGCGCATCACGGAGTCGCTGACGGTTATCAATGTATGTCTGAAGGTGCACAGCGAGCTGCAACAGCGCGGACATTGCGTATGCGCTGCCTGTGTTGCTGCGACGGGCCGCAGCTATGCTGGTCAACAGCTTGCGCGCGAGTGGGCTGTCGTCAAAGTGGAAGTATTCTTGAAGCTGCTCAGCGGGGGAGAAGAAGAAGTGTCGGCGTCGCTGCCGCCTCTTCAGGTCTTCCTCGGCGCCGTCTGCTCCAGCAACAGTAGTGTCCACCGTCGGCGGTGGTCTCTCGTTCGCCACGGTGGCCGTCGTCCACTCCGCCTCGCTCAGCAAGTCCACCAGCACCGTCAGCCACTCAGCCGCCGCCGCGACTTCCCACTGAGACGCCGCAGCGGTGTAGTCCAACACGCACGACACCGCCGCGTTGGCCAGCGACGGCATGTCACGCAGCACCACGAGCACGTCCTCGATGCGCTGGCAGATGTACAGCAGGCAACGGTAGGGAACGGCGCGGACCGGCGGGTGCACGCTGCTGTGCGACACACGCGTAAGAGCCGGCAACACACGCACAAGGTCGTCGATCGCCACACGAGACACGTCGCCCCCTGATGCTGACACTGACGCTGATGGTGGTGCGGGTGCTGGCGCTGAATCGGCAGATGGTTGGCCACCGCCACGACGGCGCAGCTGTCCGCTTTGGGCGTAGTACTGCAAACAGGCATCCAGCGCGACTAGCGACGACTCGCCGAGGGACGTGTAGCGGGTGCATCGCAGGTTCGCCGGGACGTGGTGCACCGGCGACGCCGCCCCGCCTTCCTGGGCAGCCGCTACATCCGGGTTGTTGACGGCGACATGCACCAGCAGCGGCATCGCAATTTCGGTGAAGAGCACCAACTCCGCGTGCATGGCGGCGGCGACGGCACCGCTGTTCTCTTCAGAAGCGGAAGTAAAGTCCTTCGAGTCCGCTTCCTTTCCTTGTTGTGCGTCGCGCCAGCCAGGCCCCCACCGCAGCTCGCTGCTCAGCACCGCGGCCATCAGCCGGCAGCCCAACACCGCCACGGTCGTGACATCCGTCCGCACGCCTCGCAAGGCGTAGTCGAGGTAGATCTCATCGGACAGCGCCCCATCGATGGTGGTCGGCGTGTCGAGGAGGGCGGAACGGACACCACTGGCGCGGCGCACGGCGGCGAGTGCCACGTCCAACACGCGGCCGTCGCCCACCCACGCGTGCCGTCGCTCTGCCTCGATGCCCGCGTAAATGTTCAGCAAGAACGCCAAGAGGACGACTTCGATGGAGGGCCGCAGCAGCAATGCCGCCTCCTGCTTCTTGCGCGCCGCCGCGTAGGGTAGTAAGGTCGCTTCGTTCCCATTCGGCTGATCCATGTAGAGGGCCGTATCCCTCCTGAGGCTGGAAAGCGGCACACGCGTGGAGGGCGGTGAGGTACTTCGCATGACACGCGGTCTTGCTCCGGTGGCCGTAGTCGACAGTGAAGGAAACTCTGCGTTGGGCACACCGTAGCCGGTCGACGCCGCCAAGGCCATGGCGCTTGTCACGCCGCTCGTGCTGGTGTTGTACATGTCGGTTGGGGTAATGGCCGACACGTTCAGCGACGCCGTAGTCGACGCCGTGTGCCGTGCAGCCGGCTCTCTAGCGCTTGAAGGCGCACCACCGCCGCCTTCTTCACCCAACTCCGCCAACAGCATGGGCAACAGCGATCGCGCCGCAATGTCCAGCAAACAGCGATGCGTGTCCTGCCGCAATGCGCTGATGGAATGCAGGTGACCAAGCCAAAGTAAAAGCAGCGTAAACAGCATACGATCGCGACGCGTGCGCGGGGCTGCCTTGAGGTAACGCCCAAGTCCTTGCGCGAAGACCTCTGGAGTGAGGGCGGCTCCCACAACAGCGGCATCGGCCACCGTCAAGCACCACAGCCAATCCAGTGCGTCGAAGAACGCTTCATGCGAGCGGGAGGCGACGAGGTGGCGAAGCGACTCCGCTGCTAACGACGGCGGCACCGTGCAGGCATGACGCACCGGCTCGGCGTCCACCACTGCGCTCACGTCCTGCGGTGAAGAGTTTTGATCGAACTTCTTTGACTTCGCACCATCATCTGCAGGGTTTCTCGCAGCTTCAGGTAGCGACGGCGAAGGTGACTTGTCTGCGCCCGCGGGTTCTGTTTCTGCCGCTCGAGAAGCGAGCTGCGGGGACTTCGAAGGTGTGACCGCCGCCGTGGACGACTCCGCCCCTTCCTCCAAATCATCCAACGCGGAGGCGACGGGTTGAGATCCTTTTGCTGTCGGGCGCCGTGGAGAGACGGAAAACTCCGCCGCCTGCGGTGCGCCGGTGATGGTGACGTTGAGCTCCGAGTTGTCGTCGGTGCTGTGGTGCGCATCGCTGCTGCTGGCGTACAGCACGTTGCCGGACGCCGCGGAGAAAGACGGCGGTGCGTCCGTCCTCGTTTGTCCATAACGCAGCTCGAACTTGCGAAGGCGCTTCGAGGCGCAGTTGAAGAGGTACACAGCCGCCAGGCAGCGAGGTCCTTGTTGTCGCGCCAACAGGCCAGCTAGCACGTCCGCCGTGTGCTGCAGTAGAGCGCCGTGCTCCTGCACCGCCTCCACCAGCGCGCGGATGTGGCGTCGAAGTGCCACGGACTTGTGTAGCTGCGCGAGAGTCGCCTTGTCTAATCCCAAAAACTTCTCCCCGCCGTCGTTTGTCGTCTTCACCATTTCAACATCGCTGTGCCCCAGCGGCAGTGACAGTAACTGCTGCAGCAGGCTCGCCGTTATGCCGTAAAGCTGCGGTGGTGCAGTCTCCAGCACATCCACCAGTACCTCCAGCATCGGACCCGCACGGGCCAGCACGAGCAGGCAGTAGTAGGTGTCACCATCGGCGTAGAGGGAGCACATGAGATCGATGCACTGCGAGATGGACTCCGCCAACACAAAGCTAAGTTCATCGTTGAGGGCCACGAGGGCGGACGTGGGTGCAGAGGCGGCGGTGTTGGTGCTCGTACCCTCCACCGGTGATCTCGTGGGGAGACGTTCCGCTGTCGCACAGCCCCGCCAGCTATCGAGCAGCCGCACCAGCAACTCCCCTTGCTGCAGAATTGCGGCGATGGACACGCGTGAGATGAGCAGTCGCTTCAGCAGCTCCGCGCCTTCCATCACCACCAGCACGTTGTGATGCGTCAGTTTTGCCGTCAGCTCCGCGAAGAACGCCAGCCATTTTGTCTGCGTGTACGAGCTTGCTGATGGAAAGGGCATGGTAGAAACATGTAAAACGAAGTGGAGGAAAAAAGCCTAGTGCGTGGAGAGAGAGAAAAAAAATGAATATAAGGATGCCACTCGCACGTGGTTGCGTAAGAAGATATGTTAGAGGGGCGGACGAGGTACGTCTATGTCAAACAGCTCACCGCGGGGTACTAAGGGATTAGCCTCCGCAACGGAGGTGTGTCTTGTGTGTGTGTGTGTGTGTGTGGTCTTCTTTTCTATAGTACAGTATGGATGCAAAAGAATGCACTCTATGTGATGGAAATATAGAAAGAGAGAGAGAGAGAAATATGTATGAGCTTCTTTTCGAATAATCGAAAGAGTGCTTCGTGCCTGCTGGAGCAAAAAGCGAGTCCGTGTGGATTCTTTTTCCCCTTTTTTCAGTGTGTTTGTTGTGGTTAACACGCCGAACCAAACGAACGCAGGCAAAAGGGGGTGTCCGTCGCTTTGATGAAAGCGTCGAGGAGTCAAAATGAAAGAGGAAGAAAAGTGAGGAGAAGACACATTGACGTCTTGTGGGTCACGCATTGAGCAGGTAGGCGGAGATCTCGAAGTGCTTCAACATACAGAAAACCTGAAATGGTCGATCATAAAAAAGGCTGGGCCTGAAGAGACACCACCGCGAGAGGGTGAAAACGTATATGTATCGATCTTTAACTACTTCAATGTGTGTTAGCAGAGGCGTTGTGTACTTGTAACACGTGTGGAAACGCAAGAACAATGTCGTTAACACTGACTAAAATACCAAGCTGACTATGGGCACTCTTTGATGAGTTCCACGGCGTCTTGCTGTCCTCCATAGTACTTGTACAGGAAACGGCGCTCCGTAAAGCATAGCTGGCGATACATGGAGAGTGTTGCCTTGACAATGGCAGCGTCGCTGTCTTTCTCCGTTGCGTTGATATTTTCATTGTGTCGTCCATCGAGACGGCGGTGCTTCGCTTTTGACGCTATCGTTGGCGCCATCAGTGTGTGTAAGCGCCAACGCTGAATCGCGTAGTGCTCTCCATTGTCCGTGTGGGATGCAAACACAGCCGCGGGTGTCGTTGTGTCTGCCAGACACGTCCGCAGCAGCCACGACGCCATTCCCTGCCGGCGATAGTTGGGGTGTGTAAGGACCACCTGCAGGTAGCCTTCCACTCGCCGTTGCCCAGTCGCTTGCGCCGTTGCCGCCTCTGTAGAGCTTTCGTGGTGTGAAGGGTGCGTCCGCAGCCTCGGCGCTTTCGGGGAGAGGCGCACCCACACTACACCCACCACACAACTGAAGCGCGGCGTTGACGAAGCGGTGTTCTCTCCTTGTTGCGGTAGTGCGGAAGAAAAAGGCAGGCGCGCTGGTTGAGAAAGATCTTCCACGGCTACTTTGCGGTTTGCGCCTACGTTGTTCTCACAACCCAACCCCTGCACACCTGCGACCGACGAGCCCATGTCCGATGAATCGTCAATCCTCTCCAAATGAGCTGCCGAAATCTTTTTCTCCTGGCATCGCTTTGGCACAGCCACCCAGTAGGCGTGCACCTGCAGCAGCTGGCCACGGTCGCACCGCGGGTACGGTGCAAACGACCAATTGTCGCTCTCCAGCTCTGCTACCACATCCCTGTACGTCAGCGGAAGCGAAGACTGCTCAGGAAGTAGCGGTAGGCTCTTCGAAGTGTCGTTCAGGGTGGGCCTGGGCTTGCGCACACAGTACACATCGAACTGCGATAGAAGACCATCCTTTTTTGACGCGAGAGACGGTGCAGAAGGCGCTTTCATCTTCGTACAGAACTATGAGAAGACTTCGGCCTACGCCTTCGTCGAGTTGAAGTCTTTGCTGGATAGGGGAAAGAAAAGCAGGCCAAGAAAAGAGAAGCACGTCACGCACGTTGTAGCGGGTCGCATTCAAGGAAAGCGAATGCAGTGATGTATAGTGCTCTCCGTGAGAACAAAACTTCTCTGCGTAACAGAAAGGGCTTCCTCCGTCTTTCATGTTGCCTGGTCACTCACGGAATACAAAGCTGTCTTGAAGCCGACATCGCCCTTCCCTGTGAAGCAAACAGCTGAGCCTGCAGCCCACTGCCTTCTTAAAATCAGTGTCATTCACTGTTGTACTTCACAGTATTCGCTCCAGTAATAGTCTTCGCGGCGACCTGTAGTCGATGCAAAGGCGAGCGGGTAAGGAGATACACATCGGAGCAAGTAACACAACGCAAAATCAAAACCTCACGTCTCACACCATCTCTACACCTTCAACGACACGCGGGTGAGCGCGTTACTCAGCGTTAACTGGCAGAGGTGAACGACGGTGAACATAATATTCCCCTCCCTTTCTCCTTTATCATCAGCCTCCACTCCTTTTCCGTTATTGTTTTTATTTAGGAGAGCAGTGTAAGCGGGAACACGGCCGTGGGCTGCAGCAGGCTTTGCGGGTGGTCGGTCACACGCAGCTCGCGCGAGTTCAGCGTCGCCTCACCGGACCCGCCACGCTTAATGGTGGCAACGATTAAGTCCTGCATGACCCCCATCGCTTTGCCAACGGCCACGTCGATCGGGTCCGTGTGACAGAAGGCCAGCAGCGCTGCCGCGAAGACGTCACCGGTGCCCGTGTAGCGCCCTTCGTGGTAGGGCACGACGCCAGTGTATCGCTTCGTCGCCCCACTCGCCTTGTCGCGGCAGGAAAGAAGGAAATGCAGGTGCGTGGGGTCCTCCTTCAGCGCGAAGGACTTGATGATCACCGTGGCGGTGCCCTGCGCATGAAACCAGTCGGCGGCCTGAACGGCAGAGGGCATGTCCTGCACCTGCACATTGCTCAAAAGAGATGCTTCAAAGTAGTTCGGCGTGGCCACGTCCGCGTGGGCCACCAGCTCGCGGTACGCTTCCACCACCTCCTCCTTGCAGTACAGCTTGCCATCGTCGCCTAAGACGGGGTCGCAGAAGAACGCAACGTCACTCTCGCCCGCCTTCTTGCGCAGCTCCCGCACCTCGGCCACGGTCGCGGCGACGTGGCGGACGATGTCGACGTTGTTGATGTAACCTGTCAGGATATGAGAGTAGCCGGGCAGGAAGCCGTTGGCGCGCAGACCGTCAAGGATCGTGTTGAACTCCTCTAGATCCATGCGGTGGCCGCGGATAACGGGGTAGCCGCTGTGGTTGGAGAGGCTGACGGTGTTCACGCCGTCCACATCAAAGCCGTGCAGCTGCAGGGGAAAGGTGGCGGCTTTGTTGCCCACATAGCCGTGGGTAACATGCGACTGGATTGAAAGGACGTTCTTTCCGGCGGGCATGATGAAGCAGACGAGAAATAAGATATTAGGCGCGCGAGGTCAGCGCGTGAACCCAGTAAATTACCTGTTAAGGGGGATAGAAGGACGATAAGTTAAGCAATGGCAATCTGTTGTGGATCATTCATTGTATAAACCAGACAGGAAAACAAAGGTACAATTTAGCAAAGAGTACAAAGGAGGAAGAAGAAGAAAGGTCAAAAGGCAAGGGATAAAAAGCATCCTCTTGCTGTCGTCCAACAACTGATGACAGCGATATAAAAAAAACTCCCTCTTTCTTTGCCCCGATCAGGCGCTTTCGACGTTGTTGCTCGTCTGAAAAGGCTTGAAAAAGAAACCTAGAAAACTCCAACATTCCCGCTCAGTAAGCGTGAAAAAGTGTCTCGCCGAACGCGCAGTATAATTCTGGTGATGTGCACCGGACTGACAATGTGAAGTGGTGGAGTTTTTTCTTTCTTTCAATGCGTCTGCCACACTTTATTGGTATCGTTCGTGGTTGCGGGTGCGCGTGTCGCGCACATGAAATTACATCGATCGGCTCCGCCTACAATAGGACAGTCACACAAGCACTTGAAAAAGAAGTGAACGATGTTGTTTACATCATCGTCGTTCACGAAACACGAACGCCGTCCGTGGCGCAGGGCGGCCGCGCCCGGCACGAGAAAGAAGAATCAGAAGGCACCACGAAACGTGCTACACGAACTTCACCGTCCAGTTCGGAACCTTCCAGGTGGTCTTGAGAATCCCGAGAAACACCTTGTCCTCCTCTATAATGGCACTGAGCCCGTTATAGTAGTCTATAAACTCCGTGTACGGCACCAGCCCAAACTGCCGCTGATTCTCGTCCCAGATGGCAAGAAAGCCCCGCAGCAGCTTGTCCGCGGTGAAGATGGCGTCGCTCACGACGACCGGGTGCGCCTGTGCGTTGAACATCGCCTGGATATCTTGAATGGCGACGTTGCCGTCGGAGTTGTAGTCCAGTTGCTGAAACACATCCAGCACGGCCTTCTTGCGGGTAGCGTTCATGTGCCCGCGGATGTAATCCATAAACATGTCGTAGTCAATTGCCTCCTCACGCCCCGTTTCGCCCGGTGCGCCGGGTAGGAAAGCCTCCTCTTTGGGAAAAGCGTCAAAGATGGTGTCGGTGACCGCGTCGATGGTCTGCTGGGCATGGCGCGTGTCGGAGAGCGACGTGGCGGCTGCCCCAAAGGCGCGAGAGCCGCGGACGAGCTGGCGCACACCCTCCAGCGTCATCCAGCGACGACCGTCATCGCTGACCTTACGGAAGGGCCGACCCATCGCCTTCATGCCATTTTCCGGAATGCCACCACCGGCGTGATCGATGTACGCGTCCCGCAGCTGCGTCAGAATGTCCAGCACCGTGTCGTCCAGCTTCACTGGCACCCACTGACCGCCCGGTGCACGAAGGGTGGACAGCATCGTGTCGGGGTTGCGCACGGAGCTGCTGTTCAGGTTCATCACCGGCGGCATCGCCTGGGATTTGGTTTTCAGCTGCGACTTGTCCACCGCGACAATCTTAAACCGCTTCACCGCGTCATCACGCTGGTTTTGCGGTGCACCGAGCACCAGGATGTTGTCCACCTGGAAGTCGTCGGTCAGGTAGGTGGTCGAGTTCGCGCAGTCCGCTGCGTAGTCGTCAGGTGGCATCGTTGTGGCGGCATCGCCCGCGTCGGCATCCGTAGCCTTGAGATACACGTCAAAGGGATAGGCTGGGAAGTGCTTCAGTTCCTTGTAGCCCATGTTGCCGATGAGGGAGCGGACCTCCTCGAGATAGAAGCCGTGCCACCGTGGGTAGTAGCAGCCAAAGAAGTATCGCTGGTTGTCACGGCCATCCTGCGAGAGCTGCTCACAGTGGAAGCGGAGGAAGTCACCTCGCTCAATGCGGGCAACATCGCTGTACAGCGACGCATCCATGCGAATCGACATTGTTCTAGTATTCCACGAAAAAAACAAACCTGATGGACTCGGTGGTGAGCAAAGAAAAAAGTGGAGGAGTTCTACATGATTTACGCGGTTGTTTCGGCACGACCGCGAGCGTGCATACGTGTGTGAAAGTAATGGGGGTTAATTGTTGTGTTTAGGAGGCGGAGCGACAGCAGCAAAGATGGTTACGAAAAGCGATTCAAAAAATAGAAGAGCACGGAAGGAAGTCGATCCAGAAGGTAAAAGCTTCAAGGCAGTTCTAAATAGCGAAGCCAGCGTGAAATAACCCAAAGCGGAGTGCTGCACGGCAATTCAGAACGCTTGATAAACGGTTGCCATATGCACCGCACTTCGTCCTTGAAGAACGAGGTGATACCTTCGAGAGGACGAACACACTTTCTTCTGCTTTCAGGTCCGGCAGCTGACCTGAGAAGCCGTCCAAGACACCTACGCAGTATCAAGTGTGTTATGCGCTCGAAATCAGCAAGCTCACGTGCTTTATTTTGTCGTTGTTTTTCATTATTTTTAAAGCATCATACCGAGTTTAAATCACCTGAACCAAGGAGAGTAAAAGTAGAAGAGGCGAGAGAGAAAACCAAAAACGCCAACGTCAGCACATTCGTCAATGAAAAAATATATATATCAAAGTGAAGAGTATAGAACGCTTTAGAAGAATGTATTGGGGCGGAGGATGCGAACGAGTCAGCACGCCAATAATCGTTATCGGTGAGGCAGATAAAACACAGACAAAACGTGCCGTGTTGTGCCCGTTCTTCCACAAATCGACAGTTTTACTTGGCGCTAGCGGATCCCCTTCATTGATGCCAACTATTTGCTCTTCAGAGAGACGCCTGTGATCGCAGCTCTACACAGACGCACCTATCCGTGTGCTGCGCAGACAGTGAGGAAAAAAACCCTCGCGCTCCAATTGGTCTTCTGTCACAACGCACTCGTGCACAGAGGAGACAGAGAAGAAAGCAGCGGGAGAGGTCTGCAAGAGACGCGCAACCCACTTTACTTTGCTTTCCTTGAAGACTAGCGCGAGGTGGCCCATCAGTATTCTTTCCTTTCCCTTCGCCTTCACCATCACTCACTCACACACACACACACGCCAACCCCTCACTCTGCCCCGCTATTCAACAACAAACAGAGAGAACAGTCCTTTGTTGTTGTTTTTTTAAAGTTACTTCGAAAACCAGGCGTTCGGCCGCGAATGCTGCTTCTTGTTAAACGCTGTCCGCCGCACTCCATTACTCGGGAGTGAAGGAAAGTTCTCCTCGTTGATCACAAGCCCGCGGCCGGGGATCGCGTGCGCGGCAGTCGGCGACGACGTTGTCGGAGACACGCTGGACGTTGCAGCGGCGGAGGCCCAGCCGTGCTGGTCGTTGTTCCCCTGCGGCTTCGCCGTCGCTGCGGGCGCCAACCCGGTAGGCGAACTGACGTTGGGATAGTTGAAGTCACTGGGATCGTCGTGGTGCGCCGCGGGGCTGGCGCCGAACTTCGCGCGGGTGTCCGTGGTGGCCCATGCGTTTGACCGCTGCTTGTTCTTTTTCGCGAACGGCGACGCAGCACCGCCGCGAGAGCCACTGGCCGCGTTGTTGCTGGCATTGTTATTATTGCCGCCGTGCTGGTGCTTCGCTGCGTTGCGCATGCGCTGCTCCTCGGCGCGAGCCGCAGCCGCCTGCGCTTCCGCCGCCTTTCGCGCGTCCTCCTCGCGCGCGCGGGCAATGCGCTGTGTCTCCGGGGCCATGCGCATCTTGCCGACCTCCTGCAGCGCCGCCTTCTTGGCCGCGATGGGAATCGTCGCCACCAGCAGAGGAAAAATCTCGTGAAACACCTGCGGGTCAGGGAAGCACTCCAGGGCCAGCACGTCGTAGTACTCCGACGTCATAATGCGTGAGTCTATGAAGTCGCGTGTGTAGCCACGGAAGTGGGCGAGCAAGACCGGGGAAGTCAGGTGCTTGTCCAGCATCGCCTTGAGGCGCGCATCCAGCTCCTTCTTATCGCTTGGCAGATTGTTTTTGGAGTTGTAGTGGCTCATGTCCTCCGCTACGCCAAAGGCAGACGAGCTAAGCTCGCTACTGTCGCCCGCGTTGCTGGGCTGACTGCGGCGCTGGTTCCCTACCCGCGACGAGGCAGCGGAAGCTACGACGCTCTCTTCCGCCACTCGACGCTTCAAAATGGGGAAGCTGCCGCGTTCCATGTAGTGCAACGGGATGCCGTTCTCTGCGGGGGCGTGCACCTTCGCCTTGGCACCGCCGCCCTTATGGCCGCCGCGGCCGTGCGGGTTCGTCCTCGTCGGCATCATCTCCACCGTCTCCACGCGAAACACGTGATCGAAGGTGATCTGAATTACGTTTGCGTTCGACGCCGTGGCGGGTGCCGACCCGGGAGCCCCCGACGGCCCACTCGACGCCTCGCCGAACATGGCGGGGGAGAATGTGGCCTTCGTCTTCATGCCATGCACGCGCTGCTTGTGCACCATGAGGTCAATCTCATTCCCAAACACGCGCATCATTAAGTCGAGGTTCGCGCAGTCGGGGTGGTCGCAGATCTTGTGGCACGTCTGGAAGTGCTGATCCAGCTTCTGGCGCGTCGCGTAGAAGGTGAAGGTGAACTGGCCACGGTTGCACACATCGCACGTGTAGTGCTGCTGCTGCATGTGCTTGAGGAGCGCTTCGCCGTCGTAGAAGCGATTCGCCCGCTGGCAGAAGCGGCACGACGGGTGCCCCGTGAAGGAGGAGCGGTCGCCGGCGCAGCTGCCCTCGCGATGGCGCTGCAGGGCCGCCTCGTTGTAGGCGTATTGCTCACATAAAAACGCCGGGCGATGCTTCAGGCAGACCTCGCAGTAGGCAAGGTCGTGGTCAACCTTCAGATGATCCTTCAGCATTGCCATCTCGATGAAAGGGTCTTGCCTCCCATCCTTCCAACACCCCTCCATCGGACAGAGGTGCTCGTACAGCTTGGATATCTCTATCGCCAGCCGCGGCGAGTCGATCACGCACTGCAGCTTGCGGTCCGTCACGACCACCTTGCGCATCTTCGCCATCTCCTCCTCCGAATACTGCTCCTCCTCTGCGCTGACGTACTGTGTGATAATTGGCATCTCCGTCGAAGCCACGCGGCAGACGGGGCATTTGCCGTGGCTAAGCGTGTGGATGTGCAGACCGCAGCTGTAGCAGATGTGGTGCCCGCACGGGAACACACAAATCGCGCGACACGGCTCAGCGCAAATGAGGCATTCTACAGGCACCTCCGTGGTGCGGGGCGACGCCCCCTTTTTGCCACTACTACTCACCTCACTACTCATCAAACAAGTTTGGTCAATTGGTATTTTCCCTTTTCTCCTTTTCTTAATGACCGCTGTAGAGTGAGAGAACAACAACAACAACAAAAATTGCTTGTGTTAATGATTATTTTTTGAAACGCCTGTAAGCTGCAAAAGCACAAGTGCCGTCCCTTCAACAGCACGGTGATCGCACAGGGCACCAGAAACAGAAAAAGACAAAAAAGCTTTCAGGCGTCGCCAGTACGCTGCCCGGAAACCCTCCGATTACTTTAAGGTGTACACAACTACTCGGATCGCACGCGGCGCGTAGAAGCCAAAAGTTAACCTAACAAACTTTGAATAATGATAATAATAATAATAAAACACTGGCTGATAGTGCTTCTAAATAATAATGAAAACAAATACACTTTTGTATGTGTGGGTGTCAGCTCGTTGGGACTCTCTACAAGCGCAACAGCGCTACGCTCACGATTACTCGCCTAAGCAAACGTTGCAGTTAGGAAGGCAAACCAGCTCCGGTTATAGAGAAGCTAACACATCTCACAAAGTCAGAACAAGAGAAACGGAAGAGAAAAGGAATAGCGGTAACATTACACATGCAGCAGTGACAGAAGAAATGCCATCAAGCCGAGTTTCATTTTCTGCTGCCTTGATAATGCAGCAGCAAGCAGGTATCTTTATAAAGCCGTGTTTAGTAGGCTTGGGCTACCGTTTCCCCATGTGCCCGAGCCTCGTTGAAGGGGGCATAAAAGCTCATCCCACTTCTGCGATGCCACAATGCGGTAGAGAAATCAGAAGGTGCGATTCTCTTGAGGTTCTTCTGCTCAACGAGACACAGTCACATGTGCGTTCCTGTCTCCCTCTTTGAACACCTTCTTGCGTTGCATAGAATTCCGCTGTGCCCCGACAGCTACTGAAAGATAACAACGTAAAAGAAACAAAAGATGTGTATTTCGCATCTAGTGTGAACCAAGAAAAGGTTTGAGCATCTAGTGAGATATGTTTTAAAACAGCACAAAAGGTGAAGTGAGAGAGAAAAAGATCTAATACGAAAGACGAGAAATTAGGAAAATAAGAATAGTCTAATGCGTGCGAACCTTCTTGGACTCGATGGGTGGCAAAATGCTCTCCGGATCGCGAGCGAACACGCGCCGCTCCGGCTGCGGATGCTCGCCTGCCGCAGCACCCACCACCTCCGCCCCGGCATCTTCCTCGCCAGACAACGAAAAGCTAGAGGGGGTGACGACGATGCGGGGCTGCTGGGCGTTGAGGGAGCCGCCGAGCGCGTATGGCGCCATCTCCTGCGGAGGAGGCGCCTCCGCCGTCGTTTTCGGCGTCGATTTGCCTTTCGCTGATGCAGCGGTGGGTGCGGTGTTGACGCAGAGCGGCGCCAGTCCGCGACGCGCAGGCGCTGCCGGGGCCGCAGACTCTTCATCCTTCGCCTCCTGGGGTCTCTCGGTGTCAGCGGGTGGCGCGGGAAGCGTGTTCGTCTCCGCGTGCAGCGCTGACAGCCCACGCGGGGTGCTGAAGGTGCTGTTCAGAATGTTCTCCGTGTCCGCGTGCGCACCGACGGCGGTAACCACCGCGCGAGAGAAGACCGGTGCGAAGGCCAGCGAAGTGTAGAGCGCGCCGGTCTCGCGGTGTGAGATCAGGAAGGCCGTTGTCAGGCTCTCCACAGGCACCTCGCGGTCCACCTCGAGAAAGGGTGGCAGGCGCAGGGCGGCCGAAGGACTCTTCTGGGCTGCAGATGGGGTGCAGCTCTCCACCGTGAGCGTCTGCCGGCCCGCCGCCCAGCTCGGCGCCAGCAGCGTCGTCAACTCGTAGTTTGCGCCCTCGTAAATGAAATGCGTCGCCTGCATCACCACCTCCGCTCGTGCGCGGTCGCGGTGCTGCTTCAAGCTGTTGTACTCGCGGCTGCTGATACGCTGCGCGCTCTCGATGCGCTGCTGCTGCGACGGCGCAGAGAACTGGTTGGCGCCGCCACCCGCTACCATGCTGCTGCGGAAGGAGGCGCCGCAGCTCCCACGGGACACCGCACGCGGCGTGGAATGGGCAGAGGAGGTGGCAGCGGCAGCGGCCATGTCCTTCACACTCTTGAAAAAGTGCATGGACGACCCGTCTGACATCTCACGCTTCACCAGCAGGCGAATGTCGTTCATTTGACTGTTGTTGAGCACAGTGGTGTAGGTAGTGTAGCTGGCCGAGGCCACTGGCAGCTCCCGAGGGCAGCGGCGAACGAGGTAGAAGCTGGGTGATGCCGGCGCGCACTGCTCCTTGTGAACGACCTGGCCGACAATCTGCAGTCCGCGCTCAATTTTGTCGTCGAAGGTGGTGGAGTTGTCGAGCAGGCGGAACATGTGGTGTCCGACGTACATCTCCTGCAGACGCAGGTCCGACGCACGCGCGCCGTCCAGGTCCTCGTACCGCGCAGGATTGTCGAGGTTGTAGAACTCCTCCGCCCCGTTCGCGGCGGTGACCATGTGCAGCACGGCGTCGTAGCGGTCACGCAGCACATCCACGGTGCTGCCCACATTGCGCAAAATCTCTTGAAACTGCGCATCGGAGCAGAAGGCGCGGCCGTCCATCGTGCCGCGATCCGAGACGATGATCGTCGGCACGGCAGAGGCCACGGCGAGGGCAAAGAACTGATCTTCCAAAGCGAGCTGCGTGCGCAAAAGCACGGACTGCTGCGCAACTGTGATGTTGCTGTCCCACTGCATGCCGCCGGTCACAAGCAGCGTCGCCGCCTCGGGCACGCACATGACACGAAAGCCCGTGCGCTGCGGGATCCTTGCCTGCATGGCGGACAGCATCGTCGACTTGCCGGCGCAGGGCCCGCCGGTGAGGCAGATGCGGTACACCTTGTGCTTCGACGCTAGCACTTGCTGTACGGAGGTCAACGGAAGGCCATCGTACGTGCGCAGTGCCTGACCAGGAGAGGCGGAGCGGGTAATGGGGCGGTAGAAGAGCGCGTCGTTGATACTTCCAGCAGCATTGGCAGCAGCGGTGGTGGTCGGTGGCGAGAAGAACTGCTGCTGGTGCTGCGCTGCGTGTGCATCTTCACCGTCCACTGCGCCACCCGGTGCGTCAGGGGACGGCGACGGCGCCGTGTGTCGTCTTTCGCCATTGCCACCATCCTCACCGCTTTCATCGACGGAGTCGTTGTTCAGCATGCGACGAAATGCCGGCCCACTCACGTCGGCTTCCACGTTCGAAACGTCGGCATTTGGGTTTGTCGCCGCATCGGTGCGCTCACCACTCTCCATCTGCCGTTTCACCGCTGTGTCCAGCACCGACGGTGGAGGGCGGGAGTCTTCCGCGGAGAGAGATGCAGTGGTCGTCGCCTGTATGAAATGGTTCCTCTGCGAGGGGGGGAGGTCGCCGCGGCAGCTCTCCGGCACTTGCAGACGCTTCTCAAGAGGCGTGGCGGCGACCAGTGCAGTCGCGGTTGATTGCTGCGGCGGCGCTGGTGGACGCGTTGGCTGTTGCGGGTGGTGCGGTCGCTCCGTAGGGGGAGTGGCGGTGTGCGCATCCGTGAGGTGCTGACGTGGGTTAGCGGTGTGCACGGCGGTGGGTGGGAGGGGGCTTGCGGCGGTGGTGTGGCGAGGTGCTACGCTTTGCACCGAGGAAAGAGGAGTTATCGATGTTGTATCGGTCGCAGAGTTCTTCGATGCAATCGCGGAACCACTGCCGCGTGCGGCTGCGATCCCAGCGCCCATCTCGGTTTGCGCGTGCGTAAAGTGTCGTAAGTGTGTCCGTATTTTTGTCCACACGATATCAGAGAGGAGACACTTGTCTTGGCTGTTGTCGTTAGATGAAAGAGGGAACAGGAACAGAAAGCATGAAGTATGAAGCACACAGGAAACAATGGTAGAGTGAGGAGAAAGCCAGTAAACACGGAAATTAGTGGTGAGAAATCAACCTGTGCCTGTGCCACACCCTCTCTCTCTCTCTCTCTCTAAAACCGAAGGATTTGCCTGCAGAAGCTGTTCAAGGCAAATCGAGAGCGAGCGAATTTGAGGAAGCACAAGAGAGGAAAGCACGAACAGCGAAAGCGATGCTTAAGAACGCAACGAGGTTCTCGAGTTCAACGCACACGATTCTGCATCTCTTCTCCCTCTCTTTAAACCCAGCCCACTACCACTGTCGTCAATGCGCTTTGTGACCGTTTTTTAAATATTATTGTTGCTCGACAACTAACAGGTTGGTCGCTACTTCAGCATCGTAATCCGACCTCGAAAGCCACTTCACACCTACACCCAAACCTCAAAAAAAAAGGAGAAAATGGTATCCACCATTCACCAACCACTCATCATACCAACATGCATGGTCCAAAAAAAAAAACCGTTGTGCGTCATTGCAACGCGCCTGCGAAAACCCCCCATAACAACAATAATAATAATAAAGGGTGCACGCCTGTTCGCTGCAAAGTTTCATCTTCCTTAAACCCCGATCGGATGGATCACGCCAACATTGTCGCTACGTAGCAAAATTTTGCCGAGGTTGTGGCTCTGCTTCGTGCGCACGTTTGTCTCCGTCGTGTCACCGAGCACCACGTTCATAAATTCGTCGTAGCCTAGCAGGTTGCCCTCCAGTCTTGTCTGAGTGTCGTACACCAGCCAGACGCAGACGCGCTGGTGCTCCTGCATAAACCGGTGCACCACCCCGGTTGGGTTTTCCATCTGACGCGTGTGCGCGCTCATCTCTCTCTCTCTCTCGCTTCGCGTGCTGTGTCTTTTATTCGTGGTTTTTTAGCTTTCCGGGGTAAGTCGCCAGATAAGTAGAAGGCGCAAAGCGGTAATTTGCCAGAATTTGGTTGAAAACGCACGTGTACAGAAAAACGGGTAGGAAGGGGAAGGGGGGCGAAATGAAAAAGAATGCGAGCTGCTTTTGTTAGAAGAGCGGCTTGTAGTCTAGTACTCTTTCTTTTCTTTCCTAGATCGCACACTCGGCAGCCTATTGGCATGCAGGTATTTTCCGTAGTGAGAACACACACACGAAACGCTTCCGCGTGAGAATCGTAGGGCCGCCTTGGTAAAGAGAACCAAGAGGCCATTTTACTGCTTCGCCAACCTTCACTTCGCATCAGCATGGGAAGCACACAAAACCGAATTTGGTGAGATAAATCGATGCGCATTTGGTGCGCCGTTTACCCTTCTGCTTCCGCCTTTTTCCCGGCGTTGTTTTTTTTTTTTCCTTTGTTGTTAATAAATTTTTGTAGACGTTACGAGCTCAAAATGTACCTTGCTTTCTTTTTCCGGTGCTGCTTCGAAGGCGTTCTTCCTTCCCGGCCCACGGCGGTGTTGATAGAACGTCGTCAACGACGAGAGTAGAAAAGAAATAAATAAATAAATAAATAAATAATAATAACACGCACGCACGCACAGACGCCTTAACGAGCAGGAGACGCATCGTAACAACGATGACCAACGAAATCGAAATGCAAAAAGAGAACAAGAGAGATAGATATATATATATTAGGTAGGTGATGGAAAAACACGCAGCAAAAGAATCAGCGGCGCCGCTGATCAAATAAATATAAAAATACACAGAAGGGAAAGGGGTTTTTGTCTGCTTCTTCGTCAAGACTTCGAGAAATAGGCGGCGGACTCGAATCTTAAGCTACAGTACTTATTTAAGCGGACGAGTTCGCAAGCGAAGGGCCATCCACGAACGTTTAAGAGACACCGCAACGAATTACACGCCTTAATGGCAAAGTTTAAAGAAGGCCCGTGAACCAACGCACGCTTTGCTGCTGTTGTACATTGGCACCTCAGCCTGGTTGAGGCGCTATAAGTTGATGTGGAGAACTGGACCACTCTCGCCTACCAGCAAGGTGCTCGGCCCCAGTTGCATATCTGACCCCCCCCCCCCTCCCTCCTCCACCACCACCACCACCACCACCACCTCAACAACGACGTCCCGTCACTCGTAAAACGCAAGGTAGACCTCTGATTCGTGGTCGAGCACATAACTCTCCTCCACTACGTCGATGTCCTCGTCGTCGCAGCGGAACCACACATGCGGGCGGGTCGCGTGACGAACATAGGCGACGTAATGGCCCCCGTGCAGGGAGCCACGATGGGCCACGATGCCCACCAAGTGGCGCACCAACGACGCCATGGGCGCCCGACGCTCACCGAAGGGGTCGAAGTCCTCCCGCGTAATGGCGAGGATTGAGGCGGCCGTGCCGGCGGAGTTTGACCGGCGTGCCGCCGCCCTCGCGCTGATGGAGCCGTCCGTCTTGTCCTTCGATAGTGCGGCCGCACTGATGGGGGTTAAGGAGACGGAGGACAGGGAGCTGCCGTCCATGTTCGACCCGATCACCTCGTCGGTAAAGGCGGCGTCGCCTTTGCCGTTAGGTGACAAGCATCCACGGCCGCCACCGCCGCCGAAGCTGCTGTTTGCTCGCGAATGCACATCCAGCACGCCCAGGCCGTCGTCTACCATTCGCTTCGTGGCCGCCTTGACGTCGTTGTTAGCCGCCACCAGATACGTCGCCACCGACCTGGTGGACGCGGTGGGGAAGCGACGGAGCAGCAGCTCCACCTTGTCGATGTGCTTGTACGCCTCCAGAACCTGCTTGCTCGCGTACGGGGTGAGGTCCAGGGTGAGAGACACTTTTACCGGGCTAAGGTTTTTGATGAAGTCCTGCGCCTCGATGTCGTAGTGGAAGCGCAGGAGATGCACCGCGAGACTGCCGCCGAGGTGTGAGATGGAGGTGTGCACTTCGGCCTCTCTGTACAAGCTGTTCGCGTAGACCCGCTTCGCTCGCTCCTCCGCTGTCAGTTTCTTTCCCTCCACCTTCGCCTTCTTCTCCGCCTCTGCCTGCGCCGCGGCAAGCGCGTTGTGCGCCTCTTGTTCCTTACCCGAAAGCTTCTTGAAGCACTCCTCGCACGCGTAGCGATCTTTGCCGGTCAGCGTAGCGGTGGTGAAGAGGGAGGCGACTCCCTCCTCGATGCTTTTTTCTATAGGAATCGATAGGGACATAAACATCTCGCTGCGCGGCACGCGGTGTTTGCACTGCAGGCACGACACCTCCGACACAAGTGTGCTCTCAAAGCTGACGCGGCGCGCCTCAGCTTTCTGGCCTGGCACTTTGGCCTTATTAAACTCGTCTTCAATGCCGTTCAGCAGCGTAATAAGAAACTCCTGCGCATCCTGCTGCTCGTCCTCGGCAAAGAGCGAATTAATGTGGTTGACTTGCGAGTGCAGCGCACGCACGTAGGCATACACGGCGCCGTTGCGCACATCCTGGTAGGTCTGGTGAGAGACATGTCGCACCAGGTGCACCATGGACGACGTCAGCTTGCCGGGCGACGCACCCGACTCCAGCAGCAGCAGGGGACGTGTGAAGTGGCGACACCGCAGGAGGCACTGCACGACGGAGTTCATGTAGCAGAGGTAGCTCGTGTTGGAGAAGCCGCAGATGGAGGCGCGTGTGATGACGTGGTCTGTCTCTGTGCGTGAGAGCAGCCCTATACCGGTGGCGAGGTGCGTGTTCGCCAGCGTCGGCGAGCTCGCTATCGTGGACGAGGACTTCAGTTGATGCAAGTCCGTCGCACCCGCCTCGGTCGACTTCGCCACTCGCTGCATCTCGCCAGATCGGTACCCGCGCTGCAGCTGCCGTTGCCGCTCCACCTGCTGTGCGCGCTTCTGCGCCGTGTAGACCTCGAACTCCGGCGTCAACTCCAGCCGTACACCGCGCAGGAAAAAGTACGAGAGGAGGGCAGTGAGCTGGCCGAGACGCCGCAGGTGGGCCTGCCGAGACACGTCATTATCGCATGACTTGCCCTGCAGTCGCACCGCCTGCCTATCCGCGCATTTGGCGCAGAACATTAAGTACGACCAATTCTCCGCTGGACTGGAGTAGAAGCTGGGTGGGGAGAGGAGACCGGTGCCGGGGTCGAGGGGGCTCAGCAGCGTCTTCTCCGGCACATCATCTCTCAAGCTGACAAAGCTGGTCGTTTTCTGTTGGAAGAGGGGTGAGCCGTTGTTGTCGAAGAAGCCGCTGCTTCCCAGCGTACTCAACACGCGCGTGTGCCCCGGGCTGGAGGTGGCGCTGTTCCTCCCTCTACTAAAGCTGTGGCCTCCCGCGCCAAAGCTGCTAGTCGAGTGCGCGTTACCACCACCGCCGCACGCCGCGCTGGCATCGCAGATTTCCTCGAAATTGGTGTAAAACGGCATCGGCTTAGTCAAGTCGACGGTGCCGCACTCAATCTCGGGCACCGTGACGGTGGGAAACAAAAGCCCCCACGAAGTCTCCGGCAGTGCGTGCGACGGGTGCGTGCTCACATAGCTGGGCACGCCTATGAAGAACGAATGATAGGGGTAGCCCTTGTCCGGTGCGTCGGGGTCCTCGCTGCCCGTTCCAGGACGATCGCGGCGGCTATAGTGGTGATCGCAGGCGTGGTCGCGGCAGTAACAGCACCCGCAGGTAACGCAAAGGTACAACTCCTTCTCGGTGCGCGGCGTGGTCGGCAGCTCCTCCTCCTCGGCAGATATCAAACGTGTTGAGTGCTCTCGCAGCGGGGTGGACGAGACTGACTTGGACGTCATGGCGCTCAGGTCCGTCTTGGAGGCATTCTTCGAAGGGAGAAATATCTTTTTCAGGGTGCTGCCAAGTCGTGACTTGCTGCTGTTCGCCTTCTTATCGGGGGTTTGCCCGGCGGAGGTGGGGTGTGAGTGGTGCTTCGTACCATTTGCAGTGGATCGAATGCCATCTTGCAGGACGGGGGGACCACAGGTGGTACAGAAGAACAACGCCTCCTGACAATTATCGTGTTTCTTCCCATTAAGCCACTGCTCCGTAAAGACACCTCGAAAGATGTTCAGGTCCACCTCCTCGACGCAGTAACAGGACATCTTCTTCTTCTTGGGCTCCAGCAAGAAAGAAGGCCGAGAGACCGGCTTGCTCGTCGACCCGGTCGTGGTCGGACCGGTGTAGACGATAGGCACGATCGACAGTTTTGCTAATTAAGATGCACGATACTATTTTAATATACAAAAAGAAAAAGAAGAATGGTGAAGGCAGTGAACTACCGACACGCACGTTCGCCCAGCAAAAACAGTAGTAAAAACGACAACGCAGTGCTTTGCCAAAAAGTCCGCGGAGATCAAAAAGCCAAAAAAAAAAAAGAAACAGAACCGATGCGGTTCTCAAAGGCGATTTGGAAACAGAAAAGATAAACGTATATATATATTTATGTATTTATAGATAGATAGAGAGTGGAGGAAAAGACAGCTTCTGTTCTTTTATAATTATGTGTCTTTCGCATCGACCGCAACACTGCAACGTGTATCGAGACCTCTTATCCTCCCCCCCCCCCTTTTCTTTTTGGCAAAGCTGTACAGTCGCTTAATAAGAAAAGATGTGGCAAGGAGTACAGCGCGGTTTTTGTTTGTTGTTGTTGTTCTTTCCTTGCTGCTTCACCACAAAAATCAGCAGACAGCAGAAATGCAGTTGTTTGTCTTCCTTTGGTTGTTTGGTGTTTTCTTATTTCACTTGTCGGCGTTCTACAGCCGTCTTTCTGTGTGAGATGCGCTGTGCAATGCAACCAGCGGATAAAGAGGTGATGAACCTACACCCGCCTACGCTGGCCAGCGAGGCTAACGATTCACAACAGCAAGAATGGCGAAAATGAAAAGGAAAAAAAGAGAAGAGAAGCAACGAGGAAAGAGGAAACCACAGCCAAAAGACAAATGAGAAAAGAGAGGCTTACTGCGGTTGCAATGTTTTTTGTTGTTTTCTTCTCCTTTGCGCGACAGAAAGTTAGTTACAAGTTAGTGAAGTTGAGCTGTGCGCAAAGGAGAATTGCGAGGAGGGAACGGAAAGGGGAAAAGGAAGAGAGACTGAACGCTGTCAACGCACAACGCAGCGCCTGCACAACAACAATCGGTCAGTCGCGGGCACCTAATGAAACAATGTATAGTGTGTGTATGTGAGTATGTGTTTCATCTTTTTTTCTTTCTTTACATTCGCCGAAACAACCACGACACAATCTGCGAGAGGGAAATAAAAACTTTTGTGGCGCCGCGTATTTCATCAAGCACGAGCAGACGGAAAGAAAAGACACAGAAAATGGTAAAGCACAGAAACACGACGATTCGATGCTGCTGAGACGCGAGTAGATGAAAAAAAAAAAGAGTAAAGAGAAACGAGGAAAACACAGAAAGAAAGCTACTAACAATAAAAACCTGGTCACCAGAAATGAGCGCGCCACCGCAACCAAAAGGAGAAATAACGCAACAAAACAGAGTGAAGAAGACGGAAAAAACAAACCCAGGAAAAGGGAAAAAGTGGCGAAGCGCGTTTTGTATGGAAATTTAAAGTGTTGAATAGATGATGGATAGAAACGTGAATGCTATGTGTAGCAGAAACCTATCAATACACTCCACCAAGGAGGAAGTAGAGAAAAACAAAAGCGTGGCGGAAGTATAAATGTGTTTGTGCTTACGTGTGTGTTTGTGTGTGTGTGTGTCTGTGTGACGACGGAAACTTGCTGTATGAGCGGTCCACGTCACGGACTACAATAGGAACGAAGAAGCGATACACACTGCACAAGATGGAGGGTGATGTGAGCACGTCGAGGAGCAACGAGAGAGAGAGAAAAAAAAAATAAAAGACGCGCACGAGACAGGGAAGGAGAGAAGATACTGGGTGAAACTGAGTGCGAGATGAGGAAAGCCAAAGAAAGATGGAAGCTCCACGTTGCAGCAAAACATAACACGTGCCCGCGTGCGAGGTAGCTCACCGCTCGCGGCCAGGTAACACACTTCCCACAAAGGATTCAGCAAAACCCCGGTCACGTTTTCCAGACTCACAGAAAGAGAGAAAGAAGGACGAGTGGCACTGCTTTTTGTTTTCTTCTTTTAATTCGAGTTCTGGCTATCAATGTCTTGGGTACCTTTGTGGGGTCAACCGCCCTCACTTCTTCACTCTTCCTCACCCGGCTCACAACAACACCGCGCGCCACGACAGAGAGAAAGAGAGAAAGAAAAGGCGAACGCGGAAAACAACAAAAAAATGCGTGACAAAATCATTGTTTTTCTTTGTAAATCACTCGCTGCAGCGCAACCCAGCTGCGGAAAGGAAGAAAAACACATGTCCACACACACCATACGTCTCGCTCTTTCTTTGGCGATAGAACGCAGCAGAGGGCGCACGCGCAGCCACGCAAGTCGGAAAGCCGTCGACAACACTGTTTGGTTTTTTGAGCGCACCACTCAGCCTTCTTGGCAGAATCGCATCCAGTGCCTGCAAGCGGTGCAGCGAAGAAAATAAATGCATATATATCATCATCTTCGCTCAGCAGTAAAACTCTAAACCTCGCCAGTACGAGTGCGCCAGCGCAATCGCCTCTATCCCGGTAGGAATGATAGAAAAAATGTAAAAGACGTGCCACAGCCGCGCAACGTGCGCGGTGGCCTGCCAGGACACGATGAGCAAGACGGCCGCCGCGGCATGGCAGGAGCCTTGAAACCAGTTGTCGACGCCAAAGCGCAACGTGCGGCTCGTCACGACGCCCCACGCGTTGAAGAAGAGGCAAAGAAAGCTGGCGGCAAGACACAGGTCCGTTGCCCGGCGAAGGAATAGGTAATCGGCCTCAGCGTAGCCGTGGGCTAGAGAGGCGGTGCGAATCATGTGCTCGCTGCCTCGCGCGGCGCAGAGTAACGCGCTAAAGTGCATCCACCACGTTGCGAGGCGGAACGGCACGAGCAGCAATGCATTTACGTTGCGGCACACTAAGGGGAGGTAGGGTACATTGCAACGGCGATAGGCACGAACCTCGTGCAGGCAAATAGGCATCTGTTGAAAAGGGGAAATAGAAATAAGCAATGATAAATGTTGTGTCAATGTGAGGATGTGCCAATTACAGCGAACACCTCGTGGGTTAAACTGTGGAGGAAGTGCTCTGTGGATGGTCGAAATATAGACACAGATATATATCCGCGTTGGGGGTACTTTTACGTGGAACACGCACACCCAATGTCATCGCGGGCCCCAACTTCTATTTGTAGCATGTAGGTTCCGCAGCGCCACTTCGGACGAAAAGTGACACGCGTTGCTCATTATTTTATCACGAGAAAGAGAACAACGGAAGAAGACAGGCGGTTTCAAAAGAAAAGAGCGATAGTGGAATCGCACGTCCAGACGTACGTGGTCCCATTCAATGCGGTAAATGATCAAAGAACTGCTGCCCTCGCTGCCCTTCAATCAGGAATAGTTCTTTGGTGCACTTACTGGAAGAAGCAGAGAATTTATTTGAAGGGGGTGCAGGAAGAAGAAGAAAAGAGACGCTCGCGTCAGTTCATGTCGATGTGTTGTATTTGCATGCGCTTTTCTTCGTTGGTGTCACTTTCCGTCTTCATCTCATGCTGTGTTCCCGCAAGCACTGGACGGAGCTGCGGTGCACTTCTTATTATCGTGATGGATGCTTCCAAACCTTTTTTTTTTTAGGTGATGAATGAGAGAAAGAAGAGATACACGGGTGTACACAGAGCAAAGTCAGTTGAAAGCGGATTCAACGAAACAAGAAGGGAAAAGAGAAAAAAGTTTTGGGGATTTGTTATGCACACGGTGACGTAAGGCGCGAATACGCACATACCACTGGAAGCAAAAAGACATTGGAAAAAGCTGAATCGTCCAGAAGAAAGGAAAAAGAAGTGCTCGTCAGGCAGCACCGTTTCCTTCGCCGTTGCTTTCGCTTCCTTTGGCGGATTGAGGGGGGGGGGAGAGAAAAAGATACATAAAACCTACAAGAAAGAAAAACACAATAATAAGACTGAAAGGAAAAGAGAAACCAGCGTGCAGTTACCACGATAGTCATTAGCGACAACCCTATGTCACAACACATACGTAGACAAGAAACGTCGTGAAGATGATGAGTAATGAAAAAAGACGTAGCCGGCCAACTATCGGAAGAGGAAAAGGGCCTAAGTCATTAATACATAGCAGCTAAATTCGACTTCAAATTTCAGGGGATGAAGGAAGCGGCTATATTATTGATCAAAGGAAAAAAAAAAGAACACCAAAAAAAAAACCGATGACAGCACTGCTGAAGATCGAAGCCCCAACAAACACCAAAACTTTCTTTTCCCCAATGCCGTTCTGTGCAACGGTGGCTTTTCCATCACTCACCTGCGACGTGAAGTTCACGCCTCCGCATCGCCTCCTCAATAATCGCCCTTTCCTGCGCAGGACGTGCCTTTGCGTCGTCGTCGCGCTGGGCCGCCGCCCGCTCCTCCACCTTCGTTCGCTCCTCCGGAGGGAGGGCGATAAGCCAGTCTACCTTCTGATCCTCCACGGCAGCCGCCACAGCAACGCCGTAGTAGTACCGCGAGTCCATCCACTTTAACGGGTCGTCCGGAGTCGCCGGCCACTTTTTCAGTAGCCTCGAATAAACGTTCAGCCACCAATGCTTGTGCGACCACGGATTCACCCCACAAAAGTACGTTGACTCCGTCCACTTCTTCTTGAGCAGCTCATTCGTTGTTAGCCCCATCATGGTCATGTAGATGTGCCCGAGAAAGAGAGGGAAGAAGAAGAGGCCGATGAAGAAGAAGCAGGCGTAGACGATGATGGGCATGCCGTACACGTGCCGAAGAACCTGCCACAGCGTCCATGACTTGTGATGGTTGATCAGCTCCATCGCTTGAATTAAATTGTACAAGACGCTGTAGCCACCCATGACGTGCAGGGACAGCAGGGTCATGAAGAAGTAGGGGTAGTTGTTGCGGCCGATACAGCAGTTCGTCCATCGGCAGTGGTGGTCCATGCCATCCACACAGTTGTTGCACACCCGGCAGTGGTGCGTGCGGGGACCGCGGGCGATGCGGCAGGTGCGGCAGAAGAGAATGGGAAACTCCAGCGTCGGCACCGCCAGGTCCGACTCGCTCAGCACGGGGTTGTAGGGCACAATGTGGCCCGTGTCCGTCTCGAAGTAGCGCTCCATCGAGTAGACGGCGGTGCGCTTGTGGTTGAAGACGCTGGGCGGGATGTCGCCGTCGACCAACGCCTGATGAATCGCCTCCGTCGTGAACCTCGTCGCGGCGGCTTTGTACTTGTCTTTGCTCTTGCTTGAGGACGCGAGTTCGGGCAGCTCCTGCAGTTTGTTGAGCACGGCCTGCGCGTTCGGTGCGGGCACACGCACAATGAGGATATCGCCGCGGTCCGTCACGTTCTTCAGGCGACGCCGTGGGACAATACCGGGGTTGGTGAAGGAGCACAGCGTCACGAAGAAGGCCGTGACACACGAGAGCACCCACAGCGGGATGATGCCGCCCCAGCCTTTCTTTCCCGCGTAGGCGACGGTGGTGAAGACGGGGTACAGGAAGAGCACGCCGTAGATAAACAGGAGAGACCAGATTTGCGGCCCCGTCACGGCTTGAAGCGGTGCCTTGTGGTCGCAGTTCGGTGCCAGACACTCTCTGTGGCCGACCACCATTGTGGCGAGCATACGCTTTGAAAAGGGCCAGGTGGGTCCGTAGACATCCTTCGCGTCTCCTTCGAGCTCTTGGCCTAATCCGCAGCGCACATGATCGATCTTGGCCACTTGCTCGTAGTACTCCTCCGCAGTCCGCGGCGCAACAATGCTCGTGAGGGAGAAGGCGCCGCCGGCACCGCTACTGTCCAACACGGCGTCGTCGACGACGGATTCTTTCGTCATTCGCGTGCCGCTCTCGCTGTTGCTGCTGCCGTCTCCGCTGCTCTTGGACCCGCTTGGGCTCGTGACGTCGTCGCTCGTGCATTCACGGCGGAGAGGGTTGAGCGCAACCCCTGCTGACGGTCCTTCTGCAGAGGCATCGCTCTCGTGATTCGTGTCACTGGCTGCTGCCACTGGTGTGACGCGCGGCATGGGCTGCCATGACGGCTCGGGTGCTAGAACGGCATGCACATCTTGGTGGTGCGCACGCGCGTGCGGGCCGTTCGCCATCACGCGTTTCCCGCTCGCGGGTTTGCTCTGTGGGTCGCTGCTCGTTCTGTTCTCCACTCTTTCTGTGCCGCGGTCCGATAAGCGGCGGCACACCGCCGGTGCATTTGCCGACGCCGCTGCAACGCCGGGGTGGTCCAGGGCGTGGCTAAGGCTCCCACCGGGCGGGCCTCGTCGTGGAGAGGGGGAAACTGGCGGGGCAGCAGGGGGCGCTGGCCCCACTGGCGCCCGCGAGTGCGTGAGTGACGGCACATCCGAATCAGGCGTGCTAAGCGCCGACTCCTCGTGGAAGTGCGGTGCACTCACCGCAGAGTTGCTAGAAAACGACGCGTTCCACATGTCTCTCTTTAGAACGCTGACTGCAATGATGTATGGGGCACTGTTTTTTTAATTACTCTTGTTGTACGTATGTCCTAGCTGCTGTTCTTGCAGCACAAGGTGAAAGAGAAGAAACACAGACAAATAAAAAAAAGAGAAAAGAATGAACGTTATGGATGGCTCCTGGGCACGTACAACACGAAGGCAAATATGTTACAACCAGCAATGCCCATTCTTTTTTTTTTCCTTTCTTTATTGTTGCAGCAAGAATGAGAAGAGAAAGGGGAAGAGGGTGAAAGAAATCCTTCAGAGAGTCGGGAGCCGCAACGGTGTCTATGAAAAAAAAAAAACCAGAAGCGGAGTCGTCTTCGAGCAGTTACACGATCAGCTGAATCGGAGGCAAAGGGACGCGAGCAGGAGTTCGAAAGGCAGCACGCTCCATCCACTCCGCTACAACGCAACGTAACCTATAACTTGTTGAAGACGCAGCTAAACACAAGTCACCACTGTTTTTATTCCGCTTTCTATTAGTTAATCGTGACGTCAACGGATCAACGAAACACTTACTCCCGTTTTCTACCTCCGCTGATACCGTTTCTCTTCTGTGAACTTCACGAGGGCCATCCTTGCAACTCGCTCGACGCCAACTGCGCAACAGAGAGCCCCAGGGATGCTGCAGCTGTTTTAGCGGAAGAGAAGTGGCGTGCAGGTGAGCCTGTCAGGAGCGCATCTGCGCTGGCACTCAACATGTTGTAGATTGCTTCATGTGAAGAAACACGGCTGCCGAGTCGGTGTCCGTTCGCATTTTCGCTGACGCCTCCGCACTTTTCGGTACCCGAAAAGGAAGCTGCCGAGCAGCCGAGGTGTGTGCCGCACAAGTCACACAGCCTGGACAGCGGAAGAAGGCCTCTGTTCGGAGGAGTTGGCCCCACAATCGAGGAGGCAACAACTGGAGAGGAAAGATGCGCGGGTGGGCTGGGTAAAGGCTGCGCCGGCAAGGGAGCTGCCGCTGATTGTGACACGGACAGAGTCCTCAGCTGTAATCGCAGCGCTGAGGGAGCCGCAGTGGAAGTCGGATGGGGCATCGCTGCCGGTGAGCTGACTTGGGCGTGCTCGTTGAAGCTCGACTCCGACTGCAAAACGCACCTCTGCAGTACGTCCATCCTCTCCTTTAGCGCATCGTACGACAAGCAGCTGGGAAATTTGTCGTTGCACGTCCACTTGTCGAGGTCAGTAGCCGCGTCCTCTCTGTTCGACAGGAGCCGGCGTACTGCCGTCCGTCGTGAGCGGAAAGAGGGAGGGAGGACGCAGTTGTAAAACGTGGACAAGAACGTGCATTCGGCATCCACGTCAGGTGTCCAGGTATCCTGCACCTCGTTCTCACTACGCTGCTCCGCTACCTTTTGCTGCAGTTGCTGCTGCTGCTTCGCTTTCGTACTATTCCGTTTACGCGTGGTCGTGGTGGCTGCGGTGGCACTGGGGATGCCGCTCGTTTCTAAAACGACATCCGACCCCGACTCCCACTCATGCGACAAGAGGCAGGCTCGACACGCGGCGTCTTGACGCGCGTACTCGTTTAATGCCCCTTGCACCGATTGCATGGTGTTTGTCGCGCTCAAGACGTTCGATAGAACCCTATCCACTGCCACCATATCCACGAGGGCGGTGAATGTCACTCCAGTGCCGGTCAACGCTTTCAGCGCGCCACGAAACAGCTCTGTGTACGCACAGAGCACACTCGGCTCTGTCAGCGCACTCACCTCCGCATAGGAAGTCGTCGTGGGTGGCACAGAAAGAAGAGACGCGCATTCTTGTCGTGCCCGAAGTTGCACAATTAAATCTGAGTTAGCGGCGTGCACAGTAGCGAAGCCAGTGAGATGGCTTAATAGGTTGCAAAGGGCAGCCGTGGCGCCTGTGCTGTTGGCGAAGTCATCGCTGTTCTCTCGGTCTCGAGTCGTTGCGTCGCTTCCGTACCCAGCGGCAAGCAACCCCGCGGCGAGCAGTTCCGCGTAGCGCACCTCAACCTCCAGGAACGGCGCGGTGCAATCCTTCCTTAACACGATCAACGGAATGACACGTGCCGTGTCGAGGACAGATTGCGGCCCCGCACCGACGTGGCCAGTTGCCCCGCGCCGACCTGCTGATGTGGCAGACTTGCCAGCTTTGCGGCCAGCTCCGCTCCCGAGATTTAAGAACAGCGTACCGTCTTCATCTTCCCCGCCGTCTTCGTAGCCCACGTCTACGGCGAAAGCTTCGTCGTCATCGCTCTTGCTGTCCTCCACCTCCTCCGCAGAGTCTTCGCCGGTGAACTCATCGACGTCTTCGAAGCGGTCTGAGTCACTGTCGTTACTATCGGTATCGTCTTCGTTGCTGTCTGCGCTGCGCCGCGTACGTCGACGCTTGCGTGCTGTGGCACCTGTTGCTTGTCCACGCTTTGGCCTTCCCTTTCCCGTTCCAGTTGTGACGTCCTCGCTGCCTCTCAACGCGCCTTTCAAAGTTGAGGGCTCGGTAGGGTTTCTCCTCTTCGCTGCTCGTCGTCGTTTCACCGCTCCACCCCTCCTCCCCTCTCGACTTGGCTTCTTCATCTCCTCCTGCATCGCGGTGCCCAGTCCCGTCACGGTCTGCACGTTGAAGCCTTCGAATGCATCAGGACGGCGTGCGACCAAATCCAGTGCGTGCATCACCGAAAGGGCCACGTGGGCGGTGGAGCCGGCAGTCGTGCAGTTTTGCACCGGCAGGTACCAAGAGAACGGGGTGGCTTGATAAAGACGTACCATAGTTTCATTGCTGCCGCCACCGTTGGATGTATCGTCGCGGTGTTCTTCACCATCCAACGCATTCGGAGAGTCCCCGGCCGTGATGGCCTTCTTCTCTTGCAGAACAAACACGAGAAGAACGAAGGGCAGCTCCACGGCTGTAGCCGCGTCGGTACCGGTAATGGCAGCGAGGCCGGTGGCCGAGCAGGGCGACGTCACTTTCCAGTCAAGCTGGATGTGCAAGGCATTGAGCACAGGAGTATGTTGAATGCGCACGCCAATAGTGCCCACGAGTGGAGTCGACGACTCCTTCCCGGACTCGCCGCCGTCACCGGAAGCGGACGCAGGTGCGTCAATACACGTCCGCGAGAGCCGCTTCATGAATCGCGGAACAGCGAAGTCGTTGCACCACGGAAGGTTTTCAGATTCCTCCTGCGACGCGAACGATAATGCCTTCTTCTTTTGAGACGATGCGTACGGCTGCAATGCCCAGCGGCATAGCCTTTGCTGATCTGCAAGAAAGCCCGCCGTGGCCACGCCGCGACGTTGCAACCACTGCAAGTCTTTTGTGCTACGTGACAACCAGGACAGGGCCGTGAACGCCGCTGTGGTATAGCGCTGCTGGAAAGATCTCAGGATCTGTAAAGCGGCTGCCGAAGACTCGCGCTGGTTTTCTGCGGCACCGAAGCCGCTAGGTTGAAGCAGCCGCCCCACAGCAGATGCGGAGGTCAGGATGAACATCTCCTCGGCTACAAATTGCTGCGTGACGTTTGCGCTGGTGTGCGTTACAGCAGCGTCGCTGCACACCCACTGCAACGCGAGCGCTCGCGCAACACACGCAATGCGGATCGCTTCTTCTCTCAAGTCCGCCGCACTCTGCGATGTCGGAGGAAAAGACTCTCTCGTGTGGATAGCTTCAGCTGCGCCTTTTCGGTCCATCTCGTTCGCCGTACGCGCATTGCTATCCGCATTGGATGTCTCCACCGCTTGCCACAGAAAGTACTGTAGAATGGCGGCGGTGACGGCCACACGAGCGCGCAGGGCCGCAGTGGAGTAGCTGCGCTGCGTCCGGTTCCCCATTCGCCTTTTTCCTGTCCGCCCGGCAAAATCGGCAGCGCACGCCGTCTCCTCCGCCAGCAGAACTCCATTCACGCTTCCCGCAGCGCCACCGCGCAGCGAAAGGCTGGCGGGTGCGATGCGCGTCAGCACAATCTGCGGGGGCTTCGCCTCGTCACAAGCGGAGCGTGCGAGCGGAGCTTCAGCAAGAGAAATCGTCGCGGCTTTCATCGCTTTCCACCACCGGCCTTTTACTTTCTGAAAGTAAGCGTATATTGCATCCATCAAATACACGTCACTTCGCAAGCACACACACAGCGCATCTCCTCTCACCTCGAAGTCAGAAGCCTCAAGGGCAGACGAAGGTGCAGGAGGAAATGAAGGGCGGAGAACGATGCAGTCGGCCGTTGTTTGGGAGGCCGTCCACGTCAAACCCGCAGCGATTGTCGAGGGCCACTGCACGCAGGTCGCACGCCGCGGCGAGACTCCGCTTTCCCTTTCGTGAAAAGACGTTACCGCAAGCGTCGCTCCGTCAGCATCGTGCGACACCCGCGGAGGTGCAAAGATGCATGAAAGCTGCGAGAGCCACGAGGGGGTAAAATGAAGGCAAGGCAGGGCAGACCAAGCAGGGCAAGAATCCCCGGAAAGAGAGAAGGCCGCCGAACGGTTCTCATCGTCGAACAGCTCTTTCTTAACTGACGTGTGTAGTGCCTGCGCAGACGGCGACGATGTGCTGCAGCCCACCCTCTGTGCACTCACATCAGCGGACACGGCGGACACCCACACATCTAAAAGCGGCCCCGCTAGCAGCGGTGACCCTTCGGCACATTTGCATTCACTGCCGTCTTCTTTGTCCGCATCCAAACCATTGCCTGCGGGTTCAAATATCGATGCGACCAGAGGGCAAATCCAGCACGTGTGAAGCGAAGCGTCGCCGGTAATGAACGCGTAGCCGCTGTCGCGACAGCTGAGAAGCTGTGAGGCGGTTGAGGAACACGCAGGGGTCCCTGTGAACCACCCACACGTCGCCACGCTGGCACGTGACCGCAACGCATGTGAATGCGTCTGCGCTGCATCTCGCTGCTCGTCACGTTTGCTGACACGCATCTTTGAGGACCCGCGAACACACGATGTGGTCTTGTGCACCGCTGCGGCATCGTTGAAGCTTAAGTGCACCGCAATGAGACGGCGACGCAGCTGTGGACCATGCACTTGGACATCACCGTCGCTATCAACCAGTGCAGCAGCGTTCGCGACACTGTGAGAGGAAGGGTCGTAGGTGAAGGAGAAAATGTAAGGAGTCCACGATTCCTCTTCCTCCCGTGGCGAAGCTGCGGTTCTCGTCTCCTCGTTTTTCGCAGCTTCATCTGTTAGGGGTGACGCCGCTGCCCCAAGAAGAACCGGAGCCGGAGCCTCCACAAAAAGAGAGTCAGTGGTGGAAGGTGGTAGTGGTGGTGCTTCGGTTGGCGGAACTGACGCTTGCGCCGCCTGCGGAGGCTTCGCAGCGGCGTTAATGTTCAGCACTCGTCGTCGTTGCATCGTGCTGGCGATCGGCACCGACGGCGACTGTGACGACGACGCAGTGTCTGCACACGAAACTTCAGTCGCAGGCGTCGGCACCGCTTCCTCCTTGGCACTCCCAGGCCGCAGAAGCAGCAGACGACGTTGAGGAGGAGCGGCCACTGCAGCGGGGGTAACTTCGGCGGTTGGAACCGACGAAGGACGGGGTGGGGACGGCGCTGCTTCTTGACCAGGAAGATGCTTCGGTTGAGCGTCGATAAGAGCTTTCTGCTTCGTCTCTTCCTCTCCCTTGACCATCTCCTCCTCTCCCCCCTCACTCGGTGCAGCCACCTCCTGCACGTCAGTGGAAGAAGCAGACAGGGAGTCAAATTGCAGCACCAGCTGATCCCTGTCGCCCGCCGCTTCTCGCTCCCCCTCCTCACCTTCTTCCTCGTTGCTGCCGGCACCCACAGAAGAAGGAATCGTGGAAAGAAGGGTAGAGAAAAGCGCCTGCGGGGTCTCTGCTGGTCCGCGTGCTCCTGGAAAAGAGTCCAACTTGCCCGCCGTTTGCTCCATGGCGTCGCTTGAGGACGGATGCGAAGACGCTAGGGGGTGAGTATTACGCAGACGTGTGTGCTTGATGGGATGCGGCGAAGGACGCCACGAAAAGTCGTGCAGCACTGTGAGCACGCGCCGCTGGTCAACTACCCCGCTTCGGTGTAAAGAGTTTATGGGTGAGGAAGTGCACTCTGCCTCGCTCTCCGCTGTCGCACACGCTGGTGGCGAAGGCGCGAGATGGGGCCCTTCCGCAACCTCCTCCACAGCCTCCTCGAGGGAAACTTCGTGGAGTTGGTGGAAGCGAGAAACGTAGAGCAGCACCTGTAGCTGCGCCGCCGCGCACTCCGCTTCTGGGGAGCCGCCTGCCTCCCCATGGCGATAACCCAGCAACTCGGCGTTTAGACGGAGCGATGCATCCGTCGCCCACGCCGCGGTGAGAGGAGAGAAGCGAAACCGAACGGCGCACTCGGCACGCATCGATGGCACCACATTCACCTTTGTGCTCTAAAAAGAAGAGAACAACAAGAGGAGGGGAAGAAGAACGGGAGAATGTGCTGATGTGTACTGTTTCTTTCTTCTTTCTTTTTTTCTTGGAAGTGTGGTTCGCACCACTAACGCGCATGTGGTGCTGAGACTGCAGCAGCTTGGGTTCGCGTAATGGTTGCAGTTGTGACAGAGAAGAGTTCCGTGTTGAGGAAAGAAGAAAAAAAAGACGTTTCGATCGGTGGTCGTTTGAGGATTCCTTGGCGTACGCTAGTCCATCTAGTCCACAACCCTTTTCTCTTCCGCATTTCCCAATTTGTCCAGCAGCAGCACGATGTACTAGCTGCGTATCTCTAAAAGAAAAAGGAAAAGGCAAAAAAAAAGGGCGAGGGCGTTTCGTTGATGAGACGGCTTCTCAAAGTGTTTCGTTTCCTTCTTTCCTTTTGGCTTACATTCTACATATATACGCCGTTTCGTGCAGGTGCCCGATTATTTTGCTGTTCCTTCCTCCTTCTGTTAATCACCACCACACTTGTCAGCTTACGATGACAGCTAAAATATTCATTACTCGTATTACGTCCCCAATCCACCGGTGGGAACCGATTAAGTACGTAAAAAAGAAAACCAACGAGAGACACGCTCAGCCGTCGTTCTGTACTCCGGAGTCCGCGGAACGGCACCAAATTCAAAAGTGAATGCACCGCACTCAGCTTGGTCGACCTGCACCGCATCGGGCGGTGCGACGGACCTGGCCTACGAAATGCCTTGCCTCAGTGCCTTGTAGGCCACCTGCACTCGCTTCATAAACTGCTCCAGCAACGCCTCAGGCGACACCGCACCGTTGGCCTCCATCGCTGCCGCCGCAGCCCGCGAAGACGACGGCGTGGCCGCGTTCGCCGACAACGTGGACGTGGGACGGTCAGCGTTCCGCGATAGCAGCCGAGCCGCTGCATCCGCCGTATTCGCCGAGCTGCTGTGTTGTCTGGTCTCTGTTGTGTCAAAGGCGGTGCCGACAGCCACCACATCATAAAAGTGAGGCAGCCACCGCCTTGACGCGTTCTCGTCTACAAAATAGAGAGCCATAAACTTCTCCAGTAGCCGGCGCAGCGCGCTCGTGTCCACCTGCAGATCGTGCGCGCTGCGGCCGTCACCGCCAAAGAAGAGCTGCGTAAGCCTCCCCGCTGGCAATTGAAAGATGAGCCGCAGGAGAAGCACACGCGTGAAGAGGCCGATGGTTTTGTTTGTGTTCTCTAAATCCAGCCCACGCAGGATGCCCAGGTGGAACACCCCGTCTTGCATGAAGTCAGCCAGGCAGCACGAGAAGTTCAGGTAGCCGACGATGTCCGTGTCCTCAATTCGGATTGCCTTGAAGCGGTCCCAAATAGCAAACTGCAGCGTCTTCACGCATGCCGGCTTCGCGCTGCAGAACCGCATCAGCACCTGCGCGTAGTAAGGATTGTACTTCTTTTCTTGATATACACACTGCAGCAAGACAGAGCAGACATCGTGTAAGCGCGTGTAGCCCGGGTCGCGGTACATCAGCATCGTGAAGCACTCCAAATCGTCGGTGGCGTTGGCGATGCACTTGAAAATCTCCCGCTTGTGCTCCGTGTTGAGGCGCTGCCCGCTGATCGCCTTTTCCTCGGTCCGCATGCGTGCAATGCGCTCACGTTTCAGCTCGTACTCGTCCAACTCCTCCTCGCTCCCGTCGCTCTCAGAAGAGCTGACAGAGGCGGCGGAGCGCCCATCGGAGCTGGCTTCATCACCATCCATATCCGCATCATCATCAAGGTCCGCACCATTGTTGTGGTAGACATCATGCTCACTTTCAGCTTTGCGAGCGCGCTGGGACCGCTTTGCGCCGCCATTATCGTCTTCAGCCGCTGCGGATTCCATCACGCCCGGTACGTACCACCGCGGCGGCTTCTCCGGCGCCGTCACCTGACCCCACGTGAGACCGGTCAAAATGTTCGTCGAGAGCACCAGCCGCTTCATCGTGCGCCGCTGCGTGGCGGACGCCTTCGCCTGCCCGGGCAGCAAGGCGCACAAGTCCTCCAACATCGCTTCGATCGGGGCGGCGTCCTCGGTGGCGGTGCGGCGTGACGTGCGGGTCCGGCCGGCCGCGATGTCGCCCATCACCTCCACCAGCGCCGAGAAGCGCGCAGTACCGGTGAGGCTGCGCATCTGCGCCGACGCCGCACGTGCCTCCCGCAACGCAGCTTCCAACTCGGAAGGGCTCTCCTTCAACAGCTTCTCACCGCACGCGCGCATGAGCGCCAACCCGCACGCCGCTGCGCACACCGCCTGCGACGCGGCCGCCGCGCCGGCCCTTTCTTCCAGGAAGACGCGTGTGCCCTGTCGAAGCAGCATGCGCAGGAGGGACATCACGAACACCAAGTCAACGCCGTATAAGAGGTAGAGCTGGGCGAGAACCATGAGCATGTTGCACGCCGCGGCCTCCTCGCCCGCCGCGAGCTGGCTCTGCAGGGAGAAGCTTACTCTTTCCACAAGCTCCGCGCCGACTTGATTGCCATGGAGAAGCTGCATGCCACGCAGAAGGCCGGCAAAAGGCAGCGTTCCCGTTGTGTTCATCGGGCCCGTTTCCAGCCGGCAGAGCCGCTCAATTTGCTGTGAGAGGCTTTTCACGACGGCTGCGCGAGACACGCCTGCGGTGGACATGAAGGCGCTCAAGTCATGTGTGAGGTCTGCCACGTTGGTCATCGTCAGCTTGTTCACCAGCCGCCGCACCTTCTCTGTGACCTGCAGAGGCACCGCGGTGGAATCGGACGGCGGGGCCGGCGCGGTGACGAGGAGGGAAGAGGACGACGACAGCGGGCGTGGAGAAGCCGATGCAGCTTTTACCGCCGCCACGCTCATTTTACCGTTCTCCAATTCGCCTTTCTTGCTCAAGCCCTTCGACTTGAAGTCAGCCGGGGCATTTGCACCGTCGATACGCGCCACCTTGGCCCCTCGCGTCGTTTTGGCTTTGCCCGCCTCCGCCGGCATTTCGAGTTTCTGCGTCTTCTTCTTGGCCGCCCGCTCGGACTTCGCCGCGGAACGCTCGGCGCGCTGCCGCTTGCGCTGCGCCGCCGCCTGCGCCGTCGCCCTCCGCTCCTGCGCCTGCTGACGCGCATGCCGGCGCTCCTCGGCGAGTTGCTCGTGCATTTGAATCCGGGACTGCTTTTGCTGCTGCCGCTCCCGCCGTCGGCGCTCCTTGCGGTCACGCTGGCGATCCACCACGACATCGGCGTCGAGGGAGACGCCAGAGGCGTTGTCGTAGCGGGCGGTGTAGGAGCTGTCGTGGGCACGGCTGAAGCCGTCAGGGGAGGAGGGTTTGAAGAAGCGACCGCCACGGCCAAACTGCTCCCTGTTTATCGATCTGTACTCCTCCATGGTCGATGAGTGAGATGGGTTGAGTTAGTTCCAAAAACGACTTTTGTGAAGAAACAGCCAACTCTCAGGCGCTAAACAAAAGCAGCCACTTCGTGTTTCTGCTTCATGTTTCGCGTTTGCCGATAGATGTGGCGTTTCGAGTAGGTGAACGTGTAAAATAATGGAAACGAAAACAGCAGAGAGAAAGAGAGAGACGTCGAGTGTAAAGGGAGAACAGAGTAGAAGTAGTGTGAATCATTAGCGGAGACGTGCGCACAACACGTTTCCGTGCAACTCCTTATGCGTAGCAGCGTTCTGTATTCGCCGCACTTGGAAAACTGACTTGAAAGAACTTTCTTTCGTTTCTGCCTACAACGCGCTTGAGGCGCTTTTAGATTATTCTTACTTTCGGGGTTTTTCCTTGTACTTTGAGCAGGACACTGCGAAAGAAACCTTTCCAAACATACAACATCACGATACCACACCGTGTACGGCGACCAAACAGCCGCGTTACACAGTTGTAAGCGGGTCACCAAGTTGGTGTGTGTGTGTGTGTGGTTGTGGGTGTACAACGCCTCCAGGTGGGAAGTCGTCAGCTTCTCAACACCAGCTCAGTTTTCTTTCTCACGACGCTGAATCCAAAGGTGTCGCACGCTCCAGCCAAACCACACCAAAGACAGCAGCGTGCAGATGGACCAGAAAGACACGACCTTCCCTACCTCCGCCAGCAGACACAGACCAATGAAAAAGCAGCCGCGCGCGCGACGCCTGTCCGGTGCAAGCAGCATCGTTGCGGTGTCCTCCGCAAGAGGGCGGGAGGTGGCATCGACGAGCCAGTCCACCACATCTCCGGTGGAGCGCGCCGTGCACACAAAGCGGCCACCCGTGAGTCGATACAGTAGCGTAGCAACCATCAACGCAGTGATGCAGATCGCGGCGAAGGAAGAAAAGCTCGAGAAGAGCAACGGCGACGGCGAGGCGGAGGCGCGGGTGCCAAAGGCGAGAGCCCCGCAGACGGTGGTGGAGGCAAGCGAGACAACGAGCGTGTGAACAGGGAAAAAACCGCCGAGGAGGTTGGCCACGGTGAGCTGCAGCAGATGCGTGTCGAAAAGCACGACATGTTCGCGAAGCGACACAGACGTCATGCTCAACAAATATGAATGGTGAGGAGTGGAAGGGGGAAAGAGGAGCGACTGCCGGTCAATTTCGTTCCGCTAGTCTGCGGTGACAATAAAACAGGCCTTTCTCTACTCGGGTCCGTACGCAAAGAGGGAATAGAAAGGTAAACCAGAAAGAGAGAAAGTGACAAAGCAAGACATCGTCCAAAGCATGTTTTGAAAAGATTCGTTTCAAGCTGCCTTGACAGCTTCATCAAGAAGGATGCGCTACAAAAGAAACCGAAAGCTCCTAATGCAGTATCGAACCCGTAATGACAAAAGCAATGTGGGCTTGACGTACGCAACAACAAGTCTCGGGCTTTACGAGTTATTGCTTTTACTTCAGCTTCAAACGCGAGACGCTACGACGCTTCTCAGGCACGCACGCCTCCGCCGTCGGGCAACTCCAAAAAAAAAAGAACTCATCCGGTCAAATAAAAGGCAATTACTGTGAAAAGGAGATTGGGAAGGAAGTCTCTTCTCCAACTTCTGCTTGCATGCAACACTCACTTCCCGGCAATATCGCGCCGCATGCTGCCAACCATGCTGTTATAGCGGCCCACCTCCGCCAGCTCCTGCCGCTTTGCATCCAGCATTCGCCCGCCTTCCTCTTTCAGGTAGCGCTCGTAATTGGGGAACATGGGAGCGAGGCGCTTGTACTGCGCGTAGTTCGCCCAGCTAATAAACACGGCATATACGCCGCCGTACCACACAAAGGGGTGGCTGCGGCAGCTAGCCGTCACGCTGAAAGTGCGGAGCCTTCGCACAAAGTGAAGGAGAGAGTGCGTCATTGTAAATGAAAGGGGGGAGAAGAAGAGGGTACGATCCACCGTAAAATGGGATGTATTTGCGGGCTGATTGTTGTTTCCTTTGGGGAAGATTCCGTGCTTCAGTGAGTACTTATAAATGAAAAAAAAATAAGCAGGAGAAAGAGGAACGTAGATGAGGTTTCAAAATTGGAAAGATTCGCCGAGCGCTGCACCTAGCACAAAAACATCAAATCCTGCGCACCATCGCTACACGTCATCCATCGCCAACACGGCATGCAGTTAAAGAAAGCTGCAGCGAACGGCGACGAAGGGTATTTGCACATTCTGCTGTACATCAAAAAGGTTTCTCCTCGTCACTCAAAACAACAACAAAAATAAAGATTGTGCGAGATCAGAGAGCCCAGAATGATACGTCAGCCAGCCACTCACTCGCGCGGAGGAGCAACATGCGAAGCAAAACTGCTTATTTCATGGAAGCACGACAGCGTCTTCTATTCTTCCTGCCTTCCCAGAAAGGGCCTCCGTTCCGGTGCAGTTTATTGTGGTAGGAAAGATAAATGAGGCATCGAGTTCGTTGAGGCAGTTCAAACGTGCTTTGAGAGCTGCAGTGCTTCGAGTTCTTTTTTTCTTCGTTCTTTCTATGTGGGGTTTTTTATTTAGTTACACTCGAAACGCTGTTACAGGGGAGTTGCGACCTGAGTTTAGAGAATAACGGTGGAAGGACACACTGGAAGTAGATCGAAATCGTAATGAAAAGAGGGAACAACAAAATATAACATCGAGATCATCATCATTCTTGTACTTCGCGTGGTGCACGTTGTTTAACGGTTTACAGTACCAGGACACACAACTTCGCAGAAGGAAAAAAAGGAAAAACAAACAAGAAGGAGAATCGTATGGCAGCGGCACCACACACGCACACAGGGAGAGAGAGCGAGAAAAGAAAAGCCGCCCACAAGAAATAGAAAGCGGTCCGAGTTGCAGCTGTAGCTCCCCTGTATTCCGTTTCCTCTAGACGCTGTCTGTGCCTTCGTGCAGTTACGCTACACATGAAAACCACGGACTGCGACCGCCCCTACACAACCAAACGTACAAGACAAGCACACACACACACGCATAAATTGATAGCATCTTCGAAAGAGAATCTGATCAAAGAGAAATAAAAAAGAGTCTGTTGTCTACTACTCTAAAAGTTGAACTGGCCGTTGCCTTGCTGCGTGCCGTTCTCGTTGTTGTTCCCCTGAGCAAAGTCCATGACGCCGGCGCCCACGCCTTCATTAAAGCCGCCCGTCTCGTCCTCCGTCGTGAAGAACACCTCCAAAATTTGCAGGGCGAGGTTGTACACGTTCTTGTCCGCGTGCGACTGCAGCTCCTCGATCGTGTCGATGCCGCCGCACTCCGTCACCTGCTTCGCTACGATGTTCTCCTCCATTGTGCCGGCGTTCTTCTCGTCCTCACCGACCTGGAGGAAGCACTGCATGGCCTCTAGCGCCACCGTGACGATCTTCGGGTCGTACGTGCGCAGCGCCTCGCACAGCGGCGGAATGACGCCGATGTTCACCAAGTACTTCACCTGCCCCACCGAGCCGCAAAACGTGATGTTCGCCACCGTCCACACCGCCTCCTTCTTGACGTCCAACTCCGGCGCGCTGAGGCACTCGAGAATCGGCAGGCACACGTTCGCGTTCACCAGCGCCTCAATCTGGTAGGCCTGGCCAGCGGCGATGTTGGAAATCGTCCAGCACGTCTCCTTGCGCAGCGCCCGCTTTGGGTGGCGCAGCAGCTCCCCCATGGCGGGCAGGGCACCGCTGTTGATGATCACCTGCGTCTGCTCATCCGTGCCGGCCGCCACGTTGCCGATGATGCGAATCGCAGGGAGCTTCACGTTGGTGCTGGGCACTGAGAGCAGTTCCACTACGCGCGGAATCGCACCCGCCTCTAGCACCGCCTGCACACGCTCCGCCGGCCCGTCGCTGATGTAAGAGATGCCCCACGCCGCATCGACGATGAGCTGATCGTCTTCGTTGTTCAGCAGGTCGACCAACGTGGGCAGGGCGATCTGTACCTTCTCGAGCGGTGGGAGGGGCTTGCAGCGGCACAAGTTCGACACCGCCCACGTCGCGTTGCGCAGCACGTGAATCGGCTGGTCCCGCACGCTGAGCACGTTCAGCAAGGCCACCATCGCGCCGTGGTTGAGCGCCTCATCGCGGCAGCCGGCGCCCTCGCCCGACAGGTTGCCGATGGCCCACGCACTCTGGTCACGGCAGTCGGCGTTGGGCGACGCCAGCAAGGCAACGAAGCGCGGAATCGCGCCACAGTTCACGAGCATCATCGTGTTCTCCGAGGTGCCAGCGGCGATGTTGGTGAGCGCCCAGGCGGACTCGAACTGCAGCTCCGGGTAGTCGTTGCGCTCCAGCAAGGAGACGAGGCGGGGCACCACTCCGCTGGAGGTGACCGCGTCGTACGGTGGGTCCCGCTCGACGGAGAGAATCTTGCGGATCAGCAGCGTGCCCTGGAAAACCTCGCGATCGGTCGGGCCGTTCATGCACATGTTCACCAGCGTGGGCAGCAGCGGGACCGGCACGGAGGCCGGGGTTGAGCGGGCGTCGTACGACCAGACATCCTCCGGGTTCGCCACCTGCACCGCCGTCTGTGACGACGCGTCGTCCTCCTCAGCGCGGAGGTGCTTCATGACCTCGCCGTGCTTCTGGTGGCGCACCGACATGAGCTGGCGTTGACGTCGCTCCGTACCAGCCTTCACGTTGACCGCCTGCTTGGCGCCCTTCTTTTCCTGATTGTTGAACATCTTCGAATCGTCCGGTCTGTTCGTCTAGAAATGTGTATTTGCTCGCTTGTTTGCTTTTTCTTTTTTTCTTTTTCCCCTTGACACAGGCACAAAGAGGAATCCGGCTTTTAGTGTTACGGCGAGCGAGAACTTCGAGGCTTAATGCTGAAATACAAGAACGCGCGCAAAAACAAAAACGTACGTACGGTTGTTGTTGTTTTTTTGTCCTTTTACTCTTCTTTCTTAATCTCTCGTTGGATGTCGTTCTACAGCTAAGTGCGATTTCCCGCTACTTCCGTTCAAACTCCTTTTCTCTGCGTTTGCTGTGTTCGCAGCGGTGCGTTGCCGTCGGGCGGAGGCGGCGCGCGTCGGCTTGCGAGTGCGGGAGGTTCAAAACACGGAAAGGGGGAAAGAAGTCGGCGCAGGGAGACGGCAAAACAAAAAGATCCGGACGCTGAAGTGCAAAAAAAAATGTATGAGAAAAGAAACTTGGTCCGGTGAAAGCGGCAAAAGAAGAAGAAAACGCCGATGACGGTGTTCAGGTCAACGGAAATGGCGCAAGAAGAAATTGTTGTAAGGCATATTTTCTTTTTTAGGCGGAACTGAAAGAGAGAGAGAGAGATGGTTGACACACATATACAAGTGGGAGCTGTGCTCTTGGCTAGCACATCCACCAAAACAACCACCGTCCACGCAGCACTACGCGTAGGGCCACACCAAATGGGTTAACAGTGCACGAATGAGAATCTCTTATTATTATTATTCGCAAGTCATCCAGGAGACGCTCGATTGTTATATGTAGTATATCTTGCTTTTTCTTTTATTGCTGTTGTGTGTTTGTGTGGCGGACGCCGGTTTACTGTCGCGCCGCAGGGGTGCAGGCGCTAACGTATCCAACTCCCCCTCCTTGATCTTCGACGGGTATTCACGAGCCGCTTCGCGAGCAAGAAAAGCACGCACGCATCGAATAGCGCTTAGGCAAAGACAAATAGAAAGGAAGTGCGAACACGGGAGTGGGCAGGGCGCTTGCTTTGCTGCCCCTTCTTCCTCCACCTCTGCCATCGCCTTCAGAGTTAAAGGGTTCATAGATGGAAAAGAATGAATTTCATGGGAAGCGATCAAGGTACACTTGGAAAAAATGTTTTCAACGTACTCATCACAAAGCGCAGCCATGTAGACTTGAGAGGGGAAAACAAAAACCACACCCGCATCGACGCCGTCAAGAGCATCACCACAAGACAGTCGCCTCTCGAGACTCTTGCAATCGTTTGCTCATCTAGCTGACATCGCCAGCAGGCGCCACCATTTGTTGTGAGATGGCGTCGCTGTACTGATGCAGCATGAGCAACTCCGGTGCTGCACAATTCACACTCTCCACGGCGGTGTTCATTTGCCGTCACAAATGCAAAGCGAATCGAAGGCGCCATTCTTCTCCATCTTATCCTCTTCACGCCCTTCCTTCAAGCTTGAAGGGAGTGATTCGCAATTGAGCCCGCTCTCTCTCTCTCGCTCTTCACTTTGACTCCAAGTACCTACAATGAATCAGAGGTAAGAAGTTGGTTGGTGAAAGCTGATTCGTGCACTGGGTTTCTTTCGCACGAAGACAGATGCGCAGAAGCATCTCTTCTGAATTCAGGGCCTCAGTTGGAAAAGGTGATCTTCGCATCGGAAGACAATCTCGTTGTCATCGCCAGCAGGCACCGTCATTGGTTGCGAAACGGTGTCGCTGTACTGATGCAACTTCGAATCGAGGGAAACAAAAACCTTCAAGGCAACCACCTCATTCAAAGAATGAGCCATCTCGTGCAGTCTTGATGACAACAACCTCTATGGACCCTGCGCATCGCGTGCGTAAGGGGGGAGAGTGAGGTGCCACGATTAACTGCACTTGAATATTATTAAGAAAAGGAAGGAGACAAAAAACCAAGAACCAGAGCTGCAAAGATGCACGGCAGGTCGTATTGGAAGGACAAACGGGGACCCAGCAAAAACATCTCTCACCCCGCAGCGGGCACAGCGTGCCATTCATCTGCCACCATTTGAGGTGTGCTAACTATGCGTAGTAAAGGATTGAGAAAGGAGAAGAGCTGGACTTCAGGCCCATTCATGGCGAGGTGTTGTAACGGGCAGCTAGAAAGAGGGAGAGGGTGTGAAATTCATAGAGGAGTTGTAACTCGATGGGCGACGTGGCACTGGTGCATCGAAGAGATACGCTCTCATCGCTAATGCAGATGCGCATCTTAAAAGCAAAAAAAAAGGTCGAGAAGAGTGGGAAAAGCGTCACAGGCTTTTCACGCAGCATCACGGTGTAAAGCAAAATCCGTGGAGTGAAACATTTCAAAGAGAAATCGAAGCTCTGAACACGAGAGACGGAATATGCGCTACCAGCAAAGAAGGAAAATGCGGCCCTAACGCCGGTGCTTACCGTTGCCAGACTGTCACATACAGAGATTAGGGGTCTGAGTAGAGGATACGAAGTAGACATTCACGACACGAAGGAAGGAGAAGGAAGCATGAGAAAGACGCAAGAACGTGAGAGGGAAGCAGATTATTAAAAAGAAAGAGAGAGCACGTGTACACCTTCTTCATGCATGAAACCACACAACATTACTCGTTTCTTCTTATACAACGTGTCACGCGCTAGGGTCACCTAGACACATGGCGTGCGTCATTGGCATCAAGCATCTGCAGCTTCCTGCAGCCCAATAAGTACTTGCAGGTGTCTTTGAAGCATGCGTGCAAAAGCAGCTGGGCGGTACTCCACAACAGCTGCCGTGGATACCGCATCACTGCAGCCGCAAGCACGCAACACAACACAAACACACAAACAAATACGTCCAGTTTTGCAGGTGTAAGCTAACGAGGACTGGGCAGAAGACAGCGGCGCCCTTTAGTCGCACCTCGCATGAAAAGAGAAGGGAGAGAAGCCATTACATGAGTTTACGTGCAGAAGCGCACACCCAGCCATTACATATAGGAAGAGAGCGTACGTCGCGAACGCAGCTGCATTGTGGAGCATCGTTGCTTCTTGTTATGTCCCATAGATACAAAAGAACATCCTTTCACGCACACGCACCGCACAACACATTAAAGAGAACATCACCGTTTAAGGAAGACAAAGCGGTTTCACCAGCGTGAAACCAAAACGAGAACAATCTTCGAAAGCCTGCGGCCATGAGTCATCGGCCCACTTCAAAGGTAGCGCCATAGAGCGGAACGTCGAGCTCGAAGGGAAAGAAACACACGCCCACACCCAGGAAGACATGAAAGAGCAAAACAAGAGGGTCGGGCACCACGCAACCCCGTTGAGGCTACGAGAACAGCTCCGCGCTAAGCAATGCGACTACAATGATCCATACGTGTCATCGTAATCGCACACTCACCACACGTCACTCGATCTAAGCGCGACGACGACGGCGGGTCACGAGAGAGCGCAGGTCCTGCTCTGCCTTGGCACGATCCGCAATCTCCTCCAGCTGGGCACGGAATTCCGCCTCGTACTCCGTGCCCGCACTCGACTTCTTCTCGATAAAGGGGTGTTGCTGCAGGCTCTCAATGATCGAGGTGAGGCGGTCCATGCCACTGCTCGTCTGCCCCTCGCTCGCCACCAGTAGCACCATGAGAAACGCATTCAGCACGGCGTCGGTGAAGCGGACGTACTCGGTGTTGGCGCTCAGCATGACGTGCGTGGTGGCGTACAGCACCAGCAGCCGCTTGTGCGGGTCATCCGCGAACTCCTTCATCCGCTTCGCCACGACGTTGAAGACGTGGACGGAGCGCAGCGGCGAGTAGAGGGCGAGGACCTCGCGGAGCGTTTCGTACGACGACTCCCCCATGCAGTTGTCCACCATGAGACACACCGCCTGGATCTGGCTCGGGCTAATCTCAAGCCCGTTGGCGCCGCAGTTGTTGTAGGTGCTGCCCATCAAGGACTGCAGCCTGTGGTCCAGTGTCATCTCGGGCGGGGGCCGCACCTTGGCATACACATTGCCGTTTGCTGCATCGGTCCCACCGGCAGCACCGCCGCCCATTGCAGGCAGCATCAACGCGCCGCCGCCGCCCATGCCGCCACTCCCGAACGCCCCGGCCATCAGCGCACCGCTTGACCCGTCCAGCTGCCCACCAGGGCCGCGCATCATCGCGTCAAGATTGAAGTCTCCACCCGCCGCGAGGTCGGAGGCCGGCTCCCCGATGCGTCGGCGGTCCGCCATCGTGTAGGTGTGGTTCTGTTTGCCAAAGCTCACTCGGATGGGGCTGCCCTTGACCGTAGCGTTCGTCAGCGCCGCGCGTGCGATGCGCGCCGTCTCGATGCTGTCAAAGTGGCCAAAGCCGATGTTGTTCGCCTCCACGTACTTGCTGAAGATGAAGCCGTCAAACGGCTGGAACAAGTTCTCCACCTCCTGGGCGTCCGCGTCGGAGGGCAGGTTGCCGAGGTAGATGATGTTCGTCGGCGTCTCATTGACTGGGATGCCATCCGCGGTGAGGGGGACGCTGTTGTAGCTGTTCCCCGGGCCGCCAGGAGCTCCGCTGCCACCGTCACGTGCCGAATCGTTGTTGTTTTGCGCATCATGGCCGTAGTTCATGCTGAGCATCACCCCCTCAATCGGTCGTCCCTTCATCGTCTCCAGTGCCATCGTGCACTGCTCCACCGTGTCGTAGGTGAGGAACGCCATGTTGGACCGTCCCAGGCGGGAGACGTGTGAGATGGGGCCGAAGACTTCGAAGATCTCCACCAACTTCTCATTGGTGATGAAGGGGACAAGGTTGCCGAGCCACAGCACGTTCGACGGCTCCTTCGCGTCCCGCTCACCGCGGGCACGACGCTGCGGCGGGGGCGGCGGCAGCGCCTCCTGCGGGGCCGCCTCACCATCGCGGACGTCGCGGAAGTCTCGCGGTTCGTACTCGTCTTGCTCGCGGGGGCGACGAGCTCCAGGCTGGAATTGCTGCTGCTGTGGCGGTGGCTGCGACGGGTACTGCTGGGGGTACTGCTGACGCTGGGGGTGCTGCTGGGACGGCTCCTCCAGCGGCGGCTCTTCGACCACGTTGGGGTCGTGCGGCAGGTTCATCTCTTCCTCGGTGTAGTCGTGATGCTTGCTGAAGTTAAAGATCGCGGGCCCCAGCTCGCGGCTCTGCATCAGGGCGTCAACGGCCGCCTTCGCCTCCTCTGTGCGGCGCATGTGGACAAACGCGTAGGACTTGCCCTCGTGCACGGCGACTTGCATGACACGGCCGAAGGGCCAGAAGGCGCGGCACAGCATCAAGCGAGAGTGGAAGGCCGGGTCGTAGCTGCCGACCCACACCGTGTTCGTCGGCTCCCGCATCGGTGGGTTCTCCTGTGGCTCGTCGCGGCGACGCGCGTTGTACTGCCGGCCGCGGTCTTGTCGGTCATAACCACGACCCGGTCGATCGTAGCCGCGATCGTAGCCGCGATCGTATCCGCCGTCGTAGCCACCGCGGTAGCCGCCGCGGTTATAGCGCTCTCCCCCACGACCACCACCGCGACCACGATTGTAGCGGCCCGTCTGCGCGGGGTAGCCGCCGTCGTACTGGCCGCCGTAGTCGCCACCGTAGTTCCCGCGGTAGTGCTGTGACGCCGACGGCGGCTGAGGAGGGGCGGCCATCGCATTGGGCGACAGCGTTGGCAACTCCCCTGCTGCTGCGCCGGGGGGCATCAGATAGCGGGGAGCCTGAGATGGCTCAGCGGACTGCGAAGTTGGCGCTGCTGTGGGCGGCGGAGCTGCAGAAGCGGGAGCACCGGTGTTGCCGGGGTAGTGGGGGTGCGGTGGTCCACCGACGTGAGCAGGCCCCGGCTGCCTCACCATCCCTGGTGGCATGGGTGGGGCCCCTGGGCGGTTCATGCCTGGTGGAACCGGCGGCATCTTGCCGGGTGGCATGGGGGGTGCCTTGAAGCCCGGCGGCATCGGCGGCATGAGCTTCGCACCGGGTGGGCGCGGCGGCATCTTGCCCGGCGGCATTGGAGGAGCGGCCATATCTTTCTCTCTTCTTTTTCTTTTTTATCTGTCTGCTTTGCCCTCGCGTTAAAGGCACCGTGATAGAAAATAATATTAATAATAATAATAGAGTGCGTCAGCGGGGGAGGAAAGGCAATCAACTCGTCGTGCAGACACAGCGTCTCTCAAATCGCTCAAATTGTGCGTTTCCTTTTTTTTTTTTGAGGGGGACAACGTGAGTTAAAGCAGGTGAAAATTTGCACAGGCAAAATATATATGTTGTTGTTGTTGAAGAAAAGGAAGGAAAGCAGCGGAGAACGAGCGTAGAGGAAGCAAGCAGTCTTCGGTGCTACTGAAGATCGCGAGCAGCGGATCCGAAAGTGAGAAATAGGTGAACACACGAGGAGCGATCGATTACTTATGCTGGAAGGAGAAAAAGATTGCACCCAGAGCGTGCGTTGCTTTTCCTCTCCACTCCTCTATCTCTCTCTATCTCTCTATCCGCCCCCCCCCCCTCCTCTAGCGCGCAAAGAAAGACATTGGGATTAACGCGAAGATCCTTCCATCGTGGTTCTTTGAGGTATTGACTTCAGCAGACTCGTTGTTCACGTCAACAAGTGAGAGCGTTCCGTTAATACGACAACAAAGAAGGCATCCCTGTTCACGTGCGACGCGTCGTTGAGGCCCGCGACAGAAACCGCGGAGGAGAAAACCCGACTTTTATCAGATCACCCGCATGCCACGAAAAACGTGTTCGGTGATCTCATGCACGCTTTCCTCCACCACAGTTTCCGTAGGAAAAGGAGACAAAGGTAAAAGAACACGCTGATTGCAGCAAAAGGAAGAAACTCAAAAATAGCAAGAAAGGTGGAGGTCGACGAGGTAGCGCTGCCCGCCGTCGGAGGTGAGCGGATGGTTGTTTGCGTAGCACAGAAAGAAAAGGTGAGCGGTGGGATTAGCAGAAAGAAGGGTGGAAATCGTCCAGGACGGTCCGGACGGTGTAGGGGAGGGGGAAAATAGGGCTGCTTCAGCCGACAAAAGAGAAACGAAAGAACGAATTAAAAGAAAACGGCGCGACGAGTAACAAACAAGTTAAAGAGAAAGCTTAATAGTGTAGTTACTACTATTATTATTGATGCGCACGAAAACAGTGAGTTCTACCTATCTTGGTCACTGTTCGCTTGAGCTCATCACATTTCGCACGCATTCTCACACGCCTGCGCACGCACACAACACATGTTCGCCAACCTGCACCACAGTTACCACCACAACCCCTTACATGAAGTACACTACGCACAACTCATTATCACCGTCACACACTCTTTCTCAGTAGCAACAACAGCTCACCTCTTAGACATCAACTATTAGTATTGTGTTGTTGGTTTTTTTTTAGCGTTTAAGCGGCAGACGACTTCTTTTGAAGCACAAACACAGCGTCATTCAACAACGCGTACTCGTTGCGTAGGTTCCCCTCGCAGAGGTACGGCAACCGAGTCCAACGCACCAGCTCAAATCCCATGGGAATGAGCACGTTTTCAAACAGCTTCGACGCCGACGCCTCGTAACTCGCACCCTTGCAGCACTCTCCGCCCTTCATGGGCAGCTTCTCCGACGGCGCCTTCTGTCGTGGACCGTCCTCCACGAACGGGCACCACGGCAAGACAACCGCGAGGACCAGGAACCCGCCAGGCTTCAAGGAGTCCCGCATGTCACGCAGCAACGTCTCCGGTTTATCGGCACGATCGAGCACGTTATTGCACGCAATCACATCGAAGTAGCGGCGCTCCACCGGCTCCGCAGCAGCATTCACCACAAACGGGGTCTCGTGTGGCAGCACCTCGTACCCGCGACGACGCAGCCGCCAGCGCATCGAGGCAGAGAACTCCGTCGCGTACACCTTGCGGAAGAGGGGCGCCATCCTCGCCGTCACGCCACCGTCGCCAGCACCGATGTCGAGCAACGTGTCCCACTGGAAAGACGGGGGCAGCGGCGCCGAGGCGGGTGTGTGTGGCGGCCGCAGCAGCGTTCGCACCTGCTCGTTTGAGTACACAAACATGCCACCGCGACCGACCAGGCCGTGGGCAGTGGTGCGAGAGAGAAAGAGAGAAAGGAAATCGCCCACCATCAGTTTCCACAGACTCACATCGCGGGATTTAGTGAGGAAGTCGCTTGTTTCGGGGTCGCAGAAGGACGCCTCAAACAACTCCTTCAGATTCGCAGAGATCGCCGTCATGTTCGGCTGGTACACGATCGCCGGCCGCCGCCGCTTATCGCTGGCGTAGATCTGCAAGTCGCGAGAGAGAGCGTGCATGTTGCGCTCTTCGACCCGCTAAAGGGTGATGAAAAAGGATAGCGAGGAAGCGAGGAAGCGAGGAGAAAAGCAGCAACGAAAAGGTGAATTCTTGGTCTTCTACTTCGAAAACGAAGCCGCAAAACAACGCGAAAGAAGAGGGGAATGATGAGAATAATATTTCTCTTTTAAAAAGGGTCTCGGAAAGCGACTGGCAAATGAGAAAGCAACCACAATAGTATTGCAGGCGCGACACCTACAGCATGAAGAGCTAGCAGGCGAGCATCGTTGCGGAAGAAAAGAACACATTGCGTTGTAGGAAGGGTCAAGAAAAAGAAGGAGTGTTGGAGAGTCGGGCAATGGTTCTGGCCTGGCAGCCTTTTGAGGCGCAACGCGACGAGCCTTTCCGCACGTGGGACAACGCCTTCGCCGACGCAAGCGACTCGGCGGACAAGCCCTCCCACTGTGCGTCGTTGAAATGACGGTTTCAGGCAGAATAAACTGCGAGACCGGGGAAAAAGAAAGCGCATTATTTGGGGTTCAAAACGCTAGCCCAAAACGGCGCCGCCAAGTGGAGTTGAACCACCATTAGTGTAGTAAAGCGCGTTGCTGGCAGAGCTCAACGAAAGTTGGATACAGCCTTCACCCACATGGTTTCTTTCTTGTGATTGTTATTTGGTTGTATTCATCTCGGTGGCGCACTCTGATACGCTATCAGCACGACACTGTGTGTGGCACAGCCTTTTGGGTGCGCCTGCAGCAACCGCGCAACAAACACGCGATTTGCACTCCACCACGAGCGCCTTTGTTTTTGTCTTTGCACATATCATGAAAATCAAGAAAGAAAAAGAAATAAACACCCCTCATCTCATCCCTCTCTCCCACTATCCAGTGCGGACGCCTTTCGACCATGCGCCTCGAAGCGAGTCTTGCAGGTGCGATCGCAGAACACCAAGAACACCGACTGCCGGCTACAAAACAAGGTGACACACGAACGTCAGGCAAGGGACGACACAGGCGGAAATTGGCGCGGCTCTTCTTTCCCTTTAAGAGATGAAGACACTGGCGCGCACGTCACTCGCTTCTCCCGCTGTCAAGAAAGGCAGCAGAAGCGTGAGAGACGTAACCGTACTGCGGCACCCAAAAGCCGTACTAGCCGACCGTTACACGAAGGATCTCCAATAGCCTGCCAGTTACCATCTTTCCTTTCTCTTCCATTGCGCTCTGAGATGACAGAAATATAGAAAAGAAATGTGGCGAAAAATCGGAGAAATAACAAAAAAAAAATGTATAGCAGAAGGGTTGTGCCATGTACGCCACACAGATATTTGCGAACCGACAAAGACGGAACCGATCGAAACCAAAAAGTAACCAACAATAGATATATGTAGTACGCATAAGAGCACAGAGACGCAGACGCACAGCGATTACACACATAAAGCAGCAGCGGTGATTAAACACGCTTCCTCATCGATGCTTCACCACGCCATTCAAGAAAAGGCACTCAATGTAGCGACAATATTTAGTTCAGAACAGCGAAAATACACTTGTCAAGGCAGTCCACTTTTCTTTTTTTTTTAACGCAAACCGCGACACACGAGTGAAACGAGGCAGTGAGACAATCGAGTCGACACCGGCCAAAGCAAGAACAAAAATGCAGATCAGAAGCTCATCGGGTATGTGAGTGAGAGCGCGCGTTACTGTGCGGTGTGAAGATAAATCATACTAAATAAACGGCAGAAGGCAGATTTAGCATTACATCTAGGGTGTGTGCTTTTTTTTGCCCTTTTTTTAATTGTCCTCTCCAGCTCCATTTTTTAGAACGAATCCTTTCCAAACCGACCTGTACATTGAAAAAATAAGGGGGCGGCGAAGACGGGGAGTAGAAATAACGGAGGAGAAGAAACATCGAGCAAAGCTGAAACAGAGAAAGCAGCATGTGCGTTGAAGTGCCAAAATTGCAAAAACAAAAGAAATAAATGAAAACAGTAAAATACAAATTGGAGATAGAGAGAGGAACGCTGCGCCGGCGCGTCCACAACAGAAGAAAAAATAGTAATAGAAAAACAAACCATTTTATTCACTAGCGTAGCACGTGTATTACAAGCGAAGGGAAAAAAGCGCCATTAAAAAAAGAGACAACTGGGCGATTCGCGCTCTAACTTCAAAAGAAAATGTCAAGATAAGAAGGGAAGAGGGAGTTAATGACCACCAAGTTGATGCACACTGCAGAAGAATAATAAAAATAGACCACACCCAAACAAGGTACGCAAGTGCTGGATGAAATAGCAAAGTCAGAAAGAAAACATATATATATTCGCGTTGTGCATTCGTGGAGACGTGTGCTGTTCGCCGGCCCGCATGAGCTTTAAATCGGTTTCTTTTTTAAGCCCATCAGGTGACGCTGGATATGCATCTAACAAAGAAAAAAAAGGCCGATGGCGCCTCCATCAAGGCGTAGAAGGGAGAGTACACTTGCAAGCGCAACTTGATGAATAAAGAGTTGCAATGGCGTGTGGAGAACCTTTTTTCCCCCTCGCACGCTGCAGAAATGGCGTAAAGAAGAAAAAGGTTGGCCTCCACCAAGAGTACCGTTCTTTGCAGCTTCGCCGCCTACCAGTAAAACGTAGATAAGAATCTTTTCGCGGAATAAACGAGACATCATTCGGCCAACGCACTCAGCGTAAAACGCTTTCTTTCTTTTTCTCTAGTTCCAAACGAGAAAAAAAAAACTTGCTTTCTGCTCGGAAACACGAACCGTACAGCAACAACAGAATGCTGATTGTGTGTTGTTTTTCTTTCTTAAGGGAAGAAAACGTAAAGACAGCAAAACAGAGACAGAGAAGAATCATGCACTTCAAGCACAGGTAAACAGAAAGAGCATACTGTAATGGAGCAAGTATTCTTAATGAGGCAGTGTTAGGCAAAGAAACTAGCAGCAATCCAACGTTGTTTTATCGAAATATGATTTGGAGGGAGAGGACAAGGAAAAAGCGCGTCTATTGCTGCCTCCAATCGCTCTCTCTCCATCATGCTGTTTTAAAGTGATTATCTCACGAGCGGTGCACCACGAAAAATGACTTTTATGAACCACACTAGCACATCAGCAAAAAAAAAGGAACGAAAACAATAATAATAATAAACCAAATGACAAGTCAGAAACGAGCCCATTAAGGAAAAAAAAAAACAATTGAGACGCCACATCAAAACAAACGGGGTAACTGCTACATTTATATATCATGACCACGTGTAGTAAACCACAACAAAACAAAAGACCCATAAAACGATTCGCACACACTGACGTGGATAGTCCTGTGCGTTCATCAATGCGTACAGGAAGGACAGCACGTTCTGACGCAACGCATTTCGAAAAGCACGAATCGATTAAGAAGCCGCGAGAAGAAAGACGAGAGGTAGATCTGCGTTAAACCTCCACTTTTCATCTTTACCCTTCGCAAGTCTTTTTTCTTTCCAGCATCCGTACGTTGTAAAGCGTGTTTCCCTCTATCTTCTCATTGCTGTTCAGCTTTGATGGAAGACTGAGAAGCAAGGCGAAGCGCCTCTTGAAACGCAGCGAGAATGGCACCACCGCTGTTACTACCAGCGGAGGCGGCGGCACCCACGTCCGTCAGCAGAGGAAGCACCGCTTTTCGAACCTTGGCCGACGGCGAGGCCGCCGCTGCCTTTCGCATCTCCTGCTCAATGTCGTACGTCGAGCTCGTTTCGCCAGCTGTGATGGTAGATGATGACAGGAACGGTTTGGGACTCTGCGACGCCGCTCTGCGCTTCTTCAGCTCCGCCTCCAGTTCCACGATGCGCTGCTGCATCGAGTACGCCTTACGGTAAAATGCGGTGAACTCATCGACCAGCGACTCCAGGTCCTGCACCTCCGGTGGCACGGAGGCCATCGTGCTGCTCGGCGCGCCGAATTCCGCCGTCACCCCCGCAAACTGCCCCTCTGGAGCGCCGGCGATGCCGCTGCTGTTGACGCCGGTGCTCCCAATAAGCGGGGTGCCGGTGACGGACGAGCTGGCCGAGGGCGTCGTCGCACTCGCCGTCATCTCAATGACGCCGATGGCCTGCTCCTGCAGCGCGTTGGTATAGAAGCGGGCCTCTGCGTTGTTGCCGGCGTGCGACAGGTCGCCTCGGCCGTCACCACCGGTGCTGGCGGACGGCGTCGGCCCTGCGGACTGCCCCGTCTGACTCCACAGCGGGGCCTCCAACTCCTTCTCATCATCGTCCTCGTCGGAGTTCTCGAAGATGAAGTCGTCCATGTTGGCGGTGCTGCTGCGACACAGCGAGGACACCTCTTCATCGTCCACGTCGTCTAGACCAATCATGCCGTTGACGGGCGTCAGGGGCGTGTCGCTGATGTCTGACGAGCGCATCGGTGCGACGGGGTCAGCGATGGTCTGCACGCACTCACTGGGTGCGGCGGTGACGGACACCACCGCTGGGTCGCTGTCTTCTAGACCATCACCACCAACAGCGAAGGAGGAAGTATGCCCGGTGGGGTCGGCGTGTGAAGCCACCGTCGTTGATGCAGCAGCGGCAGCGGCAGCCCTCTTCTTCGCCGCCTCTTGGCGCATCGCCTCCATCGACTCTTTTAGCTCGTGCTGCTTCTCGCGTAGAAACTGTTCTTGCTCCACGTACTGCTGGGCAAAGCGTGGGTTGCTGGAGTCGATGAGCACGCGTGGGCGGCACATCGTGTCCACCACTACGATGCCAATATCAAGCGGCTCGTCACTGGGACAGGCGCGTTTCGAGCCGGCCGCGGTGGCACCGATGCGAGGCGATTGCGTTTTGGAAGACGCCTTTGTATTCGTGGTGGGCGGGGTGCCGCCAACGGTGCTGCTGCTGCTGCTGTGCAGTTCCGGTTGCAGGCGATTCGCTAGAAAGTCTTTGTCGCCACTACCGAGTCCGATGCGACTCGGCCGGTGCTGCAGGACGCCGCCGCGGCTGGAGCCGACGCTGCTACCTCCGCCCGGGCTGCCGCCTTGCGAGCTGCCGGAGTGTGAGAGCCGCTGCTGGTAGGTGAAGCGCGGGTCCTCCCAGGTGGTAGTTTGGGTGGTGGTGTCGATGAAGTAGCGGCGGCCGTCGTTCGTGAAGTACTCCTCCCAACTGGGCGGCAACTTCTTCAGGCCGCGCCGCGAGCTGGCCAACGTCACGCGAGGGATGGTGCGCATGCGGTAACCCGTCACGGCAAACGTCAAGTCACGATTAAGCCGACTCAGCGCCGTAATTGAGTTGTAGACGCAGATTAAAACGGAGGTAAACATGTTGCCAAAGCACAAGGCAGGCACGAGCATCGTCGCGGCGTGGTGGTGCAAAGGGGGTGGCATCGGTGTGTTTTGGATGGAAGCCCAGCTCTGCTCCTCGCCGAGGGGGATGGCTTGACTGCGTGCCTGCACGGTGGAGGCGAGCCAGGTTTGCGCGGCGGGGTCCTCTGCGAGGCAGAGGACGTGCATCGTGGCGCACCGGCACGCGTCGGTGAACGCTGTCAGGGAGAAGAGCAACGAGGAGCCGGACTCCGACTGCAGGAGCGCCAGCTCCAGCGCACGCGATAAATTTTCTAGCCCGACGTCCAGCGCCGAAAGAGCGTCGTTTGTGTTCTCGACCGGCATCGCGCGGGCGTTGAGCACGAAAGAGTCGGTGGTGGCCGACGAGCTCGACGGCGCATTCACGTCGTCTGCCTTTTCCTCGAACGCGGACGGCGTCGGCGGTGGGGCCAACTTCAGCACGAGCTCCACCCGCTTGTTCGACAGATCCAGCAGATCCACCACGCTGGTCGAGTCAAAGGCGATGAAGGTGGTCTCCATGCGGGCAAAGCGGTGGTGGCGAGAGCCGATGGAGGGAAAGACAAAGCTGTAGGCGTGCGAGGTCGCGGAGCGGCTGTGCCCGCCCTCTGTGCGTTCACCGTCGGAGGCGGCGTCGTCACCGCCCCCGTGCGGGGAGGATGGACTGCTCGAGGGGTGCAGCGGCGGAGAGGCGAGCACCGATTGGCCGCCGCAGGCCTTCTCGGGGGAGGACTTGGGGTTACCGCCGGCGGTGGACGCCTTGGACTGCTGCTGTTCCTTGCGCTCGAGAAAGCGGTCCATCATGCAGCGGATGCCGAGCGGGAGGAGGCCGCACTCTTCCGGTGTGCCAATCAGACCCATTTGCTTCATCTCCTGCGTGGCGCCGTATACGAGCACCATGGCGCTGACGCAGTGGTCGATGACGGCCGTGATGGCTGGGTTGAGCGTCGCGTTGAGCATCGGCTCCAGCGAGGAGGCGAGCCGGTAGTGCATCGGCACCCCTGCCGCCGTCTCCTCCGGGCTGCTCTGCTCCGCGATGAACTCGACGTTGGTGATGCGACCAAGCAGGTCGTCCACACCGTACGTGACGGGCGGGCTGTTGACCGCCAGCACGCACTGGTGCAGGGCGGCAGTGTCTTCGCTTTGCGGATCGTAGCCGAACGTGGCGGCGTCCAGCATTGGGCCCCCCGGGTACTGCACCTGTGGCTCGCTGTAGTCGATCGCCGCCAGCTGTAGCCCGCTGCGCAGCATCGACGGGCTCATGCGGGTGCCGCCGGCGCCGTGCACGGGGGAGCTGCGGTTGCTGCAGCTGCCGCTCGTGATGCTATTTCCAGAGCCGCCGCCTTGGGGAGGCTGCTGGCGACTGTTCGCCGCCGCGGTGGTGGTCGTCGCGGCAGGGTGGACGGGGGCGGGGGCGGGGGGTAGGACGGGAGAGTCCGCCGGACTACCCGGGAACGACCCGTTCAACACAATGTCGTCCTCTGCAGCGGGCTGCAGCGTCACTGCCCACGGCTCGCCGGTGAAAGACTGCAGTGCGACGTTCATGCACCACCGCACGCACCCCGTGCTGGAGGAGGAGCCACCGCTGCTGTTGCCTGCCGGACTAGATGAGCCACCGCTGCCCATGAGAATCGGTGGGGAGCCGCGTGAGCCAGCGGCCAGGGCGGCAGCCGCCGTCGTTGTGCTAGGTGGCTTTTTTACCACGTGACGTGACGACCCGCTCGCCGCTGCATTTTGCGTGGTGTTCGTACTCGTCGTGCTCACTGCGCTGGTACCGGAGTTTGCTCCTCCTCTGCTAATGCCGCTGCTATAGCCAACGTTGGCGGCCTCCTTCGCCAAGGAATCGGGCAGCATTCTCGCTGCCTCGCTCTCAACGTAGTCAGCCCCGTTCCCCCGTTTGTCCGGTGAAGAGGCAGCACGACGTGGAGAATCGGCGCTGCTGCCTCCGTTTGTCTTGGGCGAACGGTGGTAGGGGTGCGCGCTCGGCTGCGGCGGCTGCGGCGGCGGGTGCGGCGGCGGCGGCGAGGTGCCTACTCCGTCCAATAGAGACGCCGTTGTGCTGCGGTGCGGATGGAGGGGTTGCAAAAAAAAAAAGGGTCCCTGATTTCGCTTCCGCTCGTAGTGAGCGCAAAGTCGTCCCTTCTCCCCTGCTTGAAACTGGTGCAGTGTATCGTCGGTGTACTGAGAAGCGCTGTTGCGAAGAAGGGAGTGGGGAAGAGGGATTTGGGTGGCGTTTCGCAGATACTATTCAAAGATGACCACTACAAAGGGGTGAACAAAAACACACAGAAGACAAAAACAGACAGTGTGCTCAGAAGACTCGCTCACGGGAACAAATAATGAAACAAAACAAAACAAAAATAATGATCTTATCAGTCCTACCTCGGTTTAATTATTTACTTTCGGGATACAACGCATACCGTTCCTTTCTCAGCGTTGACTGCTTCTTTCGGCAATGATAAGAAGAAGAAAAAAGCCAACTGTCCTTGAAAAGTGTATTCTGAGCCTTACAACTGTTAAGCAGAACCAACTATGTCCGTAGAACCCGAAGGGCTCTCAGATCGCTTTCTTCAGTCTGGATGATCTAGAAGAAGTAACCTTATTCTCCAGGAACAGAAAAAAAATCTTCAATAATCGCCCCTTTTATTTTCGGCTAATATTCAGTAATGATCGTCTGATACGAAGAAACACAAGAGAGAAAAGAAAGGTTATTTGATTTGGTACACGTACTCAGAACAGCACTCAAGGAGGAGAAGGAACTTCGTAAAACAATAACGAATTTAAGAAGCGCTGATGGAGCGAAGCACGCGCGCAGGAAAAGAGAGGTATTAATAAGTTAGCGTTTAGACGTTAGAGGAGGAAAAATGAAGTGAAAGAAAAACAAAAGGGCTCTTTAAAAAAGAAGAAGAAAGCACGAAGAAGAGAAGGAAAGAAGAAGAAAAAGCCACAAACAAAAATAAATCGGCGTGCGAAGGAAATGGTCACAACAGCAATAACACGAGAAAAAAAAGGCGAAAGAAGGAAATAAATAAAAAAAGCGAAACAGACAAAATGGAAAGAAAAAACGGCAGACCGTTTTCGTTTCAATCGTTGATTTGGCGACTCAGGTAGATGTATCCCTTCCTTTTCTTTTCCTTGATGTAACGCTGTTTTCCAGTTTCAAAGCTCCACTCAGCCCTATACAGCTATTTATCTATTTTCCTCCCTCTCTCTCTCTTCTTTTTTTGGTGTTTTTTTGACCTCGACACTGAGGTCCCCGAACAGCATACAGCCAGACCAAAAAAAAAAAAGCTAGATAACAAAGACTGTAAGGATGAGAGTCGGAGTTAATAGCGAACGATGAGTGGAAGCTCCGTAATGAAAGGAAAAACTGGCTTCGTTGCGTCCTAATTGAAGGCTCAGCAATATTGGCTGCTCTGAATGGTTTGTTTCTTCTTTTTCGCACACTGCGCACAGGTAGAAGGACGGTAATCCCACTTCAATGCTCTTGAAGACGCGTGAAAAGGAGAGAGAGAGAAGAGATGATGTGAAATGAGAAAATGAATGATCCTAAAACCACCAGATGACGCTGGGCGTGTGGAGAGGAAAAAAAAGGTTTTCTTTGTTGTAGCCAAAGGTAAGCAACGATATTTCCAGCGTGCCTACGCTTTTTTTATTCGTGACTGATTGATTCCTTTTTCTACTATTTGCCTCTTTGATTCCAGTACAGAGGAGAGGAAACACCAGTAATCCTTTAGCTTACTTGCTAATTGACTGTGCAGAATATATGTATTGTAGTAATCGTGCGCGTTTTTGCTGCGGTGTCTCGTGTCAGGTCACACTGCACACAACGCGTCGCCCGTGTGGATCGCTGATACTATATATATATATATATATTTATATTTTCCTTTGCTTTCTGTTCTCCTAAAGTGGTCGGGGTATAACAACAAAAAAAAGGTGCTGGCGTGCGTGAGCAACAGCACCGCTTTTCGTGAAAGCGGACAGCAGATTATGTATTGAGAAGTAGCGAAAGGCAGAGCGTGTGTTGAGAAGCGCACCCACAGGAACGAATCGATTGAGCTCCGTTAAAAAAAAAAAGGAGGAAAAAGATATCTTAATAATCTTCGGCAGAAACGCCGCAAGAGGAAACCGGAAAAAGAAAAAAAGAGAGATCTGTCCAATGAAAAATTAACGAATAAACGAATAGAGAAGAGGAAACCCCAACGTGCGCAAAAAAAAACTTGAGGTGGAAGCTGTGGTAGTAAAAACAGGTGTTTGGCAACCACCCAAAACGGCAACAACAATGACGAGGAGGTACAGACGACAAAGAATCAAATATGATGTTGACTACGAACACGTGAAAGTCACGAATGATAACGTTTGATACATTAATGCTGCTGTGGTACGTCAAGCAACACGATGCCAAGCGTCAAGGAAAGTACGAAAAGGGAAGTAAATGTAAGAGGGTAGAAACAGGGAGTATATCAAACAGGGGTTTTTTTTTTTGATGTCATCATTGGCGAAGACGCAAAAAGAAAAAGGTCGTTCACGCGAAGCATGGCAAAGAGTAGTCATTGGCATCCACACAACAAGAAATTCTTTTGGCTGCTTCAGCGGTGCAGGAGACCACACCTTCTGTTTGTCGAAGGTGCCCCTTACAAGAGCGGTGTCACACGTTGAACACGTCACACATACGCATCTCCTTCTTCGACTTATCTTGCTCTTTTCTTATTTGTTGCTCTCTTGGGTTTCGGTTGCTGATGTGCTTCATCTTTTGTTTTTCTACAATTTATTACAGCGGATGCGTTTTCAACAACGCAGGGAGACACTGCTCCGAAGTCAACCAACAGTCGGTTTCTCCTTTCCGTCCGGTTACGGCGGTGGAAAAGAAGGAGAAAAATGAATTGGCTGCCGAGAGAGAGAGAGAGAGAAAGAAAGCACTGACAAGAGAAAGAAAACAAAACAAAAAGGACGCACGTCCGTCTACCGGCAAACAAACCATTGAAAAAAAAAAAGACCACTCAAGGTTGGTACGGGGTGTTGGCTCCATCTTCCCCGTATTCCTCTCTTTTTTTCGTTGTTACAAAGAGTCGCGCCGTTACTCATCGGGGTCCGGCAATTCCAATGCAGTCCGCATCTCAATTCTGGTGAACAGCTTTCGCTGCAGACGCTTCACCCGTTGTCGTGCAATAAACCCACGCACCACCGCATGCAGCTTAATGGCGGCTTGGTTCCGCAGCTCCCAATACGCCATCTCCTCCTTCACCAGGCGGTTGACCTGAAACTCAAGTCCCATCTTCCGCCGCACGAGGTACGCGACGGCCACACGCTGCAGCAGCGCCACCTCTGCAAAGGAAATAGACACCATAAAGAGAAAATGCTCATGGCGGCGGCAGAGGTAGCCGCGGCCGACGCGCTGCAACAGGGACAGGGCGTTCTCCTTCGTGAGCAGCGCACCTTCGCCGCGCAGCAGGTGTGCCGCCGCGCCAAAGCACGCCGGCTCTGCACCGCCCTCCTCCACGTGGGTGATGTCCTTCTTGAAGGCATCCGCCTCGTTGGCATCGTCGTCGCTGTTGTTGACGTCTTCCGCCTCCTCGTCGCTGTCGCTGCTGCCGTCGCTGTCCTCGTTGTCCTCACTCGCGCTCTCCCCGTCGTCGAAGTGGGAGGTCGACTCGACCGCCTCGACGCCGTCCAGGGTCCAGTGCGCCGGTGTCATGCTCCCAATGGTGCGGCCGCTGAACATGAGTTCCGCTGGAGACATGGCGCTGGCGGCGTGGGCGGTGGTGCTGAACTCAAATGGGAAGGAGTTGGCGCTGACCATCGAGCGTCCGCTACGACCGCTTGCTGCGAAGATGGAGCCCTCAAGCGGGGACATGATCGCACCGGCCGCGGCCGACGTGGCCTTCCAGCGCGGGATGGAATCGACGGGCGTTGCGGGCGTTCCCGTGACGAATCCGCCAGCGGAAGAGCCGATGGCAGTTGGGGCAGCAGCAGCAGCAGCAAAGGCAGCCGCAACAGCTGCGACACTACCGCCACCACTAAAATTACCACTGCTGACTTCTGCTTCGGCAGGCGGGGACGAGCGGCAGACGTAAAACGGTCCTTTCACCCCCTCCACCATCTTCGCACGCGGACTTTTTCTTGCCGGTGCCTCGGCTGCCGGCGTCGCGGCAGCCGGCGGCACGCCGATTGCATTGGCGACGGCAGGGGGGAACTCGGGTCCGTTGATCTTAATCAAAGGCGTGTAGGAGTCGCGTGAGAAGGACACCCGCACCGAGGATGGCGACGCCGCCCCACGGCGGCGCGACGTGGAGGGCGGCAGCGACGGCGTTTCGGGCGCAGCGCTGGTGTTGCTCGTGAGAGCGCTGCCGAGGGCGGTCACGATATTCGGCCCGGCACTCGCACACACCCCGTTTGCGGGAGCCTCCTTCGACAAGCTGAGGGAGCTGGATCGGTCAATCTCCAACGACTGCGAGGGGCGCTGGGCGGTGGGTGCAACGTTAGGCGACGTCAGCGCAGGCGGCAAGAAGTAACGAGAGGTGTCGGGCGTCACAAAGGGTGAGTTTTCTCTCGCGCGATTGGAGGCGGTGTCAACGGCTGCACCGGCACCGGCACCGCCAAGGTTGCCGGACTTCGAGGCGGATTCCGAGCTCATGGTCACCGAGGCGCGCTCTTTGGCGCCTGCCGCAACGTCGGCCGAGCCGGACGACTGGGCGGACAGGGGGTAGCCCTCGGACAGCACCTGGAACGGCGACAAGGGCGGCCCGCGAACGGCCACTGGCGGCGTAGGTGGCGCGTCCAAGTCGGAGCTAGTCCGCACCATGCCGTTGGACCCGGCGGACTCCAGAGACGGAGCCGCGACGACCGCCGACAACGTGCTCTGCGGTGTGGCGGAGACGGCGACCGGCTGTGTCGAAGGCGGGACGGAGAAAACTGCAGAGCCCCGCGTCGCCACTGCGCTGCCTAGACGAGTTCTGTTCTCGTTGTCCCCATTGAAGTTGTTGCCCTCGGCGTACAGTACGGTGTTGTTGGCGAGCCTCCCCACTGACGTAGCGCCTCCTGTGGCCGTCGATGGGGAAGCAGGTAGTGATGGGCCGTCCAACAGCACGTGCTTCAGCAGCGCGTCCAAGTTTTCTTCCTCCCGCGCATCGCGGTAACGCTGCGCCAGCTGTTGCCTTGCGAGGTAGCCGCGTCCGATGCGCTGAAATCGCAGCAGACACATGGCAGAGTGCATCACCCACGTGTTATCCAGCGAGTTCGACGGATGAGCTGGATCAGAACTGGTGCGGGTGTACGAGCCAGCGGAGTCCTGCAAGGTGTTGCTCGTGGTGCTGCCCGCGAGGGGGCCGTTCGCCGTCTGACCGACAAAGGCCACGGTGCAGCTTCCACCCGCGCCGAAGCGGCTGTGCAGCAGGTTTATCCAGTCCTCGGTCGACTCGCCCCTAAGTGAGAGCGGCGGATCCTCGGTGAGGCGGTCGCGGGAGGGAGTTGCAATCGGCCTCATGAGAGAAAGCAGCAGCGCACTCTCCGACACGCCTTCTGTCGGGGGCATCTCGGTGGAGGTCATGCAGTGTGGCCCGTCTTTGCGCTTTGTCCGCTGCAACCCGGAGCCCTTCTCGTCGCCCCCGGTGCTACCAAACGAGCTTTCCTCCTCCTTGGACGGCGGCAGGGTGTGCGAGGCCGCCATCCCTTCTCGGTTTCCCCTCGTCCCGTCCTTCGACCACGGTAGAAAGAGCGAAGAAAAGCGCGACGTGTCCATGCTTTGTTCCACCGCCTGTATGGATCGCGGCAACTTACTCTCCAGCATGCCAGTCTCGTCGTGGGAGGCGAAGTACGTGACGTATGCGGCGCTCTGGCCCAGCGAGCTCGAAATGTCCGACACGGAGTTGCCAGGCACGCCGAAAACCGCGAAGAGTCGCTGCTGCGGCTCGGGGGAGGAGCGGTGGAGGAGCCCGCCGTCGTGGGTCGTGTTGCGCGGCGCGGCGTCGAGGCCCGAGGACTCGTACAGTTTCACCACCTTCTTTGCAGCGTCGTTGACAGACGCATCGGCAGCCGGCAGCGGGTCCTGCGTGACGGGTGTACGCAGCACAGCCCGCGATTCCGGCGCCGCAAAGGCCGTCAGCGGTGGGGGACGTACCTTGTGCGTGGACCGCGGCGCCGTCACCGGTGCAGGCGAGAAAGTAGATGAGGCACCAGGTGGAGGGTCGCCAACCGCAGTAGCAGCAGCAGCGGCAGCGCTGGTTGCTGTGTCGGAATTATGATTCATGCTTGAGTTCTGGAAAGAGGCTTGCTCGGCTGGGAATGCAGCAGCAACAGCTACTGCATCTAGACCCGGTGTAGGAGGGAATGAACCGGCAGATGTAGCAGGAGACGCACCGTCGATGGTGAATGTGTCTTCCTCCAACGTTACACTTCGCGGATGCGTCCGGTGCAGCGCTGCCGCAGCGCCAAGCGCATGGCGCGCCAAGTACCCGCGACCAACAGCTTGTAGAACTGGGGCAATGAGGCCTCTGAGCTGAGCAGCGATGCCCAGACGAAGCGGCACCGTCCGCGTTGTGACATCCGACTTCTCTCCCTGTAGTGGCACCGCCGCTGTTGGCACATACGTCGCAGTCAAAACTGCAGTCAAAACATCCGGCGATACGTCCGCGGAAGGTGGCTGCTCAGCATCCTCCACATACAGCTCGGCAGGTTCCGAAAGCGGGCCGTCGTTGCGCGCGGCAGTAGTGCCTTGTTGTTGCTGGGGTTGCAGCGGCTGAGGCGGTGGCACCGATGCGGTGGGGGACACAAAAGCCGTCACAACAGGCACAGTAATTCCACGCGCTGGTGGCGAGGCGGGGACCGGCCGCAGTGGAACCGCATCTACATTTTCACTGTCCTGCGGCGGAATCTTCACCTCTGCTTCAACGAGCGATTTCTGCTCCGGTGGCGGCGCATCTTGCTTGGAGACTACGCTGTCCGCGTGGAGGTCGCTGGTGTTGTCCGTCGCCGCCGTCGGCAGTGACCGACACTCCTCAGTGGTTACAAAAAGGGACGGCGGTGAACTCGTGGGCAACGAAGTAGCCTTGTTCATGTGGTGGTGGTGGTTGTTGGGAGCCTTTTCCACGGCAGCGCCCAGTGGCCGCATCTCACGTACGCTGCCGTCTGCGGCGTGCGCGGCGGTGTGAGGGGGGAATGTCAGACTCGTCACGACGAAGCCGCGATCTGGTGTGTGCGACACCAGCAAGACTGCGCTCTCCGCGGTGCCGACGCCATCCGGCATGACAGGAATCTCGATGCTCGCGCCAGCGGAAGAAAGATAAAGAGCCGTGGGCTGTGACGATACGTCGCTGCGGCCTGTCGTGACAGCGCCTTCCGCGTCCCTTTGATGAGGCCCCGCCATCGGTGTCACCTCCTGACCGTTTGCGACGCCTTGATAAATTGGGGCAGAGAAAACCGACAGTTGCGACTGTGAAGACGCGATGGACGGAATGAGGGCGACACGGTCGAGGAAAGGAGCTGCGTCGACTGGGGAGGTCGGTGACCACTGCTCTGATCGCTCAGCCGGTGCAGCCCCCTCAGCGGCAGTAGCACTGGCAGCTCCAATGTGTCCGCTGGAGTCGCACTGACCGAGCATGCTGCTCTCCCAGCTTTGCAGAATATTTGTGTGCAGGTGCGATCGCTGCGACTGCGACGGCGGTTGGGGTGCTAACGGCGGGGCGGGTACGTGCCGCACTTCTGTTGAGTTTTCCTGATGTGTGCCGCTGGGCGTCTCGCGCGCGGCATTTAAAGGCGCGGCGGCTCCGTCGGCACTACTTGTGATGCCCGCTGCCTTCACGAGTCGTCCACGGTTCAGACTGTTTGCATTCGCACTCGTGTTGCTGTGGTGACTTTGCGCGTGCGCAACGCCTTCGAGCGACGTCGCTGGGATCGTTGTCGCGGCGTCGCTGAGTTCAGTGTTGTTTCTCCTGCATTGAGGGTCCGTTCGGTCCTCGCTTTTCTGGCCGTTTACACACGCAGAATCGGCACTATCATTGCGCTTTCGCGCCTCCGCCGTCGCTTCTAGCAAGTCCTTCACATAGGCGTTGACCTGCTGCGTGCGTTTCCGTGCGTTGCGCGCGCTGCCGCCGCGATCTGCTTGCTCCATTACTTTCTCGCCTCCGGCGGACCTCTCCGAGCCCGCTCCCTGCAATGACGCTTCAGCCGCATTCACGCCCGTGTTGGAGCGTACGTTCTCCTGCCGCTCTGACCTGTTTGACGATTGTGCCGTGCGTGTAGCGGCCGCACAGCCCTGATCTCCTCTGGTGTGATGGCGGCGTGAGGAACTGCTGCGGTGTTTATGCGACTTGCGGTGCCCCTTCAACGACGATGGTGCAGCAGCAGCGGCAGCAGCAGCCACATTGTATGGGTGCAACGCAAACTCCTTCCGACTCATCGGCACCGTTGGCGGCCGACGTTGCATGTCAGCCGTCATCGGACGCGAGGGCAGCGGGGTGGAGGCGTCGTTGTAGCGCTGCCCTTCCATGCGGGTGGAAAGCGCAGAAACGGAAACAGCAGTGGTCGGCATCGTTGTGCGGTTGTGATGACTGTGTCGATGCTGCTGCTGCTGCTGCTGTGGCGACTGGTGTTTTGGCGGTGCCGGTAAGTACGTCGGGGAGGCCCGTTGCTTTGAATTCCACACCTCCAACGACGTGTTCTTGGAGACGGCCGCCGGTACCACACCGCCGTTGCGCGCAAAGGAGCGCAGAAACGATGCGATGCTGTCTTGTTGCGCTGCGGCGGCGGCACTCGTCGACGGCGGCAACTGTGGGGGGGAGGGCACATTGTACCGATGCACCTGCCGGTGCTGGCAGCGTTCTTTCGTTGCGTTCGGTACGGCGCTGGAGCCTGCGGCGACGGGGGCGTTGTAGGGGTGTCCGCCCTCTGCGCTCTCTGCGAGCATGTCGTCCAACCGATCCGTGCAGTCCGACGGCAACGGTGTCCCAAACGAGGAACTCGTGAGCGCCGCCTCGTGGCGTGTACGCCGGCTGCGGGCCGCAGAGGGTCGCACGGCAGCTGCGGTGGCGGGTGTGTAGTCGCCCCGACCAGGCACCGCGGCCTTCGAGGAAGACGCGCAGTCCCACACGCTGCTCGATATGGCGGTACCGCTGTTGCTGCAGCTGATGTGCTCCACGTTGGACTGCTGCTGTGGCGGCGGCGGCGGCGGACGCGTGTACGGGGGGTATGGCAGGAGCGGACGGGGGCAGTTCAGCGCGGGAGTGCCGGCGATGATGGCTGTCGCGGCTGGCACAGATTCGCCTCTGTGCTGCAGCGCCGTTGCGTCGTCTTCGCCATTCATTGCAAGGTGATGAAGGGGGACGGAAAGATGGGAGTTGGAGTCCACGGTGTGGAGCATCAGCTGACGCGGCACGACAAGGCGGGACGACTCCCCATCTGCCTCCGGCGTTTGTGGGAGCACCACCTCTGCCGCCGTTGTTGTCGATGACGCCGTCAGGCATAGCTTCTCCGAAGCCGCGGCGGGCGACACGCCCCAGCGCTCCATCAACACCGCAAATCGTCGCAGCGTGATGACGCTCCACAAGGCGTCGTACGACTCACTCTGGCGGGCCTCGCGTGGCGTCGCCTGCCAGCTGTGCCAGTACGTCGCCGTCTCTGGTGGAGGTGCGGACACGATGGCGCCACCTGGGCTGGTGGTGTAGAGCAGCTCCCGTGGGAAGTCAGGATAGGCGTCCATGAGCTGCTCCGCGAACAGCAGCAGGACGTGCTGACGCCCCACGCTTTTGTACGTGCGCGGCGCAGCGGCGTTGGGCCCACCTTCGACGCCCTGCGGATGCAATGCCTGTGAAAGAGACATCGGCGGGGTGGAGGTGTGAACGGATCGAATCACGCCACCGGGCTCCGCCAACGCACACAGCTTCGCCCCGAGCAGGCAGAACAGAGGAAAGCACATCCGCTGGGCCTCGTCGAGGCTGCCGCACGAAGACCCAGAAATTGGCAACTGATCTGCGGAGACAGGAGTGACAGTTGGTGTCACGATGGGGGGTGCAACGGCGCTGCCGTGCAACAGAAACGAAAAGACGCTGTCGAGACAAACGAGTCGCCTGTGGTCGTGCGCCGTCGTGGACGATGCACAACACAGCTGCGCCACTCGATCTTGCAGAGAGCGCTGCCGCAACAACGGTGCAGAGAGGCGCAAGTACACATCGTAGTCCACCCACTTCGGCTCTAGTACGACGGTTGGTGGGTCCGAGCCTCTGGAACTCGTTCCAATGGTGACGGCCGCATCCGCAGCAGCCACGACGGCCGTATTACGATTCCGCACGGAGGCGGCATCGGCATAGACAGGTGAAGACGTGGGCGTCGTTGACCGAGTGTGTTCTCGCTTTTCGGCATCCGACGCGTTCATCGGCGCAGACGCCTCCGCGAGGGGAGTTAGTGCAGGCGGAGGGGAATGTGCGGCAGCGGTGCCACCCTCCACTGGTTTCTCGAGCCGTGGCTGCCACTGCGAGCTGTACAGCGCGGTCGCGACTCTTTCGATTTGACCTGGCGCCACATCAGTGCGTGTGGTCTGCAAAAGTGGTGCAGGCGTGCTGTAGAGCTGTCGCCGTTCTGCACTGGCAGACGCGCTGTCGTTGAAGCTGGAGCGCTGCTGCGTTACGGCACCGTTGTGCTGCACGCTCTCTTTGCCCATCACAGAGGACCGACGCCGATGACTAGTGCTTTGCCACCCGGAAGCGGAGGAATCGGGCAGCGTCAGTGGGAGCCCGGAGCCAAACGAAGACACGGTGAACGCAGACATTAAGCGGCACATGGAGTGCGTCGACGAGTCTTGCCGCAGTGAGGCGACGGTCGACGACGGCGTAAGGGGGGCATCCGCGCGATCGATCGGGTGAGTGCTCTTCGACGTTGGGGAGGGCAACAACAAGAGATCTAGCATTCTTGCACCTCCGTAAAGGTCCGAAATATATATGTATCAAAGGTTTTCTTGTACGCAAAAACCGTTACCTCAAATTTGTAGCTGCAGCCGTATTCAACGCCCGTCACACGCCAACAACACGCAACAAAGAAAAAGGGGAGGAAAGGGCGGTCGTAATGGTGCCGATACAGAGCGAGTGCAGAAAGAAAGGGGAGAGAGAAAACACAATAGTAGTAGTAGTAGTAGTGAAACCGCGTACAACACAAGAGAAAAGATATAAATGTTTCGAAGTCTAGCAAAGCGAACCAATAAAAAAAAAGGAAAACGAAAAGGAAGAAGAGATGCGTTCACCTGACAAAGGGGAGTGCTAAATCCCTTTGACTCTAATTCCGCGAGGCTGTGAAGGGAATAAAACCAAAATGGAAGAGATGTGCGTGTGCGTGTTTGCTCCTCAACCGTTGCTTTTTCCTTCTTGCTAGCGTGTTTACACGCACCTTGCCCTCACTAAAACTTCGTAAAGGTGCTCCACCTCCCTTCACACAGAGAGAGGGAGAGGGGAGAGGAGAGAGGAGAGAGGGGGAGGGGGGCCTATGAACAGTACAAAAAAGAAGAATAAGAAGTACTACTTGAAAATGTGCGGGAAAAAAGAAACGAGTAATAGAGAAGAGAGTGTTTGTTTGTTTTTTGACGGTGCTTCGTTAGAACGAACACAACTAAAAATCAAAATAAAAAGGGATGCCTAGGGGGGGGGGACACCTCGATGGGGAGACCGTTCTATTCCGCGCTCTACTCGGGCAACTTTGCCTGCAATGCAACCAGGACTGCCTTCCAGCTTCAAGAACAAAAACAGAACGACGTCGCGTCAGCGAGAGCCAGGTAGCAGTGATTACAAGAAAGTAAAACAGAAAAAAACGAAACGAGAGGAAATGAGAGGAAATGAAAAAAAAAGATCCGTGTTGCCACACTCCGCGTTCAAGACACACAAAGAAAAGTGCCGGCGTGTGAATGAGTGACTCCAACGCCCTCAAAGATGAATATACATTGCACACGGAACGGTGATTCGAAAGTAGGTGGGGGGAGGAAAGGTAGAAGAGTAGCTCCCAGAAAAAAAAAAAAAAAGGCGTACACACAACAACAAATACAAAACAAGACGATTATTGCGAAGTAACTTCCTCAGCTTTGTATTGTCCCTCTATTCGCAGGTGCCCGAATACGCGTCTCTTCACAGGGCGAAGCAACCTTTTGTGTACGGGGTGGTTTACCTTTCTCTCCTTCAATGCGCGCTGCCGTACCAGAAGTATACATAGATAAATAGATGGATATGCGTGTGTATTCACGCTGTGCCAAAACAACGAAGGTTAAACAACAAGGAGAAATAATAGTAATCATAAACAACAATAATAATCATAATAGTAATAATAGTAATAAGGAGCACACGAGGATCGTAAAAGAGAAAGAATCACAGTACGAGTATTAAAACAACTTATACAAACACCCAATAGTTACACTAACAATATTTTTAAAAAAAAGAGGGGAAAAAAGAGTGGGGAAGGCACGGGGGCAACGCAAACACAAAAACGAAATACAGTGCCTTTCCGTAGCCGCACGCAGGCGCCTTCGGTGAGAGGTTCCGTGAAACAAATCCAGCCAACCCAAGGAATAAGAACAAACAGAAAAACAAAACAACGTGGCTAGAAAAAATAGAGACGACAGTTTTTAGTTCTCTCTTCGGCAAAAAGCTGTTGAAAATTCACGAAAAAAAGAGGCAAAAGAAAAAAATGAAGTACGTCGCAAAGGCAAAAACACGGCAGCGTGTAAAGCAAATGAAATGAAACCCACCAACTGGAAACGCCGCGTAAACAACACAGCTCTTCCTCAGGCTGGCAAGATGGAGGTGAAGTGTGTACAGTGTGCCACTACAAAAACGCTCTGCTGTTTCAGTAAAGTAGAGCAATCGAAAGAGAATAGGCTTCGTCATGTGGAGCGAGCGTGCAGAGAGAAACCAATATGGGTGAGAAAAGGCGATAAGACGAGAGCGTTAAGGAAAGAGGAACGTATTGGGCAAGAGGAATAGGGAAGAAGCATCAACAAGTTTCCAAACGCAGCGGGAAAGAAAGGGCTACGCAGATGCGCTCTTCTCGAACCAGCCGCACAGCACAACCACGGTACATCGTTCGAACGCAACTGCCAGAAGAAGAAAAAAAAAACAGCAGCCGTCACGAAAGACTCTCCCACAACAAAGAAGCGCTGGGATCTCGAATGGTTGCACCGTTCCTGAATGTGTGTCAAATTTTTTTGTTTGTTGTCATTCTTGCGTTGTGGATTGAAGTACACAACTCTGTAAGTATTTTAATACCTTCGCGGCTCAACGCCACCGCCATCAACATCTCGATAGAAACGTTGTGTATGAACTACAGGTTTGTGATTAAGAAAAAAAGAAAATCACCGGTACTGATGCAGTCGATCTTCGATATTTACGCGTTGTCACGCTCTTGCAACTGTGTGTGTGCAACTGTGTGTGCTCCAATAGGTACATCCCATGCGCAGCCACCATCATTTTTTGATCATCTCTCTCGTTAACGGCCCTGTGGTGCGACAATGATCTGCCGCTGTACTAGAAAGAAAAGGGAGAAAAAAGAACCGTCGTTCGGCTTTGTGCTCCTCTCCTTTTCTTTTTAGTTCGGGCCGAGCAATTCGGCACGCTCCTCCTCGATGAACTTGCGCAGCTCCTTAAAGCACCTCAGCCCCTGCACCTCCGCTGGGGCATCGGTATTCATCACCAACCAGCGAAAAAGGTCGCTGTCGAGTTGCTTCAGCAAGGTGTCGTACTCGTCCAGCATCGCCGCGTCGAGGGTCCGCAGTTTGCAACGGGCGAAATGGCCAAAGATGAGGTCCATCTCGACCATTCCCCGGTAGCGCGACTGGTAAATCAGGCGACGCCGCTTCACCTCGACACCCTCGTTGGGGTCCATCGGGCGTGTGTCGCGAAAGCTCTGCCCGTACGTCCCGGCCACATCGCGCGAGCCCTCTGCCATCTGCGGCTCCACGTCGGACGGGTCGGCCGTGCCGGGCGTCTCGGGCTGCCGCGGTGACTGCTCCGGCGTGCCGTCCCCGGTGCGCCATTTCTTGAGCAGCTCCTCCTCCTTCGGGGTGGCGACCTTCATGGCCGCAAAGTCCTTCGAGAAGACCTTCTCACGCAGCGTCTTGGCGACGGAAGAGGCGAAGGGATTCACGGCCGCAGCGTCCGTCCTCGTTGGGTGGCTCGGGCTCTCGCTGCTGCTGCTGCCGCTGCTGCTGCACCAACGCTGCGCGACGCAACAGGCGGGGCTGCGTACGAGGACGGTCTTCGCCGTCACATGGAAAGCAGCCCAGGTGCGGTGCATGCCGAAGTCGACGAACCAAGGAAGAATTGAAAAAAAAACCTGAAAGGGAAAAAGGTGCTCAATGTCGGCGTTACTTTCTTCCCCAGGCGACTCGTGAAAACCAGTTTCTGAGAAGGCAGGCGAGCAAAGAATACAAAAAAAAGGAGAAAGAGCAACAGCAGCGACAGCAGCGAAAGCGAAGGGAGAGGGAGGGAATGGAGCCGTAGAATGTGAAGGACAGTACTGGGGTGCTTTCATGGTGAACACGTTGTTGCGTATAGTGAAGAGCTCAAGGCATCCAGCTATCCTTTCCTCCCTGCAAAGGATAGAACACAAAAACAACGCTCTCTTCGTTTAATCATCGATGAATTGTTGCTTTTATACGTGGTTTACACTTCCGTAACGGAGCACGTACATCAACTGTTGTAAAGCAGTCCATGCCGCTCGTGAGTCACACGTGCGGGTCACGCCAACGAATCACCACGACCCGCTACGTGCGGCGCGCGTCATGCGGTTTGCGTTGCTCTTCTGCCGTCTCTTTGCCTTGTGCTCCGTGACAAGGCGAGTCGGTCGCTCAATCGGATCTGCCTCCACCGGCGGCACCCACGAAGCCTTGTGCAGCAGCTCCTGCAATTTGTGAATGCAGCCTGCCTTGTTTTGCAGCCCACTGCGGTGCTCGTGGCAGCTCACGACGATGGTGGTGCCATCCGAGGTGAGACTGGCGCCGGCCTCGTTGTGTCGCAGCGCCGCCAGCAACTCCTCGTCAAAGTAGTCGGACAGCATCTCCATGTCAGCCCGTAGCTCGACCTTGTTGCTGCTGCTGTTCACGCCCTGGCCGCCTGGTCCGCTGCCTCGCATGGTGCGTGTCTCGTACACGCAGGGATCGATTGAAATGTGCCGTGGGTCCGCCAGTCTGTAGTAGCCCTCGTGCTTGAAGGAACTGACGTGTGATGCTCGTCGCACCTCCAAGAGACAAGGTGCGGCACACAAAGTTGTGGACACCGGCGGTGACGTTACAAGGCGAAGCCCTCGCAATGGCGGTCGCCTTGACCACAGAGGGCACAAGGGCATCCAACACAAAAAAGGTCCTGTCCTTAACGTCCTAGCAAACTCAAAGGAATATATAGAATTAAAGAAGGTTGCCTTGTACAGCGACAGTCGAGTGCGTGAGAGAGAGGCGAGAGAAAGAAAGCCACTTAATGATAAATAATAATATTAAGCATAGCATGCAACGCATTAACAGCCAAGCAACGCACATCATTGATGGAAACATCATTTGAAGCAGCGCTCCAAGTAAGAGGAATAGTGGCTGGAAAGTCGGGAGCGGGGGAGGCAGGAGATTTAAGTCGCAGGTCTCCTCTTGCTTATTTTCAAACCGGCCAGTCCTCGTGCAGGACGGTAACATCCATGAAATTGACGTCTTTCAAACATATATGTTTATGTAACGAAGTGACCGGTGAAACAAGCGAACCGCCTCTCTTCGGCACGAATAAGGCGACAGAAGCGAAGAAGACAAAAAAAACACGAAAAACGGTGGATGGTCGCAATCCTTTCAAAGGAACACAGGAAGAGAGGACGCAACAGAGAAAGACGAGTCGGAAGCAAACGCGCAGAGAGCACGAACAGAAGAGCGAACACAAATAATCACAAAAGTAATGTCAACAAAGAGCCCACGATAGCAGCAAAGAGTGGTCGTGCAACGCATTGCCACCCTCCGCTGTTTCATTATTTGTTTTCTTAAGTTTTCCAGAAGGTCGCGCAATGAGAAACTCCTTCCAAGCAGGATATCACGCGAGTCCACGTAGAAGAAAAGTAGTCGCCATCTGTTCACCGCCGTTACACCGAATCGCCGGTGAAGAGAACCAAAGGACGCGGTGAGTATTGGCTTCCAGGTGTGTCGTAGCCTTCAAGAAGAGAGAAAAGTCGTTTAAACAGAAAAAAAGGTGGGGGGAAAAAAGAAAAGAAGAAGATCTCACCGGTCGTTCGCTGCGCAATTACTTGTCGGTGTTCTCAAAAGACAAAAACTTGCCGAGCTCCTTCACCTCCTACACCGGAAGGCTAAGGCGTTTACAACGGTGGCTGTAAGCCAAAAAGCCAGACGCTAGCATGCAGTTTTAAAAGACAAAAAAAACGGATCTTTCGCACTTAACTTCGCGTCTGTGTGTCTAAAACGTCAGCGTCTTCATCGCCGTCGCTTCACGGAAGAAGGCAATGAAAAGGTACATAAAGAGACGCGCACAGTTAACTCCTACACACTGGACTCATTCGTGGCGTCCAGCTCCTCCTTGAACTTGCGAAAGCCAATCGATTTGTCCACCTTCGAGCCGGAGGTGTAGGACCGATTAGTGTAGTTCTCGCGGAACTTGCGCAGGTACTCCAGCGAGACGAACGTGGCAATGTTGTGCGGCGCAGAGCGGGAGAACAGCGCCATAGAGCCTTTGTACAGCCCACTAAAGCCCTCCACACGAAACACCTTCCACGTTGCGGCAGCCAAGTTAGCGGAATAAACCTTTGGCTCCCCACTGCGGTGGTTGAAGGAGCGCGTCATCACGACATCGAGCGGATTCATAAAGATCACTATGCATATCGCGGAGAAAAGGGCAGAGCAAACGTGCACACGGATATCAGACTCCGCCAAGCCAGTCACCTTGCACACGTTCGTCTTGGCGACGTCGTACGCGGTCAGCTGTGTGGCGGACCCAACCATCGTGCGCTGCATCGCAATGTTGGCTCCGCCCCACAGATCACGAATGCCTCCCTGCTTATAAATCTTCCGTAAGGCATCTCGCACACCGGTGTAGTCATACTGCTCGCCCGTGGTCGCGGTGCTCAGGTTGTGGCCGTGCAGCGTCGTCATGGTGCCACGCTGCGACTGCAGACGCGTCTTCACCATTTGAAACGGTGAAGAAACAAAGGCGCCTACCATCCCGCACGTCGCACCTGCCACGACAGAGACGTACATCGCATCCGAGCCAACAACGTGACTCAGCTCCGCGCGCACCGCGGGGTAAAGACCAATGCGGATGCCATTCTGCGTAATTTGCCATAGCACGGCCGCTGGAAGACCTTTGAACAGCGCCTTCCAGCCCTCCTGGCGCACAACGCGAATCATACCCTGCGGCATGTTGCGGTACTCCATGTGGTATTCGCCACGCTTGCGCAGCTCGCCTTGCAGCTGCATACGTGTGCGCATCACGTCGAACGGGTTGGAGACGAGTGTGGCGCACGTGGAGGCCACCGCGCCGTCCACGTACATATCCACGGAGGACATTATCGAACTCTACGGGGAGAGTTTCTGTTGCTTCTTCAGGCTTTCCCACGTCTGAGCGGAGGCACCTCACGAGAAAGAGATCAAATTGAAAGGAGCGCACAACACAGAAGAAAAAAAGAAAAATGGAAGTCTCGATGCAGCGGTGGCGCAGAGTATGCCTAAGGTTAGAGGTAGAAAACCTAAGAGTGAGAGAGGCGAAGCGGTATTTGAAAAAAACGATCAGTGTTGAGTATGCTGCTTTGTGTGAGTTTGCGGGTGTTCAAGGCAAATGCGAAGGCACAAAGAGGAAACAGAGTACGAGGGAGTCTTGCCACGTAAAACGACTCGCAGAGAGCCGTTTCAGATTGCGGGTTTTATTGGGTGAGGAGTGTCACGTGACGAAAGGTGAATCTCCACCAAGCGGCCCTCAAAAGAGTCAACACACAAGAGAAAAAGACCAAAAGCAGGTTCAATTACTCGTGCGTGCAGGAAAGTCAGCGCGGAGCAGCCAGCTGTTCCTACACTTCGCAGACGGCGCAGAACGAAATTTGATGAACAACGCTGGTGAGCAGAGAGCACCGACCGGTTCCGGCAATCAGTACAAATCGGCTTCACCGCACATGCTAAATCCGAATCTTTATTTGGGGTACTTTGTTCGTCATCTGCTATCGTGCAAATATATATATATGAGTGTGAAACAGCGCCGGCAGAAAGAGGTCGTTGAATGCGAGCCTCTTCACCAAGACAGCACAAGAAAAAATATGGTGCTGCGTCACAGCTGCAGACGCACATGTTCTGTTCCTTCCTGGAAGGGGGGGAGGGGGAGGGAATACACCCCGTGACTGGACCAGATCGTTTCCTTTTCTTTTTTTCTGCGGCGTCAAACACACAATACGGAGCGAAGTCGCTCCGCACAACAAAGCAAACAAGAACACGAAAGAAATGTGATTGCAGCGAACCCCACAACAACAACAAAGGGAGGGGATGAAAAACAATAAAAACATGTAAGCTGAAACATAAGTACTTCATTGTAAGAGGAGAGAAAGAGGACGAGAGGAAAAGGTGGAAAAAGGAGCCATTACTTTTTTCAGTGCTGTGGAAGAGGCTTCGAAAGACAATAATAATAACACAATAAAGGGTCAAGAGCTCAGCGGCTGTTGGCGCCTGTTCGAAAGGTTAAAAAGAAAAAACGCATGTCAGCGTGTGTGCGCGAGATTGAAAAAAACAAAACAGGTGACAGCAGGTATTGAGGAAGAAGCAAAGAGAAGGGGTAAAAAGTCTTGCACCTTCCCTTTTTCTCTCTCCCTCTCCTCCCTCCTCCTACGCAGTTGGGCTAATTGGCACGGCAAACAAAACACGGTGCTCTGCCACGCTCGCTTACTACTACTAAATAAGTTTCAAAATCAAGGAAAAGAGAAAAAGAAAACTACTATATACGCGGCAAAGAAAGCAAAAAAAAAAGGGATATCGTATGCTGCCAGAGCGCCCACCCCGGTCATCACCACACACACAACGCACAGCCGACAACTCAACTCCTCAGAAAGGTGCACCTATGTATTCGTTTTCTTTTTAAGCTCTTCCAGCCTCGAGCACCGCACACAACACGTGTAATGCAACCTCCCTCCATCACGCTCTCCTTCGGTCCTCTCGATCGCACGCTACATAAAAAAAAAGGAAGCGAATCCTAAGTCAATTGTAGGAAGGTTATGGGAGTACATGGCGAAACAACGGTGGTAACATCAAAAGAAATCTTGTGAGGGTTTCTCTTTTTCTTTCTTTTGAATACTCGCACTACTTCCCGAATATATACGTTAGCATGGATGCGTAAAATCACCTTTCTTCTGTAAACGTTTTCGGTGCAACCACTGCGTATAAAACACGTTGCCGAACAAAGAAGAGAAAAAACCCGGCTCCCGCGTGCCCTCAAAAGCTGCTCTTCTCTCGCACACAGAACGCATGGGGAAAAAGGAGGCAGTAACAACGCGATGCCATTGTTCTTTCTCGCCTGACCGCGCGCGGTACCAATAAAACGCTTACGCAAGACGACGTGTGAAGGTGCGCTTGCCGTTCGGGCAATCCCACACCCAGTGGCGCATGTTCACTAACGCGACCTCCAGCTCGCCCATCGCCTTCTCGCGGAGCTCCTCCGGCACCTTCTTCGCGAACGAGTCCACTGCCTCCACGCAGGCGCACAAGTAGCGCTCTCGCTCCAGCGCGTTCCACACACAGCGCTGGACGTAGTAGCGTGCCTTGACGATGCTGGTGTAGCAGCGCTCCGTGCGGCCTGCCCAGAAGAGGATGCTACGCAGGTAGTTCACCTTACGCAGCATGTACTCCTTCTCCGCCGTCTTGTGCGTGCAGTTGCCGAAGACGTAGCGGTACAGGGGGTAGTCATCGGTGTAGATGGTCTTGTACAACATCTCCAGCGAGCTGACGCGGTCGTGCCAGTAGGAGTCGAAGTCGCCGCACCACGAGACGTGCAGCAGGCGGTCAGTGTCGTTCTCGAGGCTGCTCAGCAGGTAGCGCTCCACCGCGTTCAGCTTCAACCCCTCCGGCACCTCCACCTCCGGCACGTGCCAGAACTCAAAGCTGCGGTACTCCGACTGTGACGTAATACGCTTCAGCCAGCTCTCCTTGCACGCCCACTCCTCGCACGGCACAGAGACCCACGTCGTATAGATGCTGCGGGTGGGTACGTTCGTGCCTGCTAACGACAGGGCCGACACCGCCGCAGCGCTAGTAAGGCAAGCAACGCGACGCATTTTTCTTCCTATCAACTATTCTTTCTTTTTGGGGAAATAGCTTTGCTGAATATCACTAGGTTTTGCTATTAAACACGAATACGGGTACGAGACTGAGGCAGGGACAACAGCATAGAAGCAAGATATCCAAAATACAGTAGGCGAAGGAGAAGCGAGGTAGCGAGGTGAGAGGCAGTGCACGCATGTTTGGGTGTTCTATTCTTATCATCATCATCAACATTTGAAGCGGTGACGACGCTCTACCTGCGAAAGGTCTCTTCACCTACGTGGCAAGATCGGACAATCTCAAGCGAGCGGCACCGCCCCACGCGTTAAAGCGTCCAGAGAGGAATACGACTTTTGCGAAACGGGAACGAAAAATGTTTAAAAGTTCAGCCACGCGGCGAACGGCGCGATTCCTCGCCTCTTTCCACCCCCCCCCCCCCAACTAAGAAGAACAACTTCGAGCTCCTACTCCCAGCTGGCTTTGTGTGGCGCTTTATATTCTTTATGAATTACCATTTGCGAACCGTGACGCGAATGTGCTGGCGCTCTCCTTTTCCTCCCTCCCACCTAAAACGCCGCCGTAGGTCAGAAAAGAAGAGCGCTGATTCCAGACGGGACGTACTCAACCAGGCACCGCAGTGCCAACAGAAAAAGTTAAGTGAACACGCAACAACAGTGCCAGATAAAATCCCAAATAGAGGGCTTTCCGTCCACAAAAGTCAACACATGAAAGACGCTTCCTGAACGACGAGAGGAGAAAAGCCCTTTCCAAAAAAAAAAAACGGCATAACAGCTGCACTGGCTCGCTAATAGGGCCGGTGGTAGGAGTACAGTTGGCCCATGTTGTGCGGCATCCCCTCAATGCTTTTTGCGGCTTTACGCAAGCTCGCCATACGGGTGTGCAAAACGCCATCTGCGTACTGGTGCGTGTAGAACTGCGCCGCCACACGCTCCTTTTTCCCAGCAGCAGCGCTGTCGTGTTCCGCGGTCCTTTCCATCGTGGCTTCGTGCGGTGTCAGCACGCGACCCAGCTGCGGCTCTGGTGGCGTTTGCACCCCGGCCGGCACCTCCATCCCGACAAATGGACGAAACGGCATGTACCTCGCCGGTGGTGGGGCGGGGCCTTCGGGCAACGATGAGGCGGCGGCGTGGATGTGTCGCAGGATGCCATGCCCGTACTGCCGCTGTGCCTTGCGGGCAAACGACTCCGCCGCCTCTTCCATGACGTGTCGCAGCCGGGCATCGTGATCCAACGCGCTTTCAGGCAGGGTAGAAGAAGAGCTCGACGACGATGCTGGTGTCTGGGTGGTGGCGGCCGAGGTGCTTGCGCGGCGCTCTGTCGCTGCTGCCTGTCGGCGACGGCGCTGCACGTCGAAGAGAATTTCATCGAGCGTCTTGCCATCAAAGGCATCGGCAAATACACGATTGGCATCACCGCGGACAAACGGCTTGCGATAGCGGCTGGATTGCTGCTGCTGTCGCTGCCGCGCAGACGCGCCAGACGCGGGTGAAGCTTTGTGTTTCTTGCGCGCGCTTCCGTTGCCGGCGGCACCAGTTGGTTTGCGTGCGCGTGCCGCAGAAGTGGAGGACGACGAAGACGCGCCAGCAGCGGCAGCGGCTGTGCCCTGTTTGCGACGCGTCTGGATGCCCAGCTCGTGGTCGTGTGCACGGCGCCTCACCGGATCGGACAGCACCTCGTACGCCTCAGACACCCGACGGAAGAGCACCTCCGACTGAGTCCGGTGTTCCTCGTCTGCCACATCGGGGTGGAAGCGGAGGGCGAGCTGGCGGTAGGACGCCTTCACCTCCAGCGGCGTCGCATCCGTGTCCACGCCGAGGACGTGGTAGAAACTGTGCTGCCCTGGACGGGGTGCGGCCGACGCTGCCGATGAAGAGGTGAAGCGGTAGCTCGTGTGCAGGGCAGGCACCCCGCACCACATGTCCCTCGGCGGAAGGGAAACTGAAGCGCGGGCCTTCACGGGTATGGAGGAAGGCAGCGCACGCAAACGACCAGCCAGCAGTCGGCCACCGGCAGAGACGCGGGCGCGTTGCATTTTTGGCAGAGGGGTAATTGTATCTGCGTTTAATGACCGCCTGAATCCGCAAAAAGCGTCTACACCCCGCGCACACTCGCTGAGGCACCGCACAACGGTGAGAGCAAGCGAACAGACGTACCGCGTGACAGTTCTGAGCGTGAAAGAGAAGGTTAAGAGAGGGGAAAGAGAGAAAAAAAAACTAGGAGACTGTGATTGAAGCAGTGACCAGTTGCGAACAGGCTATACTGCTGTTGTTTACTCGCACAACTGAATCTGTTTCTTCTGTGACTTCAAACAGCTTCATCGAGCCAGTTCATTTCCCATAAGCATACATCATCTGCAGACAGAAACAAAAAGCCGAATGTCATCCATAATTGCAGCTCGCAAGCGCTATTAAGCATGCTGAAAAAAATAGTTTCTGCCAGTCGGAGTACAAACAATCAAGCATTTAAAAAGGCATCTGTGATAAACTGAAGCAAGCAGCAGCAGCGACGAACCGCATGCCTTAGCATGAGACACAAGCACTCCCGTGATGCAGCTCCGCCGGCACCGTTGGTGATGATGACGGCGCGGACTGTGCAAACCTCTCCCACTGCGCCGATGGCGACCACGCTGCGATCGCCTCCGCCACGCTCAACAAAGACGTCTCTGCTATCCTGTGAAACCCCGTCGACTCGAGTTCCACAGAGAGCCGTCGAGGCATGAGGGTGGGGGCGCTGTTGCCGAACCCGCCACGCCCCGTCGCGGCCCTCGTTGAGGATAAAGATGAGGTGGCATCGGCGGTGGAAGCATCCACAACCACCAATAGGGGCAGGGAGCGGCGATGGTGCGGCAGAGCGTCGTGGTTGTGCGCGCGTGGATCCTGAGCGCAGTAGTGCCACCGCAGCAGCTCCCGCAGCGGGGACGCGGCCTGCCGCCACACCCCCAAGTCCGCGTTCGCATCCACTTCACAGGCTAACACTTTGCGTGGGACAGCAGCCGCAGAAGAGGACGAACAGGAGGTATCGATCGTGGACGGCAGTGCGGCGGGCAATGCGCTGCTGTCGCTATGCTCACGGACGCTTGAAAGGCGGACGCACACGCGCAGCAGTGGCCGTTCTGTGGCGCTGAGGTGATGTACAACGTCCGCAAAGCCCCCGCCATTTGGAGTCATGGACGGTTCTTGCGGCAGACGGTGCGCGACACCCGAGAAGGAGACATCGGTGGAGGCAGACGCGTCGTTTGTGAGCTGCGCCAAGACAAAAGAGGTGAAGGAGGGAGGAGCGGAAGACACAGCGCCAACGGACGACAAGGGTCGCGAGGAGGAGGAGGCAGTGACAGCGCCGTGACCGCCAGGGGCTTTCAGTGCGGCGCCCAGGAATACAGCCGGATGTTTGCGCCGCCGTGCAGACGGCGATGAGGAATCGCGAGGGAGTTGCGGCGAGTGCTGGGGGTGCGGTGCCCCGCTCTTCTCTAACTTCAGTGTTTGTCCCAGCTTGCAGTGCGTACGGTATAGCCGCCCTACGCTTTCCTCCAACAGTTCGCGCAAGCTCGACGCCGCGTCAGACAGCGACGACGACGACAAAGGACAGGTGAGACACGATGGCCACTGACAGCACACGGACGTCCCAAGTGTCGCGAAGTGCACCTCCACGGAGGGGCCTGACGCTTCTACGCTGCGGCTGCCGTTCGCTGCTGCTGCTTCGGCTGTGGTCTCGCCGCGTGGCGTTGCGAAGAACTCCAGCGCGTCACTGACGTCTCGCACAACTCTCTTCCATTTTGCCGGTACGACCGTCGCAGCGTCGGCGCCGTCGCCGTTGCGTGCGACTCTCGGCAGCAGCACCACCATCTTCACCGCCACCGTGGCGTTCATCATGACGCTCTTCAGATCGGGGTGCTCGTCGAGGTGCTCACGGTAGGGGTTGGTGATGTTAGGGTGCCCGTGGATTTCCAGGTCGTACTCTTCCTTCGACATGTGGGAGAGCTGATGCTGCCGGGGAATGCGCAGGCCAAAGAGCCCGCCGCCAAGCTTGATGCCAAGACCACCCTGCATGTGGTTGCCAGCGTGTCGGCGGCCATCACGGATGCTGCTGCACACGGTGGAGAGACGCTTGTAGCGGCCCTGGCGGCCGTGTGTGTGGCGCGTGTGCACGGCGCCGGCGCGCTTGCTGCGTCCGCGCAGGAAATCACGCGAGCTCCATCGGCCCAGCAGAGCCTGTGTGCAGCGCAGCATGGCTGCGTGGGAGTACAGAAGAAGAAAAAAAACCTCGAGGTTGTCCCTCTACTATTGAAAGCTTCAACAAGTGAGAACGTCGATTCTTGTGAAATCGGCAGTTAAAAAACCTGCGCGGCGGAGAATTGTACTTGCTAAATGAATCAATACCAATAACAAAAATAATGAGAGGTGGAGAGGCAAACGAAAGGGGGAACATACTGATAGAAGTAAAAGAAGTTGAAGGAAGAAGGAGCGTTGGGTCGGCAAAGGCGAGAAAACATGATGTATTCCGTGTTAGAAATCACCGTGAGAACTTTTTTTAGGTAAAAGAAACAATGCATAAAACCTCACTGTTTTTGATGTTGGTATTTCACACACTGCATCGTACCGACCTTTCGGCACGTTCATGATGGACAAACAGGCGCACACGCCCTTCTCTTCCTCTCACAAAAGCAGCACACACAACGAAGAAAAGCTGCGTTAACTCCTCCCCGTGCGGACCACGCATGCGCTTCGAGATTTGAATACAGGACGGTAAAGTCATTTTTATCCAAGGAAAACAGTAAAACCGCGAAGACAGTGATAATAAGACACACCAGGACAGCAAAACAGATCAAAAAAAGGGGGCTGCCAGAAAAACTCCCTTGTATGAAGGGTTGAACTAGTAACTGCAAAGCCCTACGCCTTCGCTGCCTTCGCTTCGTCGAGCCACTTCTGAATGGCTACCCGGCGCTCCTCCACCGCGGCCGCCACATCTGGGCGTTTGTTGAACTCCTCCACCATCGTCTCCGTCAGCGGCTCATTCGTGAAGGGGTGCTTGCTCTCCGACAGCAGCAGGTGGTGCAGCGTCTCCTTGTTTACGTAGACCAAGTCCGCCAAGTCCTTCACCTCCGCCGGCAGAGCAACGGGCTGCAGCAGCGGCGTAGAGAGCAACGCGTCCACGGCGAAGTCGGGTGCATCGTCCCAGATGGCCTCCTCATTATCCACCTCCTTCGACACGGAGGTGAGCGCCGAGGCCATCTCCGAGACCTTCCACAGCAAATCCTCTGAGACGAGCTGGCGGTCCACGATGGTGCGCATCACGCCGCGGATGTCAACCAGTGGGATGCTGCAGTGGCAGAGGCAACGCAGAAAGTTCTTGGAGCGGCGGAAGTGCGTGAAGCAGTCCACCAGCCGCATCAACACCTCGCGTGGGCGGAAGTTGTAGCTGTCGGCGTTTTGGATTCGCAAGTTTCTGCTGTTTGGCCCAGCGAAGGCCATCAAACTGCGCGCCAGCATCTCGCTGATCTGCCCCGCCACCATGTTCTGCGAGACACCCTTCGGGAACTGGAGGGAGAGCTCAATGAACATGTCCATCGACGCGGTGAAGAGCATCAGGTTCGAACGGAGGCCCATGCCACGCTGGTGGTACGTCTGCGCGCCGTCCGCGTTTTCCTCCTCTTCCTCATCGCCTTCCGACCCGTCAGCCTCCTCGTTGCTGTTCGCGGGCTGACGCCGGCGCCGACCTGGCTGCTGCTGCTGTGGTGGCGGTGGCTGCTGCCCTCCATCCATAGATGGACCAGCGGCTGTCGCACCGCGCGAGCTCGCCGCGACCGCGTTCTCCGACGTGTCGGCACCCGCCTTCATCATCTCGTTCATCTTTGTGAGAGTGTCGATCACCTGATCCACCGCCTCGTTCACCTCCGCCACCGCCATGTGCGAGAAGCGCTCAAGCATTGTGTTGTTGGCCTGCGACTCCATCTCCTCCCGCACCGGCTCACATAGTAGGTCGGACTTGAGAAAGTTTTTAATGGCGTAGGAGAGCTCGTAGCGCACCTCCACCCGTTCATAGGTCGACTTCTCCACGGTGATGTAGCACTCCATGCAGGAGCGCACAATGTGGGTGCTAAACCATGGGTGCTGCTCTAGCACCTTCCGCGTCGTGTAGTTCTCCTGCAGGCGCAGCAGATAGGCTGGGAAGAGGGCGTGGGTGTGCGGCTTCGGGAAGTACGTTGTGTTGCCCATCAGGACCAACATGAGGGAGATCATGCCATCCGAGAAGAGGCCGTCCACCGGCGCCATCTTCGTCGTGCGGATGACGCAGTCCACCAGGCACTGCGGGAGGTAGCACCACTCCAGCGGCGGGTTCGTCGGCAGCGCGCCGTTGCCGTCCACCTGCATCACCTGCAGCAGCCAGTGGGCGAGGTGGTTCACGAACTCCAGCCGGCTCACCCCAAGCTCGTTGGAGCCCATCAGACCCTCCAGCAGCAGCTTCTCCGCCGTGTAGAAGTTCCGCTGCGTCAGCGGGGCCTGCGGGTGCGTCGCCTGCCGTTCGTCGCGGTCGTGCTCGTCGACGAAGACCGCCGCACACAGCGTCAGCACGCGCGCGGCGAGGAAGAAGAGGTGCGCGGCGGGCTTGTACGGTGCGGTGTTGCTCACTGGGACACTCGGCAGCGGGTTTGTCTCATCGAAGTGCGTCACCCGCTCCACGTCGTGTCCGAAAGAGACGACGGCTCCGTGCGGGCCGTAGAGGCGATCGAGTAAGTAGTAGGCGGGGATTTGGCGATAGTCGTACCGGCCCCCATCGCCCTCCTTGCTGCCGCGGACCTGGAAGATGGGGAGGGCCAGCTCGAGCAGGACCGACTGCAGCTGGATCATGAAGTACCGGGAGCAGATGGGGCTGTTGTGGTGCATTGTCTTGAGATAATCCTCATTCAGCTGCAGGGCCCTGCCGAGGTAGCGCAGCGTGGCGTCGCGGGTCGTCTTGGACCGCAGCAGCGCCTGCACAAGCCGCACGTTCATCTTCGCAAGCGTCTCCACACGCTGCTGGATGCCGTACACTGTTTGGGAGTGCTGATCCTGCTGCTGCGGGGGGAACTGAGCCAGGACGTCCTGCCACTCTCTGCCAGGGAGGACCGGCTCGCTCAGTGGCTTCGGGCTCAGGCTAAAGAGCACGCCCAGCAGCGTTGTGCGCTCCAGCTGCGTGCCCGTCGTGACAAACACGCTGGTGAAAATCGGACTGGAGATGAAGGCGGTTTGAGCGCTGGGGCAGCTGATGAGTGCGAGGAGGACGCGGTGCAGCTGCTCAACCACACTCATGTCCTCCCAGGAAAGATAGGTGGCGAGCTGCATGACGTGGCACAGGACCTGGTTGATCAGCTGCTCCTTGTCGCTCCGCTCCGGCGGTGGGCGGGTGGCTATGTTCGCAAAGAGGGCCTCCAACGCCACCGCGGAGAAGGCGTCAGAGGCGAGGTAGGGCAGCAGCAAAATACCGTACGGCGCCTTCGCCTTGAGCAGCGCGTAGGCGGCATCGCAGCTGTCCTTCTCCAAAATCGGGTTTTTCTTGTTCCTGGCCTCCACAACACGCAGCATCTGCTCCGCAAACGGATCCTGCACCTCCCCACTACTGCGTGCACTGCCATTGCCGTTTCCGGCAGACGGCGGCGCAGATGGTGCGTTTGTGGGGATGAGGCCCAACGCAAGGTCGATGTTCCGCTGCACGGTGCCCAGATCGCCGCCGGTCACCGTCGTAATACGCTCGTTCGCGTGGAAGACGATAAAGGTGGGGATGGACGACACACCGTACCGACTGGCGCAGTCGCGGTTGCGGTCCACGTTGCACTTGGCAAAGGTGACTTTATTCGCGTCGTAATAGCGGGCCATCTGCTCGAACTGCGGTTTGATTTGCTGACAGGGCCCGCACCAGTCCGCGTAAAAATCAACGACGGTGACGGCATCGCTGCGCTGCACCAGAGACAGCAGCTGCCCCAGACTCGAGATCTCCAGCATCTGAGAAACACAGAGAAAAGAAAAGGAGACGAAGTCAGTCGATGATGATGATGATAGAAATACGAATAATAATAATAATAATAATAATAATAATAATATTAACAGTAAGAGAGAGAGGGATCAATAAAAGGCCTGTGTGAGTAGCACGAGAAAGAGAACAAACACAACCATAGAAAAGAGAGGGATGATCAAAAATAAAACCCCGCTCCTCAAACCAGCACCGGACGGCCAAACAAAAAAAGTCAAGAAGAAACGACGCCGCACGATACACGGAGATGCTACGTTGTTTTCGCCACTGTGCGGATGCGTGACGACAGCAATAGAGCGAGCAGCGGAAAAGCCAGGAGGAAGAAAACAAAAAATGGATTTAAGAGGAAGTAAGAAAGTGAGCATGTAAGTTGGTCAGTTTGTTTCTTCCCTTTCCTTTTTGAATGAAAAGCCAACATCACCTCGCCACGGTGGACTTCATTTAGGAAAGCACATCCCACGTGCCGGGCGACAAATTCAAACACGGTAACACCACCAAACACAAAGTCCTTTTTGAGGAAATCCATTTTAGAACGCTTATTGCCTCGTTGTTGCTGCTTGCTTTGCTTCGTCTAGTACACATCGTGAAATTAATTTCGTACTCTCAACAGCTCATGCCAAGCAAGAAAAGTAATCGTAGTGAAATCGTTTCCTACGCTTGAAAATCGGGATGGGCGTGTTGACCGGCGTAGTGCATACCCACGTCATCAACCACATCCGATTCCTCTTCGACGTCCGCGGTGGGATTCGTGTCCGCGTTACATCCACCACTGCTGCGCGTGGCAGTGTCCGTTTTCTCCGCTGCTGTACTGCCATTCGTCGATTGAGAGGAAGCTAGATACATCTTTCCCGCTGCAGATGCGGATGAGCTTGATGCGTCGTTCGTCGCAATCGCCGCCTCTGTTGCGGGTTCGTCCTTCATTCCCTCTACATGAATTGCGGCCTCCTTCGTCTTGTCCACAAAGCATTTTTCAAAGAAGTTTGCGTCGGCTGTCGCCTTGTACACGTACTCCGCGTACGAAGGATCGTTGAACGGTTTCACATGATACAGCGCCGCGAGCGATGGAGAAGGATCGACGGATGCCTCCTCGAGCGCCGCCAGCGCCACCTTCGCGACGGCCGCCGCGGCGGCAATCGACCTCTCATCTTGAAGGTCCGTCTCACTGTCCGAGTTGCGCCTCTTATTCGCTTTGTCGCACGCGGACCGTCCGTGGCTCGCCGCAGACAGCGCGGACGACGTCACGCTCGTGCAGGATGCCGGGAACGCCCGCGCACGGAAGGTGTGCAGCTGCTCGTCGACCTGCTCCCACGCAAAGCCACCGAACACAGCATGACCGCGTAGGGCGGCCTCGTCAAACCGGTGCGTCTCCCTGTTCACGCCAAGCCGCTTCGAGGGGTCGATGTTCAGCAGCTGCCGAATAAAGTCCACGAGAGCGGCAAAGTTGTCCTGACAAGCGCCACCGCTACCGTCGTTGGAGACGCTCCCGTTGAAGTCAATAGCGGGGAAGAGGTTGGCACGCGCGAGGTAGTCGCCCTGGATCACCTTCTTGAGCACCTCGAACTGTGACATCCCCGCAAAGAGATGCGTGCCGTAGGCCATCTCGTACACCAGCGCGCCGAGTGCCCACAAATCGCTGCTGAAGCTCCATTTGCACTCACCCACCATCTCCGGCGAAACGTACTGCGCTGTGCCGCAGAAGCTAGCGGACCTTTTGCGCATGCTTTGGATTTCAGAAACGGTGAGACGACGACGCGGGGGGGCGGCAGCCGGCAACGCCTGCGGTGATGTGCATGTCCTACGGTGCTTGCCTTCGCGATCGGGCTCGCCGTCGACTACATATGCGGCACCTTCACACGGTGGCGGGCAGGCCACACCGTTGTTCGTCTCCGGCACGACAGCCGAGCCGCCCAGGTCGACCGTGTCGAAGTCTAGCAGACACGCCCGGTACTTCTCATCGAAGGCGACATTCTCCGGCTTCAAGTCCCGCAGCACGACACCTTTGGCGGATGCACACGCGAGGGCGGTAATAAGCTGCGCGGTGATGAGGCGGATATCGTGAAAGTCAAGGCACCGCAGAGCATTGGAAGAGGTGGGGATGGAGGTGACACGGGCAGACGCGCTGCTGCTGCTGTTGCTGTCCGCCGCATTACTTTGATTATTGTACTCACGCACGCGCTGCAAGTGCGTTCGGCGGATGTGCTGCAGCAGATCACCGTGCGGCAGCCACTCCAGTACGTAGTAAAGCTCGTCCTCGGATTGGCTGGTGCCGTAGAGGCGTGCGATGTAGGGGTGGGGCCCGAGACGCAGCAGAGCAGCCTTTTCATTCATGACGCTCTGCACCTTGCCTTGCTGCAGTACCTGCAGCTTCGAGACGATCTTCACCACCACCGGTAAAGAGGGGTGGCCGGCGCTGCGGAGGCGGCACTGGACGACATGACTAATGGCGCCGGAGCCGACGGGCGTGCCGGCGGACAGCGACAGCTGCTCCGGAAGAAATTGCACGCAGGCAGAGGAGAGCGGAGATGCGCTCATCGTTGTGGGCCAGTGTGGCGCTGCCTTTTTGTTTGTTTGACTCTGCTTTTCGTACGATGCGCAAAAACGGGTGCAGAAACGTCTCTTGCTGGAACTCACACGCAGACGGAGGGAGAGGAGAAGAGAGGGGCAGCACGGATAGTGAGAAGGAACACTTTCTAAAGGCAGAAATAGGCGTTGCCTCGCTGAGGAGTAAAGATGGCACAACAGAGCAACGCGAAGTCGATGCGCTGCGTGCGCAGAATCGCGTTGACGCGTATGCACAACAATTGTGCATCGATGAAATGATTTTAGTGAGGATAACAGGTCGTTCTTTGCCTTCTCTCTGCGAAAAAAAAAAGGCATAAAAGCGTGTGCGTGGGTTTTGCGCGTTTTTGTTGTTGGTGGTGTTGGGTTTTTGTCGTTAGAGAATCTTTTCCGTCTACCACGAAGACGTGCGAGCCGTGAGTCCGGATGGCCCACACTTCACATCTGCAGCGTCTGCACCGCCCGCTGCAGGTCTGCCTCGTCGTACTCGGCGGTCGTGGTGGCCTCCGCGTAGTCGCCGCCGCTGTCGTCGGGTAGCAGGGCCACCCCACCTCTCGCACCCCACTGGGCGTTGGTGGAAGCGAACAGACGTGACAGGGCGTCGCCGTTGCGGCGCAGCAGGAGCTGCACTGGCGTCACGCCGGAGGAAGCGGTGGTGGCGTGTCTCGTCGTGGACGGCAGCATGGCTGACATCACGTAGTCGGCGAGCACCTGTCGCACGAGTGCCATGTTCGCCACTGGGTTGCCTTGGCAGAGCTCTGCGGCCAGCTTCAGGACACGCCACAGCAGTGCGGGACACTGGGTAATGAGCAGCTGCGACGCTGGGGAGACGTCTTTCGATACGCAGAGCACGTGGAGAACGCGCAGGGCGCTGTTGCGTGCCATCGGGTGCGACGACTGCGTCCATGGTAGTGGTGGTGGCAGCGGTGCTGACATACTCTGCGGAGTGGTCGGCTCCTCTCCCGGTAGTGCCAGCGCCGCCACAAGAAGGCGCTGCACCGGACACTCCGGCGTGCGCTGGAGCAGCTGCCGCGTCGCTGTCGTCAAGCTCGCAGAAGGGAATAACAGCACTCCAATGGTGTGCCACGCTTCGGACGAGATGACGGGTGAGGGATGTGTCAAAGCAGGTAGGAAAGACTGCAGACGTAAGCTGCTGGCAGCCGCTTCCTCTTCTTCCTCTTCGTTGGCGCCAGCTGGGGGGCGCCCCGTTTGCCGCGAGGCCCTTGAATGCGGCGATATGTTTAGCGAGCTCAGAAGCGTCGTGGACAGCACGTTGCCAAAGACCGGTTTCGCATGCTTTGTTGGTGGTCTGTCGCTGTCGAACAGGCGCACGATTCGCGTGTGCAAGCGCGGACAGCGAAGAAGGGACCGCAGCAACTGCCCTGCCGCCGTGACGTCGGCCTCGCACGCGGCAGTGTCATTGTGGGGGGTGTGCAGACGAACCAAAGCACACAACAGTCGGTCGAGATCGTAGCGTGGCGGCACACCGCCGTTCTCCGTCGCCGCGTCGCCTCTACCAACAGAGGGGGCGAGCAAGTCGAGCGGGAACTCGGCCAGGCCGCTGCCTGTGCTCTCCGCTCTGTTTCTCAGCTTGACCGCAGCCGTAGAGGTGGCGGTGCGCCACGCGGCATCCGGGCAGCTGCCAAAGACGAACTTGCACCGTCCAGCCGCGGCTTCCGATGCGTCGTGACAACCGCCGTACACGAGCGCATCGGAGACGACCACGCCGAATCCTCGACGGCACAGCAGTCCGAAAATTTCTGCCATCCGCAACCGCAGCCGGTGCACCTCCTCCGCGTCCCGCTGACATCGCTGCTGCGTCAGCACGTACTCGCCTCCGCTGCTGTCGTTGCTATCCTTCATCAGGCCCCTCGCTGACCCCGCCGCATCGCCGACACCGGGAGGATCGCCGTGCAGGGAAGGCAACAGCGGCCGGCCGGCCCACCACAGCAAGAGGCGAAGGACCAGTGGACTTAGCTGCACTAACGGGGCGTACTGAGTACTCACCGACAGCGGTGATTCCTCCGTGGAGCTCGGCGCGGTGGAGGCGGTGATGATGGAGTGCCCAGTTGCGGCAGTCGCCGTCAGCGTAGCATCGAAGGCGTTCGTGTTGCCCAGGCTGTGGCTGCCCATCTCCTCCCCATCGCTCGAGACCATCGCCCCACTGCTGAAGACCTGCCCGACTAACGTTTCTTCGGCGTACGGCGTCGCCAGTCCGTCATGCGTGCTTGGCGCCACCCCGCTGAGGCGCGGCGGTGACGCGGCGAAGGTGCCGAAAGACGACGGCTCCAGAGGCAGCGCCTGTGCCTCCAATTGCACACCGGCAGAAGCGGGCGCGGTGGCAGGTGCGAGTTTTGCGCAGTCGGTCTCTCCACCGGCATGACTGAGCTCGGTGACGAAAGACGCGGGAACGTGTCCGTCGCCGAGGTCCGCCGCACCGTCGGGGACCGCGGCGTAGACGAGACTCGACCAGATCCAGCCCACCACCTTGTAGAGCAACTCGGGCTTGTGTGGTGCTTGCAGGAGGTGGCTCTCCAGGAGACTGCTGGAGATGCTTCGGCGTGCCTCTGTGCCAGCTCTTGTCGGCATTCGATGAAAAACACTTTCGTTTGAATGCTGGATGTTGAAGAACTCAAGTTGTGGGTACGTTGAGTGTAGAGCGCCAAAGAAGAAAAAAAAACGAGCTCAATGAAATGCCAGCAACCGTCGCACCTGAGAATGCGTTTAATCGAGGCGGGGGGGGGGACCGATGAAAAAGGTGCGGGAGGGCGGAAGTGGGGGAGTGAGAGGGAAGTCAAACCCAAGAGAGAAAAAACATATATACAAGTATGGAGCACAATTTAAACCACTGCCGTTTAACTGACGTGCAGACACGTGACGTATTCGAAGGCGCGGGTCACATAACACGACATCGTCTAAGCATTGGAAACGATATGCCGTGCGAACCACTGTGACTCTACCGGGCAACAATACGCATGCGCAAGGAGTTCGGCGCTGAGCTCATGATGCCTTGAGCCGTAGCAGACGCCTTCGTTTTCTGTTTGTGCGTATTGCGGACGCGTTGAAAAACAAAAAAGGGAAATATGCAAACGAAGAAAAGAGGGAGCGTCATTAACAGATGCAAGCGAGAGGGGGAAAACAAAACACAAAGGGAAATCGCAAGGCCCGAGAGAATCAGTCACCAGAACATTAAACACCTGCAGTGGAGTTCGTCGACCAACACCCGCCGCCTAAAACTTCACGTGCAACGCACACCAGGCGCTACCCTAAGTCGATATAAAAGCGCCCACCAACAAACGGCGCTACTGCACCTGCACTGTCACAAAAATAGCGCGATCGCTTGACGACAGGTGCGCCTCGAGAAAACTGCCCGGTGTCGCGAGAGACGGCTGAATCCCTTGCACCAGAAAGCGGATACGCCGCTGCGGTGCAGCCGGCGCACGAACGTTGCCGGTGCTCTCTAAGAAAGGCAGACCGAGCTTCTCACTGGTGTTGCCTCGCTCGTAATCTCGCACCAGTGCCCGCGACCTCGCGCTCTCCCACGCGGCCCAGGCGAGGGGCTCCGCAGGGGTGCCCGTCAGCAGCGGCTCCTGCTCTTCCAGCCGCTCCGTCGCGCACGCCGGTGGGTCGGCGTAGTACGCCGTCAGGGAACGCAGCAGCTGCTGGTAGGTGCGCTGCGTCTCCGTCTGCGCCACCGCATCGGCGCTGCTGCCTGAGAGGTGCGTCTGCTGGGCCTTCCAGCGCAGCACGGGGATGCGGAAGAGACGCCAGAGAAGAAGACCAAAGGGAAGCTGCTCCGCCTCCACCAGAGGAGCAGAGAAGTCCGCTTGCGGCTGGTCGTTCGGCGTCTGCACGGTCGTGTCGGCGGCCGGCAATGCACCCTCTGGCAGAGATGTGCGCGGTGAGGTCGGGGAGGAGGGCCACGCCAGCGCCGGCGCAGCGGACACACGGTAGCCGTCGTACTGAAGGTGTCCCCGCTCAAACTGGCTCGTCGCACCACGGTAGGCGTGAGGAACGCCTACCCGGAAAAGGAACGCGACGTGTGGTCGGGGGGCGAGCACGCCTTGGAGAAGCTGCTGATACTGCAGCAGAAGAAAGGGGGAGGAGAAGTCGGTGGCGGCGCCGGCGTAGCGTCCGCGTGACGCCACACCGCGACCATCAGCCCCACCGCCCCTGCTGGCCGCTTGCCCCTGCAGTCGCTGTGCCTGCAGCTGTTGCTGGGCGACTTCATCAAAAGGACGATAGAGCGCCAGCCCAATGGCGGGAAGCAGTGTGGACTCGGCCTCGCGCTGATAGTGGGTGTAGTTGCCGTAGAGACACGTGTAGGCGGCCTTGTGGCTCTGCTTGATCTCCATGCGGATGTGCTCGTCTAGCCGGTCGTAGTTCACGTAGAGCGGCACCGTGCCTGCTCGCACGCTGCCTTTTGTGATGGAGTGGATGTGGAAGGTCAGGTCGAGCGGCTCGCTGGGCACGGAGAGGGGCAGCGACTGCACCAGCGTAGAGGACGACGTTGGAGGTGACGCGGTCGGCGGCACTGCTGCTGCTGCTGCGTGGTCGGAAGTGGGCGATGTCATCGTGGCTGCGTACTGCTCCAGTCGCACCTCACGCGTACACTCGTTCACGTAGTCCTTGATGACGCCGGCTGGATAGAGCCAAGAGATGGGGGAGTTGCCCACGCTAAACCACACCTGTGTGTTCTCGGGGTGCAGGGCTGCCGCGTAGGGGCGGAAGAGCTGCAGTAGGTCACGCACCACGGCGATCAACATCGTCGTGCGCGGCAGCACAAACGCGGCAGGCGCGGGCCGCTCCGTGGGGTGCAGCACGTCCTCCTCGGCGAGGCTGACAACCACTGGAATACCCCCAGCATACTCGCTGTCGGAACGCATGACAAATGCAATTAAGTTCGTTGAGAAACACTTCACTACGGCGATGTGCAACAACAAGTTGTATAACTTCTACGGTTTGACACAGAAGAAGAATAAGAGCTGATTCGCAGGAGCACATTAAACGGGTCGAAAAAGAAAAAGAGAGAAAAAGGCATAAAGACGACATTTGCATGAGTTCGAAAACAGAACATTGCACGTGCTTTTATTCTTTTTTAATCCACTTCGCGAAACGCCCATGCATTCATTATCCTGTGAACAGTCCTCTAAAAAGAAAAAAATGCTGCGCTTCCATTACTACCTCAACTATGATAAATTCGACTGCATGAATGATGTAACACCGCTTCGTTCGAAAAAAGCTGTGCAGAAGCGCAGTGGATGATGCATGCTGATGAGGGCCACCCTGATTCAGGAATGACATGCGAATCTCACCCACCCGCCCACATGCCGTATTGTCCGTGGAGTTTCACGGCTTGTGCGGCTTTTCCCTTCTTTCCATGTGTCTGTGTGTGTCTGTGAGTGTCTATGATTTTTCCTTGTAATACGTTGCCTTCCTCTTCAAAGAGGTGTACAAAGCTCTTTAAGTTGCTCAAGGAGGAGTCGCACGAAGAAAATATTCCGCCGTGACTCTGCTGTTAATGTGAATAGCACGTTAAGTCGTGTCCTGACTTTTAATCCATTCTTCTCGTATCGTTCCGGCAATCCCAAATCGTCTGTAAACACAGAAAGAATGATGGTTCTCGACTCCACAAGATGATGTGCCGCTGTAGAAGGCAAAAAGCCCTCTCCACTATTCGCCGTCGCCTCACACGTCACCCATTGATTGCCAACTTCCAGCTGTATCAAACATATTTTCTTTTTTTTTAACCTGTGAACACTCCCATACCAAAGAAAAAGGCGTTGCGCTGAGCTCCTTGCAACATTTCCTTCTTGTTTCGGCTTTCACGACACGAACTTGTTCATGGTGGACAGCCACGCCTCGTAGTCCTGCTGCTCCGCCCAGAAGCTATACAGAATCACAAACTCGCCCAGTTTCTCATCCACGCCGCGCTTCTCCAGGTAGGTCATGACGCAGTTCAGCATGTCGTAGTCCAGCTCGTGCACCAGCGGCCCGGTGTACAGCTCCTCGCGCTTCGCTGCACCCTCGGCGCTCATGTCCATTGCCAGCTGCGCATTATCGTAGAAGCGGATGTTGTTCAGCACCAGCTCACCTTCTTCAATGCTGAGGTCGGTCTGCATGGTCTGACCGCTCTTCTGCTTGACGTAGACGTAGATGTCGTGGCTGTTCGCCTTATCGGAGTCTTGGTTGGTGCTGTAGCGCACGACCAGCTCCTCGCCCTCGTAACTCTTAGTCATATCGAAGGTGCAGGTGCCGGGCTTGCGGCTCACCTGCCACCCAGCCGGCGGCGTCGGCTGCTCCGGCTTGTCGCTACGACCCATCTCCTCCTCCAACTCACGGCGGGTCGCGTCGGCCAGCGCGGCATCGCTCGCAAACCGCCGCGGCAACGTCAGCGCACCCGCAGCAACAGCAGTGCAGCTCCGTGCATGCGGTGTCTGCGTGAGTCGCAGGGTGGCCAGCGTGAACACAGCAGGAACGCGGCAGGCGCGGAGGGCGCTGAGGCTCAGCTTGCTGATGGAGCGGCGCATGGTGTGCGAGACAGGACAAAGAGAGAGCCTTTCTTGACTTTTAAAAGAAAGCGAAATAAGTGTATTACAAAGCGATAGAATGCTCTGAGTTGGAATGCGTTGAGCTGCGTAAACCAAAAAAAAAGGATAACTACTTTTCTGTGCTTCTTGTTGAGTGGGTGAAACTGGCAAAAGGGAGAGGAGAGAAAGATGAGGCAGAAGCGTAGACGGCGTTGATGTTCCGCGGAGTGCGATAAGAGCGAGATGAAGGAAAGAAAAGCGGTATGAGAGAGAAAGTAAAATAAGCGGAGAACACTATCGTGACAACTAGAAGGATCCGTATCACCAAAGAACGAGATCAGGTTTAGCGGCGTACTCCAGTGTGGGAAAGACATCGTATTCGATTTTTTCCTCATCGACGCCAAGGTCGCTATCCGCAACCAAAGAAGGGCGAAGCAAGTTGTGTAAGTCTGTGCAAAATGCAAGAGCTAAGCGGTCTCGTTTTTCCCCCTCAAAAGATGCTTCTGCTCTTTTTCTTTCTTTCCTTCTTTTTTGCTACTGGAACTGCGATGGGTCGCCCAGCACGCTGCCCTGCGTCGCCCTCGCCCACGCAAGCTCCTCCTCCACACTCCCGAGCTGCAGTTCATCTAACCAATTGACGTAGTAGGGGTGCTCGCAGTTGGTCAGCAGCGTGGAACATAGAAACCACGGCGGGCGCGTGTGCACCTTCCCGTGTTGAAAGTGCTTCACAAAAGCCCGCAGTCCTTCGTCCTTTGCGTCCTCGCCCCACTGCGGAGAAAGTGCAGGGGACGCAGCGTTGCGAACAGTGTGGACCTGTCCGCTCTCCACCGCTGGATGCAAAGGGGAAGACAAAAAAATTGCCTGCGACGCGTCCATCGATATCGCAGCGGGCACACTTGTGCCAGCTGGCAGAATGCTTGTCGAACGCAAGGCTTCTTGCAACACTGGACTCTGCGTCAGTCCTTCCGACCCACTCTTCATCGGGGTGGCGGGACCTACTCCATCCGCTTCACCGCCTTGTTTTGCCGTCTTCACAGACAACGACTGGCGTCCTGGGTGAAGTAGGGACGTGGCGCTTGAAACACGGCCGCCCTGCTGGTCGGGTGAACGACTTGCCCAGACAGAGGGAAGGAGAGGGGTGAACGGCACCAGTGGAGGGGCCGCCACCACCGCCTCCCAATTCGTCGCGACAGCAAAATTGCGCTCGTACCCGATTTCATCGCCAGGAAGCGCCGAGGAGGCAGCGGTGTCCACGTGGGGAGTGGGGTGCTGCGGGATCTCACAAAGGGGGGAGGGTGGCGCGGACGGTGTGGCGGCTCCTGCTGCGCTATCGGACGGTGGTGCGCCTTCCATGTGACGTTGCAGACCGACATCTTTGCCTGTGGCACCGCCGATCCCGCTCCTCGCTGGTGCGGTGTATAACCACTTTACATACTCGTCGTAGGAGAACGGAATGACCTTTGGTGAGAGGGGAAGAGAAGAAGGACCCGAGGAAGGCGGCGAGGCGGCGCCAGCCATTGGGAGCAACGTTGGCGTGGGCGGACGTTGGGAGAGCACTGGCGGCAGCAGCGGACGCAGCGACGGTGCACCATCGCCGAGAATGCCGGCGCCGAGGGAGTCGCCCAGCACCGGTGCCCATAGGTCCTCCACCGAAGTAGTGGAGGGCACGGGAAAGCGAGTCAGGTGCCGACGTTCTTCTACCGTCTCGACGTGCAACTTCGGAGCCGGTGGCGTCGCGAGGACCGGTCCTCTTGTGAGCTCTGCCGCTTCGTGAAGTGTGGGGACGACAGGGGGGGGCACCTGCGGCCCGTCGTGGGGAAGGACCGGGCCCGTGGAGAATGAGGGTGGCCGCGCAGCTGTGCAGCCACACCTTCCTCCTTTGTCCTTCGGTGCTGACCCATGTTGGGTGTCGCGTGGTAGAGAGGTGAGTGCTCCCGCCGCTGCTTTTTACGGTCTTTCGTACGCTGACTATCATCGTCGTTGCGCGCGTTTGGGACATCCAAAGAATCGAGGTGGTTCCTTCCTTCGCCTTGGCGGTGATGCCGCTCAGGTGTGCCGCTGGAGCTGCCGCGGCTGCGCGAGCGGTGACGTTTGCGGCTCGTGGTACCACGCGGCTCTTCCACGGAAGGAGAGCGTCGGTGTCGCCGCCCACGACGACGCCTCGCAGCTCTGTTGGGCATTCAATCAGGAGAGTGAATGGCGTAAGAGAGCGCACGATTCTCCAGACGCCACTAAAGGCAAAAAAAGGAAGAGAAGAGATGGAAGAGCTGTCACGTGCAGCAGAATTCGACAAGACCTTTTTTTTTGTCCTCCTTTTGCCTTCGTCTTCGCTGCCAGTGAACAAGCCTTGTTTTTTTTTATTATTATTTCTATCTTTCTGACTATGGAAGTGCGCAAGTCAGCATGGGGAAAGAAGAGCACAGGACGAACCACACGTAAGGCAGTGCCCGGGAGTGACGATTGGCTCGAACCGAGATCTACGCCGCAGCCTTCCTCATTGTCTAGACAGCGACTAAAACTTGGAAGAAAGCAAACCAAGCCAGGCAACGGGGGGGGGGGGGGTAAGCAAACAACCGTTTCTACGGCAGAAGACGAGCACAAACAACAAAAGAGAGACACAGAGAGACAGATAGAAGGGAAAGGGAAGCGTGGACAGCTGAGAGCTGCGATCGATGGCAAGAAGAACTACTTGAGGGCTCTCTCTTTTTGCTGCTGTTGCTTTTGTCTTTCTTCTGCGGACGAGCAGGACCTTCGTTGATGGACACACTAGACGCGTGCAAGCCATCACGAAACAAAAAAAAAGACATGTGCGTTCTTCGCGTGTGAAGAACTGCGGCAGTTCTGATGCTCAGTGAAGCATAAAGCTAACGGAGCAGCCACCACGGCCAAAACAAAAGGAAAAAGGGGGGATCGCTGAAGCCCGCCACCTTTCCAGCTTTTCTATTTCGAACGATCGAGCGTGACACACACACACACACACCAAGGGTTAACCGAAACCCCTACACCGTTCAGGACTGTAAAAATAAAAAAAAGAGAGAAAAAAACAGAATACACATATGTAAAAGGCACATATTCGCCCGTTTGTCAACGTGAGGGGGGAAGGGGGGAAGAAAGAGAAGTACCCCTCGGTTTAATACATCACGCGTGAATGCAGCCGCCTTTTTCTCCGCCCGGGAAGAGAGGGGCACCAACAACAGCAAGAACAAAGGTTTCTTTTAAAGGTGTGAAAACGCAGAAAAATAGAGAAAGAGAGAGCGCAAAAGCACCGCCTTCTCCTTCTTTAACAACCCGCAGAGGTGGACAAGAGAGAGAGAAAGAAAAAAAAAAGAAGGAGTGATCGAGTCGTCTTGCAGCCGTCGGACACGAACAAACGACGTGTCGGAGTACATCACGCAAACAATTAAAAAAAGCCCACCGTAGAAAGTGCCACATTTACTGCAAAAACAAGAAAAAACAAGTCAGCAAAAGAGACGCCACAAATAAAGAGAGCTTTCGGGAAGCACCGGAATGCAGGGCAACGCCAGCCTACGGTGTTCTCTCCGCAGCTTGAGTCTCCCCTTCCTCACCCTTATTGAGTTCAGAAAACGACATCGGCACAAACAAGCAAAACCAGGCGCAGACAAGGAGAAACCCCCGAGAGAACCCTGATTTTCAACAAGAAGAAACGCCTCCCTCTTTCTTCTCCTCGCCCTCCCCCTTCACTGCCTTGGGCGTTCTGAACTGTGGCGACAAGCAGATGCAAACAGTTTTGTGGTTCAGCCCTGCCGCGATTCGCAAAGGGAAAATAGAAGAAGAAAAAGAGAACAATGGAAAGCGGAAAAGCAAACAAAAGGAGATATCAGCAACAAAGACAACAGCAATGGAGCGCGCGTGCACGCAGGAGAAGCATACGTATCTACTGCGAAAAAAGAAAGTAATAATGATAATAAAGAGAAAGAGAAAAAGAAATGAAGAAGAAAGAAGGGGGAAGAGCACTTCTCAAAAAGCACGTACAGAACCACTTCCTTGCTGACATATGAAAAAAAAAAACCACCTGCTTGGCAGCCACGTGCTCCTCTACTCAAACATGCGGTAGTCCTGCATCACCTTCTGCGATGGGCGGTACACATGAAGGCCATTGGTGGTGTCTGCGGAGGCCAGCAGCCAGTCCTCCGTCTTGACGCTGTTCCACGAGGCGTCCGTCACGCGGCCGACGTGGCCCATGTGCACAAATGCTACCTCCGGCGGCGCCACCCCGTCCTCTGAGTAGGCGAGGGGCAACGAAGTCTTCGCCAAGTCCCACAGAACGACGCGGCCGTCGTCGCCGTAGCTCGCCAGCACCGTCTCCTTCGACGGCGACCACTGCAGTCCCATCACGGACCTGCCGTGGTAATTCAACGCGGCGACCGGGTCCGCCGTGCGGCGGATATCCCAGAGATGAACGCTGCCTTCCGCGCCGGCGGTGGCCAGCTGGAAGGCGCCGACAGGGTGGAACTGCGCGGCCGTCGCACCGTTTGGATGGGCCGAGTGGATGGTGCTGCTGCCGGCGCTCATGCGAATATCCCAAATGCGCACATCGCCGTCCATGCTGGAGGAGGCCAAGAGGTGGCTCTGCGACGAGTGCCACGAGCAGTCCGTCACGATATCGCGGTGGCCGACAAGGCGCTCAATCGGTTGCGTCTCTGGGCCCGTGAGCTCGGGGTCCATCGCGGTGTTCTGCTGCAAGTCGATGGTCAGGCGGTGGCTGATGTCGTAGTAATTGACGTAGCCGTCGTCGGAGGCGCTGGCGATGTAGCCGGGCTTGAGCGTGTTCCAGCTCAGCCCAAAGCCGCCACGGCTGTGTCCGCGCAGAAGGGCATCCGGCACGGTGCGGCCGGCGGCGTCCTCCTGCAGCTCCTGCACCGTGTTGTAGACACCGACAAAGCCCGACGCCGTCTTCACCGCGAGGATGTTCGTCTCCGCCGGCATTGCGCGTATCTTCAGCACCGGCGCGTCCATCGTGAGGGTCTGCTCGCAGTGGAAGTGGCCCTTCACGTTCACGAAGCGCTTGCCAGGATCGACGAACTCCTGCAGCTCCGGGTCGTCGGCCTCCGCGCCATGAATGTCGTCGTCGCCGTAGAGGCCGTACATGACGTCCTTCATCGTCGGCACCGGCACGGCCACCTCCATCACCTTCACCGTATTTGGCGTCCCACTTGACGGGTGCACCTGCGTCCCGACGGCGATGTACTGCAGCGTGTAGTCCCGCTCTGGGTCGCTGAAGGCGCGATCGGGAATCCACTCGATCGCCAGCGCCGGCCACTCCACCACCTGCGTGCAGCAGAACTCGTAGAGGTGCGGTGCCTCCGTCTCGAAGGCGCGCTGCAGGGCCAGCATGCGGGGCAGCGCCGCGGCGGCCAGTCGCTGACCGTCGCGGGTACGGCGCGGCCGGGTCGAGTCACGCGCGGCGGAGGGCGCTACGCCGGTCAGTCCACTCGAAGGACGGGTCGTAGCCGCAGAGCCCCTTCGATTTTCACTTTCCGCCTCACCCTCTTCCGCACCCTCCGTGTTCCCGAAGACGCCGCCGTGTTCGTCGTCCGCGTCCTCGTCGCCCTCTCCGTCGCTCCCGTCCTGGTGGCGGTGACGACGTGTGCCAACGTTGCTGTCGCCAAACGGAGCCGCGTCGCCGTCGCCCAACTTGCGCATCCGCCCTTCTTCTCTGCCGCGGGAGGCGACACCCGGCGCACCCGCGTTACCGTTTACGGTGCCGGCGGCGGCAGCGGTGTTCCTGCCTACCCCTCCCGCTGCCGCCGCGTGCGACGACGTGTCATCCGACGACTTCTTTGCGGACGTGTCGATCAGACCGTCCATGGCGCTGTCGTGCGCCTTGTCGAACGAGCTGCTTCCGCTGCGCGGGGCAGCGGTGGGGGTCGGGACGGCGGCCGCCTCGTCGTTGATCGTCTCGCCGCGACGCAGCCGCGCGAGGGCCTGCGAGCGCGTCACGCGGGTCGCTGCCGGAGGCACCGCGGGACGGGCTGAGGCATCAAAGGGGTCGTTGTGCGCCGGTGGTGGGACTGCTTCCAAGAAGGCGCGCTCCTCTCCGCCGCTGATTGAGTCGTCGGTGCTCATCTTGAAGACCGCGCTATTTGAGGAAGGGATTTAAAGGGAAAAAAAAGTTAGGTCGCACGACAGAGGTTGGAGATGACTTGTCAGAAAAATGTGAGTCAGCCACACAAAGACGTGCGCCACGTCTACAAGGAAAGAAGAGTAAATCGTAAAGCAACCGGAGGAAAGCACGAAAGTAAAAGTTTACGTTGATGCGTCAATGATAAAGGGAAGAGAGAAAAACGAATCAAAAGGGCACGAAAGAAAAAAAGAAGGCTGTTCACTGATGCAATCAGTTACTTCTGCGAATGCGTTTGTCTATATAAAAATATATTGATGTAGATGCATACGCGCTACGTTGATGTCCAGCATCTAGTGCGTAATACGGACTAGAAAGAAAAAATGAGGGAGCAGCAGAGACGAAGTTGAAACGACGAGTTCTGTGAGTCCTGTCATCGAGTGTCCTCCAGCTTGTCGGGTGGCGTGCACAAGACGACGGTGTTCCGTACGCCTCCTCACGTTGGCTAAGAAGCAAAGAGGCGATTCATGTTTGATCGTGGCACCAGGAATGAGGGAAAGGGATTAAAAGAACCTCCCTCAAACCACACGTTAATCGACTAGCCAGTAGAAGCAGTTTTCTTTTCAAAGCATTCAGATACAATGTGAGCAATGGTGAAAATGGAACTGGATCTGGTGTCGCCTTGCATTGGATTCTATGTAGATGGTTCTATACGGGTGTGACCACGATGATGTACGCTAGTGCGTTGCGGGCCAGGTCCGCAAACTCTGTGCGTTGAAGAAGAAACAGAACCTGTCCCTTCCAAAGGGCGCACCGGAAAAGCCAGCCGAACAAAGGACAGCAGACACGTCAACAATGAAAAAAGGGAAATCGCGCGAATGACGTAGCCTCTTTTTCTTCTCCTCCCTTCCCTCCCAAGGCCTCCCGCGCCTCAACTACCACGGCGTCATCTCCACAACCCCACAACGCCTACATGAACGACTCCTTCGAAAAGAGTCTCTTCCATTATTCACCACCCGCTCGCTTCGAAGGTGCTCGGGGACGACGCGGTGTCATCGCCTTTCCCGTCCCGCCAGCCCGCCCGCCAGCCCCGCTGCTGCTGCTGCTGTGAGGATGGACAGCAGCAGCAGCAGCGGCAGCAGTGGCGACGGCGGTGGAGCTGGGCTGCGGAAAGACGGTAGCGGCGGATGCGCTGCCGCTGCGCAGCTGCGTCGGCACCGCAGGCCTCGAGCGATGCTGCGAGAAGAACTTGTTGAAGTCTAATCGTCCCCACAGCGCACGCTCCCACTGACGGCCGCCGAGGCCAAGGTGCCCGGTGAAGACGGCGACGACGTCCTGCTGCACACGCACCTCCAGCGCACCCAGCGTCGCCCGCACCTCGATCGGGGTCTCGTTGACGCCCGCAACGGCCCAGTACGGAATGCAGTACCGCGTGCACATCGTGTAGAGGGTGACGGCACAGGTGTTGAGCGACTGGCAGGCCTGCAGGAGCGCCTCCGAGCCGTCGGTGAGAAAGGATGCCTCGGAGACGCTCCAGATAAAGTGATCGTGCAGCCGTTTTGCTTGCTCCACACTCGCGCAGGCGGACGAGGACAGCTGCTCCTCCAGCCGTGCGGTGCACACGTTGATCACGTCGACTTGCATGTAGTAGGCGATGGTGGATTCGAGAAAGTGAAGAAGGTGAAAGACTGTGAAGGCACGGCGCAGATCAGCTGAGGGCTTCGTGTTGGTGAGGAGCGCCTCCGAGAAGCGTGTCCGGGTCACCGCCAGGGCCTGCAGTGCAAAACGAAGGGAGAGGTGAAAAGATAGGAGGCGCTGGTAGTAGTGCATCGACTTCTGCGACACAATCAGGGGTAGTCCCTGCGGGGGGACGTACTGCACATACATGGACTTCACAATGTACAGCAGATGCCTCGCCATGTCCTCCGTCGAAGCTGCTCCGTCGCCACGCCTTTGTCGGCTGGCCTGCGCGCCGGTCGTGGCGGCCAAAGTCGCGGTCAACGCCTTCGCTGTGCTGCCCTTCGTAAAGGCCGCATCCGCCTGCTCGACGCCGCTGGACGACACACGCATCGTGAATGTCTCGTACGACGGCACGTCGCGCAGGTTCGCGACGGAGAGTGCGAAGAGAAAGGCGTCGGCGGCGGCGCGCTGGAGAAAGGCATAGCGCGCCGCCGCCGCTGCAGCGAGGGAGGCGCGTGTCCGCGCATCGTCCTCCGCTCCCGCCTCATCGCCCTTCTCGTTCCCATTCTCCTCGTCTTCGTTATTGAGCGATGGAGTCCCCAGCAGATGAAAGTTGGCAGTGTCGGTGGAGGTGGTGTTCGTCTTGAGGCGCTGCGGCGGCGGCGGATTGGCATTTGCCAGGACGGGTAGAACGCGCTCCACAAAGGCGTACCAAACATCGCCGCGATGGCACAGGAAGACGTTCCGCAGTGCCGTCAGGTGCGCCAACAGCGCAGGCAGATCGCCCACCTTCATCCATAGCGCCTTCGACCACAGCGTCTTGGCCGCCTCCACGCGTGCCGCCAGCTCCTCCGTCGCCAAGACCCCGCCGTGGCAGAGCTGCACGTTGAAGATGGAGTGGAAGACGGCGTTGGCGGCCTCGTCCTGAGAGCCGAGGGCCAGTTGCTCCAGGTAGTCGCTGCCGCTCTGCACGTCCGCGTCGCGCAGCAGCACCCGTCGCTCCTTGCCGGCAGCGAGGATGAGCAGCCCGAGGTCGGTGGACACGCCACGCGGCAGGCGGTCCACATACAGCGTGTGTTCCTCCCTTGGCTGTGGAACGGGTTGGGGGCTGGGTCCCGCGCTGGGCCTGGCCGGACCCGTAAGAGATGGCGACGACGTGGCAGCCGCGTTGGACAGCCGTGTTTGCAAAGAAATGAAGTAGTCTGGCCGCGCATGCAGCACCACGCCGTGGGCGACGTAGTGCGCTGTGGTGTACAACAGCGACAGCCACACACTCTCGCCCAGCAGCCGACGAAACACGGCGGGGACCTCCTGATGATGCAGGAAGCGGTCAAGCAGCGGCAGACACACCTCGGCGCGCTGCTGCACTTCTACAATTTGTTCCAGCAGCGCGAAGGTCATGGCGTACGTGGCCGGGAGGGCGGAGAGCGCAGACGGGGTAGATGCTGCCTTCACGGCTTCGACGTAGTGCTCGAGAATCTTCTTGATGCCCTTCCCAATCGCAGCGGGGTAGAGACCTACGGTGCGACCGACTGCCACGTCCTGCGCGGCCCGCTGCAGTAGGTGATAGCTCCGCCCTAGAGGGAGCACACGCTGCAGCAGCGCCTGCTCTGTTGGGTGAAACGGCAAGGACTGGCAGTAGAGACGCAGGTGTGTCTCGGCAGCTGCCTCGCTGTCCGTCGGGAGGGCCGCACTTGGAGTAGAGGAGGAATCCAGAGCCTGCTCTAGAAGTTCCGAGTTGAAGCCGAGGAGGCAGCATTTGACTTCCTCCATTTTTCTTTTATTATTTTGTCGTGGCGATCACGCTACAACTTGCTTCCTGCGTTTGCCTATATGCGTTGAAGTGTCGTTTGTGGTCCTTCGTGTACTTGAATATTATTTGAAGAAGAAGTGTGCAAGAAACCGAAGGCAAGATGAATGGGATATTTCGAGATCGATTCAAAAGTGAAGAGGAGGAAACGCAAGTAAGTGGCCAAAAGCAGCAAATGGCAGAGAGGAGGAGAGCCGAAAAAATGCGTAGGAGTAGAAAAAAAAAGGCACTCTTCTCTCTCTTCTAGGTATCTCGCATGTACCGTCACGAGCATCTTTCGCCACGCAAAAAGGGAAGAGAAAAAGGCATCACGTGCTTTGCGCGAAACGCAGCTCACCAGCGTTGGGAATAAGGAAAAAAAAAACAGGCCGCAGCCTTTGTGAAACTACCCCCTCCCTCAACCCAGAAAGGAAGGAGAAAACCCCCTCTTTTTTGTGAGGGGAGGGGTACCCTTCCAGGTGTGTGGCTGCTGCCGTTTGTAGAACAGGAACTCACGACGCTCACGCTTTGATAATTAAAACAAGAGGAGAATTGATGGAAGTAAGCATCTTGAAGGGAAAGAGAAGAAAACAACCGTGGATATAGAGGCAAAAAGGTAAATGTGGTTTTTTTTTTCGGAATTCCAGTGGAAAGGAATTTGTTGCCGGTTTGTTTGCCTGTCTTTTTCTTTTTCCCTTCTTTCTCAGCGGCGCACTGCGCATGCGGCGAAGTTGCGAGTGCACGCTCGTCAGTGTTCTCGTCTTCCGCTGGAATGAACAGCGCAGAGACGCACTGCCGGATAGTGTAAAGCGAAACGCAAAATCCGTGAAAACAAAGAAAAACCGATGACGAGAAAGACAAGCCTAACAGAGGCGATAAAGGCGTTTAAAAGCAAAAAAAAAAGGCACGATGCCAAAGAAAACAAAATGCAGATAATAGATGCAAATAAATAAACAGAAGAACGCTTGACAGCGAGAACGAAGCGTGAAGAACGTGAAGTACGGCGTCGGTGAGCTTTTCACTTCAAAGAAACAAAGAAAATAAAAAAAAAGAAGAGAAATCGGCAAAAGTGACTGTCTGCGGTGTTTTTATATCTGCACAAGCTTTTTCTTTCGTACGGCACCGTTAGGTGCAAACGCACACGAAAGATGCGCTTAATCCAGACCGAACGTGTCCGTCTTCTCCGGGTACTGGGCGATGAAGACCATGTCGAAGTGCTTCTTCTCCTGCTTCTGCATCTGGAAGGTCCACGCAATCTCGTGCGTGTCCTCGTCCACCGTCACGGTCGCCCCCTTCACCGATGAGGGCTTGTCCCCGTCCGTCGGCACCGGCTCCTTCAGCGACACCGTCACCTCCGAGTCGTCCGAGACCGGGTAGTTGTCCTTCACCACCACCGTCACTGGACCGCTCGCGGCCAACGCGCCACACTTCACCTCGTACGCGTGGTGGAACTCCAGCTGTGACTTGCTGCCGGAGAAGAAGGCCGTCATTTCCGACTCGCCGCGACGCACAAGCGACCGGTTCACCGTCACCGTCTCATCGGCACCGAGTGAGACCTGGAACTCCTCGCCCGGCGACACGTTGCCCAGCTGAGAGTGGTTGACAAAGGTGGTGCCGTAGAACACCTTCGACGGGCCGGCGATGAACTCAAAGTCGGTGGAGTTCACGGCCGTGGCGCTCAGGTGCGTCAGCGGGTCCAGCTTCGGGATGGAGACAAACTGCAGCTTGACCGGGAAGCGCTCGTGGGCGACGGTCACCTTCACCTCCACGTTGTTGTGCCGCACCGTGGCGAGTCCGGGAATGGCGTAGACCGTCGAACTGGAGGAGCTGCCGCCACTCTCCACCTCAGCCTGTTCCAGCATCGGCGCACAGGCGGCAGCGGGCATGCCATTGGAAGCGCCTCCGCCAAAGCCTCCTGCCCTCTTCATCCTGGCGTTCCTCATCACAGCTCTGAAGGGGCGTGGCTGAGGAGGAGGGCTCAGAGAGATCTTCCACTGCGGCCACAGTGGCGGCGGTGACCCGCCCGTGTGCGGCGTGGCGGTGCTCAGACGCAGCCGCACCTTCTCCCAATCCACCGACGTGCACTGCCGCACGTTGGCGTAGTAGAAGACGTCCATCATCGCGGTGGCGTAGTCGACGCGCAGGTCGTACAGCGGCGACCACCCCGCGCCGGACACGACACACGACATCTCCAGCCGCAGCTTCGTCGCGGCGGGCACCGAGTCGGCCACCACCAGCGTCGCCTCCAGTGTGTTCTTCAGGTGCGTGCGCACGCCAGAGTCGCCGCCGAGGTCGCTCAGCTTGCGCCACGCCGCGCCGCGCCGTTTCTCGATCTCCTCCATCTCGACGTGCAGCGTGGCCGTCTTGCGCTGCGCCGCTGCCTTGCGTGAGGCAAAGAAGGTGCCGGTCGAGGACCAGTTCGCCGTGTTCTGCAGGTACTTCTGGAAGTACTTTTGGCCGCTCTCGTCATTCTGGTTCGGGACGGAAAAGGCGTTCGCGTGCACGTAGTGCTGGATCTCGTCCAGGTGCTCGCACGTCTCCTGCAGAATCTCCAGCTCCTCCTGGCAGACCGCCTTTTCCTCCTCGATCGCCTTCAACTCGTCTTGGACGCGCTGCACATCAGCGCGCACGTCCTCGGTCACTGTGTCGTGGATGGGATTGATGTTCTGAAGCAGCACGGCGGACGCGACGGCGGGATCGGTGTCGCGATCGACACGAAGCTGCAGCGTCGACCAGTCCACGTTGCCGTACCGCTCCATGTTTTCCAAGACGACCACCATCGCGGTGGACGCCTGCAGCGGCACCTGTGCCGAGAACGACAGCTGCGCGCTGTCGTTGTACACCGTCACGCCCGTCAGCTCAGGCGACAGCGTCACGCGCGGCATCTTGACAGAAAGCGGTAAAAGAAGGTGTGGAAGAAGTACTTTACTGTGTTACAAGATGGAAGGTAAGGTGCAGAGGTACTTGTGCAACACAAGCAACGTGCGTGTTGGAAAGAGAAAGGTAAAGAGAAAGCGAAACAACTGAAAGACAGAAACAAAAACAGAGGAACAAGCGCTCACAAGCCGGGTTGTGAAAATAAATGTATGAACAAGAAGTGAGAACCACAGTAGGCAGAAAAAAAAAAGAAGAAGTGAGAGTGGTTGCAGAGGAGGAGGAAGAGGAGAGGGGGTAAACACGATGCACTTGCGCTGAGATTACTCCGCGTAGTGCTCAGGCCGGTGTACCCAGCAGCGGACACCCGCCCACGTTATTTTTCTTATGCCTCTTTCAAACCTCTTTGCGTCGCAAAGAAACGTACTGGAGAGGGAGAATTCAATCCATCCACTGCCAACACCTTCAGAAGAGCAGCGTAATGCGCACAAGCAGGAGAAGACTTCTCTGTCTATACGTCTGGATACATTCGGCACATCTTGCGCGGTGTATACTTTTGCTTTCGTTTCAGATAGTTGACGCTTCCATTGCATTACCTGCTGTGATAACCGTCACTGCACCACGCAGGCGATACTGAGCGGTTGAATTGTGCGTGACACCCTGCAGGCGTCACAAAGGAAAGCCGAGCAGCCGCAATCGTGAAAGGTCCTTTACCTAAAAAAAAAAGAAGCTGCTCGGGACGCACTGTTGCACTTCCTATCGCGGACGTTTACCTTTCTTGCCAATCCCATCTCTCCTCAGAAACCAAAGAAAGTCGCCATCCGCCTCCTTCAGTTAAACTGCTCTTGGTGAAACCTATCCCGCTTCGTCGGTCCGTCCTTGATGATGCGGCCATCGAACAGCTTCGTTGCAACCTTAAACGCCAAGCACCCTGCGGGATCGCCAATCTCGCGAAAGATAGTGGTGAGCTCGTGGTCCATCATGTAATTGTACGCGGTGTGCTGCGACATCTTGCGTGTGAGGTGCACCGCGGCCTCCCAATCCAAACGATGCAGGAGACAGCGGACGAGCAGCAGGTACATGCCGGTGTTCTGCAGATACCACACAGGGTTGCTCCCCACCGATGTGGTCTTGTCGAGCAGCGCGTGCCACAGCTCCACAAAGAACTCCGAGGCGTCCGTCACTTCGCCCTCCTCTTCCCCTCTCGCGACCTCACCCAGCGCGGGGTCGAGTTGCTCAATCTCTGCGGCGGTGAAGGCACCGCGAACGCTGCCGTCGAGGTTGCGAAACTCGGCGGAGTTGTTCGCAAGCTGCGCTGCCGGGTAGGGGTTGTACACCGCGGGGTCCCACAGATACCGCGGCACGCTCGCCTCACTGCTGCCGGTGTGCGGCAACGTTGTGCGTGTACGCATCAGCGCTTGCTGCAGCTCCATCTGCGAGGCACATGAAGAAGACGGCGGGGGAATGGTGGAGCCGAAGAAGATGCGGTGCACATCGGCGAAGTCCTTCGCAACGACGGCGTCAGACCGCAGCGCAGGGAGTTGGTTGTCGTGGTAGAAGAGGTGCTTCATCGAGTCACGAGACTGCCGCGCTGAGCCGAAGAGGGCCAGCGACGTGTCACGCGCGTCCAGGTAACATGCCCACTTCGCTCGCTCCTGCAGGCCAGCGGAGGTTAGCTTCGGGTTGCGAGGGGGGTGGCGGCAGCAGAACTCGGCGAGCTGCAGAAACATGAGTTGGGTGCCGCGCGGCAGCCAACCGTGGCTGTTGGTGGCGCTGCCGGAGTCAATGGCGTGCCGCAGCACCTCCCGCGCCTCCGCTGTGGTGCGAAGGAACTGCGTTTCGTAGTTGCTGAGCTTCATGAGGTCACGGGCGGTGGCGATGGGCGGACTGCAGGACGCTGAGACGGCCGTCCACGAGTCGGCCGCGCCATCGCCGCTCGGCCCATCCGGCAACTCGCCCACCAACCGCCGTATGGCACCGCGAAGAGGTTGCTGCACCTCCCGCAGCATGGAGGCACTCGTGCGGTTCAGAAGGGTGGCCATGTCGAGGAGGTGCTGCACCGGGACGGCGAAGGGCTCACCAGCAGGGCCGCCGTCACGCTTCGCTTTATCCACGCCCACATGCGAGGACGACGGCGAAGACGACGATGGCACGGTAGCCGCGTCTACTGACCGAACGAAACCAGAATCCTGCTGCTGAAGCTTTTGCTCCTGCAGCTCCTGCTCACGAATGCTACGGACCAACATCTGCACGGCTCCTAGGTCATCTCTCGCGGTGCTGCTCACCAGACTGAGAACGTGCAGCAAGTGTCCTGCGTTGTAGCGGTGCGCACCGACGCCATCACGCATCAGCGGACGCAGCGCGCTCAACAGAAGCTCCTCCATGTCGTTTGTTTGCGCGTTCATAAGTGGAAAGGGAACGACCGCCGTCAAGACACCGTCGCCGCCCACGGCGGTAAGAGAGCGCCGCATGGCGGCAACCAGCGATACAAAATGGTCGTGCGCAGAAGAGGCACCACCTGCGCTGTGGCTGCCGCTGCCTGCACTTTCGGTCGCCGCGGACAGCTCCTTGAAGCTCACCTCGTCCAGCAACGAAAGCCGGTCCAGCACCGCCTGTACGCTTACGTGGCCCGGGGCAAAGCCCTCGAAGTGGCCAAACAACATGCAGAGACGCGGGAACTGCTCTGCGTGGATCACCGTCGTGCTCAGAACGTTGAGCACATCCCAGTCACTCAGCTCCACGCCCAAGGCACTTATCCACAACGCCACCAAGAAGCACGAGGCGACTGCGTCGGCGTGTTGGGCAGTGGACAGGTGATGAAGGAGAGACGAGAGCAGCGGCGCACTTTGCGTTTGGAAATGGGACCTCTCCATGCTGCTTTCTGTCGGAGACGATACTGCCGCTTCTTGTGCCTCACGCGCACGCCGCCCTTCCTCGTTATGGCTGTACATGGCAGTGGTGGCCCCTTCCGAGCCGGCCTCTTCAGCCATCACCTGGCCGCCGAATGCTTCTTGCGCCAGTCCGACCAGTTGGAGAATGCGGGCCTGCGTGTCTGGTGGCGACAGCACATGAATGCAGTCTGCCATGCGCGCGTACGTCTCGAGCGTCATGGTGCCGCTCTGCACCATCACCTCCAGCAGCTGCAGCGCATTGTGCATGTCTCGATGGTGGTTGAAATTGCGCAAGAGAGCGTGGAAATGAAAAGGAGTCAGCTCCTGTCCCAGGTGCTCTCGGATGTACTGCAGCGTGGCGCTCAAGTCTTCGGTGTTGTGACAACTTACGAAGGTGGCCACGAGCGCGTTAGCATCGTACAGGCTCAGCGAAGGCAATGGAGAAGCGCCGTCGTCTTTGGCCGCTGTGTCGGCCTCGCCAGGTGGAGATGGCGAACGGCCGTCATTGGCGCCTTCCTGCAATGCAGCGTTCAGCTTCTCTTTGGCGGCGTTGTGCGCGCGCTCGCGGTATCGCGGCTGCCACCAGTCGCCGATGACGCGCTGGTTCAGCACGTAACTGCCGCACACACGTGAAGACAGGCGCAGCATGCGCGGCAATATATAAAAAAAAAAGAGAGAGAAAGACTGAATGGTTTTGATTAACAGGGCTGAGTATTTAACTAATAGCTGCCCGTGTTTTTTTGTGTAAGAGAAGCTCCTCCGTCGCGCTCCGCTGTTACTATAACCGTCGCTTTCCACTAGGCGCCTTTCCAATGGGCTCCAGTCTTCTACTTCTTCCTTTCTCTCCTGAAAGACGCCGCGTGAGGGGTGCACTCTCATGCTTTGAAAAGAACGACGATCATCCGAAAATTTAGAAAAAGAGAAGCGGTTGTGAACCGCAGATCGTAAAAGCCAAAAGAAACAGCAGAAAAAAAAAGGAAGTCGTTAGAGAAAAAGCAGGGCCTATCACAAGTGAGTGAGATGTGCTCACCCCGTTACTCTGAATAACGAGTCATCTCGATACACATATATATACTATTTCTCTGTTTTTTAAGGTGAGGTCAGGCACGTTAGGGTGCCTCTCAGCACGTTGGTCTGCATTTTCTTGTAGAAAGACCGGTGTAGAGAGAGAGACTCATCACAGACCATTTGTGGCTTCGAGCGCAAAGGTGGAAGAACGCGAGAGTTTTCGTAGTTATTATTGAATTAAAAAGCCACAACCCCTTTTGAGTTGCGCTGCCGCAATGCTTTCCCTTCTCAGTTGTTTCGCTCCTTCGCTGTTGTCAGCGAGGGCTCACGGACGAGAGCGCAACACCACGTAGAACAAAGCCAAACGTAGGGGTAAAAAGTGCCATAATAATAATAATAGTAATAGAGAGGACATCGACGAGCAGAAGAAACAACAGTCGGCGCACACGCACACACACGCACACACCTTTTAAAAATCACTCACTAGCTCGCTCTTCTCGGGCGTTGCCGTATCACGTGTTATTCGCAACTAGCTGTACTCGAAGGTGCCGGTTTCCTCGATGGCCGCGATGATCTTCGCCCGCGCCGTGGCGTAATCACGGTAGGGCGGCAGCTTCAGCGTGGAGAAACATGTCGAGGCGGAGGGCAGATGATCTTCGCCCGACACATTCGCCGACAGCAGCTGCAGTTTGAAGGGCGGGGAAAGAAACCTAAAGCCGAGCAGCGGGGGACGCGTCATGGAGGTGGCGAACTTCAACAGCTGGCTCTGCTGCTTGCGTGTGAGGGATTCGACGACGTCCCAGAAGAGACGCGCCTGCGGCTTTGCGGCGTCCTCGGCGCCGTCGTACACCGTATTCTCCTTCCAGTCCTGCAGATCGATCTCGCCGCTCTCGTCACCCCCAAAGAGCTTGCCGACCTCATTGCTGTCAAAAAGCAGCAGGCGATTCGAGTCTAGGACGGAGTGCAGCCCAGCACAGAACGCCCGCGTCTGATCGGCCGCCTCGCGGTTCAGCTTGAAGTCCGCCACGAGATGGACGTAGTAGAGACAGTTGCGCGGCGTCACCTCCATCTGCGCGCCGCCGCGCACAAGCTCCACATCCTTCGTCACCCCAAGCAAGTTGACGGTGTACACAAAAGTTAGCCCGACGGCCTGCAACTCCTCCTCGCCGAGCTGCGTGAGGGACATGAGTTGGTGGTACAGTTCGGCGTCAAAGCCCTTCAGGTTGTTCAGCGTGTTACGGCGACCCAGGATCGCGTTGCGGAAGTGCTGGGCAAACGGTACGTCCTGCAGCACACCATCGCGCAGGGCCCGGCCGACCATGGCCCCTAAAAAGCGGATCTTCTGTAAATGCTGCGGGTCGCCCGTGGCGATGGCGCTGAAGGAGTTGGGGAAGACGTAGCCGTCCGCGGTCTGTCGAAACAGCCCGTACTCGGCCGCAAAGCCCTCCTTGCACAGCGTCACGATGCACTCGCGGTAGACGCCGCGGCCGTAGCCGGCCTCCATCGTGCCGTCCTCGGAAGCAAAGCGAATGTTATACACGTTAGAGCTCATGGGGTTGGCGTGAAAGAGGTCGTAGATGTCGGCAAAGACGCGGCCGCGGTGCACCACGGTGGGGCGGTCGGACGGGGGCGTCCACTGATCCTCCTGCGACGCCAGCAGCGCCGACATCAGCAGCGCCCGCGCCCGAAAGGGTAGGAGGAACGGCGTGTGCACCAGCAGTTTGATGTAGCGCACTTTGGTGTCCCAATTTCGGCTGCCGTGGAACATGAGGTCGTCGCCCGGGAGTCGCGAGAGCACCACGGCGCCAGCGGCGGCGGAGTCGCCTGTGCTGCCCAGTCCCCTACTGCGACCTGCAGCAGCAGCAGCGGCGGCTGTAGAGGCAGTGATGCTCGTCGCGACAGGGGCCGCGTACTCGCCTGCGGCAACCTCCTCCTCGACCGCTGCCTTCTCCTCGTCCACGACGGCGGCGCTCGCCTCATCCCAGCGCGGCACGAGCGAGACGACGGCACTCTCGGCGGCCACCATGCCCACCGACATCCACAGCCCGTCCGCGCCCGCCGGCACAAAAGGGTCTGCCTCGTTCACGATATGCAGGCGACTGAGCAGCAGACACGCCGCGTGCGCCACCGCCTCGCCGTTGGAGTCCGGCACGACACCGTACAAGTGGGCACGGTGCACCACCTCCTTTAGGGCCAAGATCAGCGCGCAGGACTCCTCGACGGAGAAGACGGCGGTGTCGCCGCCGCGGCGCAGCTCATCGGCAAAGTCGCAGACGTTCACGTAGTGGGCCAGCAAGGTGAAGAAGAAGATGGAGAGCGACGGGTGAGGGTCGTAGAAGGACATGGGGTAGCGCGGGTGCGTCTCCCACGTCGGCAGGCGGGGCAGAGAGGCGAGGAGCGGCTCCGTGGCTGCCGCGGCCGGTACGCGCCGCCCGTGGGCCCCCCGCTGCTGCTTTGGCGCCGGAGCAGACGCTCTCTCCTCAGCCCCCCAGACCGGACGGGCGCACAGCTTCTGCAGCACCGGCCCGGGTGGCAGCACCGCCCGCAGACCCTCGCAGCTCTGCCAATACAGACTCCACAGGCGGCGCAGGAGCTGCGGGGTGCGCACGAGCTTCGCACACAGCGCGAGCGTCTCCTGCTGGTAACGGGAGTAGTCCGGCTTGGAAAAGGTGAAGAGGGGCCAGGCGAAGACGTTGCATAGAATTTCCAGCGGGCTCTGCTGTGCTAACGCAGACGTGGGCCACGCCACCGCGGGTCCGATGCTTGCACTGGTGACGGTGACGGGGCTCGCAGGTGTGGGGGAATGGGTCGTGTGGGGGCTGGACGGAGTCGCCGCAGAAACCCCAGGAGCCGCAGAAGCGGTTTCCGCACTGCTCAGAGTTTCCTCGTTTTCTCCTGTGGGAGGGGCGTCTGCGAGGGGTGCGGAGGCGTCAGACGGCGCCTCCACCGTTGGCTTCTCCACCGCCTGCAGCCGCAGCTGCTCCCTCGCCTCGTCCTCTGCAGTCAGCAGTTGCATGAGGCGTAGTCCGCCTTCCGTGCTGAAGAGATACGACGACAACAGACGATACTGACTACGAGGCAGATTCTGAGCCGCTGTTGTCGCCGTGGTGGTGGCAACGGTGGCCGCATCCGCGAGCGTCGCGTGTTTCTGGCCGGTGTTGTAGGCGTAATGGTCAGCGAGGATGCTTTCAATGAAAAACGGCTCGCGGCACAGGCGTTCGCTGAGGCAGCTGACACTCAACAGATAGCGCTTCAGGACATCAGCGGCGTAGGGAGCCGTGGATTTCACCAGCTGTTGCACGTGTGGCAGCAGACGCACCAGACGGCCCAGCACACGAGCACTCAGCGGGCCGCCGCGAATCCCGTTCACCTCCTCGCCGGAGGTCAACCGCGTGTCGAGGGCGATGCGTGCATAGCACTCTCCGATCAGCACGGCACAGCACGCGTCAGACCCGCACGACGCACGACCGCCATCCCCACCTGCCGCCGCGTCTCCGTCAAACAGCGCGGCCTCTTCAGCATTCAGCAGGACAACGAGGGGATTCGTGGTGAGGAGCAGGTGCTCATCCGCGCTGAATGCGGCGCACATGCACCGCCAACACACTCGCGCGAAAGCGGAAGACGACTCCGCCATTGTCGGTGGAAACGAAGACGCCGCAGCCTCATTTGCTGTTGCCAAAAGTGGAATGGATGGTGGGGCAGGGAAAGCGTTCAAGAGAGGCTGCAGTGCCGCTGTGTATTCCTGCCGGATCCACTCCTGTGACAGCGCGGGCTCTTGGGAGGCTAATTCAAGAGCCATCGTCAATGCCTGGATTGCAGGCCAGCGGTCAACGTAGGACGGAGAAGAAGGAATCAAAGAAAAACACGGCGTGCTCGCACCGCTGCCACCCTCTTTCTCCTCTTCCTCGTTTACGCCAGCACGGTACGCAGCATTGCGAGCCGCAACGGCGTCTACAACCGATCCAATGAGAGCTCTGAAAAACCTTTCGTTTCTACTGATAGTGTCGCTACCGCCGCTCTGTACGCTGCCAGCGGCCGGCGCGACCGTTTCTCCTCTGTGCCGTACCACGACATCCGGTAGTTGTTGAAGAAGGACGTACAAGAGAATCGACACATCTTTGGTGCTGAGTGACGAGAGCAGGTGCTGCCACAGCGGTGCTGGTGCATCCAGCACTTCACCACGACTCGCCCCCGGAGCACAGGAGCGCAGCGCCGTGCACACGATGCCGCCATACTGCTGCAGCACCTGCAGCTGATGTGCCTGCACCTCCGCTAGACCTTTAAAAGTCACAGGCGAACGCAGCTTAGCCGTTTCTCTCCACACACTTTCCTCTTCGTCGCTGTCGAGGGACGTGTGTAGCGCGGTGGATCCGTGAACGGGAATCCGTGACGGGTGTGCCACCGCATAGGAAAAGAACCAGCAGGCGGTGTGTAGGCGGGCCGTGAGCTCCGCTTCAAGGCCGCTCGCGGGTCTCGCCGCAGCAGCAGCACCCGATGTCGCTGAGGCGAGGAGCCTCGCAAGGTCAGAGGGGAGCTGGCGGATGTTCTTCAGTGCCAGACGCATCACCTTCAGACCGGCGAGCCACTGACGCATAACGCGTTGCAGGCGCTGGGCAGCCCGCGTGCGCCGCGCCTCCTCCTCTCGCCGCAGTCGCTGGCGATGCGCATCTTCGATGATGCTCGTGCGGGATTTGTGGTGGTCTTGTGCGAACGTCACATTGCGCATACGGCTCGTGCCGTTGAAGATGAACTGACTCATAATAATTACCAACGTTGTTTCGTCTTTCTGCTTTCGCTTGGGCAGCCACCTCCTTGAGAACTCTTGAGCCTTTCTGCTGTTGCCGTTGATGTAAGCGGAGCCAGGAAGATGAGAGTGAGACGACTGGGAAATGCGACGGGGGGGGACTGTGCCTTCCACACAACGATACGGAACGGCGGAGTCGACCGTAGCCGATGGTGATCTGCGCCGCTGCTCAGGATGCCTTCGCCGGTCTGGAAGTAAACGGCTCAATAATTGTAATAGTAATAAGCAGGGTTTCGAAGAAAAGAAAAGGGAGAAACAAAAACGTCGGTTTTCGGCCGGTGAAAGATGAAAAGCACACGATTTGTGCACAGTAAAAAAAAAGGGGGGGGTAAGAAGCGTGTCTGCGTAAGCTCCGTCCTGCTTTCAGTGGAGCAGCGTTCCCCAAACACGGTGAGGAGAACAAATACACAGAATGAACAGTCGCTTCCGCGGCGGGAGAGAAAAGAAATGCTACGCAATAGATAAATACCTTCTTCTTTTTTTTCCGCTTACGCGTGCGTGTATGACGCGGAGGTACCCCACTTTTCTATTAAGGAGGTTGGATGGAAATAGGAATAGTGCCGATTTCTTTTAAAAAAGAAAAAGGAGGAGGTAATCTATTTGAGCAACGAGTTAAAAAAGAAAAGAGAAAAATGCAGACGGAGGAAGAAGACGGAAAGGAAAAAGAATTGCTGCCGGCGCTCGCTACAAAACTGTCGCATAAGCGTTGGTTGATTGCTGCTGTTGTGGTTTTTTGCGCTGAGCGAAGGAACGCGCCAACGACCTTCGCGCAACGCACTAAGTGTGCTCCATCAACGCAAAAATAGCCGCCGTGTTCGTTCATCCTCTGCGCCCGTGGCTGATCATGTGCGGACACAGCTGCACGAACCTGGTGTTTGTTCTTTTTTATTTAAGTGGTGGTGGTGGTGCGTCTGCTTTGCTCTAGGCAGAAACACGAAATATATATATATAACCACTAATAGACGGATCAAAACAGAACGATGAAATACCAAGGGGAAAGGGTCAACAAGAAAGAGGGCCGCCTAGCAGCGCGTCATGCATCTGCAAAAGCCGCTGTTCATCCCGCTCCCAGCAGCGTCGTCTATCGAAAGAGAAGCATAAGTGAAGAAACCATAAACCCACAAAAAGCGACGGACACAACGGGGGAGCAAAACAACAACAAAAGGTCCATCGAAGAGTGGGCGATGGTGAACCTCTAAGTGGATCGTAATGGCGGTGCCCGGCAACGCCTCACATTCACGGAAACCTTTACTTGTCGAGGTGAAAAAAAAAACCCGATAACGGCAGTATGTCAAAGAGAAGGGCAAGGCACATCTAAAGAAAACTGAGAAACAAGAACAGATCTATTAAGGTCGCCAAGTGGTGTTCACTGAGAAAACGCCGCCGCAGAGGGGAAAGAGCCGGAGGGAAGACCGCACTATTACAGAGGACAAAGAGAGGAACACCTGCCGAGTAACGCAAAGATCATAGGTATATATGTGTGTAGAAAACTCTGAGTACTTTCCACAGTTGATCTCGCCTTCTTCGACTCCCACAATCTTTCCTCACACCTCACCGACATCGCGGCGTCGTTTGTCGGCAGCGTTCGCGTAAGCCAGCATGCCCTGTTACTTGATTGTTTGCCTGTTTGTTCTTTTCCCCTTTGCGTTACGCGGACGCGTGCGGTACGCGGAGAGCCGAGAGGGCGATATCATCGATCCACAAGCAATACCGATGCAGCCCTTCCTGCTCACCGTACAGCTCGTAAAAGCACTCCCGCACACGGTGCAAGTCACTTCGCTGCAGCGCGGCCGGATTCTTCTCATGCTGCTCAATCATCTCCAGCAGCTGACGGCGACGCGCCGGGTGGAGGGGGGAGGTGTTGGAGGTCGGCGTGGCCGCCTTCGCCGAGCCGCGCGGCGACGAGTACGTGCGCAGCTGCGGCGGCACCTCACTCACCGAGTTCACCGATGGCCCTGCACGCGGAGTGCGAGACCCGTGAGGGGCACGCGAGGCACGCGAGGAGCGGGGGGTGACCGGGGTGTCGGCCTCCTCGTGCATCTCCTCCGCCACCCCGGAGAGGGCGGGGACGACGAGAACGGTGTGCGTTGGGTCCCGCAGCGGCGACGACGTCCGCTTCGGCGACAAGAGACGGGCGTACGGCGACTGCAGGTCATTCAGGCTGCCCGTTGGCACGGACTGCCGCACAACCGTGTCGGGGTGAAGGGCGCGCGCCTGCTGCTGATTGCGCGACGACGTAAGCGACGGCGCACTGCCGACGGAGCCGCGCAGAGGATTCAGCGTGCTGCTCGCGCGCGTCCAGCTGCGTTGACTCTCCGGCGCTGGCGATGCCCGCATGGCGCTCTCGCTGTCGTGGCCCGGACGGATCGCCGGACTGCCGCGTTGCACCGCGCCACCGCCGATAAGCGGCACGTACGGGCTGCGGTCATTGGCAGTAGCAGCAGCAGCAGCGCTATCACTGTTGTTTTTGTGATTGCTGCTCGGTGATGCATCAGCGGACTGCGGAGGTTGATTGGGGGACGCCGGCGCGCCGTGCCCCCTCGCGGATGCAGATCGCTGCCCGCGTGGGGTAGCCGGCGGAGAGCCGCGGCGAGACGCGATGCTGCCTTGGCTACGCGCACGGCTGGCCTTGGCACTGTCCGTCTGTGGCGTTGAGCCGGCGCGGGTGCGATAGGTGCGCATGCCCTCCGGCTGTTCCCCCTTCAGCAGCCGGTCCACGCGCTTCCGCAGCTGCTTCGCTTCGGTCGTCAGGTCCGTTAAGGTCTGCTCATAGCAGCCGCAGTACTCATTCCACGCGTCGAGGTCGCCACGGCCGCCGGTCTTGGTGGGCGGCACCTCCTTCCGCGTCTGCAGCAGCAGCGAGCGCGCATCGGCCAGCTTTTGCAGGTGGGTCTTGAGGCTGCCAGCGGCACGCTCCAGGAAACCGTGATCCTGCGCGCGAAGGGGGGCGGGGCGGCCACCGGTGCGGAGGGGCTTGTCGCGGTAGATCTCCGCCACCGTCACGCGCTGCTCCCACGTGGTGAGAGTCGCGGCGTGGTCTGCCATTACGGTGTACACGTAGCGCTTCACGTCTTCCTGCGTGGTGGCCACTGGGGCGGCGGCTGTGTCGGGTCGGTCGGGAGATGCCGAGACGGTTGTGTTCACCGGCCCGGATGGGTTCGATGCATCGCGGTTTAACACCGCCACCGTCGCCGAGTGCCGGCGGCCATGTGCGGAGGCGCGGTAAAGGTGGTCTTGTCTGTCGTCATGTGGATGCTGACGATGACGACGATGAGGAGGATCAGTTTCCGCGTTAGGGTCGGCGGACTCCGCCCTGGATCCATCGAGCTTCTCGTCTGCCGGGCGGCCAGGAGAAAGGGAGTACGGGTGTTTGATCGAGTCGCGGCGGCGCAGTGGCGCCACGCCTGACGGAGCCTCGACCACATCCGGACTGCCCACACGGGGGCCCCGCACCTTGGCAAACGGCGCACTCACGCTGTTCTCGCCGTCGCGCCTGTTACCACCGTTGCGGCCAGCACTGGGGCGCGGGCTGCTGGTCGTGCTGCTGCGCGGCGGTGGCTGCTGCGTGACCGAGCGTGCGCCATCCGCGCTGGTGCGTGGCGCATCTTCTCTGGAGGAGGCGTAGTCCGGTGAGGAAGACGCCTCGCGGATGCCGGAGAGATCAATGAATTGGTTTCGCTCCTCCATTTGAGCAGACGAGGTTGCCTCCTCTCACGTGTGCAGCCCCCAGTCCTCTCTCTCTTCGGCGGCTACTTTTCGCACTTTTCTTCCGTTGTTGGGCGACAAGACGGCACAGGAATAGGAACCGACTACGTGGATGCAATACTCACATAGACAACTACAAATAAATAAATAAAATGTAATGTAGTTCTAATGAAAACACAGTAACACGAACCGGAAAAGGCTGGAGGAGAATAATTGCTATGGGGGCCAAGTTGCGAATACCTTCTCATCAAAAGACAGAAAGTACTGTAGAGGAAAAAAAGGAAAGAAGCAGATTCAACTATCAGCAATAGAAAGCAGCGATTATGCAACTTTCCCCACAGATTGCACAAGTCGTTCAAGCACTGTACAGGTTCGCCCAAGCACACACAGAAATGCATCTATAAGATACCGCGTGTACGACCTTTTCTACTGTTTCAAAGCAGACGGATAGCACGTAAACTGAATGGCTGAGAGGGAAAAACGAAAAGGGCAGCGCAACGCGTCGACAAAAAAAAAAACCGAAGAGGAAGAGAGGCGTGGAGCAGGAAGTGGGACGCTCTAATCGCGTAAAGATTCTGTTGAAAATGTAGAGAACAGTTTGGGTTTTCGCTTCGCAGTAGAGCTTTTCTGCTGCGGGGGGGGGGGATTTAGCGGTAATTTAGGTGCGCGCGGGCAGGTAGCCTCACCTCTTGAATGACATTCGAAGCGGTGTGAGTCGCGTTACCCCGTCCCACAGCCATACATGTTACAATTACCAAGAGAAAAAAAGAAAAGAGTTCGACGAAGATCGTTTAAAAAAAATCAGTGCGCAGACGAGACGAGTTCCATCCCGTGCATCGTGCATCTTTGACGATCAGCATATCAGATTGTGAAAACATTTTAAAAAAGGAAAGGCAGTCAACGACACAACGTGCTGCGGTACAGACTATATAAGAAAAATGAAGGAGACGGTGACACAGCGAAGTCATCTAAATAAATAAAAAGAAGAAGAGGAGACAAACGCGAATAAGGCACTAGGAACGCAACAACGGTCCCCCGTTCCGAATTTCAACGAAAGCAACGAAAACACCAAAGAGGGGAGAGTTAATGTGAGAGATATTCGAGAGGCATCTGCTCCTTCCTTCCTTTCTCTCTATTCTTTCTTTTGGTGGTCAGCACCATTCGCTTGGTCCACTTTACACTGAAAAGGAAAGTGGACACCAGAGCTGACTTACCGGTGCCCTCGCCCGAAAAGACGTGATCTACGCAGAAGCACACCGCCTGCACGGCTTCCTACCCCCTCCCCACCCCCCACCAGTAAGGTAAAGGCTCACTTGACATGCACTGCACTCTGCGTCCCACAAGCACACACACACACGCACAGACAAACAAACAAGAGACCAGCTTGGTGATTTCTAGCCGTTCGTTCTGCGTTGGGCAAACGAACACGACGCATCTACACGCTGCCCCGCACCTCCTTGATGGCCTCCGCATCGGTCGGGAGTTGTTGGATGTTGTGGTTGATCACGTACGTGGCGGCGCGGGCCCCCATCTGGCAGCAGTACTCCAGGTGGTTGGGGTCCGCCACGAAGGCGGCAAGGAAGCCACCGGCAAACGCATCCCCCGCGCCCGTCGTCTTCAGCTTGTCCTTGGTGGGCGTCTTGGGCAGCACCGCTACTTCCTTCACAAGCCCTTCACCAGTGGCGTAGACAATCGGCTTCAGACCGCGTGTCATGACTACGAGACGGACGCTGTGTCTGTCGTACATCATCTCCGTCGCAATCTTCTTGACCAACTCCAGGTCGGTCATATCTGTCGGCACCCACTGCAGCATCATCGCCAAGTCCGACATCTCCTCTTCGTTTCCGATGATGATGTCCAGCTTCTCCAAGACATCCACCAGGTCTTCGCCGAACTCCTCGAGCACTTTCCGGTTCGACAGCCCCATCGCGGTGAGCTGCTTCGCACCGTTGGGCAGACGGCGCGCACGCGCGCTCGCCATCAACCGCAGAGTCTGCTGAACCCGGCACACGTTTGCGTAAGCGGTGGTGTAGATGATGCTCGCGGAGCATTGACCTTGTTCCACCGTCGCGGAGGCGATGAAGTCGTCGCTGAGAGCGCTGGCTGACGAGACGTTCGCGATCAGCGTGCGCGCGTCACCGACTTTGCAGACGGCGCAGAGACCGCTGGGCAGGGTGTTGCTCACCTCGAGCTCCATCGTCACACCGTCCTCCACGGCCGACGCGCGTATCGTCTCCCCGTACTTGTCTTTGCCGATGCAGCCCACATACATGACGTGTCCGGTTGTTTTGGACAGCACGTGTTGCCACATCCACTGCGCCACACGGGCCGTGTGCAGCCCTGAACCGCCAGGACAGGCGTGAAGCGAGCTGTGCTTCAAGATTGTCTCGAAGAGCGGGCGGTAGCGCGGGGTGTAGACGTAGGCGCAGTCCTTCTCGAGTTCGTACTCCTTCAAGAAGTCCTCGTCCACGTCCACTATTACGTCCAGCAGTGGGTTGCACTGCACATACAGCGGAATGGTTTCGTCACCGCCGGACATGGTCGCTAGCAAATGTATCGAAAAAGAGAATAGTAAAGTAGTGTAGTTCGCCAACAAACTCTCCCAAGCAGGCTTGATTTTTTTGATGGACAGAAAATGCCTTGGGAGGTGCCTGACGGATGCAAGGTTGAGCAATGATGAGTCCAACGCGAGGAGGGTCCAGCTAGAAGAAAGGAAAAGAAAAAAACGCTGACTTTGAAAAGGGGAAAAAAAAGAGAGACTGGAGCCTCGGTGAGTCCGCTGCGTACTTTCGAATCGCCTACAACGCGTGTGCCCTTCGAGGGAAAGGCGAAAATGTACTCGTACACACCAGAGAAGGAGTACGGTCCGATAAAGTGTCGGTCCGAAAGCACTTGTTTCAGATCACCGTTTTCCGAAGGCTGTTGTTCAGCGAAACTTACGGTCGAGCGGTTCCCTTGCCGAAATCGTACACGGGCCCTATTGCCTTGTTCAAAACCTTTTCTGTAGTCGTGAAACACAAAATAAATAAAAACACAAGAGGGAAGAAAGGCGAATAGTAAATATGAGAGAGAAAAAAACGGGGAAGAAAGGCGAAGGAAGAAAATGTGATAGCGTCGACTAATGTGAAGGTAGTGTTCAGATATTTTGCGTGTATAACGTTAGCCTGCGTTGAGACAGGGGAGCAGTACTGAAGGAAGAACGACGAGGGGAAAAAAGGCGGCAAGGATACATATGGAGAGAGAGGGAGAAAGATAAAGGCGGTGGTGAGACGGAAACACACGTGTATTGAGTACGGAAAATGAGAGGAAACAAAGGTACGGCCAATGCAAGTGCTTTTCGCTCTTCCCCATAGCGCACATGAAACAGAGTACGCCAACGCCACCTTCCTTTTCTCGTTTTTGAGCTACTCCTCCCTTTCTTTTTGTGTTTTAAGCGGGGGGCCTTGGAGAGACTTAAATTATGAAGATGTCCTTCTTCTTGTGCATACATCGGTGCACAAAAGTGTTAGTGCGAGAGCGTTCGGTTGAAGTTGGTGTCGCGGTATTGCGTCAGCACCTTCTCCATGGCGTGTCATGCGCAAAAGGGAGGAGGAAGCGTTTAAAACGGTGTTTTACAGCCGCTTCGGGTTCCTATTTTTCCTTTGATACGCGTGATTTTGAATTTCCCTTTTTTTCTTCTTTTGAAAGAGTTCCGCTTTTTGCCTCTACTCAATGTTTAGATTTACTTAGAAGATACTCTCCGATAAGCGAGGCACGACACACACGCATGGAAAGCCAATTCCAGTGTCAACAAATAGGTATATGTATAAAGAGAAGTATCCGATCATTAGAGCAAAATAAACTGTCATGTTAAGGGAAAGGAAGCCAAAAAGATCAAAAACAAAAATAGAAAGATAGGTGAAAGGCAAGAAGGCGAGAACAAAGCCCATCCTTTCATTTCCATTCAAGCCGCACAGACACACACGCACACACACATAGATATAGTGGATGTGCCGAGAGAAAACAAAGAAACATCAGCAGGCCTAGCTCATCAGCAACTGCTGGTGCTCGTCTTGAGTGAAACAGCGTGCCTTCCTTCCCGCTTTTTACAGCACAGTCAGTTGCGTGTGTTTTTCGTCATTGAATGCGGAAGAGAGCGAACCATTGTTCCCCCCTCATCCTGTTTAGAGAACGCAGCATGCATTTATGTTCCTCTTTCCTTCGCTAATTGCTGCCTTTCTTCAACTATATTTCCCTCTCTTCCTTTTATTAGGGAGTCATCTCCGGCTTCTCGGGGTAGGTGCAGCCGTCGTGCTGGATGATGACACCTGCGGCGTAGTTGCCCACGTCGCAGCAGCGCTCCACCTCGCGGCCGAAAGCGTAGGCGGCGAGAAACCCGCCGACAAAGGCATCACCCGCGCCGTTCAGGTCTACTATGGCGTCCTGCGCGATGGGCTTCACGTCGGTCTGCCCGTGCTTGCCGCTACGGTTCCAGTACACGGTCGGCGCGCTGCCATGGGTCAGCACGACGAGGCGGTCGTGCGAGCCGTTGTACGGCAGCTCCGTCGCCGCCCGCCGCGCGATGTCGGTCGTGGATGTGTACTCCCACTTCATGAGCTGGGCCAGCGCCTTCGCCTCGTCTTCGTTACCGAAGATGACGTCGACGTACGGTACGACCTGCATAAAGTTCTCGGAGAAAAACTGCAGCAAAAACGGCGCGGAGAGGTTCATCATGAACTGGCCATTCGCCGCCCGCGCCGCCTCCGCGACCTGCAGCACGTAGTCCACGTCCACGGTAAGGGTGAAGCCGGTGAGGTAGAAGAGCTTGCACTTCTTCAGCGTATCAAGCACGTCGGCGCTGTGCATGTGCTCAGATGAGAGCAGGTTCGCCGCCGACAAGTTCGCCACCAGCGACCGCTCCTTGCCGGAGATGCAGACGGCGCACGAGCCCGTCGGGGCCTTGGTCGTGTACTCGAGGTGCATGTGCACCCCATCCTTCTCCGCCGCGGTCTTGAGGATGTTGCCGTAGTGGTCATCCGCGGCGCAGCCCACGTAGTTAGTGAACTCGCTGTGCGGCTTCTGCGCGATCCACTGCGCCACGCGGGCCGTGTTCAGGCCCGAGCCGCCCGGAACGTGCGTGACGTGGGGCAGCTTTTCCAGGTCCTCGAAGATGGTCTTCTGGTGCTCGCCGAGCAGCGACGCCGAGGACTTCTGCATCTGGTACTTCTCGAGGAAGTGGTCATCGACGGGCGCCGACACATCCAGCAGGGGGTTGCATTGGACGTAGAGCAGCGGGAAAACGGTCATTTTAACGAGAGAGTTGCGAGACTTCTACTGCGTTTCTGTTTGAGAAGCAGAGGATTGAGAAAGCTGGTTCCTTGTAAAGGGGGAGAGTGAGTAACGAAGGAAGGGCGAATGCTGAGGGGAGGCAACGGGGAGGAACACGATTTACTGCGAGTGTGCGTGTGAATTACTAAGCAAAATGCTCCGTTTGAACGCCAACGTAGCAACACAGGAAGACAAAAATGAAAAAGCATTCGACAGATAAGAGCAGAAAGGGTCAGAAAAGGACAAGAGAACAAAAAAAGGAGAATGCGTGAGGACATCGCTTTGACACCGCAGGCACCAGCTGGAATTAGCCAGCTCAAAATGCAGTCGACTTGCGTTGCGTGCGATCCAAACCGTACGGTCAAAGCCAGTCTATCATTGCTCTTTCTCTTTCTTCTGCACCGTGCTCAGTAGCGAGTGGGAAAAACAGAAGAGGCGCCTTTTGCTAGTGCGTTGAAGCCCCTTTTCGGTAACTTCCACACCAGTCAGTGCCGACAAGAAAGCGTAAGCTTCGACCTCCCTTCTTTATTGAAAAGGGAAGAAGAGAAAAAAAAGACGCTGTTTTGCTCGGACGCACACGAAAGCAGACATTCCTCTCCGCACGCGAGCAGATATTTTTGATCCTTTTTTTGCTGTTGTTCTTTATTATCGTTTCATTCCAATCCTACCTAGAGAATTAGCGTACATTACAGAAAGCTTCTTTATTAGATTTTTCTTTATTTCCCGTTTTCCTTCGCAATGTAACCAGTAGGGGAGTGGGACGTGAAAACGGAAGAGCTATATCCTCATCTATTGGAAAACGCACGACACACGCACCCACACACACAGCCGCGAGGCGGTCGAGTACAAACAAAAACTGAAGAAGATTTGTTCGTGTGTGCGCGGTGCATGCGTCCCAATACACAACATGTTTTTGTTTTTTGTCTTGTTCAACGGTAGTTCTAAAAAAGAGAAAAGGGAAAATTGAAAGAAGAGTGAAAAGGAATGCGCGTAGAAAGAAAGAGCGTGGAGAAGACCAAACGTGTGAAGGAGTTCCTCTGAACGAAACGGCCGTCCTCTCTTCCTTCCTATTTGGTTTCTTCTACCTCTCTCTCTCCCTCACTGCCGTATTTGACGCTACAGTTTTTCTGTCGCATTACGGGATCAAAGGTCGGCGATCAGCAACTCCGGTTTAAAAAAAAAAGAAGCAAGGCAAACCGACAGTTAAAAGGAAAAGAGTGCGCTGCTTCTCTTGCCGTCGTCTCTTTTTTTTGGGGGGAGGCTTGATTCATTCCCTTGAGAAAATGGTGGACGTATAGTGGTGTAGTGGTGCCTGAGAGAAGAGCAGAACGTTTTCAGATCGTCACGTACAGGCGCCGCGCGTCTTTTGAGAGCGCATTGACGTGCCATGACAAAACTGCGTAGCAACTCGGCATACACACACGCATGCACATACACATGCACACACAACGAAATCGTAATAAATCGAAGAGCAATTAAAAAAAGAGAGAGAGACGTTGAAGCACCTTTGCCGCATCCTTTTTTTTTTCGTCCTTTTGCCTGATCCGTCCTTTTGATACTATTTTATCCTACTAACATAAAACAAAATATTAGAAGAAAAGAAACACACACGTGACGGAGAAGTGAAAGCGCCGGGCACGTTCATTACTTGGGAGAACTACAAGGAGAGACAGTGGAAGGGAAAGGGGAGAAAAAAGAGGAGAGAACACAGTAGCGCAGAGCCTCGCCATGTTTTGTCGCAGTTGCGCTGTTGAATATGTTCCTGCCTCTTTTATTATCGACTTCGCTGTCCCTCAACCTCCACAAGTAGCGCGTTCATGTTGCGCGTGCGTTGGTTGGCTTCCCCACTTTCGCCGCACGTCCATCAAGACACCTTCGCTCATGCGCTTCCCAAAACACACCCAAAGATTTATCTTTTTTTCTCTTTTTGCTCCTGTCAAATGATCCTTCCCTCTTGGCCTCTCTTCTAGTGGGCGGGCTCGTTGGAGGAGGTGGCATCCGACGGCGTCTTCTTCGGCTCATCGAGCGTCGTGCGCTTCGGCTCCACCACCGCCGGCTCGAGGAAGATGAAAAGAATCAGGCCGACCGTCTGGATGCAGAACGAGGTCGTCGTCAGCGCGTAGCCGGCGCCGAAGCGAGTGTACTTGTGCGTAAGAAAGTCAAGGTTGCAGAAGGAGGTGTGGTAGAAGGCGGTCACCACGGCGAACGGCACGATGGTCGCGGCGAGCGTAAAGGCGGCCAGCAGCGTCACTACGGTCTTGATGCTCGCACCGCACAGCTTGTACCACGACGCACCCAGCACGAAGAGGAGGAAGAAGAGCGCAATCACGCTGAACGCCTCAGCAGCCTCGAAGCGGGAGCGCATATCGGGGCACTGGGCAATCTTTGGGTCGTCGACGCGCAGCGTGTAGTTCGCGTTCCAGCAGTTGTTGCGCATACCCCACAGCGTGTAGCACGGGCGCTCGAAGTAGACGCCGGGGTACTCAGGATACGAAATGTTCCACTCGCGCAGCATCAGCATGCCGAGCGGAGTACCGCAGGAGAGGAAGGTCACCGCCAGGAAGGAGGTCACACACAGGATCGTCGCGCCGATGTGCTCAGCGTACTCCTGCTGGTAGAAAGCCTTCTTCTTGCCCATGATTGAGGAGTGTGCGTGCGGTGATCGGATAAAGGTTCACAGAAAAGAAAACAAGCGGAGGGGAGGAAAGAAGACGATTTAGCGGATCGATCTTCTTTGGCTTTCTTTTTTTAGGGGGAAAGGGAGTTCTGCAGTTAGTAAAGCGACGGTTATACTAGTGTGTATTGACCGCAGCTCTTTCGTTACAGATTTAGATTCGAGGAAAAAAAAGGAAGTCTTCTTCGATGCTTGACTGGGAAATGTGTTGAGAGGAGTAGGAGGTAGCTCTGCGTTCTTCTCCGCCTTTGTGAGTTTGTGTGAGTGTGCTAAAAAAAAACTTAGGTTTTTAACTGCGGTGTTGAATGAATTGAATTGTTTTTTCATCAAATGTAAACAACAATAAGTGACATCGTTGTTTGGCAGAGTGATATATGTTTGGATTGTTTTGGAGAAGAAAAAAATGAAGGGATTCGTCAGAAGAGAAGAAGAAAGGGAAAGCAAGCAATGAAGAGACACGCGAGATGAATAAGTTACTTTTCTGTTCTTTTCCTCATCGCACTTGCCAGCAGGTGTTGTTCTCAGCAGTCCACAAATATCCCTTTGAACACTCTTTTGGGGGCGCCTCACGAGTGTTCTTCCTTTGCAGACACACGCACACACACACACACACACGCCTCAGCATTTCATTCCCTTTCTTTTTTGGCGATGCCCTGTTCACGCTGAAAGCGAACCCAAGCCCCTTTCCGCGGGTATCAATGGGAGGAATCAGGAGCAAAGTAGAAACGAAGGGGGGAGAATGCCGGTATGTGAGATTTGGCCTGCGGCTAAAACCCATGGACGTGTGCGTGCAAAACCTCTGAGCCGCCCACGACGTTGTACAACGCCCACATGCCCACTCCCTCTCGCCCTATTGGCACAAGGCAACAGGAAGTCTCTTTGTTTTCAGCTTCGTTTTGTTTTTCTTCTTTGCACGATTTCTTAACAAAAACCCGCTTCACGCATTTTATTTCCATTTTTACTTGATGCAACTGTTCTTTTTATTATTATTTGGGGAGGGTTCTGTTCGGTCAACATCGTAAAAGATTCATCCTCTGAAAAGGGAAAGTGAGCGACTTCGTGGTTTTCCTTTTCTTCTGCTGCTCCTCTCCTTGCATGTATTTGTGTACTCGAGATCGGGTGTGGGTCCTGCGACTCAGCCGCACCCCAACAAGCCAGGCGTCGTGCGCTGAGACACAGAAAAACGCGGGGAGAGAGAGAACAAAAGAAAAGAAAAACGTTGCCTTAAGCATGGAAAGACAGAAACGTGCAGAAGCCACTCGGCCGCGTATTGTATGATGGAGCACAGACACGTTGGCATACACACAAAACATGTGTACTGAAAGCGAGACAAAAGTTAAGATCGAAAATAAAAAAGAAGAGACATGCGGGGAGTTACATTAGCCTTTTTATCTCTATATAGAAAAAACGTTTTCCTGTGGTTAAGCTTCCGGCGCTGACTATTGTGTCTGCTTAATTAAGAATTGTAAAGCCAAGAAGAAAAAAGAGGGAAAAGGAAAAGACTGCTGGATTTTCTTTTACTAATTTGGCGTCTTTTTGAAAAAGAAAAAACAAACATTTCTCGATCAACTCTCTCTCTCTCTACAACTCCTTCTCCTGCACTCGTTGTGCGCCTAATCCCCTTCCCCCTCCTCCCTTCTCCTCCTCCTCCTTTTTCTTTTTCGGCCGCCGACTTGATTTTCATCCAGCTTACTAGGGATATGAAAAGTCAAGTCAAAACAGAAAAGAAAAGGAAAGGAAGGAGGGCCCCGTTCATAGTGCTTTAGTCGGGGTAGGAAAACGAAAATGACGAGAGAAGAAACACAAAAAAAAAAAGAGAAAAGAGAAAAGAGGGAGAACTCCAAGCAGTAAGGGGAAAAAACTTGACTTTTGAAGGAGTGGGTCAACTTCACAGGACTTAAAACACGAAAAGACAGAAACTGTCTCAGCATCTTGTTTGCCTCTGCTTGATCCGACTGCCTTGTCTCCTCAATATTATTCTTTTGTTGTTCTTCATCTCCTCCGCTCCGTACGCGCTGAGTCTACCAGTAAGCACATCAGCCCCTCTCAACGCCGCCTGCCGTGGTTGCTTTTACTCTCATTCCGTAGTATCACTCTTCATACGCACCGCTGCTACAGCAGAGAGCAAGGAGAGAAAAGTGAAGCATACGTAACTGACAAAAAGGAAAAAAAAATGGACGATGAGCGTTGAAGAACGAAAATAATACGAGGAGAGCCGAATGCAAGCAAAGCAAAAAAAGACACGTATTTGCATAAACAAAGCAAAAAAAAATGGATCGGACTTCTGCCTTCACTGATTAAGTCCTCGAAGTGAGCACCGGTTTGTGCAGGGAAATTTAGAAAATATATATATAATAATGATAATACTAATGAAGCACAAGCACAAAGTGGAACGGCAATTTGTCTAACGAGAAAAAGAAGAAGGGGGAAGTGAAAAATGGGGAAGAGAAAAGACAAGCGTTTTTTGTGTGTAAAATCCAGAATAGTAACAATAATGATTTATAATAATAATATAGAAAATCGGGTGGTTAATGGAAGCTTTTGAGAGGATGTTGTATGAAAGATGCTAAAAGCTGAAAAGCGACTCCAGGGCCGTCCCAGCGGCCCAAGAAGCTGCCGACGCCGCAGAGTGTCCATTCTCGCACGTGAAGCGCTTGCAGCTCCCATGCGAAAAGAAGGTACTCATACCACGACCGCGGGACGGCTCGCATCGGTCAGGAACGGGGGTGGACAGCAGTGATGGCAACACTCACGCCGCCTCGCTGCTTGACTGTGAAAGAGTAGTTTTCTTTTTACATCTCAATGGGTGTGTAAGGGTATGTGTTCTCCAAAGCCTCCAATGCAGGGCCCTCTGGATCATCCACACTTCATGTCACCTCTGCAGCACAGCACAACCCGCAGCCGGGAACCCTCACATCTACGATGAAGTACACCCCCTTACTACATGACGCACAGCAGAATCAGGCCAATGATCTGAATGCACCACGCGGAAACCGTCAGGCCGTAGGCCGCACTCGTCTTGAAGTTATCGCGCAGCTGCTTACCGTACGGGATGCCGCCCACGCTGCCAGTCTCAGTGCTGATCGGCACCGTCGAGCCACCGCAGTAGTTCTGGTGCCACACTCCGGTCATGCACGCCCACGGGATCAGGATGAACACGATGTTCAGCACCGTCAGCACGTACAGGGCGATCTTCGTCTTGATGCCAAGGAAGTAGAGGCCGCCCAACAACGACGCCCCGCACGTCGTCAAGGCAGCAATGATGTAGAACGCCTCAGACACCTTGAACAGGGCCGAAGCCTTGTTGCACGTCATGTCCACCGGTCGGTGGTCGTAGCTGATCTTGTTGCAGTCGTTCTTCAGGCCCCACACCGTCACACACGCCAGCTTGCTTGCACCAGAGACCACGCCATCGGTGCCCACCGTCAGGCCCTTGCCGCGGAACTGCGAGACCGGGGCGGACGTCACAATGAACAGGAACACGACGCACGAGCATAGCACGTTCAGCGCCACGTCCAGCTTGCCGCTGAGAGTCTCGAATCCCATGGTTGCGAAGAGAGATGCCTTGAAGTGGAGAGGCTTGAGGTGCGCTTTGGCTGCGAACGAGGAGAGCTGAAATAAGAGGAAAGAACTGTTCAAGTGCGGGGACTAAAAGAAAAAAGAAGTTCGAAAAGTACCCGGGATATGTGGCACGGAGAACGTTGAAAGAACGATGGCTGGGGAGAGTATGCTGCGGAAGAAAACCTTTAGACTATTAGCATTTGCGTGGTTTAGCACAGAAGAAAAGCGATAAACGCGGTTTTGTGTTTTGTTTTGTTTTGAGGTGTCAGTAAAACAAACACCGGTGGGGGGAGATACGGGTACGCCGCGTGCAGCCGACGTGTAGGAGAGAGGCAAAACAAAAAAAAAAAGTTTGTCAAGAAGCGAGAAAACGAGAGAAGACAGCACAGTAGGGAGAGAGGAGACGTTGTGAAAAGAGAAACAGAAATTTTGCAAGACAGGAAACTCATGTGAGTTCCATTGCATTAGCAGACAAGTATCTTGGGGCATAGTTTTATGTGATGGTTAACTAGCGGTATCTCTTCCTCTCGTTCTAAAGCAACAAAGGAAACCCTCCTTTCCGAGCTGCTTACGAAGATTCAGAGAGCTGGACAGAGGCGTGTGGCACTCAGAATCCGCGTAAAGCTTCTCTCCACTCCTCCGCTCGACACGGCCAACAGAGGGAGGGAGAGTGATCGTAGAAGCACACATCCGCTGACGTGAAGGTGCGTCCCCCGCTGTAGGGTAGCGTCCAAAGCAGACCAATTTCTGTGTTAACGTGCATTAGATTCCCTTGAGTGATTCTTCCAAGCCGGCGAAGTACGCGTCATTCTTGCAGAGAGAAGCACGACTTTTCCAACACTTCACAAAGCACGACCCGAACGAAGATGCGTACGAGGCATAGCAAAACAAATAATTAAAAGGAGAAGAAGAAAAGGCGGACATCGTGGAATAGTAGAATTTGAATGGCTCAAGCAGCCTAAATAAATAAAAAAAAAAAGAGAAGCGCTTGTTTATACTCTTTCCTCCGCAGAGAACAATGCTTTTTGAAGTGGAAGGAAAGGGGAGAACAAAGGAAAAAGTCGAAAAAAATGTTTTTAGGGACTTAGAAATGTAAAAGGAAAATTAGAAATGTAACAGAAAGAGAAAGAAGCTTTTATCCGACAAAAAACGCGCGTATAACAAAACGAAAGAATTGTCGTCACGTTGAGGTACTTTGAGGACTAACGGCGATTCTTTCGTTGCTGTTGTTGATTGTTTTTTTTCCGTACTTTTTCTTTTGGTTTGTTTGTTTGACCTGCGAAAGAGTAAAACACGTGGCGAGTAGGTCGGTTGTTGCGCGGTGATATTTGACCTTTTTCTCTCTCTTTTGAAAGATACAGTGACGAGCATATGTAAAAGCGAAGCGAAGCAACTGGCGAGGTGAATAGGGCAAAGGGCAACTTTGTTGCGAAGGCGGCCGCCTTTATCGTATTGCAACTGCTTTCACTTCTTCGTTTTTGTTTTTTTGTTTTCAGCAGCTCGTCTCCTGTAATTTTCTTTTCTTTCCGCTTTTTTTCGCTCTGACATCGCTCATCTGGAGGTCGCCCCTTCACTGCACGTGAGAAAATAAATAATTGTCCTGCACCTTGCTTGACGCAACTGCGGGTCACTCCATCACAACCGCATGCGAAACAAGCAGAAGAAAGTTCAATTGCTCTTACTTCTCTCGTCACCTTGCTTTCATTTACTCCAGAAGAACTAAGATTTAAGAAAGAGAAGGGGAGGAGAGAAGCAGCAGTAGCTACAGTAAAGTAGGACAGGCGGACCAGATACAGAGGGAACAAAGGAAAAGAAGAAGAATTGCGTTCTTTTGATGTTTGTTTTTTAATTAGCAATTAAGAAAAGAGAAGAAAGGAGAGAAAAGATGTGTTTAAAACATACTTCTAACCTAAGCGTTTGTGTAGGCGTGGGTGTATGCTTGTGCGTGCGTGTGTGTGTGCTCTATACCCTTCAACAGCTTCCTCTTCGCTCTGCGAAACTTTTGCAAACCTTGATCCCCTAGATGTATGGCACACACACACACACACAGGCACACACGCACATACACATACACACGCTCAATCAAGCACTGCAGGCACTTCGGTGTCGAATACACTCCACCACGCACCGGCCAATACGTCCATCACCTACACACCAACACAGGAAAAAGAAGAAGCAAAAACAAACCCTTCAAGACACGCATTACAGATCTTTTTTTCTTCCTTCTAAAAAAGGGAAGGCATCGAAGGAGAGAAAATATTAACTCCACTTTTTTAAATTTCTCTTCAAAAGTTAAAAAAGAAGAAAAAAGAGCTGTGCAGCGTCACTCCTTTCTTCCTCTATTTGATGTTTAGCGCCTTTCGCCGTATTTGCAGCCGATCGTATTTATATACATCATTCGTTCCTCAAGGTGGAGGCAGAGAATTGCGACAGAACGCAAGCCGAAAGAACAAAACAATAAGGGCGAAAGGAGAAAAACACACACAGTACTCAAAACTAAAAAAAAACGTTTTGAAAAGAGGAAACACGGAGGGAAAATAGAAAGAGAATTTAGAAGTAAATAAAAAAACAAGAAGGTGCAAACAGAAGAGCGGGGGGTGAAAGAGTGAAGTAGCTCAACCGCACGCTGTGCGGAGAAGCCGCCATACCCGCATCACCCTGGAAGTCGGACCAACGCCGAAAGCAAGACTACCCTCAAAAGCGACTTCTCACATTCCACGGTGGTCATTCTCGCTGTGGTGGTTCGCTTCCATACCCTGTTTACTTTTTGAAGCACAGAACAGTCCGTTCCCTCCATTGTCGAAGCTGACTGGAAAGACGCAGACAGAGTGCGTTTAGGTGCTTCACAGCCGCCCTTTACTACATGACGCACAGCAGAATCAGGCCAATGATCTGAATGCACCACGCGGAAACCGTCAGGCCGTAGGCCGCACTCGTCTTGAAGTTATCGCGCAGCTGCTTACCGTACGGGATGCCGCCCACGCTGCCGGTCTCAGTGCTGATCGGCACCGTCGAGCCACCGCAGTAGTTCTGGTACCACACGCCGGTCATGCACGCCCACGGGATCAGGATGAACACGATGTTCAGCACCGTCAGCACGTACAGGGCGATCTTCGTCTTGATGCCAAGGAAGTAGAGGCCGCCCAACAACGACGCCCCGCACGTCGTCAAGGCAGCAATGATGTAGAACGCCTCAGACACCTTGAACAGGGCCGAAGCTTGGTTGCACGTCATGTCCACCGGTCGGTGTTCGTAGTTCATCTTGCTGCAGTCGTTCTTCAGGCCCCACACCGTCACACACGCCAGCTTGCTTGCACCAGAGACCACGCCATCGGTGCCCACCGTCAGGCCCTTGCCGCGGAACTGCGAGACCGGGGCGGACGTCACAATGAACAGGAACACGACGCACGAGCATAGCACGTTCAGCGCCACGTCCAGCTTGCCGCTGAGAGTCTCGAATCCCATGGTTGCGAAGAGAGATGCCTTGAAGTGAAGAGGCTTGAGGTGCGCTTTGGTTGCTAATGAGGATAGCCGTAGTGAGACGCTTGCGTGAGAATGCGAAGGGAGAAATGTCACTAAGGAAAAAAGCGCGTGTAGAATTAACAGAATTAATAGTACTCGTGGGTTTTTGATAAAGCTAATGATTTTAAAAGCTGATGAAGCACTTAAAAACTTTTTCCGAGTTGAAGTTGCGGCGGCAACAAAGTGCGTGGTGTGGTGTGGTGTGGTGTGGTTGCAGCAGGAGTTACATGCAAACACGTGTGTGTGTGTGTGTGTGTGTAATGAGCCATTAGAACAAAGGTGGCGTCAAAATACGCAGAAACGCATTAGTACATGAAGAGAAACAGAATGGAATCCGAAGAGCAATAAAAAGTGTTTTCAAACCACAGAAGAACGTAGAGCTTTCACAGGCGAGGCTGGGCCAACAGCAGCGGAGAACTGCCTTCCCTCGGCGCTGCGAGGAAAGTCGGCCTGAACCCCCACCACCCGCAATAAAGAGAGAGTATGGATGCACACTCAATGTGCTTCTCGAACGGACGACCGTGCAGCGGGTTTGTGATCACAAACGTTAACCGGGGAAAAGACGGAAAGACCAGCCACCACTGCGGACAGCAAAACTAGCTCGCCCCTGCGCAGGGTCGCCGGGATACTTTTTAGCTCGTTCGAGAGGAACGCCTGGTTTGAGTCGCTCAGGACACCGCGAGGCGTTGAGTACGCCTACCCTTCTTTTCCCCTTGTGTTCCATTTTGGGTCGTAACTCAGCTTGCCAGCTTTCGAGATAATGAACGGGAGAAAAGGCAAACCGAAAAAAGAAGAGAAAAGAATAAAAAGAAAAATCGCATGAAAACACCACATGGAAACAGAAAAACGGTCCTTTCCGCAAATAAGTATGCACACGAAGTCACGCGTAAAATAATGTAACAGCAAAGCCAACCTTGTGCTTCAGCATCTGTGCCGGTGGAAGTGCTGAGAGGGGAGATGACAGAGAAAAGAAAAAAAAAACATTTTTATTTTTGAGAAGAGTGCGTGTGTGGCTGTTTGCGTGGGTATGCGCCGCAACACATCAAAACTGTTGCCTCGAGACGGTAAGGAAAAGCTTAAATACAGGCAAGAAGATTACAAAGCACCACGCAAAACAAGAAGGCATTTTTCTTTCTTTTTCAAACGGAGACACGAAGAGAGAAACAGGAAGACAAAAAGTGAAATGTGGACCCGACTCAGCCTAACAGAAGCTGTTACTGAGGGAAAGCCAACTGATCAAAAAAAAAAGAAGAGAGAGAGATCAGTCAAACACAGCAAGACGGCGCACTACACTCAGTGACCACGCTTGCATCTGTGTCTTTCACACTTCACGGGCAATCATAATTGCTTCGGCTCTTTTTGCAGCAGCCAATCGAGCTCAGTTATTACAACGAAAAAAGAAAAAGGCAGGCGAGTTACGGCCGTTCACCTCGCGTTAAATCGCACGGAAAAGAAACAATACCAACGGACTGTACGAGAGTGTCGTCAGGCGCAAACAAAAGGACAAAACACAAAAATCAAAATAACGATTTCGAAGAACCTTTTTTTGACGCTTGACTCAAAAACCTAAACGTCACGTTCGCCAACGAATCGCAATAATAATAACAATAATAATAACGGCACGTTCTCTCAAGCACAAGGAAAACAACGAGGTGCTTTGGGGCGGAGAAAAAACTAAATGAGGGGAAAACGGCGGTGCCGCGGAGAGGCGCACGCGTGTCGTGGGGCAGACAGCTATCAACAACGCCTGGCAGAAGGGGGGGGGGGGAAGAGGGGGGAAGAGGGGCAGCAGCGCGGGAGAGCAGGCAGGACAAGCGTGGATAATGCACGCGTGTGCCGTCAAGGAGGCAAGCAGGAGGGAGGTGAGGGTCAGCCCAGCGCACCCGCTCCTGTCCTCGCACACGCAGCAGCATGGCAGCAACGCACACTCGCCCCGCAGACACTCACCGCTTCGCGTATCACGGTAGACCCCTTCGAACCCTGCCAGGCAAGCTGCATGTCGAGCGTTGACCGCGTGACGACCTCATTAGGTGCATTACCGGGAAAAAGGCGTTTTTGAGTGTTAGTCATTAATGAGAGAACGAGAAGTAATTACATGGGGCCACTTCCACGCGTGGGCACGCCGGCGGGCGGATTCAGCGCAGCGGCCTCTACAAGACAAACAGGAAGATCATGCCGGCCAGCTGGATGCACCACGCAGCAATCGTCAGCCCGTAGCCGGCACTGGTCTCGAAGTCCTGGCGCAGCAGCTTGCCGTACGGGATGCCGTCCGGCTTGCCGATGGTGCGGTCCACCGTCACCTCGGAGCTGTTGCAGAAGCTTGCGTACCACACACCCGTCATGCACGCCCACGGGATCAGCGCAAACACCACCTCCGCCACGGCCAGCACCATCAGCAACACCTTCATGCGAATCCCCATGAAGTACAGCCCACCCATTATGCTCGAAACCAGCGACACGATCACTGAAATGATGTAGAACGCCTCGGACGCCTGGAACAGCTGCTTGCCGCGCGCGCACGTCATCGACGCAGGGCGGAAGTGGTAGTCGTTGATGCTGCAGTCGTTCTTCAGGCCCCACACAGTGAGGCACGACATCTTGCTCGCACCAGACACAGTGCCGTCGGCGGCGGTCTTGATGCCCTTGCCGCGGAACTGCGAGATGGGGGCCGACGTGATCAGGAACAGGAAGACGATGGTCGAGCACACCAGGTTCATCGCCACGTTCATGCGGCCACGGATAGCCTCGAAACCCATGGTTGCGAAGGGGGGAGTGGGGGGAAGCTGCGGACGGAAAAACTAGAAGGGGGATGGCAGGTGTCGGTGGGAGAGAGAGAGGACGGCTGCTAAATACTGGCACGAAGCGAGGAGTCGCGTGAGGAAAGATAGCCGATTGGGAGAGGAGTGCGTGTGCGAGGGCGGAACGGGAGGGAGTTACTGACGGGGTGAGAGCGCCGTTGTGCAAGGAACGCGTCGCCAGGCAGCGAAGAGGTAAAAAAAAAAAGGCAGAGAGAGAAGCAGAGAGAGGAACAGCACAGCAAGATGAAAATGGGAAACGTGAGAACTCTGCGCGAAGCAATTGAGCGGGAAGGAGGCCGATGCCCAACCGTGATACTAGCAATATTGAATCACAGGAGGAACGAGGAAGTGTGAACGAGAACGAAAACCCCTACTCGCAGTCCTTGTGGAACAAACAGGTCCAGAGGACCATCTGCTGCGCAGAGAAACAGAAGCAAGAGCACGTTTCCGCACCACGAAGCTGACAGTTAACGACGTGGAGCAATTCTTTTTCTTTTATCAGCATCGGTGCAATGAATGGAAAGCGGTGGTGTCGCCGCTGCCAATGTGACCATTGCTCCTTTCTTGCTTCTCTCAACAGGGAGACAGATTGTATGTCATGAAGCTCTTATTTTTGTTTTTGTTGTTCGATCTTGCCGACATACACGAACAGTGCACATGGCCATTTAGTTGAGCAGCGGCGGTGCTTTCTTTTTTGCTTTTCCTCGATTAATCGCCAGCGCCGACTCAACATTTCGCAAGGATGAAAAGAAAAGCAAGAGAAAAGAGGAAGTCAGAGCCTACCTTGTGCTGAGGCAGCAGCCAACGACAGAGTGTAACCGTCAAGACCGTCGTCCTCAAAATGATGAGATGAAGCTACTCACGACAGAGGAGAAGCAGAATCGTGCAAAGCAGCAACGTCATCTATAGAAACCCACCAATATATGTTTAAAACGTCCTTGTCTGTGAAAGTGTCTGCGTGTGAATGCACCACACTGGCTTCTCGTTTGTCACCATCTGTCAGGTAGTTCGGCAGCTGCACAGTGTCTGACTTCCACCAATTGCTCCATCGCCTCTCGCTACACCTTTGAAGCCTCACGCTTCTCCGCCCCTTTCCTTACAAGCAATGGAAAGCTCGACGATGATGCTTTACAAAAAGGAAGAAGAGCCGTGCTCGCTCGCAGAAATGCGTAGGTAACCCACACTGAGGTATTTCTCGTCGTTCACCTAAGCCATACCGCTCAGCGAGGACTTCATGCTTTTACGCTGATCGCAAAGAATTGCAAAAATAGGAAGGGGAAAACAAAAACGTAGAGCTGTAAAGGTCAATGAAAAGGGGGAAGAGGCGAAATAAAATCATCTTTGCAGTCACGGCACCCTTCCTACGTTAGCAAAAAAAAAAAAGAAACAATACCAATCTCGGAAAGCAAAAACAATAATATCAAAAAAAAAGAGATTAGAAACAATAGGCTTACGAGAAATAAAAAGAAACGGAATCTATATAAAGGCAGACTATGGAGGTAGCTCCTCTTTTAAAACAGTTTTGTTTTTGTAGAGAGGCGCACGCGTGTCGTGTCGCAGACAGCTATCAACAACGCCTGGCAGAAGGGGGGGGGGGGAAGAGGGGGGAAGAGGGGCAGCAGCGCGGGAGAGCAGGCAGGACAAGCGTGGATAATGCACGCGTGTGCCGTCAAGGAGGCAAGCAGGAGGGAGGTGAGGGTCAGCCCAGCGCACCCGCTCCTGTCCTCGCACACGCAGCAGCATGGCAGCAACGCACACTCGCCCCGCAGACACTCACCGCTTCGCGTATCACGGTAGACCCCTTCGAACCCTGCCAGGCAAGCTGCATGTCGAGCGTTGACCGCGTGACGACCTCATTAGGTGCATTACCGGGAAAAAGGCGTTTTTGAGTGTTAGTCATTAATGAGAGAACGAGAAGTAATTACATGGGGCCACTTCCACGCGTGGGCACGCCGGCGGGCGGATTCAGCGCAGCGGCCTCTACAAGACAAACAGGAAGATCATGCCGGCCAGCTGGATGCACCACGCAGCAATCGTCAGCCCGTAGCCGGCACTGGTCTCGAAGTCCTGGCGCAGCAGCTTGCCGTACGGGATGCCGTCCGGCTTGCCGATGGTGCGGTCCACCGTCACCTCGGAGCTGTTGCAGAAGCTTGCGTACCACACACCCGTCATGCACGCCCACGGGATCAGCGCAAACACCACCTCCGCCACGGCCAGCACCATCAGCAACACCTTCATGCGAATCCCCATGAAGTACAGCCCACCCATTATGCTCGAAACCAGCGACACGATCACTGAAATGATGTAGAACGCCTCGGACGCCTGGAACAGCTGCTTGCCGCGCGCGCACGTCATCGACGCAGGGCGGAAGTGGTAGTCGTTGATGCTGCAGTCGTTCTTCAGGCCCCACACAGTGAGGCACGACATCTTGCTCGCACCAGACACAGTGCCGTCGGCGGCGGTCTTGATGCCCTTGCCGCGGAACTGCGAGATGGGGGCCGACGTGATCAGGAACAGGAAGACGATGGTCGAGCACACCAGGTTCATCGCCACGTTCATGCGGCCACGGATAGCCTCGAAACCCATGGTTGCGAAGGGGGGAGTGGGGGGAAGCTGCGGACGGAAAAACTAGAAGGGGGATGGCAGGTGTCGGTGGGAGAGAGAGAGGACGGCTGCTAAATACTGGCACGAAGCGAGGAGTCGCGTGAGGAAAGATAGCCGATTGGGAGAGGAGTGCGTGTGCGAGGGCGGAACGGGAGGGAGTTACTGACGGGGTGAGAGCGCCGTTGTGCAAGGAACGCGTCGCCAGGCAGCGAAGAGGTAAAAAAAAAAGGCAGAGAGAGAAGCAGGATGAGAAGCAAGATGAGGAACAAAGTGAAAAAGAGAGTGAGTGAAACCACAGCGGTGACATAACTACGGAGAAGGAGAGTGTGAGAAGAACGTGACAGTGTCACTTTTCTTCTCAATCACCGCAAAAGGAAAAAACTCGAGAACCTTTGAAGTGATGTTAAGCTATTTTGAGGCGGGAAAGCCGGCGGACGGACACGCAAATACCCTCATACACATAAGGGCTAATCGCACTGCTTAACATCAGAGTTTAGAGAACGAACGTTGTTGGTTTCAATATGGGAAGAAAAAAACTTAAAGGCGGCTGATGTAACACACAGCTTTACCAAGTGCACTGGACGCTTTGTGCTTCACTCCCTCACCTCCTCAATTTCAATGAAGGAGATTCTTACTATAACTCTTTCTTCCGGGCGAGAAGGATTTCTTTAACAGTGGCGGGTGGCGTGAGAGCCGGCTGCGACGAAGCTGGGCGAATCGACTAAAGCAACGGAGGGGGGAGAGGGGCATATTCGTTCTCTTTTCCGCAGGCAATCCTCGCTGCTGTTGCTGCTTTTACAGCTTACCAGAGGCGTGCAGCGCTTCTTTTAAAGCCGCGAACGGCGCGGAAGACGACGACGAATGACGGACGTGTTGCGCCTTCAGGATAGTGCGCAGACCAGTGCCCTCGTCAGCCGCATCACGGCAGGCACCGTCCTCCCCTCCCGTAGCATCAGCGCTCGTTGACACAGGTGCTGACACGAGCCGTACCACTGTGTTGATCGAGTCTGCATCTACGTCGCTGTCGCGGTCCTCCAAACCCTTTGCGGTGAAGCGCCGCTTCAGCTTCGGCCACGCCCTCCTCGCACGTAGGTCTTTGTAGCGCAGCGGCTCGCGGACGCCGTGGACAATGCCAGGCAGCGTGCGCACGCGTAGGACGACGTCGGAGGGCTCGCTCACGCAGAAGGAGACCCAGCCGAGGCCGCACACGTAAATGTCTGCCTTGGGGCGTCGACGATGACGCGCGTAGCACTCAAAGAGGTAACTTTTTGTCTCGGACAGACCAGGCGCCGCCGCCGCGGCTCCGCCAGCGGACATGCCATCCAGCGGCAACAACTGCTCATACGAGCCGGGTGGATCGAGCGCTTTGCCGAGTTGCTCGTGCCAGAACGCTTCTGACTGCACCGTGTTGACAATAGCGTTGCGGACTTTTTGCGACGTGTACACGAGAAACAAAAGCCCCCGTGGCGGTCCTCGCACGACGTCGATGGCGGCCAGCCCGCCGAGGAAAAGGGTGTGCCCCGGCAGCAGGATGAAGCACTGCGGATTGCGGAACTTTCGGATGAGGGTGCGCCGCATCTGCAGCAGGGTGAGGGGCGATCGCCGGTGCCAGTGGGGCAGCAGTCCCGGGGTGTCGTAGAAGTACGTTTGCGTCTCGGCAGACTCGTCCGCTGCTGCAGCGTCTGCTGTGTCTGCCTCCGGCCCTTGCAGGCGGGCGACCTTGTCGGCCGCAGCGGCGCGGGTGATGCGCACCGCGTTGACCGCGACGGTGGTGCCGGGTAGCGAGGAAACCGTCATCAGCTTCGACGCCCGCTTATCGTGGCGGCCGCGTATGTCAATCATCTCGGCCTGATTCACATTGGGTGGGGTGTACCATCGCCAGAAGACCGCCTCCCCACCCTCGCTGTTTGTCTTGGTGAAGTACACTTTCTTGCTCTGCGGGTGTGGCGGCTGTGGCACGTAGAGGGCGTGCGCCATGGCGTTGATCACCGAGGACTTGCCCACGTTTGCTACGCCGACAAAGTAGGTGGGCAGAGGTTTGTGTGGGCGGCGCAGGTTGAGGTTCGCGGTCTCCTCGATGGCGCGGAGGAGCTGCGGAATTCCCCAGCCTCGCTTCGCGGAGAGCGGCACCACTCGCTGGATCTGGTGGCGTGGCAAGCCGAACTGAACGGCAATGTCGAGCACCCAACGGCGCACGTAGTTCTCGGTTACCAGGCAGGCCGCGACGCCGCGGTCTTTACCGTCGTAGTTGAAGGACCGGTTTCGAATGCAGTCCATCTTGTTAACGGCAACGATGACGGGGTTGTTCATGCTGATGAGCCCCGGCAGGTCGTACACCATCGACCCAGGGAAGTCGGTGATGTCCACGACAAGCACGACAACGCACTTCTTTTCCTTGAGCGCGCGCAGCTGCTCCGTAAAATCCGGCGCCGACCACACCTTGCGGCGCCCCTCCACACCCATGTTCTCCAACGCATGGCAGCGATGGCAGGTGAAGGGGCGCGGCGTGTCGCGGTAGAAAGCGTCGAACTCCTCTTGCGTCATGAAGTCCAACCACTCCTCGCCCACCTGTCGACCGTGCTTCTCCCAGTGGGCCTGCAGCTCTGCCATGCGGGTGGCGTACGCATTCCGCAGCTGCGCCGTTTCGCTGCGCTGCGCCACGTGCCTCTCAATCGCGCCGGGCCGGACGTACCCAAATTCGTCCTCGTGGGTGTTCTGCAGCATCGCACCGCAGCCGGGGCAGCAGTCGCGGCCCGGTACCGGGATGTGAAACGACGCGGGCGCCTCCATCACCAGCGCTGCTTTGTTCTCCAGCACGTTCGCCATCTCCGCGGCGGCGTCCTGATCGAGCACGTGCAAGCCCTCCCACTCTAACATCTTACGCTCCATCGTGTTCCCAGCCATCTGGAGCTGGTGCTCGACGGCAAACTTGTCCTTTTCGTAGGCGTCGAGCAGCACGCCGTACTTGATCTTGTCGGCCATGTTCGCCGCCTTCTTGCGCAGCGCGCGTGGGCTGTCTTGGTCGAGCATCCCGTCTGCGGGAACGGGTGCGGAGGAACTACCGGCTGACGTTGCTGCTGTCTCGTCTACCCTGCTTTCGAGTTCCACGAGCTCCTCGGACCACCCCATGATCTTGTGGAAAAGCTTATTGATGTGACGCGGGAGTAAGATGGAGTCCGCCACCGCCTTTTTGGAGCGTCGCTGCAGGTGCTGGAGATGGATCGGGACCGGCTCCGACGACGGATGCGTCTCGACCTCCTCCACGTTCAACTCGAGCGTTTTGCCAAAGGGCAAGGTGGCCATGGAAGCAGGTCGCAAGGCCGGCATGCCAGACGCAGCAGTGGCAGCAGCACCGCGGGGGGATGCGGTGCTTGCCGTTACATCAAGCGACGGGACGACGGGGTGTGCGACGCCGGTTCCTTCGCCGTAGGGCGACGAAGACGATAACGAAGAGACGGTCATCGGAGACGGTTGGGCAGCCTGCAACGAGACTCCACTTACCGCGTTGTCGGTATCCGCCACAGGAGCGTCATCCCCATGGCTCTCTCCTGTGAAATCGAAGGCGTGGGTGTCCGACGAAGGGAGGAAAACAGCGGTAGTAGATCGCTGACCGCTCGTCAACGCCGCCCCCGCCGCTGCGACGCTTGTGTGCGGACTCCGCATGCCGAGTGGGCCGGCAGTGGTGAGGCTGCCGAGCACCGTGTCACCTTCCGCATTCACCACATCCGTGTTGGACGTTACTTCAATGCTGCCGCCAGAAACGGCAACGCGATCGCGCCATGGCTTGCTCGCCCCTGGATTGCGCGCCTTTGCGTAAAAAGCCTTTTTACTGTAGCCCAGAGGCGGTGGCCGCCGCTTCAGCAAGTGCGTGGAGAGGCGCCACATGATCGTCCGATGAGGAACAATGAAACAACAAACAAAAGAAAGCCACTACAGATGTATCCCTTCTGAAGCGCCTGAGTGCATTTTTTCCCTTGTGTGTGTGTGTGTTTGCCGGTTCGGTGAGGACCCAGCGAAGAACGGCACAATTCCGTGGTGACAAGACAGGGAGGGAGAGAAAGCGGTGTGCAGCGCTGACGGCTTTGCAGTGCATTACGCCAACATTGTATTCGACGTGTGGTGTGCATCGGAGGTCATACAGAAAGTAAAGCGAAAGGAGCAAAAGCAAAAAAAAAGATGAGACGAAAAAGGAGCATGGAAAGCAAAGGAAAAAGAGCTGGTTGGTTCAAAGCTGCTTTGTGAGCGTGACGATGGAAGAGCTCTTTCCTTGTCCGTATTTCATCGTTGACAAGGTGAAGGTTCTCCTGCTCCAAGAAGGAGAAGAGTAACATCCATAGACAAGATTTCTTTTTTGAAGTAGCAGTTCCTACTTCCTTGGCCAGCGTCGATCGAGTTCCTCAAATGCTGCCTTGCTCTTGAAATCGTGTAGAATTTATTTGTTACGGTGTACGCCCACACGTTCAACAACATTATTAGCATAAAGCGAGAGGAACAGAACGGGAGAAGAAAAGAATCGCCAGGACTACTTGACATCGAAAAGGAAGGCAGGGGGAGGGAGGGAGGGAGCCCACAACGGGAAAACAGATGTTTTTTGTGTGCATGTGTGTGTTTTTGCCTCGTGTGCGTCCTTCTCTTACTGCCTGACGGATCGGTTTCCTACTCTGTTGTTTGCCACGCTGCTTCATTGTAAGCACAACAGCCAACAGAGACAGACAAACATGCATATATTACAGCACCACAACCTGACGTACAACATGGAAGAGCGTGCAGCATAAAAATAGAAGGACGGGCACGCATTAGCCACACATCGGCTTTCGCTGTCTCACCTCGCCCAAAAATTGTACGACTTCTTTTCGCCAGCTTAAGCGCTCTGCTGACCACGCGCCTGGGCAGCCTGCACCACCATCACCGCCGCACGGAACTCCTCCACGGCGCGGCGCAGCTCGCCCTCCTCCCTCGTCACCAACTCCGACGTGCGCTGCTTCTCGTTGGATAGGCGGCTCTCCTCCGCCTCACACCGCTCAATCTCCTCGTTGTTCCTGTCAATGAGCTTGTTCACCGGCACCCGCATGAAGGCGCGGCCGACGCCCTGGTAGACGACGTGCTCCGGCTTCAGCTTGGTGAGCTCGCCCACGGTGATCTGGCAACGACGCTCAGTGCGCTTGAGGGTGACCTGCCGGGTCGCCATCGTCTTGACGGTGTCGCGCAACGACTCCAGCCGCTGCTGGTGCTCCGTGACGGTCTTCTCCTTCTCCATGAGCTCCGCCTGAGCGGCGACCGAGGCGCTACCGCTACTCGACATGATGGCCCGAATCAAGAAAGAAAGAAAACAAAGTGGGGAGTGTGGTTGAAGGTGAGAGCCGATGAGACGCGGTGTTGGAGGAAGAAAACCGAAAAGAAGACAAACGCTCCTTTAGTGAGTTCTTGTTGGGGAGAGGTCAAATGGTGGGGTCAAAGAGGTGAGAAAGAGGTGAAAGGAAACGCAGATACAAAGAGTGGATGGTTCAGACAACCGCGGATGTGCGAGGTGCACGTTACAGAACCATACGCGAGCGAAGAAGAGAAGAAACGTCCTTTTTCAATAACGAAGTTTCGGTTATGACAGGAGGCAACGTGTGCTGCGCGTGACATGAATAGAATCGAACTGCAGCACACACATTCACTCACAGACACAGACACAGACACGTGCGCACACACGTGCGAAGAGGCCTCTGTCGCGGCACAGCTCCACAGAAGAAAAAGAAAGAGTTATTTACACTACGCAAGATTGCGTTTTACGAAATAGAACAAAACGAAATGGAGGCGAATCAATGGGTGGAAAAAGAAAACAAAAAGAAGGGAAATGCGCAGAAGCGTCGAGGCAAATGGGGAGGAACAATAGTGAGACAGAGGTACAGATAAATGTGGTAAGAAACTAAATATATATTTTCGAGTCTAATCTAGCGAGAAAGAGGAAGAGAAATATAAATTATTATATAGGCGGCTTCGTCTCGTTGTCGTTGTTTTTCTGATTACTTTTTTCTATTGAATGGAAGAGGAACAGTGCGGGCACAAGCAGATCAGCGCCCGCTGCAACAAAGAAATGGTAATAAGTAACGGGGGGAGAGCAGCTCAACAACTATTGCTGTACGGAAAATGAGAAAAGTAAAGAGCAAAGCGCTCAAATCAGTTGAAAAAAGCGATTCTAATGCTGACGAAACCGCGCCCAAAAAAAAAGTATATATATATATATATATATATATAGAGAGAGAGAGAGAGAGAGAGAGTA